CACATTTCCGACAACACTTTTTAGGTCTTGAAAAAAACGATCAGAGTCCAATTATTTTTCCAGTGTATAAGAAAAATACACCATATCGTTATAATCTTACAAGAATAAGGCATGTAATCCATGTCAGGCGCTGACTTGATGAGTAGTACAACCTTGACTAATTTACCCTAAAGGTGTAAAATAATGAAGCTTAAGACCCTACTCTTATCGCTAAAAACGAAAATAAGCAAAAATTGAACAAGACAAATTCTAGCATCCTGACATTATTTCTGTTAAAAAAGAAGAAGAATAATAATCTATCAAGAACCGATTGAATGGGAAAGCTAATATAGTATATTTAGTTGAATATATTTTTGGGAATCATTGATTGCATAACTTTGGAATGTGACGTGAAAAGAGTCGACCAGTGCAAGCCAAAAATTCCCAGACTTCAAAGAACGGAAAAGGCTATCCCTACCCCCAAGTTCTATGTTACCACAATTGCCTTCATGAGTAATCAGGGATAAATAGTTTCATCTTAACCTCATTTACTATTACGCACATTGAAAAAGAAAACTTTGTATAAATTAAAGAGAAAAAAAAGTATAGATTATATAGCATCTACATTAAAAGATCAAGCATAATTTATCTCAATCGCGCATTTTTAGCTTTTTTTATAATGATTTTAAATAACATTAGAATCATACAGGTAACAGAAAATGCTTGGTTCATAATCCCAATGAAAACTTTTTTTGGATGTAATAAAGGGAGGAAAACAAATAAAATGAAGAACAATATAATTGGTCTTTACACAATTGGAATGCTTGTTGCTTGTATTAATGCATTGAAATTCACAATTAAATATGCTCCAATATAATGTAAAAATGACTGGATCTATCGTTGACAAGAAATTTTCTAAATTTCCAAATCTACCAATCATCAGAGAAGAATGAGACATTGCTTTTTAGCTCATGAGGCTCAAACTTTAGTGGATAGGATGAATGCAATCAAGAAAGATTTTTTGGTGTAAAAAAAAAACTATTAATTCCTTGCACCGAATAGAACATACGCCACTGTATTAGTTTAAACAAGAATGATATATATTTTTCTAGTGTACATATGCATAAAGGTTACATTTTGCAAAAACAAAAAAAAAATAACTATTAACTCTGAAAAAGTTATATATAAAAAAGGCTTGCTTTGGGAATACTAAATAGATATTTGTATCAGGTCGATGTATACTACATCATGAGCAATACATAATTAAACCGGAAAAAGAGACTTCTTGTTATAGAATACACCGAATGCTTAAATGATTTATATATTTTGGGTAGTGATTCTCATAATACAAGGAAGAAAAAATAGAAATAATGTAAGATGGTTAAGATGGAGAAATGAGTTCTGTTACTTTTATATATATTTAGAATATCTATTCAATGGGGATACCGGCATACTCGTCAAAGTTCAATGCCAAGTTCAAGTTCTATAATCCCAAAAAAAAACTTAATTAGAGCCATAATACATCATTTAAATTATAGCCATATATTTTACCTGTACTGCCTGAGTAGCGGCGCCCTTCAACAAGTTGTCGAGGTTGGTGATAACAACAGCACGACGGCCTTCAGCGTGGACAGCAAACCCTCCGACACGAACAAAGTGACGGCCTGCGTTGTCACGGACATAGGGCTCTTCATTTTCGAGTACCTTAACCAACTTCTCACCCTGATAGAAAGCGCTGTAGATGGATTTGATGTCACGGCTGGTCATGGTCTTGGCCAAAGGAATGTTGACAGTCAAAGAGATGCCCTGGAAAAAGGGTGCAACGTGGGGAATGAAACCGATAGGAGTACCGAGCTGATAGGAAACCTCCTTCTCGTGGATGTGACCAGTAAGAGAATAAGGAATCAAGTTGTCTCTCAAGAACTCGGGATCGTTCTTGGGAGAGGGCTTGGTACCAGCACCGGAGTAGCCAGACACACCAAACACGGTGGGAGGAGCATTCTTGTCAAGGAAGGGGAGGAGAGGACGAATGGACATCTGAGCACCAGTAGCATAACAGCCAGGGTTGGCAATGCGGGTGGCACCAGAGATGTTCTTACGGTTGAATTCTACAAACAGGAGAACATTTATTATACATGAAACTAGCTTGGTTTTCGTTTTTATCATTCTAGACCCTTACCAGGAAGACCATAAGTCCATGTGGGATCGAAACGGTAATCTGCGCTCAAATCAACCAGGACCTTTTCAGAAGACTTGCCATCCTTCACATCAGCCTCAACCTGGTGCACAAATGGGGTGCATACACCGTTAGGGAGAGCCAACACCCATGCGTCAACCTCTTCCTGGGCCTTAAGTTCCTCAGGTTTAAGGTTAACGTAAGTCAGGTTGCTCTTGGTGTAGCCCTCAAGAGGCTTTCCCTCCAATTCACGCGAGCTGACGTGTGTGAGGTTAAGGTTAGGGTGCTGGTTGATTAGGTTAATCAACTCACGGCCAGTGTAGCCACGAGCACCAATCAGACCAACATTCTTCTGGCGAGTGCTGCTAGCATATCCACGACGCTGAGGGCGAGAGAATGTGCTGAAGGAGCGCTTACCGCCCTTGGAACCTGCACCTACAAGGCTCTGCTTAGCCTTGTCAGAATCACGGATGCCGTAGAAGAACATGGTGCTGCCATCCTCTGGGTTACGAAGCGAACCATCGGCACGCTCAAAATGCCAGGAACGGTCGAGAGTGTCCTCATCGACCTTGGAACGCACACGCCAAGTGAGGGCATCATAATCCTTGCGGATACTGTTCCAGATGTTGTCAGCGACATTGTTCAAGACAGCAGTCTTGCTTGCAAGGATTTTCTCGAGCACAGCAGGCTTGCTGGGGTCAGAGGGATCGCTAGTGACAATAGCCAAGACCTGTCCAGGCTCATCGGTGTAGAGGGATACATTCTTATCCTTCAAGTCACGGAGGTACTGGGCAACAGATACCTCGCCAGATTTGACGGCGGGATCTTCAGCCTCGAGGATGCGACGGATCTTATCAGAATCAATCTTGGAAAGATCATCAAACTTGAACAATTTGTGACCACGACGAATCAAGGTACCGGCACCAGAATCAGTGAAAAGCTCCTTGTGGAGATGGCCGGCAGAGATAATCGCAACAGAAGATGATCTAGGAAGTTTATCGAGGAGTTCCTTGCACTCTCTGATCTTGAGCTTGGTGCCATAACGCACCCAGGGTTCCTTGAGAAGATCTTCATATTCCTATATGTATATATATTTCCCATCAATACACACAATTTTTTAAAACCACCATCCTGAACTTCCTTGTCACCTCTATATTTATATATCACCAATTCTTACCTCATCCAAGTTGATGGTTTCAATTCTCTTTCCAGTGTCACCGTTATAGATACCGTTCTTCTCGTTCAAGAAGATGATCTTGAGAGGTTCGAGCACGGTAGCAAGTTCTGCAGCAGCAATGTCAGCGTTGACGTTCAAAATCTGACCGTCAGGTGTTTCTGCCAAAGATGTCAGAATTGGCAAGGCACCGGCACGGATCGATGATTCAATAGCTTCCTTGTTGACGCTGTAGATATTTCCGACCAATCCATACTTCTCTTTATCAAGATAATCTGCAACGAAAACACCACCGGTGATTGGGCGTGCACGAGTACCGTGACGCTCCAATGCGTCAACCAGCTTAAGGTTCTCAGCAGCAAATACCTTGCGTGCAATCTCAAGTGTTTTGGCATCTGTAATGCGAATTCCCTCCTCATACTGGGGTTCAACACCAGCATCCTCCAACAAACGGTTCATCTGGGGTCCAGCTCCGTGGAGTACAATGGGGTAGAGACCGACGCGGTTCAAAAACGTCAAGGCCGAGACTAAGGTTTCGAGCTCATCGGTCAGGACAGCGCCACCGACCTTGATAACAGCAAACTTTTGGGATTCGACTGAGGAGAAGTGACGAAGGTACTGCTCTACTTCCTTGCGAGATCCAATGTTATACAAAAGCTTGGTGATGGTTTCCTAGAATGATTATTTTTTATTTATTTATTTTTAAAAAAAAAAGGAGTGTTAGACACATGTTTTGTAAGCGGCTTTTGAGGCAGTGTCGTTTTCTTTGGTACCTTTTCGGCAGCTGCATTGTTTGCAGAACCATAATTACGGATTTTCTGTGCGGAAACAGAACCCAAAGGACGCAAGAGACCAGCCTTGACGTGGACTGCACTTGCCGAGAGGATGGTCTTTGAGGAAAGACCCTTGGTGGCCTGTCTAGCAATTGAAAGCATTTGTGAAGGAATAGAAAGAACAAGACCAGAAAATCTGCTTTTAGATCCTTCTTATCAAAAGAACAAGAGAAGAGAAAGAAGAGGGATTATGGACAAGGCAGACCTACTAGCTGGGTATAAAAAAAAGATCTTGGTTGTCTGGGGATGGATAAGTTCTCAAATGGGAACTTGACTCATACTCAATCACACACTAAAATAATCAATGCCCGCTTGACAGCTTTTTCTATTTTTTATTTTTATTTTATTTTATATGGTTTATGATTGTGTGAGTAGAAGGTATTAATGAATAATGTAAACAAAAGTCACGAATTGGATATGCTATATGCCAACCAAAAAGACAGCCTAATCGGCGCTTAGTGTATAAGTTTTGCTTTTGTTTTGGTGTGGTTTGGTTTGACTGGCCCACACAATATGAACCCAAGATTTGGCCTAGACAAAACTCTATTGGAATCCCGATAAAATGGCGCTTTGTATAAAACCCACCCTGGAATTGCCTTTTTTTTAGAACTTTCTTTATTTTGTTTGAAATCAATTTTCGTTTTCACACAAACAATAAGAAATGGCTGGCTCCAAAGGAAAGGTTCTTCTCGCATACTCCGGAGGTCTTGATACCTCCTGCATTTTGGCTTGGTTGATCGAGCAGGGTTACGAGACCCTTGCTTACATTGCCGATGTTGGTCAGGAAGAAGACTTCGAGACCATCCGCGCCAAGGCTCTTGCTGTCGGTGCCAGCAAGGTTTTCGTTGAAGTAAGTCTTGGTTATGGCTTAATAAAATCAATAGATACTCATTCAGTGTTTCAAACAGGATCTTAAGAAGGAATTCGTTGAGGAATTGATCTTCCCTGCCATCCAGGCCAACGCCATCTACGAGTCCGTCTACCTTCTCGGTACCTCCCTCGCTCGTCCCGTCATTGCTCGCAGACAGATCGAGATTGCTACCCGTGAGGGCTGCAAGTACGTTTCCCACGGCTGCACCGGAAAGGGTAACGATCAGGTTCGTTTCGAACTTGCCTACTACGCCTTGAACCACGACATCGAGGTCATTGCTCCCTGGAGATTGCCTGGTAAGTTTCTGGATAATGTAGATAGATCTGATTAATTATTATGCTTTACTAATATTTTTTATATAGTCTTCTTCAACCGCTTCCAGGGTAGACCTGATCTCCTTGCCTTCGCTGCTGACAAGGGTATTCCCGTTGTCCAGACCGCTGCCAAGCCTTGGTCTACTGATGAGAACTTGTTCCACATCTCTTACGAGGCCGGTATCCTTGAGGACCCCAATGTCACTCCTCCCAAGGACATGTGGAAGCTCACCGTTGACCCCGAAGATGCTCCCAACAAGCCCGAGCGCATTACCATCACCTTCGACAAGGGTATTCCCGTCAAGGTTGTGAACAACGATGACAAGACCGTTGTCACTGAGCCCGTCGCTCTCTTCACCTACCTCAACACTGTCGCCAGACGTAACGGTGTCGGTCGTATCGATATTGTCGAGTCCCGTTTTATTGGTGTCAAGTCCAGAGGGTAATTTATTTAAATTGAGACTGCATAGTAGTAAGAAGAAGAAAAGGGCTAAAAAATCAAGTATTATAGTTGTTACGAGACTCCCGGTGGAACCATTTTGCGTACTGCCCACAAGGATCTCGAGGGTTTGACTCTCGACGGTCAGCTGCGTGCTCTCCGTGACCAGAGCATCACCATCCCCTACTCTCGCTGTCTCTACAACGGTCAGTACTTCTCCCCCGAGTGTGAGTTCTTGAACAAGTCCATCCCCTTGACTCAGGTCAACGTGACTGGTGATGTCAAGCTCAAGCTTTACAAGGGTAACACTATCATTGAGGGTCGCGTTGCTCGTGGTCCTGGTTCCAAGCTCTACAACATCCGTGAGTCCTCCATGGACGAACAGGGTGGTTACAACCCAGAGGATGCCGATGGTTTCATCAAGGTTCACTCTATCCGCCTTAAGAAGTGGACCCCCACCGAGCAGTTCTAAATAATGCCTCATTCAATACTCGCATCTCATCATTCCACCTTTCAATCTTTCTATAAGCCTCTCTGTAATCAAAATAAACATATAAAAAAAAAGCCTCTGGTTTTTTTGTGTACAAGCTAAGAATTAGAATTCGGTTACACCCAAGAAGTAATAGTGCTTTCTTCCGTTACGCGAAAATGAATGAATTTAAATATACAAAATCAAATCGAAATTTTGACAATCTGTCTATATGTATTTAAATTGTATATATATATATAAAGCATATTTTGTACACTTTGTTCAAGTGATATCTATTTATTTCTTTAAATTCATTGCAGAAAGTTCGCATTGAGAACAATAAATAGTACTGTCCCTTTCTGCTTGAAGCTTTTCTAGTAACATTGAATTTTTGATCCGTTTACCTCATTCCACCCCACCCGCAGCTAAATACACATTAAAGATAAGAGATAAAAAACACACATATATATATATTTGTTTCTTGGCTTTTCAGTTAGGCAACCCCGAATTTATCCGGTCAGACCCGAACCGGTTACTAGGATTTTGTATCTTTAGTATGTCTTTAAGATTGGTGTCCCAGTTTCTTTTTTATGTTCCCACAAAATTTCTTATTAGGTAAACATACAGCAAACACGTCTTTAATGCAAGAAAAAAACAGTACTTCCCTTTGATCCGTACCTATTTACACAGGGTCCATAAAAGATAAGATAACATGAAAGCTGGTTTTATTCTTACGGTTGAAAGAACTTTTCCCGCTTCGACAATGTCCGCTGTGTTTTTACAGGTTACCACCGATAAGACGCAGTTTGATTTCCTTCTTTCTTAAAGGCTTGGAAGCTTCTAGGTTAGATAGCCGAATTCGAATAAAAGGTTCATCCATTTAGGCTTTATTTTTCAATATTTTGCGATGATTGAATGACATTGATAATGAATATATATATATATATATTATGTAAATAATAACTACAGCTATTAAGACAAAAGCTACTTTGAAGAAAGACTTTGTTATGTGATCCCAGCCAATTCCCCACGGGCAAATTTTAAACAGTTCAATCATTGCATGTTCTGTTAATCTTAAAATTGCTTTTTGTTTGTTTAATATTTCTGTAAGCTTACTCAACTATACATAATAAGAATCAAATTTTTTTAAAGAGGTTTTTATGCATGGCTTTCGGGTCTCGGATTTCTTGTGGAGTCTAATGTTATAGGATCAAGTTTTGTGTGGTAGCTATGTTTTCTTTCTTTATATCCAGCAGTAAAAAGATGCTCTTAGGGCTGAAGATCAAACAAGTGGATCCCGAATATTATGCGGGGAGAATATATAAATTGTGATCAATAGGATAAAGCTATTTATATTAATGTAGATACGGGAAGAGTATGATTATATATTAATATTCAAAATATTCAAATTCCTGTAGAATTTATATATCACGAAGCCTGGATCAATCCTATGATAGCCTCCCTGATCACCTTGATGATTCTTTTTAGAAAAATTAGACAAAAACCAAATAATAATCATAATAGTATATTCTAACATGTCATTGTCTGGGCAGAATAGTCGTCCTCTATAACGACTTCCCCATTAACTATACGCACAGGCCCAGTAAACCATTTGTATCCCCAAATCATGTAATATCCTATAGATAATCCCATAATAACACCAAAGGGGACTATTGCGTAATTCATATTACTAGCCGTTACTGGAGCTTCTGTAGGACAAATAAATAGTACGCAAGTAAATATAAGCCAAAAAGAAGACACATATCCGATCGCTATACTAAATCGTCCCAAATTCCAGGGACCTACAGTAACAGCAACAAAAAATAATAAAATTAAAAAAAAAACATATCCAAATATGTATAATGTAAAACCAAAAGAAAAAATGTGTTACAGTTTACCTGGGACAAATTTAGTACGTGATACGGTAATACGTAAAACAATGGGAATAAGGTACGCCGTTTGTGCACCAATTGTGTTTATCGATACAATGGCTTCAAATGCTGTATCGTTGACGATGTACAAAATTCCAATAATTCCAGAAACGATGATGTTGAACCAAACGGCAATTATAGGGCTTTTGGTTTGGGCGTTAAGACTATAAAGTTTCTTTGAAAATGGCATCGCGCCATCTCTTGCAAAAGCATAGGCCATACGAGATCCTGCGAGAATCATTGAAGATCCGCAAAAGAAAGTGCTGAGGATAATAAAAACCAAAAACACCATCGTCCATCCAGGGCCAACACCATCATGAAACACTTGAACCATCTGAGGTTGAATGGCTTCCTCAGAAACGATCTGGTACATAAAGTTCTTTACCATAAAGCCAACACCAATTAAAAATATCAATCCAGTGAACGCATTGGCTAACACAGCTACTACAATAGCAAGGGGTGTTCCAGTCTGGGAATTTTTTGTTTCTAATCATAATAACAAACACTGTTTTTGAGTTTAATATTATATTTTGGCGTTTTATAATCATGCAATGGCGTAATACCTTCGCTCATATACGCGGCACAATCATAACCCGTAAGTGTATACTGGGCCTGCAATATAACCAGCAAAAATGCATAGCCGTTACTTGAAAATCCGGACCCATTATAGAATTGGGTGAACTAAACAAAAAAAAGAGTCAATATATCTCTCTATGGAGTGATTTTTATATCTCTCCCTTACAACGACATATCCCGAGGCTAATGGCCTGGTAAATACTAGTCCAACTATAACAATAAAAAGTATTCCTAGTATATTGACCCAGACTAGTATATATAAAGGAGAAATGAGGACACGTATATCTTATACTTTTTATTTCACTTACAAGCTGCCTGGTTCATAATCCCATTTAAGCTTACAGTCAAGGAGTTGATCAAACCATGAAATATCAAAATGCCAACAAAAACACCATATTGCATATAAATAGTTATCTCTACACCGGGGCGCCTGAGCGCACGCATAAAGACATCAGACATACATCTATATATATATATATATATATATATATAATCAAATATAGTATATTTTACCAAATATTGATTATACCAGCGACAAATTGAGCAAGACTAAGGTCGACAGAAGTAATCCCAACTAAAATACCATACATTAAAAAAAAGGAATCGAGAAAGATCATATATCCGTAAAACTTACAGGCATATCCAAGCCAATTACACCATCCTGTAAGCCAGCAGGCGAATGGAATGTATTTCGGTGGCGCTAGCCTTGAGACCCAAAAATAAAGACCTTTACGTTTATGTAAGAGAAAGAGAGGGGCAATATACACAATATAGTTTAATTTACAAAAAAGAAAGACTACCTCCAGTCGTAGGATAAGCACTGCAAATCTCGGCCAAACTCATCGAAATAAATACTGTGAAAAAGCTAGTTGCTACCCAACCCCAAATAACACCAAGAGACCCTGCATCAACCATAGCATCTCCCCACATCTAAGCAATACAGATAGTTATTATTATTACTTGATCACTTTTTTTTTATTAAACATTGTACTTACAGGGGCGAGTCCCGACAATACAGAGCAAGAAGAAAATGTAATGGCAAAACTTGAGAAGACAGACATTGAACGGATAAGGTCCTTTAGATATATATATATATATATATTATCACTGGGTGTTTAGCTCATTGTGTTTAATAAAGTACTAAGAAATTACCTGTTTATACCCAAACGAGTTGAGTAACTTCTCATCTTTATCTATTGCCTGTATATTTGCTTCTTCGATATGTTCCCCAAACTTTTGTTCCCTGTTCTCGAATTTCATTTTAAATTAGACAGTGTATACGGGTAAACAGATTATTAAACGCGATTTAAAGATGTATCTTTAACCCAAACAAGCCTACAAACAAGCCCTTTTATATCGTTTTTTAATTGTTATCAGATGTTTGATATTTTGATAATAAGCTACACAACATTCTTAATTAAGTATAACCAAACATCTGCTATATATAAATCTTGCTTTGAAACGTTTTATCTATTTGGGAGTACAAAGAGATAAAGTTCTTTAAGCTAGTTATTAAGACTATGTATTATAAATATGGTCTACATAAAGGTGAGAAACATACGTGCTCAAAATAATCCGATTCGTAGTCTTTATTCTAGTGATATTCACTACAGTTGTCATATATTCAATATAGTAATATGTACTTTACAGAGATACCAAGACTTTATATTTTGTTTTGTAGGCGAATTAGATTTAAACTTTAGACGCTTTTTGAGAAAACTCTGGACAGGTTTTTACTTTTTTTTCGTTTTTAAATGAAAATACCTTGTTAATGGAGACAAATAATATATGTTTTGAAACATGTTTTGCGTTGTTGTTAGTTGAAGCGAAATAATCGTGTCAAATTAAATAAAGGCTTCCGATTCACCGTTTTCAGCATCTATATTATCATACTTATCTTTGTAAGTATTATCATTAAATACTAAGGAAGAATCTTTTTTCTGTAGAGGTATGGTTATTGTAGTATATATATTTCTTTGAGAATTATAAGAAACAATTGTCTCGAAGAATATCTCGGTTATTTCAATAAGACCAATTTTTTTTTATTAAAGAAGTGTATAAAAATTAAATTCAAACTCGTCTAAATCTCAAATAAAGACATGCTAACTCAGGTTTATGCGAAATATATCATCTTATACTCCAAAGGCAAACATATATCATCAGCTGCCTTTTTTTTTTCTTTGGACTAAATACTATTTTTACTAGGTAATTATGTAGTTGGATATAAGGAAGTTGATGTTTTTTAAAAGAAAAAAGAAGTTCGTTATGAGACAAAAATTGAAAAGATTACCACACTCAACTAGAGCTGATAGTTCTTAATTTTGGATAGCAAATGTTAGAGCATATTCAGCAGTAACTTAACTTTTGATTTACCCAAAGTCAAAAACCACTACTTTAGTTAAAGAAAAAGCCACCTTTCTCAGCAGTTCAATTCATCTTTTTTCCTTGGAAATAAATTTTGAGAGCGCTTTTAGCAATCAATTTTAAATCCTTGTTAACTTTGATTGTTATTTAGAATAGAATAAATTAAACTGCTGGGGATACCAATTTTAACTAAATATTTAAATTTAAAGTAAAAGTGGAGTTAAAGTGGAATCTCATATAAATAAAAAATTCATGCCAAAACCCACAACCGTTTCCAAAACTGATTAATACTGTCCAGAATACTGTCTAGCACGGAAAACTTTATGAACAGTCTGGAAGTATACAACGTTATTCTTCTTGCCAAATGCAAAAACACAAGAAAATTCTCTTGACCAAAAATCAACTCTTTTTTATTTAATTTCTTTTTATCTATATTATTAATACTTTTTTTTTTTGAAACATTCAACAAATATCAAAGTCTGACCACCCCAAAAAAACGTGTAACCATAAAACACTAATTATGAGTGACACTGCATACTTCCAGGCTGTCCTGCCAGGTTGTCCGTAAGGTTTCCCTGTTTTAAAAACTTGACAATTTATTTAATATGTATTTGAACTAAATCTATTTTCTGTTGAGCTTTTAAGTCTGTCCATACCAGCTGTATTTTACACCAGTAAAGTGTAAAGCCAAAAAAAAAAGAACAAAAAGAAAGAAGAAGAAAAGGAAACAACAGATATCATTACAAGTAATTAAACATGTATAGCACATATTGTATCTTGGTTGTAATATTGTATCTTATTCCTGTACTGATATTATCATTATTATCACTATTATTGCCTGTGACATATCATTCAAAGCCTGGGACCATAATAGGTGTTTGGTGTAAAGAGGTATATACTATAATGCATTGTTTAATGTTCAAGACTTGTAATTGTGGTTCAAGGATTTATTTATCACTTATAAGAATCTTATATTTCTCTTTGTTTCTTTGTTTCTTTCTCTTTACATCTAACTATCTCTTTATCTCTCTTTCTCTTTTGTTTATTTCCAATGGTTTTCCAATTCTAAAAAAAGAAGAAGAAGAAGAAGAAAAGAAATATAGCCTGATTCTTAAACAGCGGCCATCTTAATAGCACTGCTATAACTGTCAGGATCTTCGATTTCCTTTTTGCCCTTGATAACCATAAGTTCGCACTGACGGATTACTTTTGGTGAATCTGGGCGTTTTTCGATACTGCCGGTCTGGCCACGGTTCTCGGCATGAATAAAGGCCTTTTGGCGGTTAAATGTCTTTAGTGTGACAGCATTTACGGTAGAGACAACTTTGAAGGCGGCGGCAGCCAAAGGGGAAACAACCTTGTTGTCAATTGCTTCTTGCCAGCGCGCGACCACCAGGCCTGAGAACATGTCTCCTGTGCCGGTAAAGTAACCCGGGTATGTGGGGAAAGCGATCAAGTGCTGCTCGGTTACACCTGTGATGGCTTTGTGGCTAGTCAAGCAATAGAGTGCGTGGGTCTCTGCGCATGGAAGACGTACACTTTCGGGTACTTGGTTGACAGGCAGGCTAACAGAGGTTATGATGACGTTGGGCGTGCCGAGTGCATGGAGGGCCTTGGCTGCTTCACATGCAGATTCGAGGGAGTTAATTGTAGTCTCTGCAAGGGTTCTTTTTTTTTGTTTGTTTGTTTATATTTATATTAAATCAGCACAACATGATCTTCCCTTGAAATCATCTTTCTCTCTATGCACTAATAATAACTAAACTTACTCTGCTTCAAATTGATTAGGTGTAACAATGTCGGCGGTGCGCAAAATGTCGCGATAAAGAGGCACGATTTCTGGTGCAACATAGAGTCTGCCACCATCACCCATTACAGGATCGCACACTTGTCTAGCAAAGTCAGTAAGTTTGCTCCAAAAAAAAGGGAGAGATCACACTAGAAGACTAAGTGTACACATACACACGTACATATACACAGATGTACACATATGTACACACATAATTCTTACCGAATATCAGTTTAGGTGATTTGGTCTTCAAGTGACAGACAAAGGCTTCGATCCTTTCCAAGATTTCATAATTGCCGATGTAGCCTATATTTGATTTTGATTTGATTTTGATTGTTTTTTTTTTATATTACTTATCAGTACATATATGTATTGCTTCTTTTATGGTTTTTATTCCTTACCGGTCAATACGTGGGTATAATCATCAGTGAGACCATTGCGCTCAAGTCCGGTGAATAGATCCTGAACCTCGTTTGCAGTCAATCGACCACCAGTCCATGAAGGATAACCTATAAAAAGAAAAGAAAAAAAGAGTTGTCGATATCAATGTTTATGACAATTACTATTTAAATAAATATATATCTTACCAGTGTGATTGGAGAATTGAACGGTATTAAGTATATCGACATCAAATCCAAGAGTCTGTAAAGGAAAGACTGCAGCCTTGTTTCCTGAACGCCCAATAATGATAATAATAGTGTGTTATTTACACTGTAGATTGTTTCTTTATATATATATATATATATATTATGTATCAAACAATCCCGTGGTTTATAAAATTAATATAATATCAAATACTGTTATTATTACCACAGTATCCAGAGACCTACAATACACCCTCCTCAGGGTTTATTTAGTATATTGTTGTTGCTTTTCTTTGGTTTTAGACGAGATTACCATGTGAGACTGGATGCTCAGGGCACGGTATGATGAGTCATCGAGGGTCATGATGAGAAACTAGAGGTAAAGAAGAAGAAAAAAAGAGTGTATATATATATATATATATATATATATAGTAGGTATAGGTTGCTGTGTGCGTATGCGTGTAAGCGTGGGTTGTAAGTGTAGGTTGCAAGTGTAAGTTATAGGTATATAGGTTGGATTGGGTAAGGTATTTTATTTGTTATTTTTTTGGGGCGGCGTTAAGTTGTGCTTTATACTGTCAAGCACGCAAACGGACGTCACGCCAGAAAAGGACACTTGCTATCAGACAAAGATTATGTGGACAATATGCATGCATGCTATGAAGCTAATTTATTATGATGTGTGCTTTTTGATATCTTTTTATATATTTCTTTCTTTCTTTCTCTCTTTGATGGATCGGTTTATTGAATGTGTTGTTATGATGATGATGATCAGTATTACTATTGTTATTGTTATTATTGTTATCTGTTCATTGTGTGCCTCTTTTTCTTTTCTTTTTTCTTTTTGGTGATTTATGATTTAGAGCAAAAAGGCTCCAGTAAGAGCGGCTATGGGTGATCCAGTAGTACGAGGTAAGCTCCATCCGACTGCAGAGATGGTTTCTGATGAACCAGCAATATCGAGATGAGTGTAGGCAATGGGTTGGTCGTGGGCAAGACCGTGCTTGTTGAGACCAGAGGCGATCAACATGAATCCGGCGGGATATTGATGACCACGGTTGGTCATTGTGCTGGGCTTGTCGTTGGCCTGAACAACATCCTCGCTTGAACGACCGGGCTGTACTACGTCGAGATCCTCACGACGCAAGGTAGAGATCTCAAAGGGATCGCCGAGAATATGACCGGCATCAAACAAACGCTGGCTGACTTTGTTACGTCTGGCGAATCCATTGTCGAGTGCAATGGCGTAACCGTCGTAGGCACGGATGGCGTGACCAGTCAGGGTAGCGACAGTGAACATAAGAGAAGGAGCATTTGAGGAAGCATCACCAGCCTGCTTGTGAGCAACAGCACGCTCCTTGAACTCACACAAGAGATCGGTCATAACCATACGACCCTCAGCATCAGTGTTTCCGATGAGAACTATAGATAATTAAATTTAGTCCTTGTTTGAATACATTCTATATATAATTTATAATTTATAATATATATACTAACCGCGAGATCCGTTACGGGAGTAGATAATTTCATCGCTCACGTAGGCATCTGAGCCAATCGAGTTTCTTACAAGTGCAAGACCAGCAGTCACGTTAACTTCCTTTGGTTGCAAGAGTTCGACAGTCTTCATGAAACCAGCAACGGCAGCAGCACCACACTTGTCACGAGACATGTCTACATTTATTAAGCAAAAGATGGATTTGATTAGTTTTAATCATTATATATATATTTATATATATATATATATACATATTCACTTTCAATTTTGTTGTCCCCTTTTGATATATACAACACATATACACACCAATTCTTTATCTTTTATCTTTGATAACATCGCTATTATATATATATATATATTCAAATTCTGATTTATACCTCTCATGTGACCACTGCACTTGATATCAGCTCCTCCGGTGTCATACGTAACACCCTTACCAACAAAGTAGAGGCTAAAAGAAGAATGAGTGGAGATTAATAAAGCGTGAGATTATTGAATTGAATTCAATCAAGATATAAAATCAAGCCAAACGATGAATACTTACTTTTCCTTGACCTGACTCTGATCGGGAGACTTGTACTCAAAGTGAACAAAGCGAGGGTGATGACGGGGAACTGAGAAGGACAAGAATCGAATGATGTATAAATTATCAGGGATTAGAATGATTAAAAGAGAGAGAGAGATAAAAAGGGTCTTACCAGCCAAACTGGCGCGGGTAACAGCGTGGGCCAAGGGGTATTCTTGCTTAATGACCTCAATGTCTTCAATTACAGTCATCTTGATGTGGGGAGAATCCTTGAACTGTTCTTCAAGGTACTTGACAATGTTTATAGGTGACATACGTTCAGGGTCAGGGGAACCGATATCTAAAATAAATAAAAATAAAAGTTTTTTTTTTAAAAAATTTGTATTTGTATTTGTATTACTATTATTTTTTACTAGACACAAATCCACGTAAACCCTATAGATCCCATAGATCCCATAGACCAATAAACGCACATAAAACACTTCTTTCGATTCTTTTTATTTATACATATATTTACCTTTGGTGACACGCTTTCCCTGCTCGATAGCAAGTACCTTTTGGATGACCTCATCTGCACTCTCTCTGACAAGGGATGATACCAAACCAAGTTCCTTGAAGCCAGGGATTGGCTTGTTGGTGCGCTCCAGATGCTCGCGGACATCGATAGGTTCGAATGAAGCCTCGAGGAAACCGAGAAGGGTGACTTCGATAAAGTAGGCATAATCCTGCTCAGCTGAGAAGGTCCAATCGGCCTGGTTCTGGGCGGGAGAGTCGGCAAAGTAAATCAAAGGAGAAGTGATTCCAACCTTGATGGCCTTGAGACCAGCCTCATAAGCAGCATCTATAGATTTGCTTATTGTCAATATATACCCACACATCCATAAGTAACACTAATATACCTTTGAAACGACGAACGTCATCAAAATCGTTTGAGACGGATCCAACGGGAGCAAGAAGAACACGCTTGGAAGGTTGGGCATCTTGGGGAATGATGACTTGGAGGGATTCACCAAATGTGGCATCGAGATCAGCCATTGCCTGAGCGCAAGGTACAATGTTGAAGAGAGCCTTCTTGTCCGAGTACAGAACAATGACACCATCGAAAAAGGTGTTTTGCTCAGTGACCTCTGTCAAACTGGCATTGTTGAATACGTGGAGTTGGGGAAGTGCCATACTATATTAGAGTCTTATTGTTAAGGAACAGTTAAGAGCTAAAAGAAGAAGAAAGAGGGGGTGGAAAAGAAAAATAAAGAAGAAGAAGGAAAGAAACAAAGGAAGAAAGAGGTCACTTGTATATATTTATTTTTATTTTTTATTTTTATTTTTATTTATTAGTGTGAGTCGAGTCGAGTTGAGTCGAGTTGAGTAAATTTTACCTGTTTAAAACTCTTTCTTTTCTCTCTTTTTTTTTTGTGACAGAAAAAAAAACACAAAACTCCGACCAATGACAACAAAAAAAGGAATTTATTTTTTATTTTGACATTTTGTAACAAGAAGAAAAAAAATAAATAAAAAAGGTACACTGACCAAGTAAGTTACTTGTTTTGTAAGTTGGTGATTCTTTTCTTTCCTTTTCTTTTCTTTTTTTGATATTATTGTTACGACATATGTATCGCAGAAATTATGTGATACTTTAATTCTATTTGACAATAGTGATTTATATCGCAAGTATATTTAGCTTTACAAAGTTGTTTAACCAGGATACCAAAAAAAGAAGCTTTTTAAAATTAAAAAAAAAAATAGGAAAAAGTACAAGCGCCCAAGCCGTGGGAAATTTTTTGTAAAAAAAAAATTGAGTTTTTATTTTGCTTTTACTTTTATTCTTTATTTTATATACAAAGACGTGTATATATATATTCTGTATATAAATAAATAGATAGATAAATAATTTAGCCAATTTGTTTTCAGTTGTATTGAATTTAATTGGTTTCCGACCCGACCGATTGAGCGGGTGTGTCTTTTATGTATATATATATATGTGTGTGTGTAGTTTATTTATTTTTATCCAATGATATTTGTCCTACAACCCATTGCTAACCACGCATTGACAGCCGCATATTTATATTGTTATTATTAATTTTTATTATGAGAAAACCAAAACCCAGGGTTCATGTATACTGTGATTGGATTTTTTTTGGTTGACTAAAGTTCTGTACATTAAACCAAGATATTCAAGCACTTGTTTTAATAAATGAAAAATGAAGATTCGCATTTAATTAGATTATATTATACTGTTTGTTTGTTTGTTTGATTGATAAAATAGAAATAAAAAAAAATTAGACAACGGAATATCTGCCAGCTGTTCCTCCTCCTGTCCTTGCTTCAGCTTCCATCTGGGCAACAGTAGCTTCAATAAGAATTCGCTTGATTTCATTCTTGGCTCTGTCGACAACAGTTTCAGAGTCACCCTCAATAAACAGATACAGTTTACGGTCACCGGGCCCTGGCTGCTTGCCAGGAGGGAAGAAGGTTCCTCTGGTGGTGATGGCTGCACCCGAAATTTCTGTAATCTGGGAAATTTGTTCCTAAAAAAGCAATAAAAACACAATAAATATCCATATTAGATTATTAAAGTATAAAATTATTTATATGTGTATAAAACGGAGAATTTATTTTTTGGGTTTTGGTTTGGTTTTTATAGAGCTAGTACTAGTACTAATATAATATAATACAATACAATAAAATATAATATAATATATAATCAATTGTAAGTTGCACTCACCTTGTTGGTAACTCTCCAGCGCGCCTTTTGTGGATAGTCATTAATGACAATCTCTTCTGCATAGACCGGGTTCCCTTCATCCTTCTTCTCCTCAACCTGGGGAGGTCCTCCACCAGTTGTACTGACATTGAATCGAGCATTGATATCTGCAACAACATCATGTGCAGTTCTACTCTTTGACCCAACCATTGCATTGATACGTGCCGCAACCTCAGTTGCTGCCCGTTTGGCTGCCAGTGCTGCTGCACTCAATTGCTCATTGCTACCCTTGCCCTGTTCAGCCGCATTGGCAGCCGCAGCAGCAGCAGCAGCAGCAGCCTGTCCAGGAATGTTGGGCACATTGGACATGTGTCCAGAGTCGTCCTTCTTACCCAAACCAATATTATTACTACCGCTACCACCATTCGATACAACTCTTGTTTCCAGCTCAATATCTTCTTCATCAGATTCTTCAAGGTCATCACCACCATATGCCTTTTTGTTTTTTGTTTTTTTTTTTTAAAATAATAATAATAATAATAAAAAAGAATTTTAGTACTCTTTTTTGTTTCTTGCAATCAAAAAAAAAATTACCTTCTTTTGAATCTTCTTGACCATGTCTCGATCCTTGTCAAATCTCTCGAGACCTTTGCCACCAAAACCAGAACTTGCCATACGCTCTTTACCAGTATGGACCTTTTCTTGGAATCGATCAGCCAACATTTGAACATCTGGAGGAATGGATTGTCCACTGAGTCGCAACGCCTTGAGGATGTCGACAGCATACCGTTCCTGGTCAGGGGTAATGAATGTGTAGGCTGTTCCCTTGTTACCCGCACGACCGGTTCTTCCCACACGATGTACATAATCCTCCATATGATTCGGGCACTCGTAATTTACTACCAGTTTAAGTTGCTTTACATCCAATCCACGGGCAGCTACTGATGTAGCAATCAAGATATTACAAACCCCAGACTTGAAGTCTGCAATCGTACTGTCACGATCTGCTTGGTCCTACAATATTTTTTTTCAATTATATAAGGTGTTATTAAAATGAAGTAAAGCTATATAATTATATATTACCTTTCCTCCGTGTAATGACTGACAAAGGTAACCTCGTCGGATCAAATCTCTCAAGAGATTATCCGCTGCTTCTTGACGATCCACAAAGATCAATGCTCGTGAATCTTCGGTTTCTTCAGTATTGAAGAATTGTCCAAAGATCTCTAGGAGTCGAATAAATTTGGTCGAATCTTCGCGTACCTCCACAATCTGCTCTACATCATCACACACCACACTGCGTCCACCAACAGTAATCTCGAGTGGCTTCTTTAATACCTTTCTAGCCAATGCTTCCATCTAATAAAAAAAAACAGATACACGAGAATTAAATTGGAATTCAATACAATCAATTACTTGTTCATTTGTTTACCTGTCGTGGAAAGGTAGCTGAAAACAAGACAGTTTGACGACCAGGGCGTACATTGTTAACAATCTTCATGACCTATAATCATTGATATTGAGTTTAGTTGAATTGAATTGAATTATTTTCTTTCTCTTTTTTTTTGTTTTTTGTTTGGGCGTTTGTTTATCTTTCTTTCTTTCTTTCTTTGTTCGTTTAGATTTCTTACTACATCAAACCCCAAAGAAAATGGTTGATATTATTATTACTATTATTATCATTAGCACTACTAGTACTGCCCAGTATTATTACTACTAATACTATTATTCTTATTCTTATTCTCATTTTACCTGAGGCTCGAATCCCATATCGAACATACGATCGGCTTCGTCCAAAACCATGTAGGTGACACGTCTAAGATTGGTGACACGGCCAGAATTGGCACACAACAAATCAATCATTCGGCCAGGAGTACAGACAATGATCTCGCAACCTCGCTTGAGATCTGCAATCTGGTCTTTGATGGGACTTCCGCCATATGCACAAACAGCCTACAAAAAGCTAATAGTTAATCAACTTGTCCACATACAAAAGACACAAGCACAAGCACAAGCACAAGCACAAGCACAAGCACAAGCACAAGCACAAGCACAAGCACAAGCACAAGCACAAGCACAAGCACAAGCACAAACATAAAAGGCATGCATAAAAAAAATACATGTGTTGATGTGTTGATGTGCTTATTTCTAATAACAATACTTATAATTAAAATTTTTACTTACACGCAAGCCAAGTACTTTAAGGAATGGCTTACACTCGCGATGGATCTGAGTAGCCAGCTCACGGGTAGGCGTCATGATGATTGCGATCGGTCCTTCACCGATCTCAAGGGGTCTCTGATCCTTGATATGGCGGAACATGGGCAGCAAAAAGGCAATTGTCTTTCCAGAACCAGTCTTTGCTACACCAATCACATCTCGACCGTTCATAATGGCCGGTACAGCTTGGGCCTGGATTGAGGTAGGCTTGTCGAATTTGAGTTTTCTGATGACTTCTAGACAACCTGCCGGCAATCCACAGTGGGTCCACTTCAGGACAGGTTTGGGACAGTTTACACCACGGATCTTGATACCGTCAAGCTCGATACGAAGCATGTCGACCTGATCGGATGTCATTTCTTTCAACTCTGGGGGCTCAATGTAAAAGTTTTTGCGGAATGGTTCGTATTCCATCTGTGAATGGTCTACGGGAGCCAGATCCTTCCGCTTGACCTTTTTAGCAGCCAATCTAGATGTGTGTGTGTGTGTAGATTGATTAATAAGATGTATATAAAGCCACAGCCTACATTCAATACCAGTAGCCCTAATTGAACTTACGCAAGAATGTCTTCTGGATCACTTCCCATGTCTTCTTCTGCCGCAGCAGAAGGTTCGAAATCAGCTTCATCTTCTTCATTAGTCCGTTTGTTTTCAGACTTTCCGATCTCCTGCAATCTCTTTTTGTCTTCTTCATTAATCTTGCGTGCCTCTGCCGTGACGTCCATCATGTATGCCTCGAGAGGATCGACTTCTTCGGCTCCACCCATGGCCACGTCCTTGTCTAGAGACTGCTTGGGTTTCTTGACATCAATAACCATCGGCTTGGGTTCCTGAACCGCCTTTTTCATCATCATGTTCTTTCCTAGACCGAGGCCGATACGCATCGTGTTCTTTGGCTTCGGGGCTGCGGCGGGTATTTTTGCGAGCATTGACGATTTCTGGTCTTGGGTAAAAGTACTAGGGTCGGAAAACACGCTGTTTTGGTTGCGAGGCTTTCCGGCCAAGAGATCCATGGTTGCTTCGTCGTGTTCATCCTGTCGATGAAGTGGTTTGAAGCTCCGTTCGGCAGCCTCGCGTTCCTCTTCTATAGCAGGATTTTCCATAAGTTCGTCTTCGTCTTCGTCTTCATCTTCGAGGTTCCAGCCCTTGTTGGAATCATCCGCATTGGAATCGTCACTTTCACCTTCGGCTGCACCTGCCGCCATCATCTCTATGTCTTCTTGTTGATCTTCTCCATCTCCACCTATTGCCAATCCTCCTCCTCCTCCTGCTGCTGCGGCTGCGGCTGCGGCTGCCATTTGACCTTCTTGCTTTTCTTTCTGCTGACGTTCCTTTTTTAATTTAGCGTTTGCCTGTCGTTGTTTTCTCAAGAGTTCCATTTCTTGTTCTCTCTGTTGCTGCTGTTCCTTTTCTATCTCTTCTTGCTTCTCTCGTTCTTCTTTTGCTTCCTTGTCAAGGAGTTCCTGCTGGCGGTCGAGCTCGGCCTGGATTTCTTTTCGTTCTTGATCGGCTGCATCGTCTTTGATTTTCTGCAGTGCCTGTTCTTCGGCTGCCTTTGCCTGCTGTTCGGCTTTTTTGAGGGCTTCTTTTTGTTTCCATTGTTCGATACGTTCTCGTCGCTTACGAGCCAATTCTTCTTTGTCGACTTGTGGTTTAGTTTCCTGTGCTGGACTTGCAGTTGTCTTATTGTTTGTTATTTATATTGTTTGTTATATATATATATATATATATATATAAAAGATACCAAACAAAGAAACAAACAAAAAAAAATGAATGAATAATTGATGATATTCGGTGATTTTTGTGGTCATATTCGTATATCGTATATCGTATTCGTGCGTTTCGTAGATATGGTTGATATGGTTGTATTCGTATATATGAGCGTAAATATTATACATAATGATAAAAGAAAGAAGATATTTGGTAAATAATGTATGGGTAATTTGTCTTGTATATGTGTACTTTTGTTGTTTTTTTTATTGTCTCATAAATATATAATATATAATATAGATAGATAGATGCATTAAACATTTGTACACATTACAAGATTACTTCTTTTCTTTTTCTTTTTTAGTTTAGTTTTGTGTGTGTGTGTGTGTGTGTTGGAACTTACGGATGATGTAGATTGAGTGTGGGAGGATTCAGACGCACGAGATTCTCTGGTTGTCGTCTCACGCGATTTCCCTATGGCAGGATGACCACCGCCAGCTGCTGTCTCAGACTTTGCTGTCGTGCCGTCTTTTCTCGTAGAGTCACCATTCTGCACTGGGGTAGACGTAGACTGACTGCGAGAGTCAGAGGTACTTACATTGTCGCGATGGCGAGATGACGTTCGGTGAGAATCACGATGGGAAGGTCGGTCATCGTAGCGAGACGATCGTCCACTGCTGCTGCTGGTGCTGTAACGAGTTGATGACGATCGATGACGATGGCGGTCGCTGCGATCACTGCGGTCTCTGCTTCGACTTCGAGAGGAAGGTCTGTTGTAGTGAGATTGCTTTTGTCTCTTTGAAGAAGGTGATGGAGAGCGGTGGCGACTGTTTGAACGATGAGACGCCATGAAAATGTATCTGTGTCTGTGTTGTGTGATGTGTATGTATGTATGGATGTGTTTATAATATTTTTTTATTTTTATTTTTTTATTTTTATTTATTTTTTGTTTTAATTTTTTATTTATTTATTTATTTATTTATTTATATTATCTTTTATTTTGTTTTCTAACGTTAATGTTAATATTGATATTAATATTAGTATTACTGATATAATATATATACAAATATATGTAAATGTAAATGTAAATGTATGTAAAAGAAATTAAATAAGGAGAAATATCTAACTGTATAAAGGAAGAAGTATATATATTATATATTTATTTAAATTTTTATTTTCTGTAGTGTAGTATAGTATAGCCTTTTGTCTCTCTCTGTCTGTCTGTCTGTCTGTCTGTCTGTCTGTGTGCGTACACATTTGTGTCTGATTTTTTTTTCGGATAGCTGACGTTTATGGTGATTGTGACTTGCTTATTCGAATTTCTAATAATTGGTTATGATTCCACAATTTTTAGGGGTACATCATTCATGAATATTCGCTAGCTATCAAAAAGATATCTTGGTCAATAAGATTCATTTACAATTGATGCTCTTTTTTTTTTGTTATTATTTTTGTACTTCTTTTTCAATTTTCACTTTTTTGAAAAGATGAAAAGTTCGTATCCAATCATATAATTCAAAAGCAAATTGACCCTTTTTTCGAATACCGACAAATATTCACGAATGATGACCCCTATTGAACAAGTTTCAAAATACCTGAAGGGCTGAAATTGAAAATATGTATATTATGTATATATCTAAATAAATTACATATAAAAAATAAAATGAAAGGGATGTATACAAAGAAGGGACTGAAATTTGGTTTTGAGTCATAAAGAGTTATACACTTGTGCTTTTGATATTTTCCTTTATACCTTTTCTAAACTGCTTTTATGAATATTTTTGGTTGTGGAATTATTGATACTTTAATTTGTTTCAATTTGTTTCAAAATCACTTTTTTTTTATTTTTTTATCTTTGGTATCACTAGTTGTACTGTTACTACTACTACTACTACTACTGCTGCTGCTGCTCCTGCTGCTATTACTATTGATGAATTATTTGTTTGGCTATTTTAGCTAACAGGTTTTACTTCTTTATTTGTATAAAGAGAGATGAGCGCGTGGTAGTTTTCTTTGGTTTGAATACAAGAACCAACCAAAAAAGGGATCTTGATGTTCTTTCCTGTCAGATACATTAAAAAACAACGTTCATTTTCAACGGGGCTGTAGACTAGTTGACAACACATCAAGAGTAATAAAAAATAAAAATAAAAGTAGATCCTCCTGTTTAGATATAAAAGATAATGAAAAACTAGCCAAGGGTTTTCTGGGCTCCATTTTGATAGACAATTGACTGTATACTAAATATTCCATACTACAATCACACCCACATACACGGACAAATATGTGTATAGCAATAAGTAAAGGTTTCAACTGTCTTGGTATCTTGACCTTTGTATGTATTTTTATTTTTATTTAATTTGGTGCAAAATTAGAGAGAGAGAGAGCAAGAAATAAAGAGTGTCTTTTTTTTTTTGAACAAAAAAGCTTGATTGAGAATGTACTTGGCCCCTCTCTTTTAAACTACCCCTTTCTTCTGAACCCATCTACCTTGTTCTTCATTTGCATTCTTTAAATTGGAGCATATGTACATACTTATCATATATAAATAAATAATTAATCAGATACTCGTTTATTTGGTCTCTTTGTTCTCTCTTCTTTATATATATTTTTCTCTTCTTTTCTTTTTCTCTTCTTCTTCTTCTTTTTTGCGATTTTGATACAATTTTTTCTTTCGATTGACCAACCGCAATAGTTTAATACAAGGTTAGAAAGGTACAAATACATATATGTAAATTTAAAGAACAAGGAAATTTCATGATCATATTTCTTATTTTATTTTATTTTATTTTTGTATTCATGTTCTGTCGATCTTATTAGCACACACGCATATATTTATATTTATATTACTGTTTCAAATTAGATCTTTGCGCTTTTTTTTTTAACAAAACAAAAAAAGATATATATATTTGATATGGACCTCCCTGCTCATATTGCTGTAGCCACACAATTTCATCCGCCTGTTTGTTCTGTAACAATCAATTCATCGTCTAATATACCTACAATTAAGGTTCCAATGAAAGACACACACGATCTATGGTAAGAACATAGCCATGTATTGAATATCTTTTTTGGCAGAGAAGATTATAAGAAGAATAAGAGCAGGGTCTATAGAAACAATAAGGATCAATATTAGTAAATAAGCAGTAACAGTAATGGTAGTAATAATGATATTAAGGAGTCCTTTCTTTCTTTTTTCTATTCTATTAATTTTCTTATGTTCCAATGCTTTCTTTACCAAACCACTATTATTATTATTACTATATACCTTGTTCATTGCAACCAATTTACATTATAATTACAATCATATAAACTCACTCCCCTGACTTTCCTCTCCTCTATAATTCTCCCTTATTCCACCCCTCGTGTCTCACACATGTCTTTTGTACACTTTTATATACGCAACTATATTGAAATTCAACAAATTATTTCTGTTTCTGTTTATATATAGATATTTGTGTGTTTATTTTATTGACATCTTTTGTGAATTTGTCTCTTTCTCTTTTATTTATTTATATTTATATTTATATATATGAAATATACATAAAAATCATTCAAAAAATAACCCAAATTGTGTTAAACTCTCTGTCTTTCTTGTAATCACAAATAATCAAAATAATAATCAAAATAATAATAATAATAATAATAATAATAATAATATGCTTTCCTATCAACCACGATTATCAATCCACAATAGTGAAAAATCCGACTCAGGTATTAAAAGTATAGTTATAATGATTTGTACTTATTTAACAACAAACAGTTGGTAGACGATTATTACGAAATTTCTCATCTATAAAGTCCAGACCATCTTCAACAATGTTGGGTGAGATATGATAAAAATTATACCGATAATACAAAAGAAACAGATATTCAGATTTTTTTTTTATATATCATTTAGATAATTCAATACAGTATCATAACCAAGACAACTCAGATCATGACAATAGCACATCATTTCCTGCCCTTTCTCGAGAACACAGTATAAGGAGCATCAAAAGTACAAACGAGAGCATTCGACAATTCTTTTCTATCAGACGAACAGACCACGACAAATCAGCATCTATCAAATCAACCAAATCCCGAGCCATCAAAGACTTCTTTAGTCTCACTCCATCAATCAGCAAAGAATCCACCAGATCTAAACATACCCCACTTCATTCCCAATTATTCACAAAAGCAGACGATTTACAATCCCCAAATGAAGAGGTAAATAAATAGAAATATTAAATAATACAATTCAATCCAATTCAATCCAATCCAATATATATATAATTGTATTTGTAGTCTCCTTCCATATTCTTTCCACCTACCTTGGAAGTAGTGTCTCGGAAAGGCTTGGACTGCCCAACTAAAACCACTAGCAACCGTACATCTGTCCAGACCCTCGTGTCTCCATTCTCGAGAAAGACACATGTACGGATGTCTGATGAAGACGCGAGCCACTACAAGGTCTTGCTTTTCGATAGTTCTGATGTCGACCAAGCTGATCTCAACTCAGCTTCAAACGACCAAGACACCCCTTCCAGACGCCATCCTTCCACCCTCTTGGCACCTCCTATCTTATTAACTGACCACGACCACGACAACGACCACGACAACGACCACGACAACGACCACGATAATAACCGTGACCGTGACCGTGATCTTGAACACAGTACTGAACATGATACTGTTGATTCACAACCAACCCACGACTGGATTCGCTATGGTCCTCCAGATAAAAATCTATTGTCTATCAAACCAAATCCCAAGGAATCCTTATCCTTATCCTTATCTTTATCTTCATCGTCATCGTCATCAACATCGTCATCATTACTATCCTTGTCTTCGTCTTCGAGTACTGGATACACCAAGAGATCTTCACTTGGTCCGTTTCCTATTCGAATGTCACGTAGCAGCAGTAACCTGAACATGCATGCAATGTATATCGACAACAACAGGAATAAGAATGATAATGATAATGATAATGATAATGATAATGATAATAATACTTCTACTGGTGGTACTCTTGAAGAACCACGCAGCCCCTCTCCCTTACTTTCCATTCACACCGAACACGCCGAACCTACCTTTGTCCGTACCACTGGCCACAGATGTGATTATTATCCACATGGGACCATGCTTCAACCACCCAGCACAGGCATAAAGCATTATCGTTCAGAAAGTGATCTAGGTCGACTCAGGAGTCGTCTGTTTGACCCTTGTCCCAATCCATCCGAACCTCTCAAACACCCAAAACCAGATCGAGGCTTGTCTTCAATATTAAAACCACTCTGGGCACACACAACCAATGAAGCAATCAACCAGGAGTCTGATATTTTACAATCCTCTCGACCTGATAAAGACTATCTATTGACAAAACCAACCGATCAAAGGTGAATATAGCTATAATTATTATTGTTTAATAGAACTCCTTTAAAAAAATATTAATTTATATATATATATATATATCTTTTTGCTACGCTTAATGTATACATTATTTACTATTATCTACTACACAAACGTAAAATAATAATAACAATAAATTAATTGATTAATTGATTAAATTAAATTATTGACTGAATTACTAACTAACTGACCGTCTATCTAACTGGGTTACTAATTATGTCTGTCTATGCGTTTACTTTTTTGTGTATGCGTAAATACTCTATCTAGTGTCAAGAGAAACCAGTCTTCTTTTACACTTAAACAGTCCATGGAAGATCATGTAAGTTGTGATCTCTCTACAAATAATATACGTGTATTTTATAAAGGATAAGTCTTATAATTATAATTATATAAAAGCACATGTATATTAATAGTCGTCGTCTTCCTTTCGTTCTTATATCTTTATCATCTTTCTTTTGTTTTGTAAATACACACGCACAGTCTAGAATGGAACATGTAATAGGTAAGAAATACACTTATAGTTTGCATACGATCGTTTAGTTTCTAACACTTGTTATTTACTGCTTTATCAATTAAAAAAAATATTATAAATAAATACAAAGATGGTCGTGCGTGTAAAAAGACACACAGAGAAGGAAATACGCTTTGTATATCTGAAAATGGAAAGGACGTCTTGGTAATGGAAATGGTCAACGGAAAACTTCAAGTTGTGGCTGGAACAAACGAGAAGCTGTTTATCAAGCTAGCAGACGAAGCCAGTCAAGGTAATAATACTAATGCAAATTCTATTCAAAAAGTACAATTTGGGTTGAATTGTACTATCATTATCATTATTATTATTATTATTATACTTGTAATAGTTATAATTGATTTGGTAAATGGGGTATTGACATTGTGGTTTGTGAGATAGATTTGGATTATGTAGACACATATTTAATGAACCACGCTTGTTTCACAACATCGGCTGAATTACTGGAAAATCTAATTGCTAGATTTCACATTGAAGCACTTGCAGGAGAAACAGAATACTTTGACAAATGGCAACGATGCATTCAATTAAAGTAAATCATTATATGCAAGACATGTATCAGTGTTTAATAATCTTTATCTATGTATATTTTAATTCGTAGAGTTCTAAATGTTGTCTCTCGCTGGATAAAGATACAATACCAAGACTTCAATAATAGCAGACAACTCTTGCGTAGACTGGAATCATTTGTGAACAATAGCATCAAGCAAGCTGGATTCTCTGCTGAAGCAAAAACATTGAGAGAAGCCCTGGATATAGAGGTTCGACAGATAAAAATATAGATAAATAGATAGATCTCCACACAGAATTATTATTATTATTGTTATCATTATAATCATTTACATATTTTAATCCTTTTCTTATTTCTATTATTAAATAGATGGCCAAGTGTACTCGTAGTAGGCACTCGCTTGTTGCCCTGACTTCTTATTCATTGGTTGGTTCAGGACAGACAACGCCACCTTCAACCCCTTGCTTGTCATCCTTTTCGATCGCATCACATCACCAATCACATTCTCAGTCCCGCAGACCATCGCTTGCACCAAGTTTATTATCCTTTGTGTCCAGTGTAACCCCACCAGACTCACCCATTTCTTCAAGCCAGCAACTCCAATCACAGTCACAGTCACAGTCATACAACGCTCCACCACTTTTACTACTCTACGAAGCAAAAGAAATCGCAAAATATCTGACACTGGCTGATTTCTACACCTTCAAGTGTATCACGGCCCACGATTACCTGAACGGACAATGGAAGAACCAGAGTGCTGAACACAAAGGACCTCGAAATTACATTGGTACAATGACACGACGAGCAAATATGGTAATTTTATTATTATTATTATTATTATTATTATTATTTATTTTATTTTATTTTTAAAAAAAAATAAAAAAGAGGTTGAAAAGCAAAGTGGTTTATGTGTATACATGTGGATATCTTACCACTACACCAAAACATACACATGCATATAGAGATATAGATCTAATCTCCTAAAAATTCTGTCTAGTTGACTCACTGGGTGGCTCATGAATTGTGTGTCTTAAAAACTCCAAAGCAGCGCAAGACAGGACTGAGAAAGATGATTGAAATAGCAAAGGTATATTATTTATTTATTTATTTATTTATTCGTGTGTTGTTTATGTTAATTTATTACCTGATGGCGGGCAGCTCTGTTTAGAATGGAACAATTTCCACACCAGCATGATTCTCACCATGGGACTCACCAGCCGGGCTGTTCAGAAACTCGACGATTGGCAGGCCTTACCAAGTCGAGACACCCATGTGTTTCATGGACTTCAGAAATACCTCGATGTGAGCAGCAACATGGCTACCTATCGTCAGGCCTTTAATAAGGTCAAGTCACCTGCGATCCCATTCCTGCCTCTTGTTCTCAAGGATCTTACGTTCTTTCTGGATGGAAATCCAACCCACACACCACCACCACCACCACCACAGCCATCACAGCAAGTAGTAGTAATGCAGTCAGAAACAATGACAACATGTTCTTCAGAAAACCTTATTAATTTTGCAAAGTTCCAATCGCTGGCTCGATTTATGAACCGGCTCTTATCTCACACCAGTGAAAATTACTCGTTTGCGGGTGAACTTGAGCACTTTCCATTCTTTTTTGGTATTAAGTTTTATGACGAAGAAAAACATGCGCTGGATGGTGTGGCTGAGGTAGTAGAACAGCGCATTGAAGGTGTTGCGGACTGTTATCATGACTCTCAATGTGTACCCTGCTGTATAGATAAAATAAAATGAAATGAAATCAAACAATATACATACTTCTTTAATTATATATTTTCCATTGTGTAGTAGACTTTATTACCTATTATCTATAATTCTTAAAACGAAAAAGAAAAAATAATAATCTAATACTCCTTATTATTATTATTATTCTCATTCCCATTTAATTCGTTCATTCTTTCTTCTTATTCTTCTTTAATCACACACTTCTTGGCTTCAATCGGACTTGTCACGGGATTTGTTCCTGTACCTGGATTTTTGTCGCTAATGTTGTTGTTGTTATTGTTGCCATTAGTATTATAATTGTCTATTTATCTTTTGTTTCTCTACTTCTCTCTATGTGTTTGTGTGTATTTGGATAATTACTTGTGGATTCATGAAGTCTAAAAAGAAAATCCTCTTTCCCTCGTCTCCAATATATATATATATATATATATTGTGGTGCTTTTGAAACAAAACTAATAGTCGAGTGCTTTTTTCAATCGACCACAAAGTCGCGAATCCAACCAGGCGGTTTCAATACGTGTGTAGTGTATACATATATAAAAGTTGTATGAATACACTTTGTAAAAGAATAAAATAAGAAATAGCAATAATAAATAGTACCCCGAATCGTTGTCTTTATTTTATTATTATTATTATTCTAAATGAAACTTTCAACACAACTTCCAAAAGAAAGATGATGTAGTTGAATATATTGAACCATTTCATCAGGATTCTACATCACCTTTCTTCTTTATCATCATCATCATCATCTTGCTTTTTTTTTAAAGAAAAAAAAACTATTTCTTTAGCTAAATATATACGATAAAACTAATAGCAATAAAGGGGGGGAGTTATAGACACAAGAGACCTATTGTATTATTGTTTCTTCTACAAAACGTATAAACCAGAATATAGATTATAAACACATGATGATAAAGATGTTAAAAGAGTAAAAAAAGAAAAAGAAAAGAAAAGGAATCTAAATGTGAATATGAAAGAATATACTTTATTTATTTGAACAAAGCTTACAAGTTGATGAAGTCGCGTTTTATGAGTGTAAGAAAAGGGAGAAAGAAGCTATCAAATTAGCTATATGTATGTATACTTATGTATGCTGGTGTATAAGTGTGTGTGTGTGTGTATGTGTGTATATGTGTATACAAGAAAAAAAAAAGGGCAGTGGTGACGGCGACAGTGTTGGTGACGGTGGCTGTTGCTTTGATAGTGGACGGCAGCGGTGGCGGGGGGGGGGGTAGGTCTACGAAAAAAAAAAAAAAAAAGGGTGAGCAAGGCTGAAGAAGAGCGTCACGATAGATATGTGACTGTACAATATCTTTACAGGTATAAATAATAGACCTGGTGTAATGGTCTTCCGTTTCTTTTTTTTTTCTCTTTGCTTTACGCAGCGCTACTTTAAATCCCTTTCTTTTTTTATATATATATTATATTTGTATCTCTATTTTCAGGGTGCAAGAAGAAAAAAGAAAAAAAGAAAAAAGGTTTCCCTCTCTTCTTCCTTCTTCTTTCTTTTTATTTTATTTTATATTATATTTTATATACTGTATATATACTGTATATATATATATATATTTTATTTTATTTTATATTATAATTTAATTTAATTTTATTATATTTATATTTATATATATATATCCAACCAAGAATCCTTCTTTTATACACTTCTTTAACCTCTTTGTACTTCTTTAACGTGAACTTAGTCACAAAAAAAAACAAACGCCTAGCTTGTATTTTGCCTGTTTTCATTTTCGTTGTTACTTCTTTATCTTAAATTCCTCCTCTTTTTTTCTTTTTTACTATACTCTTATAACCTTGTATACACTCTTACACTTTAACACCCTTATACTCTTTTATATATATATATACACTTGTATTTTATTTCTCATACCGTGAACCAAAATTAAGGCGGTCACCTGAAAAAAAAAGAACCGGTCAACTTTTCTCTCTCTCTCTCTTTTAGATATATACATATTATATATATATATATATATATATATACATATCAATCAGGACACAACCTACAAAAAGGAATTCACTTTTATATATATATTTACATTATTTATAATAATAATAATAATATATGTATATATGTATGTATGTATATTCCTTGTAAAATATACATCACCCAATCAATCAATCAATCAAAGCAATACAAATCAAATCAAAGCAAACCCAAGGTAGATTACAAAGCAAGAAAAGGAAAAGAAAATATATTTGTGTGTGTGTGTGTGGGGGGCATATATTTACAGAGAAAAAGGTTAAAGAAATATAGAGATTAATTTGTTGATTTGATAGATTGATCTTGCACTACAATGTCAACTGAAGATATTGACAAATCTTATCCTGTAAGCCAAATACAAAGAGATTTAATATTTATACATGAGCAATAGTATATATCTAGATATTTTATGTGTGCGTGTGCGTGTATCGATTAGAATACTAGTGATTGAAATATAAAATGATATTAACCATTTTACTATTCAACTTCTTCTTGATCACAAATAGGATGCCTGCGCTGTGTGCGAAGGTGATCGGTCAACCAAAAAGAACCCTATCCTGTACTGCGACGGAAAAGGTAGGCCATCAATACATACCCTTTTTTTTTGAAAGACAAAATAACTAATGGTTCATATTCTATTGATTTCAAGGATGTAATCTACCTGTTCACAAACGTAAGTCTTTTCTACATCTCTTCTTTTCTTTTTTTTTTTAAAAAAAAGAACAAGATAACCAAGTATGCATTCTATTGCATTGTATTCTATAGTATGCTATAATGTAGACAAGGTACCATTGGGTGAATGGTTATGTCAGCAGTGCGAAGCTATAAAGAAGAAGCGTCCAACTGTAAGAAAAACAAGAAGCTTTCTTTTCTTTTTTACCTCTTTAAATCAACTTCCCACACACTATAGTATAGATCTCTTTAGTGTATTCTAAATAAAAAAAAAGGAGAAACTAATAGTCATAAAATCTACCTCTGCCTTCCCTTCCTTTTGTAGCATGTTGTTTGCTGTCCTGTTCAAACCGGTGCGCTGAGACACACAATATTGTCTGGTGAATTTATGCATGTTCTCTGTGCTATGTGGAACAAATCAGTCGACCATAAGTCAGAACCCTATATAATCGACAAGCCCAGTATCAATTCAGATGTAAGAAACAAAGCTACATTCCCCCCCTCCCAAAGAAAACAAGATAAACTAAATAAATGAGCTCTAGGAATGTGTCATATGCTCTAAAAAGCAGGGCATATGTGTCAAGTGTGAAAGCGCATCTTGTTCAAGGTAAATATTAACCTTATATATCAAGTTAATCAAACTTTCTGTATACTAACCAACAAATCCCTTTCTTTAATACAATAACAGACGCTTCCATGTTACATGTGCAATGAACCAAGGTCTTATCAAGGCTGCTCCAAATGTACCGGATTCCTTTGTACTACACTGCTCACATCATCGCTCCGAGAGTGCGGTCAAGCTGCGCCATTATGCACCAGGCAGTGGCAGAGGCAAATTATTAAAACGGCCTGTAGTTGATGTCTCGAGTGACGAAGAGGAAGAAGAAGAAGAAGATGATGATGATGATGATGGTCTGGATGACGTAGAAGAAGAAAGGGATGAAGATGAAGCAAAAGATGATGATGACGACGACGACAATAAGGGTGATGATGATCATGACAGTGGTGCTGAATCTGAGGAAATAGTGACACCAAAGATCCGAAGAAACAGTCCGAACATACGAGCAAAATCAAAATCAAAACCAAAACCAAAATCAAAGCCAAAACCAAAACAACTAGCCGGAGGAGCAGCAGGGGGATCAACCCGAAGAACCAAGAATGAAAAGAAATCCTACCAATTGTTGAGCGAACAAAGTAGTTCAGAAGATGAATTGGATACACGCAAAAAAAAGTTTCCCCGGATTCAATCTAGTGATTCAGAAGATGATATGGGCACAGCAGGCGGTAGTGGTGGCAGCAGCAGCAACAATAACAATAACAATAACAGCAATAGTAACAGTAAAAATCACAGCAACCACAACAGCATCAGTGGAGGCATAGGAAACGGGAACAGCACCGGTGGTGGTATTGGAGGACTTGGTGGCAATGGCAGTGGAGCAGGTAATAATGATAGTTATAATAATAATAATACTAGTAGTAATTGGGTGGTTGTGGTGGGGGTGCTAGTGGTAATAGTACATATCTATATATAAAACTATCTGACCAACACGCAAGTGATTTAGATGACATGGGAACTCGGAAGCTGTCTCGGCCGTTGGTACATCATCCATCTCGGCAAATTCATGCGCGCGACAATAATGGCAGCAGTAGTGGGAGTGGAAATGACACTCTTGGTACAAAGCAGTATGGCCTCACTCTTAGAGAGCGCCTTGATGCCAAGCGAAAGAAGACCGTGAGTGATACTGCAGCAGCTACAGCCATGGCCACGGCTACTACTACGGCCACAGGCACAGCCACAGCTTTATCCAACACAAGCAATATGAACAGCAACAGCAACAGCAACAATATCTTTGGTGACAGTAATATTAATAGTACTAGTAATAACAACAACCATAATAATCATAATTATCAACAAAATCAAAATCAAAATCAAAAACAACAGCAACAGCAAATTCCTCCTACTCCTCATCATCTTCATCTTCATCATCATCAAAAGGGTGGTCCAAGCACTTCAGCTGGTCTGACAATCGAGCGACCGAAATCGGCAGGTTCGAATCCTGTGGCGCCATCCCAGCCCCCAAAGCTTAAGCAAAAGTTACCCAACAGAACCCATTTGGGCATCAAAGAAAAATCGCCGACAATTCCTACAATGCCCTCCCAACCTATCATTCTCAACAACACCAACAACAACAATTCTGCTGTTGGCCCTGGGTTTAATAAGAGAATGAGCCTTAGCAGTGTACCAACCACACCATTTATGAAGGATATGGAAGACGTAAGTACTTTTTTTTTTTTTTTAAAAAAAAAAGACATTATTAATCATAATACTTCTTTAGATCCGAGCATCTTCAGGACCCAAGTGGAGTACTTCGGGACCAATGACCCCATTGACTCATTCGATGCATTATCCATCACCTGCTACACCACAGATACCAGGAGCAATATCATTGGCATCAACGTTAGGACAACCACAAGCTCTGTCTGGAGCTATAAACAAGCCTACTCCACCTCTTGATTTCACAAATCAACAGTTTCCTCAGAGACCTCTACCATTTGCAACACCGCGGTACGAAGAAGATACAGGACCATTGCCTATGACAAAGTAAGAATGAAAGCCAAAAAAAAAATTATTCATTTGGAATCTTTAAACGGAGATTAATACGGAGCGTAAATATTGAAATGAACCTTTTGCTTTTACTTGCTTTTTTTTTTTTAATTTTTTAATTTATTTTTTTTGAATAATAGTAATGTCCGGGAAACTGATATTTCATCTATTCAAAATGAGCCTCAACAAAATCAATATGCTTCAGTACAATTAATGCAATCAGTGCAACCAGTGCAACCTACACAGCAACAACAGCAAAAGCAACAGCAAAAGCAACAGCAACAGCAGGAATATCCTGCTTTTATTCAGGATATTATCCGCTTAAAAGAGGAAAACGATCGGCTTAGATCGTTTAAGCAGGATGTGTCAGACGTTTTTTGTGCTCTCAATTTTGATCTGGGTGGAATAGAACCCAAGCCAAGTAATATTGAAGAGATTGTGAGTGGGTTGAAGAGAATGCTCTTGCGTAACAAGCCAGTGAGCGATGGAGAAAAAGAAAAATTTATAAAGATTGCTGATTCCATTGTAGAATAATAATATTCCACAAAAAAAAAAACCAGATACACAAACACTTGATTTTTACTCTCTTTATTTCATTCATTTATTCATTCATTCATTCATTCATTCATTCATTCATTCATTCAATTAATCCGATTCGAACAACATATATACATATCTATATATCTATATATCTTTACCTTTTATCTCTCTGTTTTTTTTTCTACAATCGTACTGTTATATACATGCGCGCTCGAACACTTACTTACATAGTTACATATACAGGTATATATGTATTGTATAGACTTTAAAATTAAAAATAATAATAATAATGATGATGATATGTAAAAGAAGAAGAAGAAGAAAAGACCTTATGTACTGTATAATATTATATACAAGTTTATATGTGAATTTCATTAGGGGTAAGGCTATATTTATTTTTAGGAAAGTGATCAGTTTAAAATGACTTTAAAATATAAATACTTTTTATATAATTTTCAAAAAGAAAGAATGATTTAGAACAAATGACTTTATTGGTTAGATATGATTAGATGAATAGAATAAATGGATAATGATTTAGTTTATATTTTATTTTTCAATAATAATAATAATAATGTGATAATTGTAATTGTAATTGTAATGGTAATGGTAGTGGTAGTGGTAGTGGTAATGGCAGTGGTAATGGCAGTGGTAATAAAAATAATAAATAATAATAAAAAAATACTTCTTTACATGGTGTAAAAAGAATAGGAGAAGAAAGAAAGAAAGAATGAATGAATGAAAATATTGGCTGTATAATTTGCCCTTTTCTTCTTCTTCTTCTTCTTCTTCTTCTTTTGGGTTGGTTGGAACAATGTACAAGGTGATAAAAGAGGGGAATAATAATAATAATAATAATAATATGAAGAAAAGGAAACAAGGGATATCTTGTTTTTGTGTGTGTGTGTGTTGTGTAATATAGTAATTAATATGGCAAGATTTCCTTTTGCTTTTAAACATGTGCAGACATTGGGACAAGATAATCGCTGAGATAGATATTCTGATTTGTGTTGGAGTCTTGTTCTTCAGCAAGAACCTTGTGTCGAACATGGTTTGTAGAGAGATCTGTAAAGAAGAGCGGCCCGGCACAGATTGATGTGTCGACCTTTAGCTTTGGTCGTAATTGTCTTCTTGGAGAGCTAGTAAAACTGTCTACACTGCCGACTGAGGAGAGTGAGCCGGTAGAGCTGGCACTGTCTTCCTCAGAATCACAGTAGATATCTTCTGCTGCTGGAATGGCTAGTGATAGCTTTGGTTTCTGGACTGGACGGTGTTGGGTAGGAGAGAGTACGGATGGGTTGAGTTTGTAGAGTACGGGAAAGGGCAAGATTCCTCCGCGATCATAATCAGTAGCCGAATAAGTGTAGACGATATCCAACTGCATGTCAAACTGGACAGACTTTTGAGAAGGTTTCGTTGAGGGAGAAGGCTGATTATCAATACAGAGGGACATATTATTCCTTGTTGTTGTTGTTGTTGTTGTATCGAATTGAATGGAATTGAATTGGACTTTACACAAAATCTATTACAGAAATATGTGTGTTTGTATTTAATGTACAAGGCAAAAAAAAGTATATAGAAAAAAAGGAAGAAGGAGGAAAAGAGGAAGAACAAGAAGAAATGAAATCAGCCAGCCAGGCAAGCAATAAAAAAAAACCAAAAAAAAAAAAAAAAAGAAAACAACAAAAAAAATATTACAAAAATAAATATTATATATTTATATTTTCATGTATATTTATAGATAATATAAAATAAAATAAAATAAAATAAAAATACAGGCACAATAATGTACGACATACTTATATCTGTACAACACAAAACTTTAATCAGATATTTATTTATATATTTATTTATATATATATATTTTAAATCTATTACTATAGCAATTAATTAATTAATAGATAGATAGATAAATAAATAAATAAATAAAATAGGTTTTATATATATATATATATATAGACGGTATGAAAAAATATATCTTTATATTAATAGGATCTTTGTACACAAATAGCAATGGCTTTTTTTTTTAAAAAAATAAATAAAAATAAAGTAAAGTAAAAAAAAGAATATTTATATTATATATTTATACATGTAAGAAAAAAGTCACGCTCATATAAAGCTTGAAAATAAATGAAGTAATCTACGGTTAATATTTCATCCAGGTTGGTGATACATTAAATATATATGTATTAAAGAAAGTTTTTTTTTTTTTTTTTTACAAGATGATATTGTCAAACATGTCATCGATTCCACTCTCAGCATAATCTTTGTCTGTCAAAACTAATCCGATCTTCTTCTTCATCAATTCCTCGTCGTGAGGCTGTAGAACTAGATCAGTACATGCTCTGGCCACGACTCTCTTTAGACTCTTTGCCTTGTCAGCCAATCCGAGTAATCCGGTCTCATTGATCATCAAACACCGGTCAATAAACAGCGTCTCCAGACTCTTGCATTGTCCAAGAGCAACCAGCCCATCGTTCGTAATCGGCGTCGAGGATATCTTTAGTGTAGTCAGATTCGGCCAGCTCTGTCCAATTAACCGCATCATGTCGTCGTCCACATAATACGCAAAGTGCATATTGACGTGGCGAACCTGCGGTAAGTTCCGCACCACGCCAATCATATCACTTGCTGTAAACTTGCATCGCTCGAGATCTAATACCTCCACCGGAGGGTGCAATGCAGCAACTCGCTGGAGGGCAGGCCCTATTGATTTCTTCCAGCGATTGTTAGCCGATTGCAATTCAATATATTGTACATGGCGTGCATTGTCTTTGGTAAGGTGCCGTGCAAAGGAGATAAAACCGTGTATTGTAGAAAACATTGGCGATGAGTAGAGATATGGTGCGGCTAGACAATAAAACGCTCTCGAAACACGACACAGTCTTGCAAGTTCGTCCTGATCATCCTGTAGAAATCCAACGATGGTCTGAAGAATCTCCAAAGGAAAAGTCATGGCCAGTAGTAGTAATAATAGTAGTAATAGTAGTAGTATTAGGTGGCTTGTTCAGTTATAATAATATTTTATTATATTTTATTTTATTTTAGTTCTTTTTTTGGATAGGATGTGCGGGGTAAGTAAGTAAATATTGTATCTCTATATTATATATATATATTGTGTAATGTGTATAGTGTGTATAGTAATAATATAGAGGGCGAAAAATAAATAAGCAGGCAGGCAGGCAGGCAAGAGGTAGGTAAATAGTTAGAGAGAAAGGGAGAAAGGGAGAAAAAGAGAGAAAATATGAATACAGAAAGAGAGCTAACACTGTAGTAAATGGCAGACATTATAACTACGGTCACGGAGTTATATGGTCTTCTCCAGCATACGAGCCAAATTATCCCAAGTAGATTGGCTTTTCAATCCAAATATAGAAGTATAAATCCAGAAAGCAGTCATTTTTTCCAAAATGTAAAAAGCAAAGATTACTACTAAACTGTCCTGTAAAAGTTACATTTTATAAATTCTACAGATATAAGATAATGCGTAAAGGCGGTTATATTATTGAAAGAATTGAAAGAATTGAAATAAGGTCTTTAGTAGACTGCATCTGATGTTGAAAGTATCTCTAAAATAACGGCAAATCTTCTTTGGGACATTTGGATTTTATTTAGCAAGCCCTTTTGAGGCCAGCGAATGTTCAGAGCCAAATTACGTTTTTAGAACAAAGTGAAAATTATATCATAAAACCTACTACATAAAGTAATTTAATAGCTAAATTTGCAATTATTCACTTTTTTCCATTCTTAAATAATTTGGCCCGTGTGCTGGAGAAGACCATAATTAAATTAAATTGACTTCTTTAGCTTCCGTTAACTTTCATATACATTAACAGCTTAAATAAATAAATATTAACTGTTTAATTTATTTTATTTTTTTTTCCTTTTTTAACTATGTTAACCAATAAATATCAATCAAATAAGCAAATAAATGGGGAGGTTTAGTTTTGGTTTTCTTGGTTTGTAGAGTTGAATGTCAAGCTTATCAGCTAATATATAAAAAATACAAAAACAAAAAAAAAACTTGTTATTATTATTATCATAATAGTTATAAATAAGTAGTTTCTGTACACAAAGGACTGGGTATATAGGAAGGGGCATGTAAAATAGATGTATATGTTGAAAAAGCATGTATTTTATATATATTTGTGACCATTTGGAATGGTATGATCAATCAATATGAATAGGTTATATATACAGGATATGAAACCACTTTTTGCGTGTGTGTATATGCATAGTAGATAGATATTATAATAATTACAGGCTGTTACCCTATAGAAAAAAAATAGGCGATTTTAGTGAATTGTTGCAAGTTTTCCGGGGTTTAAAGTGTCTTGTACTTGAGTTTTAATTAAGCACCAATTTCTCTCTCGCTCTCTTTTATATTCTACTTATTTTTTTACCCCACCATGTTTTTTGCAGTTAAAGCAAAACATCTTTTTCTTAGCTTTTTCAACCCATTACAAAACTAAACACCAAGTTATTCAAATCTAATGGCTTACCAGCGGTAGCTTGGGTGGGTCCTAAGCGGTAACCAGGACGGAATTTTTTCATCTTCTTTGAATTCTAGTCAGTCTTTGTCTCAAACGACGACCCTCCTGGAGATCTTCTTCTGCTTGTCTTCTGATACGTCCAATCCGAATGACGCGGGTGAACCTTACAGGTATAGTCCCATTATATCTCAGATTGTTAAGTATATGTCGGAAGTTCAGGACAGCAGCAAGGTCCCGATTCCACAAACGATGCATAACTTCTGACCTGTCCATGTTCTCCAAACAATTTAGATTGGTACATCCAAAAGGACTTGTTTCTATTTTTTTTCACAAGGTCTAAAATTATTAAAAGTCTCTAAACGGAACACACTTAATAACTATGAAGGCTAGTATTAATAAAATACGAATCAGCAAAGTTGACAAAAGAAAGCAATCTGAGAAGAATTGACAGAAAAATATATGCATCAAGTACAATTTGGTTGTCAAGATTGCTCGCATGCTCATTAGAAATCTCGGTAGATTTAGAGAATTGCAAGGAATCTGTCTTCTTGTTTTTCAAAAGTAGGAATCAGACATGACAATGTTAACACAAAGCAGGTTTATACTCTTTGATAAAAATAATCAATTAAGCAATATACATACCTTCATCAATATCATAGTACTTAGAGAATAGCCTTTTTTTTTAGATAAAAAATGTAAAAAGTATTACATAGAAATAGATATATGTATATTATTCAGTAACTTTATAGCTTAAACTGTTACTAAATATCATAAAAAATAGTACTTCTTCTTTCCATACTTCTTTATATTCAACTTGTATTATTTTGATCAATAAAAACTATAAAATTCCAATATAAAACCGTGTATTTGTTGAACCAATTATAAGAATAGATATCTAAAAAAAAAAAGGTATGGATTTGCCATATTTAAAATATTTGATTGGATTATATGCAAAAATGATCTGAAATCCAACGAATTGTACTATCCAAATTTGTTATAAAAAGAGAAATATGTACCTAAAAATGGTATAATTTTGCTACTTTAAACGATTTTATTGGATTAGATAAAAAGTAATTTTAACTCCCATAAATAGTATTCGCTGTAAATACTTTTAATTTACTAAAAGCCAAGATTCTATTGGCAAACATTATAATTCCTACTGTCGCGGAGTTATAATATCTGCCATTTACTACAGTGGTTAGTATAATTTCTACTATTAGAATGTTAAAGTTGTAATATAGTCTCACGGTTAATGAGCAAACATTTAGAGAGAAACTAGGCAGAAAACTTAAATATCTAATAAAAGCATGCAAAACTAATAAAAAAAACAAAAAAACACCTTTTATAAATTTGGATTTACTCGGCGTACTAATTAAATGTAAATACAGACTAACATTTAAAATCCAGACTTAACTTTATAAAATTACATTCAATTTATCAAAAAGAATTCTATTATTCTACATCTTTTTCTTTTCTTACAAAAGAATGCTAGTAATTTAGCATTAATTTACACATGTAATTAATGCTTTAGATAAAGTAGAGCTATTAATTAAATTCACTAACAATAATAAGAATTATAACAAAAAAAGCAAAGAAAAACAAAGAAAAGGACATGGACAGAATTGATTCAAGCCAGCAACTAGATAAGATCAGGATAAAATAATAACCTACATGAATCATTTCCTACACATCCTGTACAGCCATTTTCTCTCTACCTTTTGTTTTGTTTTCATAAAAAAAGCAAGAACTTAAGATATACCTGTAAGTTCAAGTTTTGATAGCTAATTAAAGTATAATTTCTACTGTTATTAATACTGTTTGGAATAAACCAAGAAACTATAAAAAAATATAAAATATAAAGCATACAAAATTTCCACTGCGCTTATTTTGAATAAATTCCAAGGTGCACAATATCAAATGATACATCAATTTCTATTTATCTGATAGGTTACCTTTCTCTCTCTTTTGAACTCTGTATACATTCTTCTTATATACAGATATATCTATTGATTGTGTTCTAACCTTAAAATCTATTCTTTTCCTTTTCTTCTCTTTTTATTGCTTTAAATGTTTTCTTTTGGTGCCTTACCCCAGAAAAAAAAAAGAATGTATAGAGACACACAAACACAAAGAAAAAACATAAAAATAATAATAACAAAAGCATGAATGAATGACGTGAAGCTTCCCTTTTTTTTTTTACTTTTCAATTAATTTTTACTGCTTTTAATAACTTTTGTCGATTTGAAAACAAATAAAACAAAATTAGAATTTGAAACAAAACAAAGAGAGCTTGTTGAAATATATGAAATATGAGCAGCTCTCTAGGCATATTGGTAATGCTATTATTCAAATTCACTTACATCACACACACACACACATATATATATATATATATATATACATGTGTGTGTATGCATACATGTGCACAACCTTGTAGGTTTTTAACATCAAAAAAATCCTACCTTTCAAACAAAATAGCAACACAATTTAGTCGGCGAATAAACTAATTAATACTCCTAAATAAACTTGGCTTTTGAAAGTGAAAAATAAAACCGCATACACATACATACTGTTCAAAAAGTAAATTTGAAAGTATTAAAATAAAGCAGGGTTTTCTGCAAGAGTATACATCTTTAACAAATCAATGGATCAATCAGTAGAAGATCCCAATTAAAAGTGCCTTTGACTCTTTATATGCTATATATCCATACGAATTTTGCTTGGGAGAATCACATGTATTGAGTTTTTTTTTGTTTTTATTAAAGTTTTAATTTTTTTTTGTTTTTTATTTTTGGCTTGAGTGAGTGACTGATCCCTCCCCTTTCCTTCCCTTTCCCCTTATCTCCCTTGATATCAGATTGATCTTATTTGTAATGGTCCTTTTGTTAGACAGTTTGATTGACGTACAATAGATAAAGCTCTCTGTTTCAACTCTAGATCTTCTATAGAGTTAGACTATATATCTGTATTGTTTTACAAAAAAAAAGCAAGAAATATATACAAATGTTTAGATAACTCTACCTGATAGAGTGAATTCAATGTACCTTGTTTGATTTATTATTGATTGATATTATAGTTTTCTTATTTTATTTTATTTTATTTAAAAAGAAAATAATAATAGTAGCAAGAGAGAATGGAATGTATACGTTACATAAAAATTTTCATTTTATACAAAGCCTCCCTCATTTTTTTTGCTGAAAAAAAGGTGGCCTTCATGTCTTTTCATATAGATATGTATATGATTTTATATATCTTTTTTGGTTTTTGTTTTTTTTTGGTTTACTTCTTAAGATCACCAATGATAGCATAAGGAGCGTACTTTTGCACAACATCGGCCTTGTGCATCATGTTGAACTCCTCGGTGGCATCACGTCCGGCATAGATCATTATGGCCTTCTTGCCTCCAGGGTGATCGGCCAAAAAGTCTGTCACGTTCAAAACCTGACCGTTTACAACTACCCAGCAGTCTTCGGCTGTGCTATGCTTGGCAACGTCCTCAAGGGTATAGCCTTCAACCTTCTTGGGCTCACCCTTGGTCTCGGCAGCCTTTTCTGCAACAGGTGCCGGTGGTTGTGCTTGAGAAGTGCTTGAGGGTGCTGCAATCTGAGAACCCTGCTGACCACCAGCAACACCGGCGGCTCCGGGCCATGCAATATCGAGCAAGATGCGGTTGGGCTGGCTCTGGTTTACTGTGAGGTTGATTCCAAGTCCACCAGCTCCGAGGTGACCGGCAATGGCACCAAGACGCTGTTGGGCTACCTGGCCAGAGTTGACCAGCTGGGAGAAGAGGTAACGGGATGCGGTCTGGCCAGCAACACGTCCAAAGACAACGCAACCAAGTAGAGATGAACCACCGAGACGGTTGGCACCATGGACACCGCCGCACATTTCACCGGCAGCAAAGAGACCAGGCACAGAGCCACCCTGAGTACTCTTGATCTCAGCAGTAGGAGTGATTTCAACACCACCCTAAGAAAGAAAGAAAGAAAATAAATAAATAAATAAATAAAAATTTTCTCATCTTCATTTTCATTCAGACCTACCATGGTGTAATGAAGTACAGGCTGCATGTGGGCAACATAAAAGTAATCGGACATCTTGATAGGAACGTTTTGGAAGAAACGCTTGCCCCAGGGATCCTTGTTCTTGCCAGCAGCAATAGCATTGTAAGTCTCAAAGGTCTCTTCAAGCTTGGCAGGGGTGATGCCCATGTTCTTGGCCAAGGCAGCACCGTTCTCAAACTTCTCCATCAGACCACGGCCGGCGTAGTGGCGACAATGCCATTCGATTTCCTTGGACGCAGCGGTGTTGAGCACAAGGCGGATAGGGAACTTGTTCTTCCACATCTCGCCTGTCACGTAGTCACGGTGGCCAAGCTCGTCGCAGAAACGATCGCCATCAGCATTGAGCAAGAGACCACCACAGCCACGAAGAGCCTCGGCAGCCAAGAACTTGACCTTGGCATCAGGTTCCTTGGGGTCTACGAGACCAGTGGGGTGGACCTGGACCTTTTCGAGATCAATGGTGTTGCCACCAGCCAAGGCAGCCATCTTGATACCATCACCAGTGCAGTGATCACCGTTAGTGGTAGACCTGACAATTGAAAAAAAGAAGGGTCAGGATCTAATACACGTACACGTACACGCAAACACAAACACATGTAGATGTACAGACACAGACACACATGTACACATGTACACAAACACACAAAGAACATTATATAAATATATATATATATATATCTACATACATGTCCTCATGTAATGGGTATATGAATGTATGTATAGATGTATAGATGTATAGATGAACGTTAAATAAAGTTTACTTACAGATCAAACAGTTCAGGACGATATTGACGGAGAAGAGAATCCTCTCCAAAGTCAGCAGCATAACCACCAGTAGCAAGAATGACTGGTCCATACTCCTTGTAAACAGTACCATCGGCGCCCTTGCCGACAAGGACGTACTCGACACCAATGACAGAGTTCTTCTCGTCACGGATGAGCTTCTCGACCTTTGCGCGCTTGATGATCTTTGCACGATCGGGGGACTTCTCGGCAAGTTCTTCAAAGCCTTCCATAAGGGCGTAGGTGATGGTCATACCAGGGAACTGTTCCTTGCCACGATGAGTGCGGGGAAATGTGTGACCACCAAGACGCGATACAAGCGAAAGGTCCAATTCGAACTTGTCCTGGAGCCATTCGACAGCTGAGCTGGACCGGCCGGTGAGAACCTCGATAAGGTCAGGGCGAGCAAGATCGCGAGCAGACTTGAGAGTATCCTGGTAGAACTGCTCAACAGAGTCCTTGATTTCATGGGAAATCTGGGTACGTGTCAAGGCACCGTTGATACCTGACGTAGCCTTGGTGGAGTTTCCACTATATATATTTATAGGAAATTATAGTGTATTCAATTGTAAGTGACACGAACAGTGGGTAAGACCGGGGATTGCATATAATATATATATATATTTTATATTTTATCTATTATCTATTTATATTAAAATAACCATACCCAAAGAAAGGGTTCTTGTCAAGCAACAAGACATTTCCACCTTGCTCTACGACAGTGTGTGCAGCTGCGAGACCGGAAAGACCTCCACCAACAACGATGATTTGGTTTTGAAGAGACATGATAAGAAGATTTTAGAGTGGGGAAATTTCTCTTTAAAAAAAATAATAAAGAAGAAGAAGAAGAAGAAAACCAAAAGACAAGGTAAAAAAAATTAAAGAAAAAGGACAATGTAAGAAGTTTTTACGGTTGCAAAAAAACATGCCTTATTTTATGCACTTCCAAAAAGACGCCTTTGGTGACGCAAAGTTAAAAAAAAAAAAAAAAAGTCAGGTGGTACTTTTTTCTGGGGAAATCTTCCCACTCATGTGTATCTCTCACACGGCCCACATGCCACAGTGGCTTTGGTCTGGGTGTCTATAAAAGACGCGTTTGATAGAAGCACAAGGACCATGCATTATAGACGTTTTTTTTAGGTGTTTCTGTGTATGTCTTTCTCTGTGCGTGTGCGTGTAGAGTCACAGTACATAATAGTAAAAAAAATAGAGAGAGAGAGAGAGAGAGAGCAATTGGATCTTGTTGATTTTCTTTTTTTTACAGATAGAATACAGGACAGGCAAATATAATATAAGATAATATATATGTATGTATGTGTGGGTGTAGGATTTGACCTAAGCTTAGAGAGCATAAAGAAGAAATAAAAATAGAGAGAGAGATGATTTGGTGGGATAGTGTGGAGTAAAGCAGAGTAGTGTGGAATGGAATAGAATGGGGATAAGATATATAAATATGGAAACTTAAGAAAAGAGCTTAGATACTATAGTATTGTTAATGGAGGTTATAGTGGGGACTGTAGAGGAGGGGTCAAGTTTAGCCATCCAGTCGATCATATCATTCTTAGATGTTGCTTGTAAGATATAGGCATTGTTTGTTGTGTAGAGGGCATATATATGACTGCGATGTACCACATTTTCCATGTCGCGACTGTTGCTGACACGAACCGAGGAAATATTGATAACACCCTGCTCGTCCGTTTCGGATTGGTTCGAATAGATGTAGATGTACGGCCTAAATTGTGTGTGTTTGTATTTGTATTTGTATTTGTATTCAAATTCTGTCACTTGCACAAGATCCATATAAGCTTACCTTCGCATCACAAACCAGCGTTTAACCCACTTGTTATTCAGGGGGTCTTCTTGATAGGTCATAAAGCCTTTCTTGGCAACCGTGTCACTTGTAGATAAATAAATAAATAAATGTATTTTAAATAAAATAGATGTAAAACTTACGTCTCTACCACTAGCTTGACTTCAGCAAGTAATTTGTATGAAACCTTGCACAAATCCTGTCTTTCCATGTCATGAAGACCTGGAACTGGTGGATCTTGACTAAGGACGATCTAAAATGATAATGATAATTGTAATTGTAATTGTAATGATAATGATAATGTAGTAGTAAAATAATAATAATAATAATAATAATAATAATAATAATAGGAATATAACATATTTATTTTATTTATTTTAATAAATCACAAAACGTACGATTCAATTTTATTTTTTATTTTAAAATAAAATAAAATAATAGTAAATATATATAAATATATATAAATATATATAGAGTATTAGTTGCTGCTGAGTCATAAGAAATACACACATCCCAATCCCCCCTCCCCCTCTTTTTTTTGTTACTTACTTCTTGATGGGTACCCATCTTATGTGTCCACAGGTCGAGAACCTTGTGCAATAGCTGGGCCTGTGCATCAGTAGGAACATCAGAACCGTCCTTCTGCTGGGACTGGCGTAAACCAGGTTCGCTTTCTTTTTTGGTCATCGAACCATGACTGGTCTGTGACCGCGCCGCGCGTAGAGTCAATACCTGAGACGTAAAAACATTGTCCTCCTTACGCCTAATACGTTCACAAATCTGTCGGTAATCATTGACAAGCGAGACTCCACGCGGCCTCCACGCCCCAAGACACTCATCACCCTTGATAGGACGAGCACCCGTATTCAACCGCCACAGCTGGCTAACACGTCGAGTCATTGGTGGCCGAAGATGAACTTGGAACATCCCACTGCATTTGGTGAGGTGCTTACTGGATCCCAGCAACTTTCGCAGCCGGGAGGCGCCAGTTGCATCCCGACCTTGTACCTGAACAGCAATGTCCATACTAAACTGGATTGGCTTGGAGCACTTTTCGGCCTCTACTTCCCACTTCAACTGCAGCAATATTCGACTATTAGTAGGTGTCAATCGATTTAGGAACGTACAGTCGTGCTGTGAACTGTCCCATGCACCTTGACTACATAGTTGGCTCGTGCCATCTGACTTGTATGACACCTTTTGCCTAACCGACAGTTTGATCTGTACATCTTCGTGAGCTGGCGAGGATATAATTCGACCCTTGTCATCCAGGCACCGCACACGCCCAATGGATGCCTTGGATATTCTATTCCATGCAAACTGTTTTCCGGAAGAATGGGACAGTGTGATGGATATGCGACGCTGGAGCCCTTGGCGAAGTCCAAAGGTACCCTTGTCAAGTGTGTTTTGAGAGACGACCTGGACTGGCATATAAGAACCATTGGGTGTCAATTCACACACCTGAACCCACGCAACAATATCATGTCGCTCAGATGCCAACAGCTCTTCTTCTGGTCTATTCGGCGCAGGGAAAGGATGCAAATTTGAATGCGAATGCGAATGTGAATTAAGATGAGGGTTAAGATGATGATTAGGAACTGTGAGAGTGTCTGAGGTAGGAAAGTGATTAGACCGAACAGAGAGCTGGTCTACGAGCGATGGTTGAACAGAAAGCTGTTTTACAGATTGGAGGTATTCGAGCGATGGCTTTTCTCGCTCATCATCCCATCGTTCGTGTTGAGAAAGCACTCGAGGCTGTGCTGTGCCGTAGATTTCAAAGGACACCATAGAGTGCATAAATAGATCGAGAACTCTTTCGGTCACCGTCATCGATATCTTCTGACTGTAGTCTAGCACAATCGAACCATTCTCAAACCCACTGGCAGGGTCTGTTGCAAACAGTTTTTCGGCACTTGAGTAGGCCGGAATACCTCCCAATGATGACAATCTGAATTGAACATGTACCTGCGAGAACTCGCTCTCACTCAGTCCACTGAGCTCCAACATCCGGATTTCAAACAATATGCGCTGATTGATTTGTATTTTGCTCTCACTGGCTTTGAGCGGGTTTTCTTCTTCTCTTTCTCTTTCTCCTCCCGCTTCTTTATCTAAATCCCGCTCCAATGCACTTAACTCTGCCATTGGGGAGATTAAGACTCGTAACTTTCCTTTGACTCTGCCTGTCGAACGACAGACGACTTCCACACAGCTCTCATAGGGTTGGTGAAGAGCTAGATTTCGCACAGACACAGAGGCACTGCCGATAAAGCAGTACTTGGGACATGGGTTTTCGTAAAAGATATCTTCCACATTCAGGTGCTTACAATAGTTGGGCTTATCAATAAACTTGTACAGCTCTTGCATCTTGTGCAATCTTTGCTTCAATCGGCCAAGTGACCAAAAGTACATGGTCTGGTGCTTACGATCAATTACCCGCACGCCAATGCATGGCTTTTGTGATGATGTGAGCGATTTGTCTTCATCTGTGTTGAATTCATTGAAGCCCGAGGTTGGCTCCCAGCTTGACACCGGGCTCGAGAACTGGCCTTCTTCGATGATTGCAAACTGATACGTCACACGTTTGTTCATCTCGCGAGCGTAGATATTGGCCTCCTTGAGCATCATGGCGTGTGTCAAGACACTTTCGGCCATGGTCACGTACCGCAGTTTCTTCCATCGTTCAAGAACGCCCTTTAATAAAGCTGTCTGCGCGTCTGTGTAGATTGGAATGATACCTGAAGGGTAGCGTAAGGACATTCGTTTGATTTCGGCCTCAAAGTGTTTTTTTTGTGAGCGCATCTCCTTTTCAAACTCGTCTTTCATTCTCTGCTTCTCCTCAATTTCGGTGTAATCGATCGGTGACTCGGTGTACACACTCTCACGTCGGTTGTCGATGACCACTGAAGCTGTTGCTACTGAACAAATTGCCGAGTCTTTCCCAGTCGAGGCGTCGTCATCGTCGTTGAGTAAGTCGGTCCTACTCTCGCACCGAATTTTGCGTATGTTGCGTGCACGGGCGATCTCGTCATAAAGCTTTTCCAACTCATCATCATTAACGCCCGTAAAGCTCATGTCGGGAGAGTAGTAGTTTTTCATGGCTTCCAGACGAGCATCGCTCCAATCCATCGGCTCAGATCCCATCAGGCTCGCACTATCGGTGGGTGAGCATGGTCGCTCGCCTTCATCATCGAGTAGTGTGCAAGGCGAGGACGTACCGCCAGCTCTATTCCGTTCATGGACAATCTTTTGCAGATCTCGCTCGCGCCGGACTTCTTCGGGATGGTTGAACCGAAAGATGTGAAACCCACCAAGAATGATGCGGTAACCGCTTTTTAGCCGTTTTGGCTCTTCAATGCGGAGTCCGTTGACCATGGTAACTGATTTCGGGTTCGGGTGAACGGTGACAGTCCCGTTGGTGTTTACAAACGTACAGTGATCGTCTTGAATATTGGAACCTGTGAGTCGTATGTCGCCTGGCGCCTTGCTCTCATTGCGCCCTACACGTGTTGTGCCTGGCTTGAGCTGATACATCAGACACTCAGACATCAAAGGATCTTCATTGAGGTTTACGAGATGAGGAACTTTCTTGGGTGCATACACACCCACCGTATTGCGATGGACAGCAATACCCAGTTCTTCTAGCGTGTTCTCGCGCTCCTTCTGGATTTCTTCTGTCTTTTTCAGCTTCTCCTCCCAGGTTTCGTTGAGATCGGCCAACAGCCTCTCGGAACTCTGGAGCTGATCAAGGATTTGTTTTTGGGTTACTTTTTTCGTTACTCCTTGACTGTCAACTATCTCAAACTCTTGAGTACTCAGAGACATCGATTCGACCAAGGCTGCAGGAACATTTGTGGTAGTTATGACGCTATTTGCTGTACTACTGTTGCTTCTAGTTCCATTTGGCTGTTTGAAGGCACTGGCGGCAGACAGCTGTTCGACTACATCAGGAGCATAAACCCTCAAACGAGTTCGCAAGTTCTCCAATTCGTCTTTAAGTTCTCGGATCATCTTTGCATTTGGATCTTCGTTAACAACAGCCTTGTTCTGAATCTTCTTTGCTTGGTCTGCGTATCGAAGCGTACTTAAGGTTTCATCATAATCTGCTGGGGCAATGGCTGCTATCATGGCTGTTTTTGAATTACCACCAAGTGAATCCTTGAGAAGCCAAGTGAGGACCTATTTTTTTATTTGAAAAAATTAAGACTTTGTTATACCAAAAAAGAAAGAAGAAAAGTGAATTGTAGCTATAAAGCAATACTTACAGAATCACGATATGGAATAAACACTTCTTTGAGCTTCTTCCCTTTTCTGGCATCGTTAATAGATTGCTCTGCCAATCCTGAGATAACTTTTCCGAGAGTAGTAAGAGAGCGATTGATGTTTGCACCTTCCTTGAGACGAGCACCGGTTGCACCCGTACTATTTGCGCGCTCACTTCCGGCAAGATCTACCAAACTGGGGGTAAAATTCATAAGAACGAAATTATTTATTTATTCATTTAAAAATATTAAAGAAGTAAATTGTTATTATCGTTATTCTAGTTCATTTATTACCTGATTCTTGCGACTTTCTCGTTTTCTTGACCACTAGTTTCATCGATTCGTTTTTGGGTCAAAAAGACAGTAAAGATTGCGTGTGATCTAGAGGAGGTTTCGTTCATATTGGTCGCAGCCACCGTTCTTGCCTTTACAAAAACAAATCAAAACAAAACAAAAAAGTTAGACATGTTTTTATATATATTTATGTATGTATATAAGAAAAAACTTTGGTGTCATCTTACCTTGTTACCTTCGTCCATAAGGTCATTGATGTTTTCAAAAGATGTGACAGCCAGGCGAGAGAGATCTTCGACATACGGTCCTGTGCTCGGATGTTCTCTGACCTTTAAGTTTCCTTTCATCTTTGGACTGAGAAGATCTCGAACTTTTTCGTTGTAGATTTCAATATATGACACTTCTGCGCGGTAAGTGACATCAGGATCTTTGTTATTCTGGATACGATTGAATAGCTCTAAGCAGGTACGTGGAATGATACCCTTGTCTTCTCCATATCCCATCTAGGTCAGAAAGTATGTATATATTAGCGTGTATATATATATATATATGTGTGTGTGTGTATGTGTGACTGAATTAGATTTACGTGAAAATTTCATTACCATGGAGTATGATTTTCCTGATCCTGTTTGACCATCTAAAATAAGCAGCTCGAATTCAATAACGAAATACATACAAAAGATCATAATAAAATCCAGCACTTTATCCTATCCTATTCTATTCTTGTTCTTTCTTTGCTCCTTCTGACTTTTCTTGTACATATTTTTTGTTTTGTTTTGTTTTAATATAACGTTCTGTCTTTTATTTATTTATTATATATATATATGCATGTCTGTCTATCCATTGATATGTAAGCTGCTCAAGCTTATCAGGCTCACTAAACTTACATGCAAAAATACAGCAATTGTAGCCACCAAATGCATGGTCTAGTAACTCTTCTCCTAGATCATTGTAGACCTTTTGCTGGTCGGCATAAGTCGGATCGGATTTGTCGGCTGACCAGTAAGACTTGTCAAACGTAAAGGCTTTTATATCCTCAGAGTCTTTTCCGGTACGTTGATCGCTCGGTCGACTGATGATCGTCTGATCGCCCTCCATGCGAATCAAGCCCTCAGCACCACGTGCGATTTCTACACAAAGTACATGAGTATTTCTTTTTTTTTTGTTTCTTTGATTTTTATTTGATTGGTGTCTTGATATATATATATGTGTGTGTGTGTGCGGGTGCGGGTGGGTGTTCCGGTTTACCTCTACTGTTAAGAGGACGACATCGCACGACTACTTTGATATTGCCTCCGCTCATGGCGCTGGATGTGAATGAAGTGTTTGTGAGAATTTGATGCGGAGAATCCATGTCATTCATTATCATTATTGTATACTTCAAATGTTACCTTTGGAATGATGGCGTCTGAGTAGGACGTTGCTACAGTTGTCTGTCGTAGGACTTATATATATATATATTTATATATAAATATATATATAAAAATATATTTATATGTATATGTATATAGGTATGTATATATGTATGCGTATATGTATATTGTATATCGAATGTATCTAGCTGGTGTTGGTTCGTTCTGTAGGGTTGAGGTTGTTGTGTCTTGGTGTAGGCTGAGCTGGATGTAGAGTATTTCAAGTTAAAGGTAGAAAAGGAGTGTCTTCTTGTCACACAAGTGTCTGCAAGAAATAAATAAATAAATAAAATAATGTAAAAAGAAGAGGAAAGAAAAGAAACGATTAAAGAAGAGGCAAAAGAGCAAACACCAAGTTAACTCTGAGTTGAAAAAATCCAAAATGACCAAAAAAGAAACTCCAGTTGAACACGCCCCTTTCTTTTACACACACACACACACACACACTTAAACACACTTAAACACGCTTACACATATACATGCTTGTAGATAATCCCTTTAGAATCTCATATGCCCGCTTGACACTACATATTACTATCCTCTTTATTTTCTCACTATAAAATGAAATAAAGGGTGCTTTCATTGATTTTATGTTCATAATGTGCTTTAGTTTTGGATGCGTCGCCCTGGGAGGGGTGATTTAGACCTACAGTGTGCTTTTGTAGGCCGCACCCTCGTCTAAAAAAAGGGTTTCTAACCAGTTATGTATCGGAACCAATAAGTTTTACGTTGATGATACTACCAAGATAAATTTAATATCAATACAAGTATCCTTACTCACTATTAATTCTTGGGAACTTAATCTACACAAATATAGCACTGGGTTTAATTACTCGACATAATTAAACCTACTTTTCCTTTCCTTTCTCTACTTCTTCCTCTTCTTCTTCCTCTTCCTCCTTTCAATTTTGGAACGAATGGATGAGTATATATGATTCCCTGTCAGCGCTTGTTTATTTATAGACTATACTATCTATGTGAATACAAGGTGCGTGTTCTTTATATTTTGTAGTATGTTGCAATATTATATGGTTTTAATACCAGGTGGTTTTCTCGTCTTGGAGAGGGACAGTGTATATCTAGACATGCAAAAAATGCTAGTATACATAAAACCAACGCCTAAATTCTGAACTCAATACTTGCTCGATCACAAATAACATACTCGCAGGGAAGAATTCCGCAACCTAAACCCTAAAATTACGGATCTTATATACACGCAGCAGGTCTGGGCATTTATATCAGTATTATTCTTTTGGCTTGAAAGCTTGTTTACAAGAGAGCCTTTCTTATCATCATGTTATTTAAAAATAATTGAATATCAAACTTCTTACTGTCATAAAGGCTGTTTTTCGAATCAATATTTTTAGAAATATAATTAAGTATCATTTTTTTTATTGGGGGATTTTTAGGTTATGAATGTGGTAATAATTCAGAATTAGATATCATTATATAAATATAGATATTTATCAAGTAGAATATGATTAAGAGACTTTAGTACACAGGTTCTCAAGAGTAATGATGACACTTCCAAAAAAAAATTAAAATCAATATAATTGTTCTTAGCATTGCTTTTGTCTCTGTAAAAACTAAAGTAGGCACTTAAGATTATATATACAGATAGATAGGTTTATTGGTAATATAAATGGTACCTATATTCTGTAAAGAGTACATTCGAAAGAATATAGTAAGTATCCCAGAAGTAGTAGTATATACGACGTCACCAACAGGTGAGCAACAAACGGTGAAAACTTCCCGAGATCAGTTGCTTTATCTGATTTGTTTGTTTAGAAAATTTGGATATTTATTTTAGCTTTGAGGAATTCGTTGTTTAAGTACACAATTAGCTTTAATAGGTAGACAGAGAATTAAAGCTGTCTTAAAACCTCAAACCTTACCCTCAAATCCAGCAATCTTACGGAGACGACGTTTCCCGGTGGGGCATGACGTTTCTATCTAACCGGACTAATCGACGTGACTACCTGTCCGGGGCCCGGTGTCTTTCTCTAATCCTTCAGGGCAAAATGGTGTGTCCTGAAATTCATACAATATATTCATTGTATGCCTTAGCTTCACTACTTTGTCCCCACACTTTGTGTTTATCTATATCTCCCCAGGAAACTAACTCTCATTCCTGTGAGAGTTACATTCGGTATTTTGGTAGCTTAATAATGGAATACTGTCGCATACGAAAAACAAATCCTGTATATTCAATTAATAGCCCTGAATTGAGACTTGACAATAAAGAAAAAACAATTAGTTACAAATATACTATATCAATAGCCAGCTGTGCAGAAGATCATAAGGAGTTGTTGTCATTAAAGAGTGCCGCGATCTTGCTTGATATTTTGCTATTTATTGGCCCTCTTACGCATATATATTACCAGAGGCTGAAAGCACCAGCTGGTAATTAATCTACACGCACCCTTTTTTGCAAAGCACAAAAGAAACTCTTTATGAATATTTTGTAATCTGGCTGATATTAATTATTATTGTGGTATACACACCACAATTGAGTGAAGAACAGACCCCACAACCAAACACTGGTTCCTTCTTGCTAATGAACCTGGCAAGTTAACAATCTCCGGAACTGTTACACACCAGGCACACGTACACTACACACTCATACAGTGCAAACCAACCATTACACAACAGGGATTCGAATTACAGGGATTCGAATAGTAGCAGATATAAACAATATTATTTTGTCTCTTTAATAAATAACACTCTCACAGTATCTACTTTTCCCATTATTGAGATACTAACCCATAAACAACCCCGAATACCTCAATTATAATACAAATAAATCCTTAGGGACCAGATAGAGTTATTAAATGCTGGCAAAAAGATCACGATTTGTGTTACAATAATAAAAATGTCGTCTCCCTAAAATTAGCGAAAGACAAGCTAAAAGGGTGTAAAGTTTCCTTGAGACATGTTCACTCGAGTGTAATAAATCAAAAGTCGATCACAATTTTTGTTATTTTTTTTCATTTTCTTGAAGCATTATCAAAACATTCTTTTCTCTGTAAACCTACCAGAGCCTCATAAACAAATAAACTAAAAACTCAAAATGACTCCACCACTCACTGGCACCGTAAACCCTAAAAAACGAAAGTGAGATGCATTCATGAGAGGCCGATTATAGATCAGTAGGAAAAGGAGACTACCCAGGAAGAAATCTCTAAAGCCTTTGAAATTTCTAGGAGTAATTTTAGAAATGGTGTAAGATTCTTCCGAGATAAAGGTGGTTCCAGGCCCTTGGCATGTCTAGGAAGGGAACCAAAGGTTACATAGAGAACCTAATCTGTCATGGTGCGCTCATTTCGTAGAGGGCTCTTCGTGTCAATTGGGGTCCAGCATCAGAGATTAGTAGCTGTGAGAATCTAAATTTTCTTGATCCAGTACTTTCTTCCCTGATATGAAAACCTGTCCAGAAATAATGTCAGGCATTTTTTATTCAAAGAGGATGGCCCACCATGCAATATCGTATAAGAAAGAGAGATGCCTTGTAGATAGCTTTGCCTTTTACCCTGCTCAGCGCCCGGATCTAAATTCTATTGAACATACTTGGGCTCACCTTACAAAGAAACTTTACAATAATAGAGAAAAATGAACGAACTTGGAAGAACCTGAAGCAGTGATCCACAAGACATGGTTGAAATAACATTTCAAATTCTGGAAAATTTGGTGAGCAGTATGCCAGATAAGACTTAAAGAAGTAATCACCAATTGTGATGACACAATTCACTACTATAGCTTCATACTCTTTCTCTTATATATATACTGAACTATGCTTTCTCGAAGTTTTGCTTTATTCTGAGCACATTATATTATCAACATTATTTAAAAGAAAATATCGTCCATAATAGAGAACCCGTTGGGATGTGATATTTTCAAAGACTGCTAAAAAAAAATTATTAGTGAAACCCAGTCAAAAAAAAAGAAAAACTCAACCACAGTTGATGAAAACATAAGTACTGTGACAAACATAAGAGAGATACATCTTAATAAACTTGACTTTCCAAGACTTTTTCTCTTAAGTAGATATATAGAGACGACTCTTGACTATATTATGTTTATGTTTGAAGGTGAAGAAACAAGCTCAATTCTTAATAAAAACTTGGTGAGGAAATGGCCTCCCTCAGTAACATTTTACATCTTTTCATTGGAATTTCAATCGCCGCGTAAAGCAAAAGTGAGTGAAAATTTAGAATTTTCACTCGACAACGGGTTCTCTAATATGCTTGAAAAATTATTTTGAAAATTGGGAAACCGGCCCATGACCTATTAAACTCGAGTGTATGTATCGATACTGCTCCCATCAGGCTTAAGTATTCATTTGGTTGGTTTTAATACAAAACAAAAAAAAATAGGTGTGCAAAAGTCTTGGGTGTAAAAAATAAAAAGAGAATTGTTGATCGATTATAGGATATTATATGAATAGAGTAACCGTATTTACACCATTGGCATGCAATATAAAGGAGCCGTAATTAGTTTCTTATTCTTTTTTCATAAGCTAAAAAATTATATATACATATATTAGCATCTTTATGATAATATCTATAGTTCAGAGGCAGTGATATAAAGAGCCTCGAAATATAATATCCAATAATCCAATATAGAATATTCTTGTTATTTTTATTGTAATAGGGTGTGTGTGCTTTCTTTTTGTTTTGCTAAACTAAGCTTATGCGTGTATGGTGTACAAGTAATATGATTCTAATGTTAATAATAATAAGTTTAACGCCGGAGTAAAGAGGGGTGTATTTAATGTAATAGATTGAGACATGCTACTCATATATCTATAGTAAATTTCAACAACCCTGAATTTTATCCTACTGTCGTAAATATATATATATATATACATTTATCTATACATATCACAAAAGAGAAGTCTAGAATATTTAGTGCTGAAGACACTAGTCTACTTTCCTAAATACTAGCACGTTCTTAGGCTATTATCTCTTTCAATATAGCATGGTATAAAATAATGTAGTATTGTTGATGATCATTTGAGTCCTTGAAGATTTGAGGGAACATTAAAAAAGAAGCTTGTGAGATCTATATCATATCAAATATTTATCAAAGCTCCAAATCTCGTGTAGTCTTAAATTGGTTTTCTAATTTGTTCATTTGGTCAATGTGTGTGTTTGTTTATATTGTATATTTGTATTTATATAAAAAAATGTGTATAAGTGAGTGTAAGTATGAGTGTGAGTGTGAGTGATGATAATTCAACACAAATGAAATATGCTATTTTTACAAGGTTTAAGCAGTCTCTTCTTCTGACTCATCCGAATGTCCACTAAAGTTAAATAGCGAACGGTCGTCAAACCAGGTCTTGATGACACCAGACTTGATATTTCTCATATCAAACAAGACACGTTTACGCCATGAAGCATCCTTCTCCTTTGGAGCCAAACTGTCAAATCTGTGGCTGTCAAAGTCTTCAAAGACGGAAGGTCCGTTCTCATTCACAAAATTGGTGATGTGATCTGACAATTGGTCACGCATCGTTCTAAGGTGAGCAGCAGCATCCGGGTTATTGATACTCATGATCAATGGTGACAAAGATCTATAGACAATAATAATACATGAAAAGAGAACAAATGAGTTTTTGTTGGAATTTTAACTTGAAATTCTAGCCTTTTGTGCGCAATCCTATTTTTAGAAGATTCTTCAAAGTTAACTTACTTATACATATCCAAACCGCTTTCCAACAGGCGTACACCAGCATACTGTAAGAAGGGCTGGATAAGCCAGAAAGCAATAGAAAATCCGATACTTGAAGCCAGAGTCTGGTTCGTCTTGTAGTAAAGGTATGCAAACAAAAGTAAAGAGTAGAAACCGTAAAGGGTTGGAGCAACCACAAGCACCACCAACACCTTCCAGGTTGCCAATACATCGCGTGCAGCAATCTTCACACTTGAGCCAGCAAGAGCCTCCTTTTGTTTCTTTGCGCTAATGATTGATGAAACTAATACGATTGGAGAATTGACCAAAAGACTAATATATACATGTGCGAATATTAATCAATAAACCTCCTTTTCTCTCTCTCTCTTTCTTTGGGTGTAAGATCATTTTCACCATTATCCAAACTTACGCTGGGAAACCAACCACAGACAACAAAAGTAACATAAGAATACGTTTTGTCAATAGACCAGCGGCCGAAATGGTTGGTGTAGAAGTACGTTCTACTTGGTGATCGCGCAAGCCAAAGTATTTAAGTGTGTTGTTGTAAGCCTTGACCTTGTCAGCAATTTCAACTAGACGGGGATCGTTTTCAAAATGCTTATATCCCAACAAGAAGCGACGATTAAGCTCAACCACTTGATCAATTCGTAGCTTGTGGTGAGCTACAGGCTTGTAAAGACGACGAGCTGCTGCAATGATCTATTGAGCACACACACACACATATATACAGTTAGACCGCTGTTGTTTAACCTTGTTTTGTTACTGTTACTGTTGTTTCTTTTTGTATATTCATCATTTTGCTCACCAAAAGAGTATCGTAGCTTGGGGCGTTGACGGTTACACTTTTAAGACCGTCATAGCCAGCTCCAATAAGAGTAGCAATTGCCTCTCGCTTGGCAAGTCCTCCTTGCTTGTATTTTTGTACTAATTCAGGATCAATAGTGATTGGAGCTCCGTAAGAAACAACAGCACGCGATCTGAAGCGATGAGGGTGGAAATAATTTAAGCCTAGATGATGACAATATATATATTTGTAAGTAATCAACTAGATAACGAAGTAACCAAATAAATAAATAAAAAATACTCACCAACTGGAACAATCTTAACATCCAGTCCCTCCTTCTCTGCCATGGCACCCAAGGCCATAATGGCAAAACCAGCTAAAAAATAATAATAATTAAATACCACACAAATATTATATATATATATATATATCAGTTTTTTTATTTAAAAAAAATTGCATCATTTACTGCTTTTTTCTTTTCTTTGTCTTACCTTTGATGGGAAGCATTTCGGAGCGGTCATGACTACCACCTTCGGGAAAAATTACAATACATTTTCCCTCCTCCAGGCGATCATGAACCTTTTCAAATAAAACACCTTGATCGATGTGAGGAATCACCTTGAATTGAGCACCCTTCTTAAGGATCTCGATGGCTTCCTCATTCAAAGGAGCCTTGAGTTTCAATTCAGTGTCCGAAACAACCTCTGAAACCTCTAGCTTGATGGTCTTGCTGATCGACAAGAGATCACGGAAGTGGACTTGCTGTGTAAAGCTGGTATTGGTACCAGTGATCCGTTGGGTTCCGTTGGCAGTCAATGTACCGTCACCCTTTACGGCTAAATCTTGAGGACGAATGACGGGAACTAAGAGATTAAAGTTATGGGTTAGGATAAGCTGGCTCTTATAGTTCTCGCAAACACAATTTACATTCGTTATATTCTTATTATTTTTGTTTTTATTTTATCTTTAAGAGGAAGAGAAGAATTATTTTTTTTTTGCTTTACTTACTTGCATGAAGTGCGCGTGCACCAGCACCAATGATCTTACGTTTGAATGACGACTTGGCCATAAGAGGTGCGAATTGGCGAGGGTTCGAAATGATCACCATGCCAGGATCGAGGAATCTATTGAGTACTTGGTTTAATAACTTTTGTTTCGTTGCTTGCTTTAAATCGTTTGGCTTACTGATTGGCATGAGGTGCGACAATGAAGATGCAGGGATCGTCTTTGGGTACTTGGTGAACACCGCTAACCTTGATTTCTCGGAAGAAAATGGTGGTAATGACTTTGAAGGCAGCCTTGACACCTTGATATGAGTCAAACTCCATTTTTTTTCGAAAGTATGAAAGAAATAAAAAAAACTGTTGTAAAGAAGAGCACACAAAAAAAACAGGAAAGTTAAAGATCTTAACAAAAGAAGCAAAGGTCCTATTTAAGGCTGATTGTTTTATCACTTTCACATGCTGTACAAGCGTGAAATGAAATGGCGACATGGCAGGTCCAAAAATGATAATTACGTGTGTAACATAGTTATATGACATGTTTGTCAATGCTATTTTTTGCTAATGAGCAGATCATTGGCTGGCTCCATACTTTTCTTTTGAAAAGTAATTTATTGAGAATTTCCTTTCTTTGAAGTGTTATTTAATTCAATAGTATATTTACCATTCCTCCCGTATTCTTTTTGTCATATTGTGGCTGTGTGCGTTTTTTTTATGTATATGCGATAACCAACAGGCATAGTGAAGAAATTGGGTATTTTCTGTTGCCACATAGATTGAATTTGACTCTCATCATGAATACAAAGTCCGAAAATTGACAAACTTCGTCATCCCACACGTTTTATTTTGCAGTGCTTTCATTCTCACATTTATCACCAATATTGCAACGTGGTATTTGTGTGAAAAATCTAGCAGTAATGCCAGAACAGACTTCAATTAAAGAATCCCGTGTCTTGTACCGTATAGTATCGAAAACACATCATGTACTGATTTATAGGCTTGCATCTCTTGTTTTATTGGGAGTTTCAAAAGGAAGTATACAATACACATATTGACCGCAGCTGGGCATATTATTATTCAATACCACATATTCTCCAATATAATGCCCAAAACCAAATAGCAATTGGAGTAAAAGCCAAGAATATATATGTCTAATATTAAGCCGTCAGCTCGTTTCCTTATACCTCGTTTATTTTTGTAGGCGTTACACTGGGAGTACACATCCTACATTTTCACAAGGTTTTATATGATCATTATCGTTTCTGGAATTATCATCTGAAGAAAATGTGCACTGACCAAGCAAAATGGTAAACTTCTTTTTTAAAGTAAGAAATAATCATTTCTTAAAATAACTTTACCCTCATTACTACCACTACCACTACCACTACTACCACTACTAGTAGCAATATTATTAATATGCATCTTCCGGCAAAATTCACGAGCAATACCTCGATCATCAGGCTAATAATCTGGTTCTTCTTCTTATTATATGTTTTATTCGATTAAAGGAAGAATGTCTATTTTCTAAAAAAAATTGATTCTATACTCCAGCTTTTTCTCCTTTTATCTTCCCACCTCAAAAAGGCTGATATTCATGTTTGGCTTCCGTATTACTTCCCCCCTAATGTCTGCTTTAATTGATAAAGCTGATTAGGCACAGCATGAATAGAGCTACATGCTACGAGTATGCTCGTTTTTCTATTTTAACTTTTAGTACCAAAATAATAAGCAAAACAAGGTTGATTTGTAAATATCATCAGGGTCAAGGATAAAGGACCTGTACATGTGGAATATTCACATCGAATGCTTACAAACCAAAACACAATCAGAAACACGGTTACATATTTACTACTTGGTATTCAAATGGATAAATAATTATTCAGGTGTCTTGTCATTCCATTTGTAACACGGACACAAATCTAAACATCCCATCCCAATCCGGATCTTATCCTGTACAGGAAACAGTCCTCATAACACCATTTGCACTAGCAAGTCATTAAGAGAAGCTTTTCGAATTCTGATGGCAGATTTACGGATCGGATCATTTATTCAGTGACCAAGGTGACCACATTAGAGTCTCGTACGTTGATTTAATGTACTCTAGCAGCTTCTTTCTTTTTCTTTTCTTTTTCTATACTGTAAAGAAGATGAAAGGTACAATTTGTAAACCAGTATTTATGGTGAAAAAGAAGAGTTGACTTTTCTTTCTTTCTTTTAAAGAAATGCTTTTGTTGAATTGCAGAAAGTCATCTGTTACTCTATAGATGAGTGTTTCAATTTCTCCGTTATCTTGTGCTATTTTTTTTTGTGTAGTAAGCATCTGCATAATACGTTTCACTCAGGATCACAATTAATACACCAAGTCAATCAGAAATATCAATTTTGCGCTATTATTCTTTTCTTGATCTTACATTGTCTCATATTATCATACGGAAAACACTCGAACCATTAAACACACATTGTTTCTGATAGCTGATGTGTCGCTTATTCATAATTTTCTTTACTCACACCAAGCATACTTTAACCGTGAGATTTACTGCCAAAACGTACAAACAAAACCTTGATTTATCACATCTTTTAAACAGTGTTATTGTTATTGTTATTATTCCTTATACAGTAAGTTTAAATCTATCATTTCAATTAAGATACCACCAAGGAGAAGAAATGCGTGTTTAAGGGTGTATTTTGCAAGAATATCCTACTAATATAGTCTTTTTTTCTTCTTTACCATAGTGTAGTGTATACAATTTATATTAATAAAACGAAATCTCATAGTAAAAATGACTCCCTATTACACCTTTACATGGGATCAAGACAAATACTTTGTTATTTATTTTATGAAAATCATCTTTTTATTTTCGTTCGGACAAAAAATGGTGGGCTGGGCTCTTTGTAGAATCAAGTTTTCTTTATTCCGGAAAACATCTCACATTGTAAAATTGACGCCATTTCTGTCTGCAATCACTTCGATTTCAATCTTGTCTATGTCGAAACACACCTTTTTTTTTATAATCAACTCTTCTTGATCCTTATATCTATCATAAGGTTTAAAGGTGATGTTGAAAATTGCAACTTGATCAACTTTTTTTTGAGAATAAGATACTTGTGGACTGGCTTATTGTTATCCTATACATGCAAAGTTGCTAAATTGTTTCTTTCTATTCACATAAACGCCTTTGAATAAAGTGTACATATACTTGGAAGTACCCCTTCTTTCATACATATAGCGTAATATTTTTTTTGTCTTTGTACTGTTTGTGTGGAGTTGTCAGTTCAAAAAGACCAAAACTTTAAGCAATATTATTGGATTAAAGCTTTTTTTTTTAAAAAAAAAAGGGGGGGGGGGGGGGGAGGATCAAAATATGTGATCTTGCAGAGCAAGGCTCAAACAACTTTCTTTAGCCGGTTCTCATTTTTTTTGTAATTGCATTGATGATGGGGTAGCTAAACTATGCAATATTATTAATACTATTAATAAATTATAGCACCTTAGAAGTGTTCTGCACAGTTGATTACACTTTTACTTATTTTCTTTAATATTATATAAATACAGTAATTCTGCCTTAGAAAACGTCTTCATTTAGGCATTACAACATGTGCCTTGAACAATGTCATTCAAACATTGTCCAAGTCTCATGAATACATGGTGCCGATGTATACATAGATTATTCATGACTCTCAAAATTGTAGCTTGGCTGGCGATGAATCTTTGGAAGAGCCCTGAATAAGCAAGGGCTTATTATGCAAGCTGTACGACATGGTAAAAAAAAATACGGCGCGCTGTACCAGTCTTTACTAAAGGCAACCAAGTCTGGGGAGCAAAAATACAGATATCATCCAGGAAAATGAAGAGCTATTGAGATTCAGAAATTTCATTGGGTTCCTTGATAAATGCTTTGTTCAAGCTTACAAAAAAGCACCATCGTAAAGCCTAGTTAACTCCTATGAATGCGTGTAAAATTACTGTGAAAACGGTCGGTATGGACAGAAAAAGAGTTAATTTGATTGGCTGAGCACATTTTGATCATACCTCTTTTTTTTAAAAAAAAAAGTATCTACACCAAGTAGCTCAAAAAGTGACAACAAAACTTACGACAAGTTTAAGACTACGTTTAATGTGGCCAGTAGTCGCCTTGTCCAGAAACCTGATTTTATCCGCTTTTCTGAGCTTGTAAACTATATAGATTTAAAAACCATCAGAGGCGGCTACAACAAAGTTTTTGCAGAGTTTGTATGAGAAAAAATGCTAGAGAAAGAATCAAAATCAAAATAAACCCAAAGACTCAACAAAGAGTTCGATGCCGAAATTGATCATTCTTCAACGGCAGCTGAAGAATATACAAGCGATACAGGCGGCAGATCTAGTAACACTTTTCCAGAGACGAAAGATGAAACAATTTGCATACAGAAAACACTTTATGAAGATGTGGGGAGCTCCTAATAGATACAATAAAAGTGACGATTTGAGAGTTCGTGAAAGGAAATGCATGTATGCTGGTCTCTCCGAAATCATGGATACTGCGAATAGCTCATACCATGGCCAGAAAAAAAAACTATGTAATACCGACTAATAGGTCTATAATAAAGCATTACAGCCAATTCAAAAAGGTGTTTTTAGACGTAAGCTTCATTCCAATCTGGATGTATTACGTAAAACGTGGGATTCCGTTTACGGAACGCTTTCGAAGGATCACTCGTATTTCAAAGCTCGTCAAGCCTTTAATTTTATATCAATCTAACCAAATATCGATGAGCATACCTTTAAGCAGTTGCAAATAATCGACTTTTTTTCTGGGCGCATTCGACAACAAGCAATTTATTATAAATATAAAAAGACATGACGAAAGTAACTGAAAAGGATTATGAATCACAAATCTGTATCCCTTTCTTCGCATGGCTTCTTAATATCAAAAACAATAATATAATATTCAAGGCCATAGAGTCAGTACCAGTAGAATCGACAAAAAAAAAGTCGGGCAGTATGGAACTGAGGAAAACAGAATTGGTTTTAAAGTTGACTTCAGACTAGTATTCAAACATAAAAAATTAGACATTGATTAAGTACTGTATTATTGCTGCAATTCTGCAAACAAAGCCAAAAAAACGACATGAAAAACCGAAGTTGCTGCGAGAAGCTATGCATCATGTCCTTAAAAGCCAAGGATATGTGTACACTTGGACAATTAATATATGTGGATTGAGTTCCACATTCTCATTAGTTATGTATGATGCTGTACGCATGATTTATATAAATGTTCATCAGTCCTACGGTATACGTACCTCAATGAGCAAAGTACTATCAGCATTAGGGGGCGATGCTTCCTGATGAAGCATTGCCTTATCTCGTGGGAGACTATGTTTTGATTGTACCGAAGGACTGGGTCTCATAGATGCAGTTGCTTAAAAATATCCTCTTCAATTTTGATGGCTCCTTCCTCTTCTTTTTCTTGCTCATGCTACTCTCTCTCTCTTTTCATATCCGTTGGCCGCGAACCCATATTTCTATGTACTCTTTGGCTTTCCCTTTCCTGGTACTTGATCCCACTTTCTTTTTCTTCTTTACCCGTCGCAAAAACTCATTTCCCTTCCCTTCTATATTATCTTTCCTTTTCTTTTGCTTCATGTTTATTCCTTCCTCTTAGCGGTATACGTCACTCTTTATCATCTAATACTTTTCTTTCTAACTTTCGCTTTCATCAATTGTTGATTCCTGATGCTTTCTACTGCAATCATTTACTTCTTTTCTTTTCCCGTCTGCCTCTATTTTCACAACCAACGTGTCCAATCCTCATCATCAGACTCTTCCGTATTATTGACACCCATACGCATATCATACGCCCCTTCTTTTCTGCTATATACCTTTCACCCTCAAGTCCTTCCGCTTCCCACGATGGTTCATATGGCACTTTCAATCCTATCCCCTCCTCCCAATCAAAATTCCCGCCAATCAGTCCCACGCATGTCACCTTTCCGATGAAAGTCCTTCTGATCTTTGATCTTGTCCACTTGCACCCGCAAAATGTGGGTTTGGACTATGAGATTGAACAGGTGGACTCCACAGTGTCGCAGCCGCCCATTCACAATCCTTTGTGCTTTTTATGCTCTCAACTTCCCTCGCTCCTCTCCTCATATTAAATATTAGCATGTTTTAAATGGCATGCTTGTCGCGGTTTGGGAAGCACACTGGCGAACAATATTTGATGATGTGCCTTTCGCCCCTGCCAATGTAAGTGCCTCTGTGAACACATAGCTACAATTTTTCTTTCAGCCCTCCCATCTCCTAGACAAATTCTTCAACTCTTGTGATCTTTCTACTTTCTACTTTCTCCTCTTTTATTTGTTCACTTTTTCTTCTTTTGTTTTTGCTTCCTTCCTCTCTGGGATTTTGTCTTTTCTTCTTCCTGATATTCTAAATTAGTTATTAATGAGACGCATTTCTTATCTCTTTTCAACTTTAATACGCCATTCCATAATATTATTTTGTCTCTTTAATAAATACACGGCTCTTTCGCATTTATCCCGCTTTGGTCGGGGAAGATAGTGTGAAGAGTTTGTCACTATGTCGCTGTCCCTTCTATGTCCCCACCCACCCTTTCGGTCACTACTTCTACCCATGTTCCCTTTCTCTCATTGCTAGGGAGCGAGTCATGGTAATGAGATTATGCTGATATCCTCATCATGAATCTTATTGTCGTTGCACGGGGCATGACAATGAGTTCCCAGTCTTTCCTTCCAGGACTCGGTCAGAACCTCTGCTTGTTCCTCCTCCTCCTCCTCTTGGTCACTCTTTGCTCTTTCTTCTCCCTCTCTGTTTCCGCTGTAACCCAGAATGTCTTCCCAACTTTTTCTCTGTCATTCTCTGCTTGGCTTTAGGTCACTCCCTCCCCGGTAGAGCCAAGAAGCCTTCAGATCTGTCCAACCTCTTTGCGAAGAGATGGCTACGGGATGTGCTTTCTTGTGTTCGTACCATTTTTTTACTTTATAAAATAAAAAACTCTCAAAAACATTATAAAGCAAATAAAATACAAATACAAGTCGCAACGCCCTCTTCTGCTTTATGGCAATAGAGGCTCACCAATTATTTGAGCAAAAGACTCCCCACAAAAAAACTCTTTAATAAACAACACTCACAGTATCCACTTTTCCATATATTCAGATATTAACCATAAAAAATCTCGAATACTTCATTGTAAACTCTTCTGATAGCTTTGGCCCCTTTATCGTTACATTTGATTATGAATTGTGATGAATTGAGCTGAATTACACCCCTTCATTGACTCTTTGGCAAGTTTGGGTTATGATCTGGAATATGGGAACCAAAGCCTAAACAGACGAGACATCTGATAATTATCTCTCTACAGGTGAATATTTCTATTTTCTTTAAAGAGGCTCTTTGCCTAGAGTATGCGGCAAATTGGGTCCTTTCGAACCACTTGCACTAATCTTTCTAGGTCATACAAGCCGCTTTCTTGGGTCTGAAGATTTTATTTTAACTATTCTCTTAATGATGTACTTGACATTAGACAGGCTCATGCCAACAGCCCATGAAATCTGAATTATTTTGACATCTGCTTAATGCATGTACACAATGCATTCATCTTAGTAGGAATCCTATTTCTCAAAAGGAACATGTGTGTTTTCTGATGATGTGTCTTGCATGTTGGATTAGATTATTAAAATGAGAAAGAAAACAATGCTCATGCTTTTATTTTTTGCGGGTGTCAAAACGCTTTAGATTGTGAGTCTTTAATCTTTTGACAGAGTAATTCAAAACTAGAGTTGACTTTAATAGATAGATTTCAAAAACGCGTATAATAATATTATATACTATTTCACTTCATTTGTTTAAATAAAGTATATGTAACTTTGATTTTATTAAGGTCTTTTATATATTGATAAAAAAAATTAAAAAAAAAACAATTAAAGTCGGTGAACACTCAAGCCTAGAGCTTTGCTGAGCGGGTTCAAGGTGGTACCTTGGCTTTACTTTATCTAAATATTCAAAAAAGTTAAGATTAGTATATTGTCAATGAATGTTTTTATTTATTTATTACATACCTGCTATAAATAAAAATATTGCTTATCTTGAGGTATGGTCAGCTCAAGATTCTCTCGCAAAAACGAGAGAGACCCGGTTGGAGATTATTATCACCTTAATAAGCCGCTAGGCAGATAGAGCCACTGGCTAGCACACAAAAGTGTAAGGTGTGTTCGCCACTACGTCCCACCAAGCGTTTAAGTCAGAAAACCCTCAGAGTTTCCCACGTTTTGTATAAGAGAAAAAAAGCAGCATCCGCCATCGACATTACAATCAGATTATGCAACAGGACCTCCTCCCCAACCGAGGTTGAGAAATTAAGGCCGCTTACAAATGCCACGTCATGCGCAGAAGACTTGAGATGACTACAATCTAACATCGAACACGCATGGCAGAAAACCCTCAGATCCCTACGAAATACGCGAGGCATAGACTGACAAGCTCTATACCGCATCGATAATTAAGCATAATTACCGGGACCACAGCTTATTATTGACTTGCATCTTTGTACAAGATAGAATGATAATATCTGATTTTACTGTATCAATTAAAATGGAGAAGATACAAACCGCGAGTAAAGAAGAAAATTAAAAAATCCCATTCACTCCCCCGTTTTAAAAGAAAAATTTTTTTTCTTCAAAGCCATCTGGGCGTAAAAGTAAAAGTCACGGCGCATAAAATAAACATCGGGTTCTGAACAAAAAATGCGCCCATATTCTTTTATCAGCATGTGATATATATAAGCCTCCCAAAGGATTTGTTTATTTATGAGTGAGAGATATTAAGCTGTCTATATGTAAAGACTAATATTTACGTAGCATACAACTTCTTCTTGCTAGAAATATACTTTCAAAAAACGTATATATATTTATTAAATCATGTAACTTGGAATTTCAATGTGGAATCCAAATAATTGGTTTATTTAACAACTCCATTTAAAACATCTCTACGACTCGAATATTTATGAAAATAAAATAAAAAAGAAATAAAAAGTTAAAATGTACTTTCAATTGCATTATTACAAGTAAACCGATCAATATACAATAGCTGTAATTGCTATTACGATTGACTCAATTATATAACGTATTACTTATAAGAGTCGTTTTGCAAAATAGTACTTCTTCACTGGTATTTGAGAGGCTTATATATATCACATGCTGATAAAAGAATATGGGCGCATTTTTTGTTCAGAACCCGATGTTTATTTTATGCGCCGTGACTTTTACTTTTACGCCCAGATGGCTTTGAAGAAAAAAAATTTTTCTTTTAAAACGGGGGAGTGAATGGGATTTTTTAATTTTCTTCTTTACTCGCGGTTTGTATCTTCTCCATTTTAATTGATACAGTAAAATCAGATATTATCATTCTATCTTGTACAAAGATGCAAGTCAATAATAAGCTGTGGTCCCGGTAATTATGCTTAATTATCGATGCGGTATAGAGCTTGTCAGTCTATGCCTCGCGTATTTCGTAGGGATCTGAGGGTTTTCTGCCATGCGTGTTCGATGTTAGATTGTAGTCATCTCAAGTCTTCTGCGCATGACGTGGCATTTGTAAGCGGCCTTAATTTCTCAACCTCGGTTGGGGAGGAGGTCCTGTTGCATAATCTGATTGTAATGTCGATGGCGGATGCTGCTTTTTTTCTCTTATACAAAACGTGGGAAACTCTGAGGGTTTTCTGACTTAAACGCTTGGTGGGACGTAGTGGCGAACACACCTTACACTTTTGTGTGCTAGCCAGTGGCTCTATCTGCCTAGCGGCTTATTAAGGTGATAATAATCTCCAACCGGGTCTCTCTCGTTTTTGCGAGAGAATCTTGAGCTGACCATACCTCAAGATAAGCAATATTTTTATTTATAGCAGGTATGTAATAAATAAATAAAAACATTCATTGACAATATACTAATCTTAACTTTTTTGAATATTTAGATAAAGTAAAGCCAAGGTACCACCTTGAACCCGCTCAGCAAAGCTCTAGGCTTGAGTGTTCACCGACTTTAATTGTTTTTTTTTTAATTTTTTTTATCAATATATAAAAGACCTTAATAAAATCAAAGTTACATATACTTTATTTAAACAAATGAAGTGAAATAGTATATAATATTATTATACGCGTTTTTGAAATCTATCTATTAAAGTCAACTCTAGTTTTTAATTACTCTGTCAAAAGATTAAAGACTCACAATCTAAATCGTTTTGACACTCGCAAAAAATAAAAGCATGAGCATTGTTTTCTTGCTCATTTTAATAATCTAATCCAACATGCAAGACACATCATCAGAAAACACACATGTTCCTTTTGAGAAATAGGATTCCTACTAAGACGAATGCATTGTGTACATGCATTAAGCAGATGTCAAAGTAATTCAGATTTCATGGGCTGTTGGCATGAGCCTGTCCAATGTCAAGCACATCATTGAGAATAGTTAAAATAAAATCTTCAGACCCAAGAAAGCGGCTTGTAGGACCTAGAAAGATTAGTGAGAAGACAGAAATATAATTTGTGCAAGTGGTTCGAAAGGACCCGATTTGCCGCATACTCTAGGCGAAGAGCCTCTTTAAAGTAAATAAAAATATTCATCTGTAGAGAGACAATTATCAGATATCTCGTCTGTTTAGGCTTTGGCTCACATATTCCAGATCATAAACCAACCTTGCCAAAGAGTCGATGAAGGGGTGTAATTCAGCTCAATTCATCACAATTCATAATCAAATGTAACGATAAAGGGGCCAAAGTTATCAGAAGAGTTGACAATGAAGTATTCGGGATTGTTTAGGAGTTAATATCTCAATATTGGTAAAAGTAAATACTATAAAGTGTTATTTATTTAAGACATAAAATAATATTGTTTTTATCTGTTACTGTTAAAATCCCTGTTGTGTAATGGTTGGTTTACACTGTATGAGTGTGTAGTGTACATGTGCCAGGTGTGTAACAGTTCCGGAGATTGTTAGCTTACCAGGTTCATTAGCAAGAAGGAACCAATGTTTAGTTGTGGAGTCTGTTCTTCACTCAATTGTGGTGTGTATACCACAGCTCTAAAAACGACTTTTAAACAGAGAATCCGCTATACATATAAATTGACTAAGCAAAGCTCTTTTGTATGCATAATAAAGCTGGTAGGGCATGTTACGATCCACAATTTAAAAGTTGTTTGGTACTAATTACTCAAATATTGATCAAAATGTCAATTTATTTCGCTCAAAAAATGACTTTTAAACAGAAAATCCACTATACATATAAATCCACTAAGCAAATTTTTTTTTGTATGTATAGGTAACTTGGTGGTGCATATTATGATCCACAATGTAAAAGTTATTTGGTATTAATTGCTCAAATATTGATCGAAATGTCAATGTTTTCTACTATAAAAACCGATTAATACGGATATTTAGGCTATTCCCGTTGGAAAATGCGTAACCTTAAAAGATGGATTTCACTGTGAACGGCACGTCCTGTAATCATTTAACACAGAGTGTTTTCAAAATAATCTAAATACTGTGAGAACCATTACTATGAGTCTGTATTTTGTGTGCCATTTTGCGGTTTTAGTATTATGGGCTATATCAAAGATTTGTATGGGATACTATAAAGTGAATAGAATATATGATTATTGTAGGGATATTTTGATGTACATACAGAGCGGACAGGAATATGGGGGTAAATGTAATTTGTGAATATATGAGTTGATATGTTTGAAATATATGTATTGTAACAAAGGGATACTTACAAAGAACTAACATTAAAGACATGTATTATTAGAGTAAATGTTCTAGATACTATTAAAGATGGGCTAAACTATATAAACAAAATGTTAGTGGTAATCGGAACATCAGAATAACAACCAATATATTTCGATTATATTGTCAAACACAATAGATAACCATATGAAAATTTGGGTATATGTGCAAGAGAAATGTTAGCAATAAAAGTAACACTAGGCCATACACTCATTCACACTAAGAATAAATACTGGCTGTATTGAGAAATAAAGCCACTATTATGTTTTTTATTTTTGTTTTTTATTTTGACATACAAGTTTTATGGACATGCTTTGACGAATGTTGAGTTGGAATCTTTTAATTGATGAATTGAGTGAAAAACGATAGTCTCATTTTGAATTAAAGGCACGATTCCATCTTTTTTTTCGAATCAGATGGGTGCTTAAAAGTCTTTGTGCGTGTGCAGTAATGTAGCTGTTCCGTTCGTGAATGAATTTTTTTTTCTTTTTTTTTCTCTTTCTTTTTTTGGGTGGAATTCATACAAGCCGCTAAAGGAGAATAACGTCACATGGAAACTCCTTGTATGCTTTAACTAAAAGGCCTAAATGCAAGCTAAAGGAATGAAAGAGAGAAAAAAGAAAAAGGGGAAGGGTCGAGTAAAAAAGAAACAGCGTGTGCCAGCTTTCCCAACGGTAGGTCAAAATACAAATCAAACACAATCTAAACATTTACATCCACAGGAAACCGTTCATGCCTTGTTCAAAAAGACCTGGGCAGGAAGAAATGTCAAAAGTATTTTAATCTGATTGACTTGAGAAATTATGAATGATTGACTCATTCATATATTAGTTCACAAAAATGCACTATTGCTCTCAGGCGAATTCCTGAAACTGTTCACAACAGGTAAAGAATAATAATAATACCACTTACATATATATATATATGAAAACAATATATATAAAAGTGGTATATTTTCTCGTTATTTTATTACCAAAGTGGTGAAGTGAATTGAGCAAAAAAAGATATGTGTATAAATGTATATACTCATATGGGCGTGGGTGTTTGTTATATGTAGAGGCTGTTCATAGGGCCTCTAGTCAAGTTAGAAGACCTGGAATTCCAGAAGAGGATTCTCGTCAGATCGATATCGAACATCTTGAAAGTATTCTTCCACAGCTAGTACTAGACTTTTGAGAAACGAGCCGTATATACTGGATACGATAAAATATATAATCAATTTTTCACTGCTATAAAAGCTGTTTCTACACCATTAATGTTTCTGTACATGCTTTTAAGTATATACTTTGAATAATCGTCTTCAAAACTATTATAAGAGACTTTTTTGGGTATAGATTTCATAAGATTTTCCTTAATACTCAATATATATTTTTCTCTTTGATAATACAGTACGTATTAAAGCTAATAAAAGTCTAGCCACTTAAAACCTTTTGACGATGTTTTTTTTGTTAGAATGGGTCCATTCTCATGACGTATATAAAGTTGACAGAACTGGTTAACACCAAATAAATCCAAATGATATTACTATAATGAAGATACTCGAATATATCAAAAGTGCAGAAGTTGTTTTTTCGTACTTGTTAATTTGACAAGTGTCAGTAATAGTTATTAAAAAATGGCTTTTATTAATTGGAAAGATATAAATACCAAAAAAATAATAGTATAAGAAATATTCCAGACCTCTGTAATCTTCATCCACTACATACTTCTATGATATCGCAGATGAATCCTAATATTATTCGACTATAGAGAAAAGAAAAGAAAAATTCATATAATCTAACCATTAGATTTATTAAATGTCGTTTTCGTTTGAAGTTAAATTTCATGATAGTTCGTTTACTTCCTATGTATATATATATATATATATCTCGGTTTCTCTGTATGTGTTCTAAAGCTATTTTACAGTGTAACATACAAGGCCAAGACTGAATATACTTGAGGTAGGTGACTACCATGTTTCTTACGGACAAATATAAAAAAAGGCTACATTTGTTTAAGAATTGTTCTTGGCTACTCATGTGCAGTCAGTGTGCACTTATTTACTTATTTATTTACTTGTTTACTTTTACATAATCTAGACAAAGTTGTCTCTCGGTTTTTTTTTGTTAATGGTTATAATTTTGATTTGGTCTAATGCTTATCGAATGTGTATTCATATAATCATTGCACTCAAGGGTCACCAGCTTATATCATATGAATAATGTATGATTTGTAATGAGTATTTTTTGTTGTTGTTGTTTTTTTGGTTTAATATAATGAGAAGAAAATCAAGGTTTTTCTTTTATTAAGTAATATTAATAGACAACGAAAACATCTTCTTATTGCTTCCATTTTACGTTAGAAAGAAATCTATCTTTCTGCGAAATTATACATGTAAAGTAACTGACTGTTCTTTACAGTCTAATACAGTACAATACAACCCAGCACACTATTGAATAGTTTGTATTAGCGGTAAGAGAATCATAGTAAAAGTCAAAGAATATCTCTCTCTCTCTCTCTCTCTCTCTCTCTGAATAAACACATTTCTTATTGTTGAATCACAACACATTAAAAAGCAATTATGATAAATAATTTTTTATTATAACATTAAAATGTTTACAGGTATAGAAAGATAGTACAATTAAGACCTTTAGGTTACTTTAGAGAAGTATAGAATAATAAAAAGAGAGAGAAAATGATGATAATAAGAATAATAGTAGTAGTATAATGTAATAAATATATACATTACATTACATTGCATGTATGAAAATATAGGAAGAAAGAAAATACTAATTAGATATGTTTTTAATACATAAATACACCCATATGCGCCTCGTCTATATATATATATTTATCGTCTTCCTCTTCTTCTCCAGAAAACCAACAAAAGGAACACAATGGTATTAAATGCAAAGAAACAGATAATGATACCAAAGTTACGCCACTTGTGAGAAGCACTCCAGCCATAAACAGCCGAGTAATACTGCTCGCCTGAGCTGTAAGTACAGTAACCGCACTGTTCAGGCTGGACAGCATCAGGGTTAGCGATATAACCTAGTCCTCCATATGAGAAGTAGTTGGTCATATATTGACCGCAGGTCTGACCAGGGGGAGGAGTGAACTTGAGGAGATTGTCGTCTGTGCACACAACCGTCAGATGTTCAAGTTCGTTTACCGCAAGACCTTCAACATAGTAGTGGAACGGATCGATCCAGTACATCCATCTTCTCCAGAAAGTCGGCATAGCAGACTCGGGCTGCATGAGACCGCAGAAAAGAATGAGCAAAGACATGACCAGAGGATTAATAACGGCAGCCATGGTAGGAAGCTCAGAGGCGGCAGCAATAACGAAACCAAGAGTGACAGCCCAGAGAACAAGGAATACAAGCATAATGTAAAAGTAACCTCCAGCCTCGGCAGTGTTGGTCATGCCAGTGGTCCAGTAGAAGCAGAACAAGAAGAAGGCAGCAAATACAAACACATAAGGAATCTCAACCAAGACAGTCGACACACCCCACGGAAGCCAGCTGTAATAGCGAGATGCATATTCACGGCGGAAGAAAAGACGTTCTACCATAAACTTGGGCTGAGAGAGAATAATCAAGGTCATAGCCATAATAAAGGTACTGAAGAGAGCAAAGAGCTTATTCTGCATATCCGATGAAGACGATCCAAGCTTCCAGTAAGTAAAACCGTTAATGAGAGCAGTCAAGACAATGTTCAAGAAACGACCAAAGTTGTAATCGGGTGAGCGCCAGTATGCTAGAGCCATTCTGTTGTGAACAAGCTTGAACTGGGTCCAGTGAGAAGCAGCATAGGTACGGGCCTCTCGGGTAGGGTTCTTATTGGCAGAGCGGTCGATATCCGCAAGTTCGTTCTCAAGAGCCTTGGCCTCTTTGGATCCTGCCCAGACTTCGGACCAGTCGCGTGTAGCCTTTCCGGCAGTTCCGGCGCCAACAACCTCAAGAATGTACTCGGCAGGGTTGGCTGCAGGAGGACAGATGGGGCCACCATTAGACTGGAAATAGTTAATCATAGTGTGAGCATCAGGACCAATCTCGCCATAGTAGGCAGTCTTTCCACCACGAACGAGTAGCAAGAGATGATCAAAGTGACCGAAAAGGATGGCAGAAGGCTGATGGATAGTACAGAGAACGGGCCAACCGGCATCAGCAAGTTTGCGGATAAAACGAATGATGTTGTAAGAGCTTTGGGCATCAAGACCAGAGGTGGGTTCATCCAAAAACAAAAGCTGGGGCTTGCCGACCAATTCCATACCGATGGTAAGACGCTTTCGTTCTTCAACAGAAATACCGGCGCCATGTTCAACCATACCGATCTGAGCATCGGCGATGTCTTCCATCTCGAGTAATTGAATAATTTTTTCGACATATTCATCTTTTTCGGCCTTTGGAACAGATTCGTCTTGGCGAAGTTGGGCAGAGAAACGGAGAGCTTCACGAACAGTAACAGCAGGCTGGTGAATATCCATCTGCTCACAGTAGCCGGTAATACGTTCAAAGTCGTTCATAAGCGCTTCACCGTTGAGGAAAATACTGCCTTCGACCACACCGGTGGTCTTACGACGAGCCAAGACATCCAAAAGAGTGGTCTTTCCTGCACCAGAGGATCCCATGAGAGCGGTAAGATGACCGGGTTTGACAATACCATTGATGCCGTCGAGAAGCTGCAAGCTGCCACCTGGAATTGGAACTGTATAGTTGACATTCTGCCATGAAAAGGTAGTGCCGGTAGAAATTTCGTCCATTTCGTCAGTGATCTTGGCAAGACGTCTGCGACGCTCGTTTTCTTCTTCATCAGTGCGAGGCTTGGGGGCCTTTCCGGGAATGTAAAACTTGGTAGTGTTTCCACCACCACTAGAGTCAATGTATTCCATAGCAAGAGCACACATAAGAGTAAACAGGAGGAAGAAGGCAACGACGACAATAAAATCCGGCGCCCAGGCTTCCCAGGATCTGTATGTAAGTGCTTTGAGGAGGTAATCTTCACCCTTGACGTAGTTCTGACCGGGGACACCACCAGTCATAGTGCAGACCTTGTAGTCCCAGTTGTCATAACCAGGTCCATAGGGAACAGCGTTTCCGGGACCTTCACAAGTGTACTCCTGGCCGTTCATTTCATTAACCAATAAGGCCTTGTATCCATAGGACAAAGGATTAGCCCAGTAAAGCCAGTACAACCAGGGATGCATTTTTGGGTATGGGATGGCTACGGACATGGTAAAAAAAAATCATGTTATTATTAGTATTATTATTATATTAAAAGAGTGAGATAGTGTGTATATGAGAAACAGTAATATTTTTTAAAACTTACTGTAACCAACATAGGTAATTGCTGAAACAAGCACAACACCAGATAATTGGGTGGCCACAAAGAAACTTCTGGTAATTGCACCAAAAATACGGAAGAAACCGTTCATAGTCATGTTGATAAAAAACAACAAGAGGTAGAAAGTAAAGAACTTTCCGGCTGTCAAGTTGAGGCCAATCATAAAGTAAGAGCAAACAGAATATAGAGTAACTATAATAAAACAAATTAGGTTGATGCTATGTATATAGATATATAGATATATAGATATATCAATAGATTGTTTCTTACCTTGAAGAATTGCATAAGGAATATCCATAATCATTTGCGCAATGTAAAATGCAGAAGGTCTATAGAGAGCATATTGCTTATGTTTCTCAAGAACAGGACGGCCCATCAAGAATCGAACAAGTTCACTCTGTGCGATAAAAGAATTGAAGATGACAGCAAAGAACAGAGCACCACCGCGAGAGAACGAGCCGGTACCACTCAGGGGAAGCTTGAAGAAACAAGAGGCCGTGATGAGAGACTGGATAAGGATAGTGCCGTATCGAGAAAAGAGAGCTTGCTGATCTTTGATGATCAGGTGGTACTGACGGATCAAGAGGGCATGGACCTGTTGGTAAAATGATGCAATAAAGGGACCCTTGTTTGAAGCACGTTTTTGGTGTTCCTCATTCATGGCTTGTTTGAATACTTGTGCTTGGCTGTCGTTTGTGAATTTGTTCTCGTAATCTTCCAACTCAGTCATCATGGATCGGTATATGTCAGACGCTAGGTAACGGTCTTGGAACTCGTGTGCAAATTGTGGGACAGATTTTTCGTATCCAGGCTGGAATTCTCTTTCGAGTGGATTACAGATACCAGTTAAAAAGTCGGGGGTAGATTTTCGAGGAGGACAAAAGAATCCCATTTTTTCAAAGTAAGGCTTGGCTTGTTCTACAGGACCAAAGTAAAGACAATAACCGTCGTCCAAGAGAATGATGTTGTCAAAGAGGTTGAAGATGCTGTTGGAAGCCTGGTAGAATGTTGCTACAGTTGTCTTGTGAAGAACGTCTGTCATGATGCGAAGAGATCGGACAAAATCGAGGGCAGAGGCAGCGTCGAGACCACGGGTAGAGCAATCCCAGCAATTGATTGTACTGGCGGTTGTCATTTGTTCGGCAATTGAGAGACGTTTGCGCTCACCACCGGAAAGACCTCGTACAAAGGCATTTCCGACCATTGTTTCCATCTGTTTGGTTAGACCAAGCATGTTACCGAGCATGTAGAGAACCCGGTTCACAAAGTCATGTCTAGTTTCGTCGGGCAGTCTTGATCCCGGAGTCTTTGTACGCAGTGCGAATTGAAGAGTTTGTTTGGCAGTAAGTGTGGGATAGTGCTGATCTTCTTCTTCATTGTAGCAGACCTGGCCACGGTAGTGGTTGGCGAATGTTACTGGATCAATACCTCCGTAAGACACCTGACCCTCAATGGTGGTGTATGACTTGCGCAAGTTGGAAATGATCTTGAGAAGGGTAGTGCATCCAGCACCGGGACGACCAAGGATAAGCAACATTTGGCCATCTTTGCAGAAACCTGTGAGACTTCGAAGGATGGTTCTCTCTGGAACTTTTGACTTGATCACAAAGGATATCAACAAGCGGAGAAATCCGAGTGGAAAACTAGCGACAGTTGCAATAGTATTGGCCTCAGCAGCAACACCCTAAAAGGAAGTGAGTAATAAAAATAGATGGTTTAGATATAAAGAAATTAATACACACACACGTACAGAATTTAAAGAAAGAAAAGAAAAATATTTATATTTTTTACCTTTACAAGCAAATTCTTCCAGACGACACCGAGATGCTTCTTTGTGTGGCCGGCTTTATCAGCTTCGGAAGAGACACCATGTAGAAACTCGTCAAGATCAAATGCATCTGATACTGCATTTCCTTCTTCGAGTTTTCCGCTATGGCTTGTTTTGTGACTAAGTGTGGTTAATTCTCTCTTGAGTTCTTCATATTGATCCATGGCAGCTAGAGAAATAAAATATGAATATAAAGGTATTGGGTTATTGAATGATTCTTGATCTGGTATTATAATTTTATAATTTATTTATTTATTGAGATTTGTACCTTCGATATTGACAGCATTTACTTCAGTTTCGCCATAACTACCCTGTACACCAACATCACCTTCGGCTATGGTGTCTGCCGAATTTGCATATGAATGATGGTGGACTTCATATTTTTCTGAGACTGTTGGTTTTTGATCTACCCGTATATTTTCTGGCATGTTGATGCGCAAATTAAGAAAAAGGCTTTGATTTTTCTTTATTTTAATGCTTCTATTGTTACAGCTTTATATGAATTTAATGATTTTCTATGAGTACAGATAGTAAAGAGGATAATGATCTTGAGTGGGGGTATGAAGAGGGGAATAGCCAAAAAAAAAGATTAAAGGAAATCAAATAGTATTTATACAAAATATGATTTCTTTGTACATCTTAATTTTTCTGAATTTGATATAAAAATAAACCCTAAATTTTTCTTTTTTAAACCTTAAAGTATTTCCTTGTTTGATCTTGCTTAGCTTACATATAATTGCCACCACTACAGAAATATATATACTCTATTCTATACATACAATAATCCCCATAAATAAAATATCGGTTCAATTATACCCGCACCGAAATTAATGGCTTGCACTGATTTCTGGGTTTTATTTCTTATATCTTTTCTTATATATAAAATCAGTTGAAATAAATTAGAGTGCAATACAATAATAAATAATAGTACTTCATACGTTTTGTATTAAATATATATATATAGAAAGAATATGACTCTTGTACACATTTTCGATCTATCTTATGGAGTGTTCACGGCCCGTGAAACTCTGTAAATAAGCAAAAGACAAAGAATATAATAAAACAAACAGACAAGTCTACAGCTCACAGTTCACAGTTCATAGTCTATAGTGAAAAAAACTGCCGCAGTAATCGATTAACCGAGAGCTTATTGAGTGTATCGGTGATCTGAACAGATCAACCAAAAATAAATAATATATATATATATAATATAAATAGATCAATAGATAGAGAAAGAGAGAATGTCTTGGCTGAAGAAACATATCACTATTTCATGAATAATATTTTTGAAAGTAATTAGATTTACTGATTGAATATCTGCATGTTTGTCTGTCTACCTACCTGCCTGCCTGCCTGTATGTGCCCCTGTCTGCATGTATGTCTACATCCCTGTCTGTCTTTTTAATTGATTTATTGACCTATTGATCTATTGATTTAATGGTAGATTTGTCGATTGGTTGTTTGATTGACTAGCTTACAGGGAATATTTTTTTTATTATCTCCCCACAATTTAAGGAAAAAATAAATGCTTGTACTCCGGAGTCTGATAGTCTATGTATGCCTATCTTTCTTTTCCTTTAGATGATAAACAAGAGGTCTATTTTATTTTCTAATATAAAGAGAGTTGGATATTGAGCACTATACTCTAATTGCTTTAATGGGCCTGTAAATGTATCCAATCTTGGTTGTATGATCAAAAGAAAAATTAGGTACAAAAAATACATGTATTATTACTATCATTATCAGTATCAAGATATATAATATATAATATATTCGCTAAACGGATCAATTTCACAAGCGAGCTGTCGTGATGATGCTTTTTTTTGGTCAATGTACAGATTATTTATAATATGATAGAATAATAAGTATCTGTTAAAATATATATATATATAAAACACACTGTGTAGATCTGATATCAAAAAAAAAAGTATTATAAAATTATAATTTCTTTATATAATATACATTTAAATATCCTTTTTTAGAACAAACAAACTGTAACAACAAAGAAACCATCGCACACGGCTCCACAATCACCTATTTCAATAGAACGGCAACGGGTAAAATACATCAGAATCCCACAAATCTATACATATAAAAAAATATAGTAAAAAAGAAAAAACCCTTAATAAATAAACATGGAAACTTTATCTATTTTACCTATCTAGCTACAGAATATACACATAAATTATTCGACTGTGTGAGAAAAGAGAGTGAATGATACAATGATATCTAATATAATACAATGTGCAAAGTTTTGGATCAATTAATAATCATTAAAGTATAAGACATTCGTTAAAGATGTAAATTTATTCGTACCAAAAACATAAAAAGAAAATTTACATATGTAGGTATGCACGAACCCACTTTAATTTGATATATACATACACAATTATATATTCACAATATTCGATAATATTTTCAAGACATTAGATAAGACCTAACTACATTCACAAATTTGATTTATTTGAGTATCATTTATTAAAATAATAAGAAGAATAAATAGAGAAAATCTATGTAATAATAGTAACAATAGCATTTAGAAAAATGATCCTTTTTATTTCAATTTTATTTTTTATCTTGATATATATGTACATTGCCTAATTGAAGATAAATGATCTTAATATACTAATAAACCAATGAAGTATAGGGCAGAAAAAAAAACAGACTAGAGATAATTATATATCTATATATATTGATCTATCGAATCTTGGGAGTGGCTAAGAAAAAAATATATTTGCGGTCGAGGGACAAGAGAAATTTTGATAATGACGTTTTGGAAGCAAGTGCTTAGTATGAGGCATTTGAGAGTGTTGATTGAAGTAACCAATTATTGGTTGTTCTACCTAGATCTTATTGTGGTATTTGTGGAACTTATTGCTTTGATTTATATGGATATCTATATATTGTCCATTCGATCTCTGGAAAAGTACAGACTCCCTGGCAATAAATACTTACAATAAAACCCCATACCAATTTAAACAGATATCTTTATCAAGATATTTGCTTTGTACTCCAGAATTGGGAGTATATGTATGTTTTTAAAATATAAAGTAAAGTCAAAAGAAGTCGCGCTTTAGAAGGTTTAAAGAAGTTTAATGCTTATATTGTTTATAAAACCGCCTTTTCATTGGGGAGTTTCGACTCCGTTAACCCCATATATAAACCCCAAAAAAAGTCATATAGGTCTTGTAGAATTCTAGCTCTTATACAAACAGGCTCATAGTAATGATCCTCATAACTTCTATATTCTGTTAAATTAAAAATATAAGGCTGCTTTAAACCCATCTTAGTCCATATACTTTCCATTAACAACACGCCTTGGAAAGCATATTATATATACATATATCTGGATTTTTGAAAAGACAGAAAACATGCTTATTAAAAGATATTTGATTATGCTGGCTTTCCGATGTGCAATATATTAGAGAACTTCTTCCTTAAGTCGGATGTCATTTCTATTAAGGCTCATCTTCATCATTATACCCACCCGATACTCAGCTTATTTCGTACAAGAATTGATCTTAGGCCCTGCCCCAAAAAGTGTTTCAAATTCATGTCACACATAATACTGAATATGGGTACTATTTAGACATTGTGACCGGGGATCAAGATTTGAAGCCCAAGATCAACCTTTGGCTTGAGGAAGAAGTTATCTAATGACTCAAATAACTGCCAACTATAAAAAAAACGTATTCAGCATTCAATAAATAGGGGAGAATTGAAACTGAAAAGCGGAAAGGAAGAAAAGAAAAAGAAACACAAAAAGACACTGATTATCTAAAGTGATCTGTCAAGAATAAACCCTTTGAATAATTATCTTTTTATTTTTCATAATTCTTACACGGCCTGGATATTTCGATAGTTAAAATAAGAGCATTAAATAGGTATTCTTGTTATAAAGAGACTGTATCCATGTCGCTTAAGTAATGGGGATTCTCAGTTCAGTTATTTTACACTATGTAAATATATATTGAAGCTGCAATACCCCAGCTACTGCACACATATATATGTAGAACTTTGCTTGTTGGGGAAACCATTGCACTTTTAAAGATTGTTGGATCTATTATTGGAATCAATATTTTATCTACTAAAAGGATCATTTTGATCCAAATGTCAATTGTATCTATATATATATACAAGACTATGTATTAAAATTATATCAGGTAAACTTTATCTAAGGATATAAGTGACGTGATGTGCCACATTATGATCCACATTTTAAAGGATGGCTGATGCTTTATTGCTTAAATAAGTATTAGAATATCATATTTTTCTTTATCAGAGCCAAGAGCCATAGAATTCTATTTTTGTTTTGCTCTTGCTACTTTGCAAAGTTGTGTAAACCGTAATTAGAGACTGTTCAGTACCTAACTGGCCGATGGGAGATAAATATATATCAAGAGATATATATATTTCAAAATTACAATTGAGCATTAAACATGAACCTGTATATATATATATATATATGTGCATATATAAGCATTCGAATCAATACATATGGTGTACCCCATTTGAAATATTTACATTGTGAATTGTGAATCGGAGCATTTTGTCTTCTTGTCTTTTTGAAATATACATATATTAGTACTTTCCTTAGAACAGCCGGAAGGTGCCCAATGTTTCATTTCGAGAGTCTTAAATATACATGGATACATTGATGCTTGGAATCTATAAACACAGGTGATCCAGCTCTTCCTGACTAGTTACATTCCTCCCCAAAATCATTATTGACCGTCTTTTCCCTTTCATTTCCTTATACTTTTATGGTGAAGAAGTCGATCAGTCAATAAAATTTCTACTCTTTAAAAAAATTTACACACACGCAACTAGCCCTATTATTTATTGCAAGACTATAAAGCTTTGACTCGACACTACAGATAATCATATTTTCGAATATTCAGATGTCTTTATATATGTAATTATTAAACAATTTATATTTTCTCTTTTTTTAATTTCTTTTTTGGTTCACCAGTGTAGATTCTTTAATTAACTTAGAGGGTGTAGAATAGCGCACACCCATTCTGTCCAGAGCCTTGCTAATAGTTTTATTACTGACCGATTTTCCTGTTTCCTCCTTTAGATTCTGGGCCAATTCTGCCAGAATTTTTTGGTGATCTTTCTTGATAATTGAGAGAAGAAAGGGCTCTTTTCTGGGTGTGAGAAGCCTGGGTCTTCCTGGGCAGCTTTTGTACTCTACGAACCCTGTTGTCTCATATTTTGTTACAAGGCGGCTAATTGTACGTGTAGGGATGTCGAGGTTAGTTGAAATGCCGGCATCAACCATTCCGGCTCGATGAAGCTCTAAAATCAGCTCTTTCTGTGTGTCAGAAAGTCTCTTGTGCAATAGATGATGGTAAGGGTTTTGAATATTAGACATTAAGTGTAAAGGTTTTGATTGAACTAAACAAGAAATCAAAAGAAAGGAAGAAAGCTACGAGAGGTGTATCATAAATAGAATGTATTAGAGTTGGAATGAATAAAATATAGGTTCTTATTATAAGTTTATATAGTCACGATAAAAAACTTTTCGACCTCTGATCCCAAGAAGCTCATAAGAAATCAAGTCATATCTTTAATACTTAACTTCTCACCAGTAATAATAGCTATAAAAAACATTTAAACGTAAAATACAAGATTATAGGCATGTTTATTATTGATATATATATATATATATACGTGTGTGTGTGTGGTATACTTTCCCTTAGCATCAATCGCACCATGTCATTGATGTTTCATGTTGCCTGTCAAACATTATGTAAATACAGCCCTTATCCTCTCCCACTCTCTTTGTATGACAATATTCAAACCATCTACGTTATTTATTTTGGGCTTTTTATAAACTCATACATCTCTAAAGATCCCACTAAAGTTTCCCAATGAGATCTTATTTGAGCTTTGAGCTCCCCAATAGTCAAAGCCTCCGGATCTCATGGTCGTCTTTCCAACACCTCGAATAAGAGATGACATGGCAGCTGTCATTATCTTTTTTTTTGGAATACAAAGTGCCTGTTTTGTCCCTGTAAAAGATTTTGGAATCAAGAAAGGAAATTCTGGACCAAAGTGTTTACATTGCTATCTAGGAACACTAGAAGCCAAGAACCACCAGTCCAGAAACATCTTTAGATCACCACATTAGCCTTCTTCCACTTGGTTTCGTCAATAATATTATTTCCTTTGACACTTTCTACAACTCTTCTGATTAGATTTGGATTCTTCAACATTACATTCGACTACAGTTCTTAATTCATCGGACCATGCAAGACCTCTCCATTGGTGTTCAGTCCAATTGACATTCTCACAAGCTCAATCAAATCTTATTTTCTTGTGTCCTTATTCCTTCTCAGCAATTATTTTTCTAGTTTTTTCTGACTCTTTTCTTCGGTATGGGGATCCCGTTTCATCTACTCTTTTAATGATGTACCTGACAGTGAACAGATTCATTTCAACTATCAATGAAATCTAGGCTGGACCGAAATCTGCTAAATTCACGTACATTATGCATCATCATTTGTAAGAATCACTTTCCTTATATGAGTTGCAAGTGGTTTCTGATGGTGTGTCTTGTATGTTGGCTTCGTTTTAATAAAATGGAGAAAAAGTAATGATTTTACTTTGATTTTTTTTAGCCCTTTTTTTGCGGGGGTCTAAAAGTTTTTGGCTGTGGGTGTATACGCATAAGATGTACTAGAATTTAGCCTGTTATTACTGTTACTTATTATTAAGATTTCTCCTTACTATTATCAACATTAATAATAATAATAATAATAATAATAGTAGTAGTAGTAATGCTGCTCACAATCATTAAAATTAGAGTCATGACAGCAACATCATAATAATGTATTTTGAAATAAGAAAAAGAAAGTTTTATTATTATTATTGCTATTGAAATCCTGCTAATGGGCATTATGAGGGGATATGATTTTACTAGCTTTCTGGCTTTCTGGCGTTCGGCCTTCTGGCGTTCGGCCTTCTGGCCTTCTGGCTTTCGGCTTTCTGGCTTGCTTGATTTATAGCTGAATTGCTGGCTTGCTGAATTGCTGGCTTGCTGGCTTGCTTGCTTTATAGCTGGCTTTTTGTTTGGAGAGTAAAATAGACACTGGATTTGAAATGAAAATGGTGTTTGAAGTTTAATCAGACGGTACATACACACACGACGCACACACACACACACAGAGAGAGAGATCTTGTTTGTTTGTTATTGGATAGGTTGGCTTGAATTGTGGAATTCTTGGATATCCCCGCCAGTGCCTTGTATAGTACAACCGTAATAGTGCCATTTGTATGAGAAGCGTAAAGTGTGTTTGAAGTGCGTGTATGTGGAGTGCGTGAAGAAGATTAAAGAAAGAAAGAAAGAAGATGCAGCTTGATCATTCAACTACACTAGTGAATTGGATATGCCAGACAGGAAAATAACGGTATATATATATATATATATATAGGCAGTAATAACATTAACAGATAAAATAAAAAGAAAAGAATAATAAGGATAAAGATAAGAATACGAGTAAAAGTAAATAGTAAGAATAGTAATAATGATATATAAAGAGAGGGATAGATAAAAGATTGAGAGGTTTGTGAGTAAGTGGAGGGTAAATTATATGCGGGTGTGTGTGTGTGTGTGTATGTGTGTGTTAATTCTAGAGAAAACTGTCATCTTTTGCTCTGACGGGGGTTTTGTATGCTGCAGTTGCACAGGCAAAAGTCAGTGAATCTGTGCGATCTTTGGAGTCCAGAAGTTCAGTTGGGTTGGATAGGGAGCGCGTCAATCTTGCTTTCTTGGTCTGTGCGGATCGTGCGCCAGGAGATTGAATGTAGACACGCTTTTCGATTATGTCACGCTGGGTCATCCGAGGAGTTGGTATCTGATCGACTATCTGTTTCTGGCGTTGTTTCCACATTCCCTCTACATCTGGAAGAGCGTTTTTCTCCCATCCATTTTTTAACTTGAAACGAGCAAATCCAAGTCTAGTCTTTAAGATTTCTAGGTGCTAATAAACAAAAGGTAAATTACGCATTATATATACATATATATACATATATATGCTTACTTTGATAACATCATAATTATCACAATCTTCTAGAGGATGCTTGAGTTTATGGTGATTTGTAGTTATGGTGATATCGATTAAAGGGGGACTGTCATGTGCGGGAAGATGATGTTCTGATAGATGGCAATTGTTGGTATTTAAATTGGTGTGATACATGGTAGTAAATCAAAAATATTTATATATATATAAATATATAAATGTGTATAAAATATATTTATATATAAAAAATAAACAAAAGAGAGAGAGAGAGAAAAAAAGAAAATTATTGAAAGCAGTAATTACAAGAAGCTTAAAAGAAGAAAGGAAAAAAAAAAGGGAAAAATAATAATAATAATAATAATAATATTTATACGTATTTTTTATTCAATAAAATAAAATAAAATAAAATAAAATAAAATACATATATATTTTGTACATTTTTATATACATAAAATAAATGTACCATTAATTTCATATATATATTTCTCTTTCTTCACACATGTAATTTTTTTTTAATTTTTTTTAATTTTTGTATTTTTTTTTTGCAAGCATAATTTATCAGTGATTTTTAAGCGCGTGTATCTAAAATAAAGAAAAATTTTTTTTTTATTTTTTTTTTAAAAAAAAAGCGTGCCTGAACCCCTTTTTGTTAGGGAAAAAAAAGAAAAAAAAAGAAAAAGAAAGAGGAAATTGAAGCGCGAAAATTACGCGCTCCGGAGTTTTAATAGTTTCTTCAACACGCATTTCGCGCGTGGATTAACTTTTTTTTCTTTAATTATTTTTTTTTATATAGATTTATATAGACTTATATAGACTTATATAAATTCTATAAAAATAAAATAAAATAAAAAATAATGATGAAACGCGCACATCTAAAATAAGTAAAGAAATGATACTTATTAAATATATACTATATATGTATATAATTGAATATATGAAAGTATTATACACTTATTATTGAGACTAAAAATATTGATAACAATGTTTAAATACACAATAAATATGTTGTCATGGTTATGGTTGCCATAGTTATGGTTGCCATAGTTATGGTTACCATGGTTATGGTTACCATGGTTATGGTTACCATGGTTATGTTGTGTATTGAGTAAAGAATGGAATAAAGAAAAGGTATATTTATTTCATTTCATTTGATGTAGTGACTAATGTAGATGAACATCATTAGATCAACTACTTTAATACTTTTTTTATATTTTTTATTTTTATTTTCAAAACCAAAAATAAAAGATAGATAGAGGGAGGGAGGGAGAAAGGGAGAGGGAAAAAGTTTGTGTAATACAACTACAGGGACCTGGTTTGCTTGATTGGTTGGTTTGTCGATTGTGTGTAGCTTATAAGCAAAAATATACATGTATTATAATGTTTATAATACAAGAATATAAAATATACAGATCTCATCTTTATCTGTCTATCTGTCTTTCTCTTCCAAGATATATTATATATTTTATTACTTGATTTGATTTTGGAATCCTTATAATTTTTTTTTGGGTATTAAAGGCAATAATAATATAAATAAATAAACAAAAAAGCTGTTTAATGTAGTTGATGTACATATTTTTTACATTATAATATATATTTGTATATGTGGGTGTGGATATTTTGTTTCAAATATTGAAATCTTCTTATATATATATATTATTTATTTATTCTGAAGCAATACCTAAAGTAAGATTTAACAACAACAACAAAAAAAAGGTTAATCAATCAATCAAAAACACATCAAATCAAATCAAATCAAATTAAATTATAAATTATAATTTACCATTATCATGAGTAGCACCATAAACAACTCTGGTAGGTTCATCAGAGGGAACTGGCTGGTAACCTAATCCTCCCTGCTCAAGATCCTCAAAGGTGTCGTTGTACTTGTGAATGATGTAGAAACCATGAATAATACCAGGAACTACACATACACATACACATAAATATAGATGTAGATATATAGATATAGGCTCATATTCATCTTTGTCATATTTCTTTACTTACGGGCACCAAAAATAAACAAGCAGATATTGATCAAGAAATCAACTCCGCATCCACGCTTGATGAGCACTGCGAGGGGTGAGAAGAAAAAGGCGACCACAAATAGAGCAATATCTCTGGTAGAATAAGTCATCTTTACAAAATAATAAGAAAGAGAGAGATAAAGAGAAAAGGGAAATGGAAAATAGGAAAAGGGAAAAGGGAAATGAGAAAAATATATGTATAAAGTCCCTTGTAATTTAATTTTTTTTGTATCTTTCTTCAATTGTCTCTTTATATATATAATTAGATATTGTAATCTTTCTCAAGTCTGACAAAGTGAAGTGACTTCATTCCTGACCCGGTTCATTCCCTTCTTCTTATGCTTCTTTTTCCTTTGCTTCCCTTTTTATATAATTGGATGTGCACTTGCGGGGGTGTATATAGTGTACTATAAAATAATAATAATAGTACTTTTACCTTTATTTCTTCCTTTGTGCTGCTAATAATTTATGCCAGTGGGCGGCATGAATATATATAAATAAATATAAAAAAAGACAATGTCCGTGCGAGATTTATTTATATTTTTTTATAGCCATCACAGCCTATTTTGAATTTATTATATAAGTATATAAAAGTAAAATTATTACAGGCTTAATTTAATATAATATAAGGTATATTCAATACGTTAGGTACACAAGTAAAGACAACATGTAGTTAAATTATTACACATATGGATAATGAAGAGGACAAATGATTATAATTATATTCATTCTCCTTCTTCTTCAGAATCTCTTTCAATCGAATCAAATCGCTTCTTTTTTCGTGACCCATCAATTAGTTTCAGTTTACGCTTCTTGTCTTTACGCATCGATAATGATTCAGAACTATAGGTTGATCTATCGTCCTGACTAGACTCTTGATCTTTCTCGTCAGCCAAAGCAAGTGCCTTGAAAAGTTTTTATTTTTACTATTAGTATCAATATCATAAGAAATAAACCAATCAATTGATGCTTTACCTTTTGGTAAGTAGAAGATGAAAGGGAAAATAATCGATCAAGCTCTGTGTGTTTTTGCTTCTTCTTGTCTACACGATTACTAAGGTATCCATCAAACCCACGGATAATATTTCCTGTGTTCTGTGTGTCTTCCAAGTAAGAGCCTTCAAAAAGGTAAATATGCGTTTCTAGATTGACCTTTTCTGACATTAATATATATATATACATATATACATATGTACATACATATATATAATATTATGAAACCTTTTTCTCCTTTTCAAAATAACAGACAGTACTAAATACAGTTATATATTTACATATACATATATAGAAATTTATTACTCACTAGATTTGCATCTACTTGTTTCTTGCGACCAAGAAGATCCTGTAATTCCATCTTTGCATCTTCATACTTTTGTCTAGTCATCTGAGATGAGTCCGATGTTCCTGATTCTACTTTCTGACCGAATTGCTAATGCCATTTTGCGAACATCAATTATTAATCAATTATTTATTTATTTATTTATTTGATTAATTACTTAATTAATCAATTAATTAAGGGACGTGCGTAGTGTTTGTGAGCTTACTTTGGCTTCACTTTCTTTTATTGCTGTATCTGACATTGGGTTTAAAGGATACGTATATGTATATTCATATATAATTATTCTTTATGTACATATGTATATATGTGTATTGGAAAAAATGGAATTGAAAGGAAAAGAGGAAGAAGAATAACAGGAGAAAGCAAGAAGTAGATAGGTATGTTACCTATCAACCACAAATACCTGTGACTTGGTTGGACGTATATGTTACGTCTCCCTACCCCTCGCCCTCTCCTATTTCTTTTCATTACACACACACACACACATATATATATATATATATGTATGTGTACACATGAGATTGCTAATGTAGATAGTAAAGCTAACGAGCACTAAATAGTATTGGCGATAAATTCTTATGCAATTTATGAAGCTTTGAATATCAAGCATATAAAAAAATGTGTATATGTATATGTATGTGATTGCGCATGTTTGTGTTTGTAAATGTGTTTGTGTATGCGTATATATAAATGGATATATATATTGTATTTTATGATCTTCTTTGGCGGTCTCTCCAGAGGTGACTAACCCTTGCGATAGATGCCCAGTTTCCATGACACCTGGTAAAGTCCATACCAGCATCTTTAAGCATGCTTGCATGTCTATTGCAAAACATCTCCTTATCCTCTTTTGGTATAGATCCCCAGCTGGGGCGAGAGCCAAGTGCTTGTACAGAAGGAAGTGCAGCCATCTCATTGCATATGAACTTTGTACAGATGTGAAGTGTTGATTTCTCTGTTTTGGTAACTTCAATGCCAAGATCTTGGCTAATCATTCTGTAGACGTGTTTGAGAGTGATGTCTCGGATATTTGACACAGGTCTACAGATAGGTCCACTAGAAATCTATTTGAATAAATACATATATACATTTATACATACATATATTTATATTTATATATATATTCATATTTTATATATATATAGTAGAATTTATTTGAATGTATCATATTGAAGTAAGTTGATTTAAAGAATAATTAAATAAAATCAAAAGGTTATATATATACACTCACATCTATTAATATTTATTACTATTATTATAGCTGGCTTACATTTAGAACTATATTCTCATTGTCATCGTCGCGGTCATTGGTGTTGGTATTGAGGTTAATCTCGACTTTGGTATCGACAGATGAAGAAGTACTTTGGGCTGGTAGTAACTCTCTGTTGGCCAATTCATCCCTTAGTTTAATAATTTCCCTTCTCATATCTTCTTGACCTGATTTCAAAGCAAGTATCTCATTCTGCATTGAATGGAGTAAAGGGATAATGGTTTTGTCTCTTCTGCTCATTTTGTATTTTTCTGTTTGTGTGTATTTGAGTTTATTTTGTTGCTGCTGCTGTACTTGTGATTTCGATTGTGATTGTTGTCACTGCTGTTGTATAAAGAAGAAAAGAAAGAAGAAGAAGAAGAATAGAACAATAATATAGTACGGCTGGTAAATTTTGTCCGTTTTGAAAAAATACTAGTCGCCTTCAGAAAAATAAACGGCGCTAGCTAAAAAATAAAAAATGAGTTTCGTTTTTGAAAAATTAAATTGTCGTATTCGGTCAAGTCAAATGGCCATTTCTTTGGGCTAATTGACGTCTATGGTGTAAAAGCTTTCTTCCTTTCTTTTACAAAGATGGATACGAAAATGCTTAGAATAAATACGAAGAGCGAGTTTTTGGTTCAATAGAAGGTGTGTTGACTTAAATTACTGATTCCAATATACTTCTTGAAACCATAACAAACCAAAAGAGAAAGAACCTACCTTGGATGGTATTTATTATTATCTTTTATCGATCTCTACAAATATACCAATGTTAGAGAAAAATAAATAAATAATATTACTGTAATTATAATGCTTACATTTATATCATATGGCTGCTAGTATTACAGAAGAAGACTATTCCTGATGCTCTCAAAAATATAATTCTGACACTTTCTTTTTTACTGAGTGGGTATCGGAAAAATAAGAAATAAAATACAGTCTGAGAAAGAAATGTTTCGCACCCTGGCGCGCTATTTGCACCTTTGCTTTATAACCTATATTTTATATTTTTCAACGTCTTAAAAAACTAATTAACAAATCTACCATAATGCCAAACACACAAAAGAATAACTCTCGTGGGCCCTATAATGTGCTTTCAGATTTGACGAAAGGAAAGATCCTTGGACTTCAACTTGATGGAAATAATGTTGCCAGCATTTCAGCCAAGCTGAATGTACCCAAATCAACAGTTCGATATTTTTTAAAGAGATATAAAGAAAGAGGAACTGCCGATAACAGAAAGTCTTCTGGAAGACCACAGATCCTCACACCTAGAGACAAAAGACGTATTGTCTCGAATCTCAAAAAAGATAGGTGGTCAACGTTGGATGATCTTGTTGATGATGCTAGTGCTGACACGGGAAAGAATGTCAGCAAGGTTACCATGCGTAAAGCTTTGCACAGCATGGACTATTTTTGCCGTAAACCTGTGTCAAAGCATTTTCTTACCAAGGCACACATTGCCAAACGCCGAGCTTGGTACAAAACCGTGAAAGACTGGAATAAACAGTGGGAAACAGCTATCTGGAGTGACGAGTCGTCATTTGTGCTGTATAAGAAAAATTCAAGCAGAAAACTCTGGCGCAAAACTGGTGAGAGGTTTGATACGGATCACTTTGTCCCAAAGGTGCAAGGAAATGGTGGATCGGTTATGGTCTGGGGGTGTATCTGGTCAGGAGGACTTAGTCCACTTGTTTTCGTAGATGAAAACATGGATGGTCCAAGATATGTAGAAGTTCTTCGAGACCATTTTCTTCCATTCTTGCATGCTCTTCCTGTACCTAGCAGCGGGAGCTACAAGTTTCAGGAAGATAATGCCAAGGCGCATAAATCAAAAGTTGCAGGAAAGTTCAAGAAAAAACATGGTATTGATGTTTTGCAATGGCCACCCAACAGCCCTGACCTTAGCCCCATTGAGAATATATGGGGAATCATTGATCACAGAATCAGAGCAAGACGCCCCAGACCAAATTCTCTGAATGAGCTGAAGGCTGCTTTGTTGGAAGAGTGGAACAAAATATCAGCAAAAACTTGTAGAAGATGCTGCTTGAATATGCCAAATCGATTGGCCTTACTTAAGAAAAAGAAATTTAAGCGAATCCGCTATTAAAACTGTATCTTTTTTTTTACATTATTAATATATATGTCTTTCACTTTTATTGTTCCAAGTATTATATTTCAATACGTATTGTATATCTTTAGAAAGGGATTTGAAGTTGTGATATCTTCTTTACCATTCATGGCGGATGTCAAAATGGGCGAAACATTTCTTTTCGGTACTGTATAATACGCTAACATGGAGCTTCATTTAACGTCAGGATTTTATATATCCATACACACATAGAGCATGTATTCTTTATTACCAACACCAGCAGTTAAGAATACAGAATTCTAAAATCATATAAATAATAGTCAATTACTTTAAATCCAGTCGTCAAACCTTAACTGTAAATGAAAGGTATTAGTGACTAAAGTAGTCTTGAAACAAAACAAAACAAAAAAAAACGGAAAATATTTTGTATACCGTCTTTGAGTATCTTCTTTTTCTTCTTTTAATTATGAATGATAATTTGGAGCGTCAAGGACTACTCGAAAATGACCGCACTAGTGAAGATAGCGTGGGTCTAACCCTACCTAAACCAGCCGACGACGAATGGACTCGACTGAAGAATCTCATGAGACCATTGTCAGCAGTGATTTACATGAGTATTCTAGTAGGATTGAATGACGGAAATCTTGGAATGGTCATTCCCCAATTCAAAAAATTCTATAATATTCCGGACGAAGCAGTCGCTACTCTTTTCTTGTACTGCTCCGGAGGATTTCTATTGAGCGCATCAGTTAATGGATATTTGGTCAAGACTATTGGACAGCGTGCAACACTTTATCTCGGATCCGTTACTGTTCTGTTGGCATATGTATTAATTATGCAAGGCTTTCCGTTCCAATATCTCGGAATACTTATGGTACTTCAAGGAGCAGGAGTTGCCCTGATAGATTCAGCCATGAATGTAATTACAGCCAATGTACCCTATGCAACTGTCATGCTTAATGTTCTTCATGGTAAGTCAAGAAAAGGATATTTAATATATATTTATATATATATTAATATATTTTATATAGCTGTCTATGGCTTGGGTGCAATGGTTAGTCCAATTGTGGGTACATGGATTATAGCACACGATATGTCATGGAAAGGCAGTTACGTGTTCCTGATAGGTGCAGCCATCATAAACCTGGTTCTGATCACTGTCGGTTTCTACAAAGTACCAATGGAAGAAGAAAAAACAGAAGACACAGAAGAAGGTCCGATTAAAGAAGCTCTTTTGCACAAGATGACATTAACAGGTGCATTCTACATTCTCATTTACGTTGGACTCGAGGTTACTTTGGGCAGCTGGGGATACATTTTCTTGACCGAAGGAAGAGGTGGAAACCCTGTACCGATGGGGCATGTTATGTCCGGCTATTGGCTTGGCTTGGCTACCGGGAGAATTGTCCTTGGTTACATTGCCAGCAAATACGGAGAGAAGTACATCATTACTCTCTCCACCATTCTGACCGCTGTTCTATTGGTTGTGCTTGGTTACTTTAAAGACATTGCCTTGGATGCTACTGGTATATAGAGATATTAAATACATACGTCAAGCTAAACTAATCCTAATCGACTTTTTTTTTATTTTCGTTCTAGTCTTGATTATTATTGGATTTTTGCTCGGACCAATGTTTCCCACTACGATCGCTTTAGCTTCCAAGGTGTTACCAAGATGGATGCATGCTTCCGCTATTGGTTTTATGGCAAGGTAATACAGGTCTTTGTGTGATAAAACGGAAATGAATCCTGTATTGATCTGTCTGTTATGTTGTTTATGTTGTTTATGCTGATGTTTATTCTGTTGCCTATTCTATTGCTGTTGTTTCAGCCTTGGTGCTGGCGGTGCTGCATTCTTCCCCTTTATTACTGGTCAAATATCTGGGTCGTACGGAATTCTTTCGCTGCCTTTGACGTGCCTCGCAATGGCCTTTGTGATGCAATTTCTTTGGGTGTTTGTACCCTCCGATCGGCCAATGTTTCCTTGTCTTCAAAGGCCACATGATACCTAGAAATGTCATGGATACACAAATAAGAAAACTCTCTCAAGTGAACAAGTCATTCATTATTCTTCTCTCTCTTTCTTTTTTTATATTTCATTTTATATATTTTGCTTTGCTTTTTCTTTTGTTTTCTGTTTTATGTTGGTTATTTGGTTTATAATATACATCTTCTGTGTGCCTGCTTATGCATACAGCACAATTATCGATGTCCTGTCAAAAGATCCTCGGTTTACTCTTCTTCTCTTACATCTTCAAAGAAATCGACTGGTGCCTCTAGTAAACAATCTCCAGGCAGGAACTCTATTTGCACCAGAAAACGATGCCTTTAAAGTCTACACAGGGACAATCACTCGGAATAAGCTTCTTTATCACATATTGCCTACTCGCTTCTTAACAGAAGATTTCTATCACGGACAGTTGCTCGAAAGTCGTTATGTCCGCCCGCAATTCCTGGGTGTGAATGAGACTGGCCAACAACTAAAGATCACCACAAGATCTAATCTCCAAGACATTGCGATGTTTGTTAACCAAGCACAGATCATCGAAAATGACATTCCTGTAAACCAAAAAACTGTCATTCAGGCTGTCAATTGCATCCTTGAACCACCCCCGATGCTAAGTAAGATCTTATTAGTAATTTGCTAACAAACATTAACTTACTTATATATATATGTGTGTGTGTGCGTGTGCGTATGCTCAGGTGAACAAGCAGAGTATCACAACCCAGAGTATGCCAAACTATTGGGCAGGATAGGCCTTTTCGATCTCTTGAAAGAAGCACGACCCTTTACGTTGTTTGTGACACCTCGCGATGTGCTTTCAATGTTTAATTTCATAGAAACATGCTATATTCTTTCATCTTATGGCCAAACCGACCTTCAGAATCTATTAAACTATACTCTTGTCAATGGTGTTATTTACTCAAACCAGTTTAAAGGCGTAGCTGAATGTAAGCCATTATCTCCTCCTTTTTATTTTTACATAGATACATAGATACATAGATATATAGATGCAGACATATATATATATAAGAGAAAAAAAAAAGAACCAGAATTTCCTCAAGACCGCTTATTAATGAGCACAGACGTAACATTATCCGGGGAAAATATTGTTGTCGACGCACGTATAACCGACAGTATCACTGTTAATGGCATTCCCGTAACTCAAACGGATGTCATTGCTGCCAATGGTAGGACACTTAATTTAAATAAGTATATATCTTTGTATACTTATAATATTTTGTAGGGGTAATTCATATTGTAGAAAACGTCATGATGCCTTCAAATATTGTGCTTGACACTCGAAAATATCTATATGGCATGAATGCTACTAAAATGGCATCGTTGTTGGACAGCCGAGGGTTGGGTCGTTACATGGATTTAGGAGGTTACACATTTTATACCATTCTGGCACCTGCAAATGACGCTATATTTGAAGATGATATTCCAATAAGCACCCAAAAAGACTGGCTCCGTTACCACATTCTGAAAGGCTTGTGGTATCCAGAAAAGCTAGAAGACGGAATGTTGATACAGTCGGAATCCACTCCTCCTCAACTCGACGGGAATCCAATCCGACTACCGGTTCACATTGATCAACGCGCGGCTCCTGATGACAAAAGTGTTTATGAAATGGGAACTTCCATTAGGTTTGGTCAGTCGCGAGTTCTTGGAGATCCGGGTAATTTTTCTTTGCTTAAATTAATTGGTGTAGATACATACATTATTCGATATTCTAACCAGCCATTCTTTTTTTTCGGCTTTGATTATCCTAGTTGCCATTGGAAGAAGTCTGGTTTATCCTGTGTCCGAGCCACTGGATCTCCCTGGAAATTTGCTAACGAGTCTTGTGGTAGATCTCGAGGTATCCACCTTTATCACGATGCTTTTCATCTCTGGTGTTGTCAAGGAATTTGAGGCTGCCAGAGGAATTACTTTGTTTGTACCTACCAATGCCGCATTCCATCGCCTCGGACTCACGGCAAAGTACCTTGTCCACCCGTCCGCAAAAGCCCAGCTCCAGAGCGTACTGCGGTACCATGCAGCGCAGTCTTTGGTGTACCATAAAGATATGATGCAGCCTTCGTTGGATATCATGACTCTCAACAATATCTTTTTGCGTGTTCAAAACACCCTCAGCAACATCACGGTCGGATCTCCTGACGGGGACTGCGAATCTGGTCTGGTGGACACTACGAACCTTTTGGTGTCCAACGGTGTAATTCACAAAATGGACCGTGTCTTGATTCCACACACTGTACATATCACTCACGATCACATCTTGCTCGGCGTCGGTGCAACGGCAATGCAGGCACTTTTGCGCCGCAGTAAAGTAGAGCTTCAGAGAGACTGGATTTTGCTGGCACCCACCAACCGAGCATTTGCACGAATCGACTTTGAAGCCATTCTTAACAACGACGAAGAACGCGACAAGCTTGTCAAGATGCATATCATCCCCGCAGTCTGGCAGACCAAGACACCTTACGACGAAAACCGAGACCAAGTTATCGGGATTGCATCCGACGAAGAAGGTGATGGAGAATACCCAACTTTGCTGTCAGACTTTGACCGAGTAGTGATCGGCAATTCCGGAAATGGAGAACGTACTGTGAAAGTTAGAGGGTGGCGTCCTGGAGTACATGCCCATGTTCTAGGTGTAGGACATGTTCAGTTTGGAAGAGGAGCTGTGGTTGAAGTGGATACGATTCTTGTGCCTATCGAGCGTGGTTATTGGGGCCTTCCGATCGAATGGTCTAATGCTTTGGTCGGTACTTCAGTTTCTGGATTAGTTGTGATTACAGGACTTTGCGTGTGTCTTGGGCGCAAATTGTACAAAAGGCGTAGACTGGGATATGAAACAATTCCTGAACCACCCACATAATCTCTGCTTTTCACTTTCATTGTTACTGCTCTTCTTGCTATTTTTCTGTGTTTGTGTTTGTACAAACATGTATATTCTACTCTTAAAACATACGATGATCCGGATTTGCACTTGTTTATCTAGACGTACAAACAGCCAGACACATGTACATACATGTACATAATTGCCAATACCACTTCTTCTTTTTCATGAAATAAATACATAAATATAAGTAAAGCTTATCTAATTTCTTAGTCAAATGGACATTGCTTAATATATTCGTGTCAATGATTCATCTTTACGTCACATAATATCCTAAATAACCAACACTTGGTTGTTTCAATGATTACAATTATGCTTTCTTCTTTTTATATTGACGAGGAATATGCATAAAGGTTTGAAAAAATAATATCACCCGTATCAGGTAAAGAACCTGATAAAATAGTGCAATACTTGAGTCTCGATCACTGGCGGAAGAGGATCATATACAAATCCACCAGAGATCTTTTATGATCCAAAAGAATAAAGATAATGTCTTGCCGAATAATCAAAATTACTGAACTGATCACAGTGCAACTTGGCAGGTGTGACATACATAGCAATGTAAATATGCTCAGCTCCCCTTTCCGAGAGAATAGAACGAGAATAATATACTATGTAAGAGAAAAGGTAAAAAGATTCATGTTAAATATCAATTTTAATCAGAAACACCCATAGTAAGCAAATTAATAATTATTATCGCTGATTCTAGGGAGCCGACGTTTCTCCTTTAAAAAAAAAGTCTTTTAAAAAATTTGGTTTATAGATTGATATATTTCTTGAAATAAAATTCATACCAGGCATACTGAAATAGAAGCTATATATATATATATAGCGACTCTAAAACAATCGCCTCTATTTTTTATTTCTTTCAAGTGATCTATTATGTAGTACTAAAAAACAATTCAAAGAAATTTTATGCTGTAAGCAATAGTATCTCCCAAAGTGGTGTGCTATTTGTAAGGAATCTAGAGCCAAAAAAAAAGTAAAATGAAGTGAAGGGGAAGGGGATCAAGTACAAAATTAAGACAGCGCCCTAAATTCACGAATGGATATCGCGATGTTGCCTATACCACATTATTTTTCATGCCGCTTCACAGGCACACGAAGGCTAGTGACTTGTTAGCCTTGTAGAAGGCTTAGCTTCCCAGTTCTAACATATCCCTCTCACTCTCTATCTTTCTTTTAATTACATCTGATTCCGCATAGATTAATCAAGCATAAACGATCGAATTATGAGTTTAGTCATTAATGAAAGCAAAGTAAAAATATCTCCATGGAATCTTTAGATTATTGTACTTTTTATTTAAGACGATGCGATTTTTTATATTCTTTTTTCTTTTTGCCTAACATGACTACCGCTCTTTAGGCAAAAAAAGCAGTAAAAGCACTTTTCAAGCATGAGTTAGCCAAAAACCAAGACAGTATAAGAAATGTATGGCTTACAATCAATGTATTTGAGCCAGTCGATCAGAGCAAGAGCAATCCAACTCGCATGTATGTCTAAACGATGTTATATTATATATTCTTTAAAAAAAAGCTTTTGCATAAATAAATAATTGCTTAAAATATGTTTTTATGATATGGCTATTATATGTTATACTTAGTCTTTTGAAACACTCGATCCAAGCACCTGGTACACAGCGTTGTCTTTTTACAAAGGACCCTACAAAGCCTGTCAAAGACTTGCTGATTTCAAAACACATCAAGGGAATTCACAAGGTTATTGGCCTCACAAAACTGAAAAAAGATTACCCAACCCCAGAAAAGAGAAAACTGTTGATGGAACAGTATGGTGAGTTTGTGGCCGATCTGCGTGTGATGGATAAAATGCCAAAATTGCTCGGAAAAGACGTATACAAGAAGAGAAGGTACATACATATGATACTTAATAACAGTAATAACATGCATATATTAGATATTTTAAAAAAAATCTGACACTTTTATTTTTTAACTTTAATTTTCTGTAATATACTTTATTAGAGAACCACTACCCCTGGATTTGAAGAAAAAGGATATTCAAAAGGAGGTTATCCGAGCGGTGAAATCAACTTTCATGGATTTTCATACTGGTTCTTGCTAGTTAGTATAATACCATATGCATAATTATTTTTTTTTTAAAAAAAATTACCATTGTTCCTAAAATACTGATATCCATTTTTTTATTAGTTCAGTAAAGATTGCCTCAACCATGCTGAACGAGACACAAGCCTTAGAGAACCTTTTGGGATGCATATCGAATATTGTTAAAGAAACAGAGGGTGGAGCAGAAAACATTCGATCTCTAATGATCAAAACCGCCGATTCCCTGAGCTTACCTGTGTATGAAGCAGAAGAAGAAGAGGGAGTAGTTTATGAAGATACTGACGAAGAAGACGAATAAACGAATAGACATCTAGACAAATATCACTCGCTTTTCTCTTTTTTTTTACCATTCAAAATACTCATAAGAATTATAACCTCAAAAAAAATTGCATTTTGTATTTATATTTATATTTATATTTGAATTTATATGGGGATTTCCAAGATGTAGGGTTCTTGTGTTTATAACATGTTTGTTCGTTTATTATTAACAATAACAGATTATAAATAGGATGTTAAGAAAAGAAGGAGGAGGAAGAGGAAGGAGGAGAGAAATAAAAGCGAGAATGAAAGGAAGAGTGAGAGAAAAGGGATATAAAAAAATGTGTAGGGTATGAATTGAAGACTTATACTTTGATCAAATTGGTTACCTTGACACTTCCATCCATGTTGCCCAAGAGACAAGCATTTGATGAATTTGTCCAATCCACGGCTGTAATTTTTTGATACGCGGGTTGCTGTCCAAATTGAAGAGCTGTTTGCCCATCCGATACTTGGTAGATGCTACCCTGTGTGGTTCCTGAGTTCGTAGATCCGGCAAATGAACTGTTTGTGCTGTAGTTGTTACGTTCCGATCTCATAGAAAAGATCGAGGAAGTTGACGATGATGGTCGAGGAGAGTTTGATGTACGTCTACCATAGGCTGATGATGCACACAGTACATAATCTGTATCCGCACTAAATGCTACCATTTGTGATCGCGGTGAGAACGAGAGTAAAGATTGGGTGACGCTATCATCAAGAGTAATCATCGGAAGACGCCCGGATCTGTTCGAAGATATCGAAAGTCGAGAAAGGGAAGAAGTGGAAGGATTTGACTTTGGCCGGGGTGGTAAAATATTGGTGGCAGGAAGAATTGGAGATGCAGCAATAGTGGCGGTAATGGATTGTAGAGAAGTAGGAGGTAAGGCTGTAGAGGAAGGTGAGGTGACAAATGGGTCGGTGTGGATTGCTGTTTTGTGAGAGCTGAAGGCTGCCGGTGGAGGAAATCCTTGTAAAGAAGAATTACACAGACTATCACCGGGTTTATGAATTGACCATTGAGATAGCTATGTTATATATGTATGTATGTGAGCATTTGAAGACTATTATTGTTTCAAACTCTTTTATGTTATATTATATTATGTTACCTGTCCACTATGGTCTACAGTGTATATTGAATTTTCGTCAAAACTAAACTGTGCCATGCATGCTGGTTGCCCTGACGCTGTCTTCCACTCCATGATTGATTTCATACTTCGCACATCTACACTGTAATTATTAGTGGCCGTTTTGCTTTGTTATCTTTACATTAGAACTTGCCAAATATTCTCATAAATCCATCATTATCGCCAGCGACTAGCATTTGACCGTTATGATTGAGTTTGATGGTATTGATATCTGCGCATGTCTCATTGGAATCCAATCGGAAAGTGCCCTGAATAAATTGATGCGTGCAATGAACGATTGTATTTAGTTAAATGTGGTGTCTTGAGGGGTTATTACAAAGCTTACGATTGCAGCCATGGTTTTCATGCTCCATGCAACAAGTACACCATCTCGTGTATCATCCGCAGATGCTTTGCTTCCTGAGCCCGCACAAACAAACATGGGTTCTACTGGACTGCAGGATAGCTGAGTAACCCTAAGGATCCCAACACACATATGTAATATATATATATACAATTAGAAAAAGCTTTTAATAGTGTTATATTGAGCCATCAATCTTACCATGGGTACTTTTCATCCATTGTAAATTCCTGGACCACGGACTTATTTTCGATGTTATACACTCTAATTTGACCAATGTCTGTACCTAAAAAGAGCTACAATAAAGATCAATAATTTTTTTTTTGGATCCGTAGAGCACAACTTACAAAGCGGTCCGATCTTGCCTCCCACTCCATGGATAGAATATTTGAAGTATTATTGTTGACCTTGAGTGGATTGAAAGATTGTCCTTTGTAGCTCCAAATACTGCACATAATCATATATCAATAAGAAAAAGAAACGAACATAGCTATAGAATTTATTAAAATAAATCCCTACCGAACAATATTGTCCATATCACAGCTAGCGATGAGATTTCCTTCTGTCGAAAATTTTGCGTGGGTAATCGCAGAAGCATGTTCAGAGAATTCTTCCTAATACCTCAGTTAGTTAATCCCTTATATTATATCTTATTTGTGCATTCCTATTGTTGTCGCCTTTATTTTTGGAGGCACTTACCTGGCTCACAATCACAAATGGCTCTTCATCTCCCATTGAATGGACTTTGTCTACAGTATCACGGAGTTCTGCTACAGTTTCTGTGATAACTCCTTTTGGTACTGTCTTTTCATTCTTTTTCTCTTGTGAGCCTACTTTGGCTTTTGCCCCATTGGCTTTTGCGTCAGTTGTCATCGATGCTGCCCGACGGCGGATCAACGTAATTCCATCGGTCATCTCTCGTCGTGTCTCTGCTACCTATCCAAACCAATGTCAAAACAAGTTTTCTTTTTCTTTCTTTCTTTCTTTCATCTTATTTTATTTTGATATATATATATATATATATATTAGTTAGCATACTTCATGCTTCAATTTTGCTATTTCGTTTTCTCGCGCATCTACCGTTGCCTTTAAATTATCGACCGAACTTTTTAAGCTTTCTATTTCAGTCTGCTGAGCCTTGCGTTGGATTCGCTCAATATTAAAAGACAAAAGACTCGGAAGGGCTATTTAATTAGGTAATGGACAGTTAGGCTATTGTTTTACCGAAACTGATGAACTTGGCAATATAATCCTATTTAATTTTGCTCTAGAATTCCAACTTACGCATGTTTTGAAATGTGGTTGCTAGAAAGTTGTGTAGAGAAATTGTATAATTTTCTACCCACTGTTTCGAGAAAAATGTCTCGAATGTGGGATCTGTAGCTGGCTGTTTTACATAAGGTAAAGCTAGTATAGATATATAAAAGAGCAGTGATAGTGATGTTTAGTACGTCGATCCATTTTATCAAAAGATATCTCTCCAATATATCACACCCATTCTCCATTTATGTTGCTGTTACTAATATTTCCCCAACCAGAAAAGAGACTCAAATCTTACCAAACCATTGTGACCACTCTGGTTTTCCATGTAAATCTGGGCCATATGTATCAAAGAACTCGATCACCTTGTCCTTTTTCTTGTGTTGCATGGCTAACACAGTATGCAATAAAGATGTGATGCGATGCGATGCGATATGGTGCAATACGGCAAGGTCAGGTAAGGTCAGGTAAGGTTTATAATTCAATAGAATGCAATAGAATACAATACAGTTGAGTACGATCCGATAATCCAATGACAAAATGTTCTTCTTTTGTTGCCCTCTATAGAAAATAATATCACCCGACCCGTCCAAACTCAGAAATTAAATTTACCGTGTACCAAATAATGCCGCAAAAGACAAAGCTCAAACTTCTTGACGGTTCTCTGAAAACGACTATCGAGCCGAGAAAAGAAGCGTACGTCGAGATATCGATAGTATTCGAGCATATAGACAACATCCCCATGGATAACATATCCAATTAATTCCTCTACAATTTTATCCACCTAGAATATGTAATATAAAGACAAGAATAATTCAAAGAATAACCCCCCACCACCACCACCACCAAAAACAAGAACAAGAACAATAGGAGGATAAGGAATAATATCAGACATCGATATATATTGTTTCTATGGTTATTGTATTTGTTTCGTCTCTTTTGGGTTGCGACACCCCAGGGGTAAAAAAAAAAAGAGCGAAAGAGAAAATCCCTTTTTCCCCCCCACCCAGTTGAAAAAAAAAAGGAAAAAGAAACCAAGTAATTGGTTCATTTAATAAGAATTTACCTGAAACCCTTTATCTTTGTCGAGACGACTTTCTGTTTCAAGTGCCCGGAATGTGTTTGTAAATCCTCTAAACTAATCCGATGCGTAGAGTCAAGCGAGTGAGAGAATAGATGAGAAATGCTGTTCTCATTACTGAGTATCGAGTTGTTTGCTTGCTAAGAAGAACGACCGTCGTGCGAGACACACACACATATAAAAGAGTGTGTGTGGTAGGTGGGCTTGCTTACCAAGAGATACTCCTTGACAAGTTCATCCACTTGGACTAACGAATTCATAATATGTGGATTTTACAACGTAGTTTTTTTTCTTCTTCCAACGCCCGCAGGATTTTTTAGGAGTAATAGGAGCCCCTCTCTCTCCCCTCCCTCCTTCCTCCTTCCTTCGCCCGTTCTTTGCTTTTCGCAGTCACACGAAAGATGATTTTGGTTTGGTTTAAAGGCAGAATCCGACATCCTTAAGAAGCCTAAAGGAGAAACAAGTTCCATTTTTATACATTTTACATTGAATGCTTAGAGCTCATAAGACTATATAACATGTACCTTTTATAAAGTTAATAAAATATGTACCTACATCTGAAACCTCATTCCATTTAGACAAAAAAAAAGAAGTAATATAAAGACACAATTTGATTTCTCATTCTACCAATCGATTTAATATCCAAAATTTTCTACAACAGAAAAGTAGAGCCTTTATAATTATATTGATAATCTAAGGTGCTGTTGCATAGTGTGTATTCACACACATACATACATATTTACATCTGGCGTAACTAAGGCTCTACTAGTATTTAGAATGAATTTATCTATAATCAAAAGTATTATTGAAATTCAATAAAAAAAACACATATATTGAATTGTTCTTGCATGCAAGTACTTAATTATCCTTGCTTTCTCCTCTTCCTTCTAAACCCCTCCCCCCAAGCAATCCGAGTAATAGATTGAAACATACACTTTGTAGCCTTTACAAAAGGATATATTTGAGCGTTTTTTATGTGCTTGATATTGATATTGATATTGATATTGTGATGGGCAAACATGGCCGTTTTCAAGGACATGGTGAGTTAGCTCTCAGGAACTTGAAAACTAACAGTTACATACTCTATGACAACATTAACCAAATTTCACAAAAATACGAAAGGAACAAGAGGCCAACACAGTGCGACAATAATTATGTTAGACCTTTAAATTATCGTTGAAAGTAAACAGGCGGGTATGGGAACTCAAAATTTACTGTAGTGTTAAAATTAAATCAAGAGGCTACAATAATTATAAGGAAAGTTTACAAATTATACCAAGTATATATAAAGAGCAGGACAATCAACAATAAATAAATAAGTAAATAAAACACACCCACAATGAATGAGATGCGCAAAGGAAGTTTGAGGATAAAGAACTGCTTCCCCAAACTAAAGGGTTTGAGTTTTTGTCATTCATTTATGTTAGATATATATTGGTAAGAAAACTACAAGAAAATTCTGGCCAAATGGTGAGATGAGTTTTCAGTTCAAAAACCTCATCATAGAAACAAGGTCAAGAAAGTGTATACTTCTTTTATACATTGTCAGTTGTCGCACTAGCTTCCTCTAAAATATAGTCGGAAGGAGGCCAGATAATTGAGGGGGCCTTCCCTTTTTTTCTTTCTTTAAGTAGTACTCGGCTCAAATTTGAAATTTGAATCTTGTTGAGGATGTTTTATAGAATCTTAAGTGAACTAAGAGTGAATATTGAAACAACAACAACAAAAGGAATTACATGACTTGAAGTCTTTTACAAAACAAAGATATGAAATAATTGTAATTGTAATCGAACTTGGATCAAGCTTTACAAGGTATATCCCAAACTGTTCTCAATGGTTTCTAAAGATGTGTACACTCTTGTTTTGCCTTTATTTATTTATTTATTTTGCTTTTAAAAATCTATAGATTCTCAGTAATACGCATATGGTATTTTCAATTATATATTAGAAAGTATAAAAGCTTCTTGCTTGTCACCAACTGGATGAGTAGCTGTATGTTTTTTTTTACATGTTGAGTATATGCCATGCTTTTTTTAATAGAATTTTTATTCTCGGAAGATGAAAACTTTTTTGTTTTTGTTTTGTTTTGTTTTTCGGTGGGAGTGTATAAAACTAAGCGTAGGAAAGGGAGGAGGATTTCAAGAACATGTCATTTTTTTATATCTTCTTCTTCTTCATCATCTTTATCTTCTTCATCTGTTTTTTTTTCTTTTAGGAGAGAGGATAACATGGTTTATATGTTAGGAGTACCGGAATTGTATTGGTCGTATAAGTTTTGCTGCTGTTGATTCCATTGGGCATGTGTAGCTTGTTGAGCTCCATGTCCATGAGTATTGAGGTTTTCTAGAGAATTAGATCCACCAACTGCAGCGTGTGAGAAAGCATAACCATTGGTTATCTGCTGAGGAAATCCAGATCCACCACCGTGTCTGGGATGAGCTCTACCAGAGTACTGCTGCTGCTGCTGTTGGTGCTGCTGTCGGTGTTGGTGGAGATGTTGGTTGTTACCGTTGTTGTTGTAATGTCCTACACCACCACTGCCCATAGCACCCATGGCTCCAGGGTTATTAGCGTGCCAGTTGGCCTGAGCCTGATATCCTCCGTTGTTAGAGTTTACTGCTACTCCGTTCCCATTAACAGGGCTAGAAGCAACACCTGCCTGTGCGGGAGCAGCATTGGCATGGCCATATGCTTGCCATCCAGGTTGAGGGCGATCCTTTCCCCATGAAAGCTATACATATACATGCATATATATATATATATATATATTTAGCAAAGTGATAATAATAAGAATAAGAATAGGATATATATATATATTATACATCATTTATTTGCCTTCTTACCTTGGCTTGTCGACCATTAATGCTCATATTCTGCAATTGCACGAGGGCATTGGCGGCATTCTCGTGGGTGTTCATCCTAATCAAGTTCAATCCTTCAAAATTAGCCAAAACCACCCACTTTCTCTTTCCTATCCCTCCCTCTATCTCTCCCTATTCACACTGTTTATATATATATATTACTCCATACTTGACAAAGGCAAATCCACGCTCTGCCTGGAGCTTTACTTCGACTACATAGCCAAATCTCTCGAAATATTGCATCAAATCAGCCTCTACAATAGATCATCGTAATAACAGAAAAAAATAGTTAGCAAATGGATGGCTTCCACGATATATATGTATATGCTTACGAGAGGTAGTAGGAGGCAAATTTCCTACATAAACAGTGGTAACATAAGCAGGTGTCTGCTGTACGACAACTTCATAAGGCAACTGCTGTCCAGGTTGGGGTGGTGGTGTGGCAGTCTGACCTGTATTCATTTACACATACGTACATACACATACACACAAGCACGCGTGCGCAAAGTAAAATAAAGTAAAAGTAAAATAATAATGGATGAGCCATGATGTTAAAGGTATACGGTGTAAAGTAAACCATGTACCTTTTTGTGTGGCCCAGTTGCACCGAATAGCGCGAGCTCCGAGCCATTCTCCGTTCATTGTTGCAATAGCCTGCTCAGCATCTGTCTTGTCACGGAATGCAACAAAGCCAAATCCTCTTGAGTTACCAGAGACAGCATCCCACATAACATGCGCGTCACTTTGTAGATTACGACCATTAGCTTATCAAAAACTGTACTTTCATATACACCACGCACCACAGCACTGCTTCCGAGTAATGAAGAAAATATATATTAAAAAAACACTTACGACATTGTGGTGAAGGCAGAGAATGCTTTAGAGAGCATTTCGTCGTTGATGTCAGGGGACAAGTCACCGACAAACACATGGAAGTGGCTAGCAGTATCTTCCTTGACTTGAGTTCCTTGGCCTGGCTGAGCCCAGTTTACTTTGATTTCCTAAATCACCAAAAGGCAAACGTATTAGAGGAGGTCTTCTTTCTTTCTTTCTTTCTTTCTTTCTTTCTTTCTTTCTTTCATTGTTTTCTTTTCTTTTTTGATTTTTAAAGAGTAATCTAAACTTTTATCTCGCCCCAACTTTACATAATTGAATATCTTGCGTCTGTTCATTTGCAGCAAGGCAGCCTCGGCCACAGTACGGTCAGCAAACTCCACAAAGCCATAGTTGACAGCACCCTAGAAAAAGTATTATAAAAAGTATATATATTTAAGTACTTGATAATAATAAAAATAATAACACTAAGGTTAAGACCTTTAACACTTACGTAAGGACCATGGCGTCTCATCTATCAGATACAAAAGCACACGTACAAATATACACGGAAAAAAAGATAGTCAGAAATAAACAAGCAAAATAATCATTAGTCAATGAAAATAAAAAGGTATTGAAAGTAAGACATACTACTTTAAAGAAGAAAGAAAAAAAAACATTTATTACTATTCATACCGTCATAATCTTTACGCTGGTAACTGGTCCGATGGTAGAGAATATTTCATTCAACATGCCATCTGTCACTCTGAATATTATTATTTTTAAAAAAAAACAAAAAAAAAAACAAAAAATAAAAAGGTGAGAAAAAAAAGAGGTCGAATTTGATGTCGATTGGATGATGTCGTGTTGGAAAAAAAACAATCCTGGTGATTGTGTATTTTGACCATCTTTGAGACTTACCTTTGATCAAGATTACCGACGTAAATGGTCAATGCAGGGTTGCTAGTGACCACAGCTTCTCCATTAGTAGTAGGTGTCGACATTAGAGCAAGTAAAGGTGTTCTCCAATAAAATGTGTCTGTAGACAAGAATATAGAGAAAAAACCAAGTCACTGAAAAAGGGAAAAAAGGCAATCGAAATCGAGATGGAAAAAAAGGGGGGGTGGGAGAGAGGGAGGGTGAGTCTATAAAGTACTTGTTAAAACTGAGCTTATACCATTATGGTTAAGAATATATGGTAATGAAAAATAAGCGCATGTATGCCGAGTATATATACGGACACACACACACACACACACATACATACATACACACATATATATATATAGTTACATAGATACATAGATACATAGATACATAGATACCCTTACACTTTGTCTTGTTATCAGAATATCCTTATAAGATTTATCTTCCAACTGAGATAACAAAGTAACAAGACCGAAAATAAAACTTGTATGATAAAGAGTATGTTCGTGAATGGGCTTCTGTTGAAACATGTCTCTTTTCTCTAAAGCAAAAAATCTTTTAGCGCCTCAAGGAAGATCTAAATCTCGGTTAAACCTCATTATTCCCAATACAACATCTTACAGTACTATTGACCTCTTTACTTTCTTAATTTAATTGAGTTGATTTGAGTTGATTTGAGTTGAGTTGAGTTAAGTTGACCTGTGCAACACTTTCTCCCTTCCTTCTCTTTCTCTATTATTATCTCTGTTACTTAAATAAACGTAAAAAAAATGAATGGGGCTTCTCCTTCTTCCCTCTTCTTTACCGAATATGTTTCTCTTCAGAATAAAGATAATAAACTCCTATTTCTCGCTTTGTAATAATACTGTTAAAAAGTAGATGTACATTTCATTTAATGTCACTGGTTTCTTGGATTCGAACCAATCACTGGTTATATATATCTATATATATATTTAAGAGGTTGATCTTTGTACGCCAAATACATATATATTTCTTCTCTTGGTCATTTTATTGAATATGTTATTATTTAGCTGTATATGTATGTATGTGTTCTCTTTTCTTTCTTTCTTTCTTTTTTAAAAAAATACACACTGTATATTAAATCCAACAACCTGTTTTTTTTTGCATACGCTGTGTAAGGATACAACCATAATATTCTTTAGGTCTTTAAGGAGATTTGATGCTTTGTAAGGATGCCTTTTTAAAGCTGTGAAACTCCCTGTAGACTTTCATATTTAATACAATACAGGGCATTAAGGATGCCAAAGGAAAGCCGAAAAGAAGAAATAAAGAAAGAACGAAAGGAATAAAAGGATCTAGTATTCATAACCTCCTTCTTGAACCCTGATAGATGATATATCAGTCTTTAAGGTTTTATATACACGCGCCCAAAGAATATTGACAAATGTTCTATATACAAGAAATAGTACGAGGTGTAATGCACCTATTGATCTGCTTGAAGAAGAAAAATTGATATTTGATAGTTACACTTTTTATCGAAGGTGCACAAATACTGAGGACAATAATACATCTGTAAAGTTAACTTCTAAGGCTCTGTGTATCTACACTGGTTACCAGTAGCCTATACTTATGGTACATAGTACTTAGTATATTTCTTCTTCTTCTTTATCTCCTCTTCCTCCTTTTTTTTTACGTCGGTTCACTTTGGTTAATAAACGCAGTCAAGATTTCTTGTGTAGCCATAAGAAGGTACTTTAATATTTAGCTTTGTATTGTATTGTTATAGTGTAATTTATATGTAGATTTAAGAAGCACAGGAAATTAATCAATTATAAAGTAACCAGGTACATGGTGCGATTCCGAGGTAATATAATTCTTCATTTAAACTATATTTTATTTTATTTTATTTTCTTTATTTTTGAGATTTGAGTAAAGTCAAGTTTTCATTCCAATTCTCATATTTTTTTTGAATACCAATTTTACGTCAATAATACAAACTTGCGATCAATGACTGACTAAACTGGATCATAAAAGGGTTCAATTTAAGCTTTTTACTAACCCCCAAAATACAGTATAAGCTTATATATCACCAGATGGTCTTACTATCATTATTTATTTATTTACTTATATAAAAACAACAGCTTATTAAACAAAGAAGTCTCATGTCCCATATTATTTTTATTTGCTTTTAATATTTTACTTGGTACAGCTCCCATGCTTATAACCAATGTGTGACTTGATTTGATACAAGTCATTGTCATGGAGGCACAAAAAGAAATAGAGGAGGGAAGAATAGATGAAGTCGTTGTGAAAAGACTGAATCACAAGAAGATTTTTATAGTACACTCTCCGAATTTCTGTGGGGATAATTCCTTTTACGCACACATACAAACGCACCTTCTCAATTGATTAGAGTGAGTGATGAGGTTACCTCCTATTTACTCTCGAATATTCGATATTAATATATAATACGATAAAATACAATGCAATGGCTTGGTTTGGCTTTGGTTTGATTCATATATATAAGTATTCTTATCTGTTAAAGAAGTTTCAAGAACAGAACATTACATGCCTCTTAATGTGCAAGTTAGTATGTATGTAATATTGAGTTGGTTCTAAAAAACAAATTATAGTAAATAGTATATACTACATACAACTCCATGATATATGTCAATTAGTCCCTTTTAAATCTACTTAAATTTTGCGTGGATTTTCAATAAAGGAAACTTTTTTGTATACCAACTTGGCTGTCCACTCTATAATTTTCTCTTTTTCATAACTAGCATTTGACTTGGAAAATCTAGCCATACTATGCAGTAATGTTGACTTGTGATGAGCAATTAACTATCAAAGAAGTTCAAATCTTCTAATATATGTATGCATGCATGTGTGCATATATGTATATTCTGATGCACTGCAAGCTAAACTTTAATAAACTACTATATATTCAGAAATAATGATGATAATATTATTAATAATAATACAAAAAATAAAGCTAAATTTTCCTCTGTGAGCTTCAAAATCGCTAGCGTATCCACGATGAGACGTCCCTTTTGTTACAAGATATAAAGATTTCTTTTGAGTTTTTTTTTAAAAAGAATATAAAGATAATATAAAGTATTATACAGAGCGTCACTACTGGTCAAGAAGTGGAGGAGAGCCACATTCACACACTCATTCAAACATTCAGACATTTACACACATAGTTCAAATCAAGTATAATGATTAGCTTTCTCTGCAGTCGGGGAGGGCATTTCCATTGGTGGCCATGGGAAGTCGGACCCAAACTCGGAACCCATAGACTGGGTTGATTCGTATTTGTTCATATCTTTAAGCTTTGGTTCGTAAGAAGTACGCTTCTTAGTTCCGTACGAAGATATAGAGGAAGCCACTCTGGATGGCATGTCTTCTGCTTCTTGAATAGAGTATATACTGTGGCGGTCGTGGAAGGGATCGTCAGTTGCTCCGAGAGGTGCCGAAAGTGGCCGGTTAAAGGTCTTTGCTGCATACGTATTATTATTGCTTCTACTACCATGAGCGGGCGGAGACAACATATCTTTGTCGTTAGGAGTAGGTGACACCATGCGCTTCTTTGGTCTTAGGGGCATTGTTTTGGATCGAGCAAGGCTAGAGTCATTTGTAGGGTGATCTCTGTCTTTGGTTAGAATGGCTCGGACAGATCCACTTCGTTGAAGGGATGACGCTGGTGAATTGGTCGAATTTTGTGAATTGGACTCAATACTCTTGATCGTATTCACTCGCATAACCTGGGGTTTCTTGTACACAATCTTGGCAGCCTGAGACATGGTTGCCATTCTTATAGGTATATTCTGACCAGAATGGACAGAACTGCATCGGCTTTCGTCGTCATCATCTGCATAAGGGTCATCGAAATCCTCATTTTGTACATAAAGTGAATTTCTATCTTGATTTGGATGGCCTTGGCGGGAACGATGATCGGTCGGTGTGGGAGATTGGGGTTGAGATTGGGGTTGAGATTGACCTTCGGTCTGCTGATTATGGTCGGTACCCGGAGTGTCTGTTTCTCCTGCATTTGGTACAATACGCTCATGAACAATTACCAGTCTATCTGCACGAGAGAAGGGAACTGCTCGTGTGTAGGTTGATACAGTTTCTTGAGAGACTCTAGGCTATTGTATTAAGGTAAAGATATGTATATAAATTAAAAATCGAAACAGTTAGACACAATAAAGTCTATCAAAGAATAGACTCAAAAAGAAAGAAAAAAAAATTTAAGAAAAAAGATATCAATATTCTTTACCTTTGGTTCTCTTTCATTTGACTGATCATAACGCGGTAGGTTAGGGCTCTGGAAAGCAAATCCTAGTCTATTTTGATTCCGTCTGTGGCGAAGGAAAGCAAACCCAATGCCAGCAAAGAGTAATGCACCGCCCACAAGACCACCAACGAGACCACCAATCAAGGGTCCATTGTTGCTATTACCATTATTACTATTGTTACTAGCTTTATTGCCATTATCGCTTAAGGTAGTGACATTTGCAGCAGTTGGACTCTGGCCGAGAACAGCTCGTTGGACACACGTGGGTTGTGGACAGACACCACATTTAATCATGGTCCCGATAATACAAGCCTCGGAAGAAGAACATAATGGGTTGCAAAGAGTTGCACAGTTTGAAGGGGTACAGCCAGAAGAAGTGGGTACGATAGTAGTAGTAGTAGTAGGTGTAGAGATTGATGTACTATTAGCTACATATATACACATATATAAATATTAAGATAGGAGGGAGGATTTGGAGAGGCTTAGTAAGTTTCAATTCTATCAACCAACAACCAAAAATATAAAATATAAAATATATATATATATATATAAAATAAAGTAGATTTTATTGATAGATAGATATGTGTTTGTGTTTGTGTGTGTATGTGTGTACCTGGTGGAGCAGCATGTGTTGATGGTAATGAAACTATTGTAATTAGAGCAGCAAGTATAATAGCAGATTGCCATTGTATTCTCATTGTGATTTTGTTGGTGTAAATCGAGAGGGAAAAATAATAATAATTAAGAGAAATAGTAGTAGAATGACGATGAGATCATTTAGCAAATGAGATGCTTAAACTACATTTGATAATAATAATAATAATAATACTAATAATACTAATAATATTAATATTAATAATTAATAAAATAAAGTATATATATATATATATATATATATATATATTATGTATGTATGTATGTATGTATGTATGTATATTATTATTATTTTTAAAGCACTAAAAAAATAATATGAGCGACAAAGAAACGCTTCACAGTAATAAAACTGCTGCGAATTAACTGTCGTACATTCGTCGTACACAGTCCATGGTTAAGGAAGAAAGGTAATCAAAACAGCCAGAGGACACGTTAGATACCCTATTTTTCGTGTTCCTCGACCAACTTCCAACGCATGGGTATATATTATATTATATTATATTATATATTTATTTATTTAATAAGAAGCCTTTTGTATTTTGTGAACACAATGTGTACTTGCCTACAAATACATGGATATACATTATATATTGATAATAAAAGATACACGCCTTTTTTCTTATTCCAGGTAAGAGAGTATGGAGATAATTTAAGTATATATACACTTTAGGATATTTTAAGTCTAATGATTTGTTGAGAAACCTCTTTAAAAAGCTTAGTTTAGCTTAGTTTAGCTTAGCTTAAGCTTAAGCTTAATGAGAATAGTAATGTAGGACCATTCATAGGCGCACACGCTCATACACATACATACTCTAGAGATACACACATGCTCACTTGCCAACACACTAAATGTGTATATATATATATAGGGTGATTGGGAAGGGTCTGACCATGTGTTCTACTGGTCTGTGCCTATCTTGTAGAGAAGCCTATTTTTCTTTTATACGATTTTCTTAGCAAGAAAGAAATCATATTATATACATATAAAGTGTGTATTTTTGTGGGTTTATTACTGAGGATAAAAAGACTGGATACACAAGTAATTATAAATGGAAAAATATAAATTGTTAAATGATTACAATGGAGAGGAATTCCAAAACAATATGAGCTCAAAAAGCAATCCTTTTGTTTGTTGTTGTTTTTAGTCTGTAAGAATCGAAAATATTGAGGCTTTTTAGCCAAGAAACCCATTGTCAGTGCTTGGTTGATTTGAGCTATTTAATTTAAATGAATTAGCACATATCAATAATGACACCAACAATGACAGTAATAATGATAGTAATAGTAATGATAATAATAGTAGTAGTAGTATATTTTTATATTGTAGATATAATGAAAAAGGACAAAGAACAAAGGGAAAGGAAGACTTGAGATGAATTAAAGGGCTTTAATTATACAACAGTAGCAGCAAGAACAATAAAATAAAGATAAAGATAAAAATAAAAAAGAAGATGATTTGGACCTTATATTATTGACATATGTCCTCTCTCCGGAGTGAGTTTTGTGCAGAAAATGCGGCTTCTTTTTTCTCCATTTCTTTTGTCTTTTCAACAAACGTACGTTTTGATTCTTGCTTGGCGGTCTTTGATGAAAACGGAACGACAAACACATGTTTCAAGAACCAGCTGACCTTTCCAATCGGTTTCTTACTAGACTCTACTTCCTGGACAGCTATCACTCTGCGGCGGACAGGGGGAGGCGGCGGCGGTGGGGGTTGTGTCGATCGAGCAAAGAAATGGTGATTTTTTGGAGGTTCAGGTTCAGGATGAACAAGCACCTTGGGTAACACAGAGAGATCTACATATCAATGAAATCTTGCGATTTAATATATATGTACTTGTGTATTCATGTACCCCAATGTTCGAGTACTCATATACTCATATACTAATATATTCATATACTCATGCACGTATATATATATATATATATATATATGAAGTTGTAATTATATATTGATTTCTATTTTTATTTTTATTTTATTCTTACCTTGTGCAAGTGTTTCAAGAAGTCCTTTGTCAAGCTGATCAAGTATATGGTGTGTACGCAACTGGTCAACATGAGATGCCATAAAAGCCAAAATTGTGTCCTTGGCAACCTGCAGGATCTCCTTCACACGTTCTCCATGTTGGACAGCGTGTCGGCACATGAGCTGGCGAACGATACCAGTGTAAAAGACAGCCGTGTTGTTTTCATTCATCTCGTTAGAAAGTGTTTTTGTGAGCAGATAAGACAAAAATTCGGGTGTGTAGGAGATTCCGTCAACACAGGACAACAGACTCGGATATTCTGAACAATAAAAGTAAAAATGACTGGCAATTGTGCGGGTGACAATACTGTGAGCAGCCTGGAGAGTCGTGTGAAGAGGCTGACTCCAGCTAACATTTGGATCGTTTTTCTGAAGTGCCTGGAGGCCTACAAAGCAGCCATAGAGAGACTCGATTGCATTTCCCTTGTTGATTCGTTCCAGGATCTGTTGGTTGAAATAATCGTGGACCTCGGGTGCGTTCTTGAGTTGATCGGCTAGTTCGGGACTGGTGTAAAATGTCTGGAGGGTTTTGTCGGGGTCATGCGTCATGACTTTAATCGCAGCCTGGGCTATTTGAATCATCTGCTGGTCGTCTTCTTGGTATTGGACTTGCGCTCGCGAAATCTCAAGGATCTGAGGTACATTTGTCTGGCAAGACTCGCAATAACAGTTGAATTGATGTCCAAGAGCCCTTATCCGGTCCGCCACCAAACTACAGAGCAATTGCATTCCAAGGTAATCTGCAGCGGAGTAGATATCTCCAAGTAGTGGTGGCGTGTTTGCCACCAGCTCGGCAGTGTACATATAATGAAGAATACCATCAAGAGCTGAGACAGTAAATATACCTCTGGGAAGGAATACAATCGTTGCTCTGGACTCTCTGAATTCACTCTCAAACATAGAGCTAAAGTAAGGTGAATGTTTAGCTAAGACAGCTTTGTGACAAGACCACCGAGTCCGTTCTCCGCTCTCTAGTTGTATATCAGTCTTTGCTGCGGTTGATGAACGATGATCTGGCCCCATTGCGACAATCACATTAGGTGGTGCATCTTCAAAGACAAAACGTTCTGTCATTTTAGTGAGCAATATGTTTAAAAAAATTTAAGAAAAATGTATATATATAAAAAAAAAAGAAGTTAAGGAGCAGTAAGAAGAATACGTTTCACACACAACACACGCGATAAAATATACATTTAAAGCATACACGCTTAGAAGAAACCGCGCCACTTTTTGACTCTATTGGTTATACGCTCTATTTGGCATATTTTGTTTTCTTTTTCTGTTTATTTAATCGTGAATTATTATTTTATTTGATTTTATTTTATACTATTTTATAATATTATATATTTATATATTTATATATTTATATCTTTTTAGTTACGGTGTCTTCTATAATACCACCATGCTATGCCCGCCACTGTCAATACAGAACTGAGGGCCAATACGATAGACAAAACGTTGCTGTCGGTCTCGGTGTCTTTAGCTTTACGAACAGCTCTTCTCTTCTTACGGCGCGGCTTGCTATTGAGTTCCACAGGCTTGGTTTTGGTTGTTTCTGGAATAGCATCCCAATCCATCACTGGACTGACACCCTCAGGTACCACGAGCTTTCCAGTCGGATCCAGTTTACCTGCACGACCGAACCACTTGCCAGCTTCGAACAAATCCTGCTCGACACCCATACTATTGGCATACAGAATACCAAGGTTGTAACATGCCTGTGCGTGACCCAGTACACCAGCCTCTTGCCAGTATCGAATGGCCAGCTGAGGGTCTGATTCGACAGTAGTGACCGAATGCACTTGTTCACCAGCTGGTGAAGATCCATAAAGATACATAAGACCTGTCTGGAAAGCCGCACTGCAAAAGTATCTTTCGTCTCTGGTGTGTGGAGCATGGTTACGTAAAGCTGATTTGGGGATCTTTCCATCCAACACACCAAAATCAATATCAATTTTAGGGGACGTAATGGCCATACAGCGGTTGAAGTATGCCAGTGCATCAACATAGCTCTTTTCTACACCGGCTTCTGTTGATCCAGATCCGTATGTACTTCCGACAATATAACAGGCAAGGGGGTCAGGTCCACTGCTGCTGTTGGCACCGACAGCTTGCTCAGGCATATCGGCTGCTCTCTTGTACCACTCGAATGCCTTGACCGGATCGCGAGGTACTGAGTGGGTTGTCTTACCACTACCAACTACCTCACTATCAGCCTGGAGATTACTGTTAATGAAACTGAACTGAATTTATTTTTCATCAATGCACATGCATGCCAAGCGCAAAAAAATAATAATCAACCAAAATATATGTATATATGTATGTGTATATTATATATATATGTATATATATAAATACATATATACATACATATATACATACGTACATACATATACATATATATATATATTATTCTTACCTCATAAAGAGCAGCCACCTTGATCATAGCACGTGTGTAATTACGTTGGGCTGCACTAAGATAAAAGTCCAATGCTTTCTACTCAAAACGCATCAGCGGTGTCCGCACCCACTTCCTCGGAAGGGAAAGTTGAGACCGTCTATTACCTCCATGTGTCCCATACGTGCTTCCAACCACACGCCAAGATGGAAGGCACTTGTAGGATCTAACTCCATTGTGTTGGGCTCTAAGCTTCCAGAAATCGGCACTGCCCATGTCAAACCCTCTTCTTCCTTCTCGAGGTGAAGTGTGAGAATACGATATTTAGTTGTTGGCTGGCAATGTGACTGCCCTTGCAGGGGAGGTGTCTCAATGTGGGGTGGGGTAGCCATAATTGGCGACGATGGCTGGGACACATCGGGGGAAGGTGATGATGAGCCGAGCGCAGCTGTCTGTTGAAGTAATTCTGCAAGGTTAGCAGCAGAATGGTCAAGGGTGCTTGATTCAGCAAGCGCCGGCGCTGGCAAAATCATGGAAGAGTTGGGCGAGTGGTTTGGCGAGGACATGAAGGCATACGAAGATGCAATTGAAAGTGAAGGTGATGTTGTCATTGATGACACGGGTGACATTGAGTTCTTTTCAATTTGCCACAATGAGGCAAAATGGTTTACGGGAGCAAACAGTTTTCCCTGAATACCATCGAAATAGACGGGTTAATATGATGTGCGATAATATTAATAGCTATAATACTAATAAAAATGGTAATAGCAGCAGTAACAGCAGTAGCAGTAGTAACAGTAACAGTAGTAGTAATAGTAATAACAAAAGTATTTAAGAATAAGAATTGTAATAGCTGTAGTGATAATAATATAAAGTATAATATAATATAATATAGGCTGCAAAATTCACCTGTATGACGGGAGGTTGCCCTTTCAGACCGGCCTTGACATATTGAGCCTTGATGACGATATCAAAGTCCTTCGAGTGGCATGTTTCGGGAACAAGGAAAGACAAAGTAACTTGGTCATCACTTTGGCTCCAGATGTAGGTGTTTGCCTGGAGCTGGTCATCTAAATCGCCCATGTCAGTTCGTTTGTTGTTTGTAAAGACAAGGTCCTTGTCATCGAAACCCGGTGATTTTTTTTTAATAAAACCTGGTACCCCCCAAACTTCAAAGTGGCTTGTACAAAGTTATTATATATGTATATATATATACATATGGACAGTCAAGCTGAGAGGGAAGGGGGAAGAGGGGAGATGATACCTTGATTTCATAAAATGATCAAAAGGATTATGTAATGATAAAGCAGCCTAGACAGTCAGTGATTAATAAGTAATACACCTTTTGTTTATTTTATTTTATTTTATTTTATTTTATTTTATTTTGGTATTGCTAATATTACAAAAAGAACATTTGAAGCACTATAAACAAACGGTGGCATATATACATGTGTATAAAAATAGTGCTGCACAAATCCAGCGCTGATTAGTTATAACCAAACTGGCTTTGCAAAGATTGACTGTCCTCCATAATAATCACATAATTGAGCCGAGGGTTTAAATATATTCAAAAAGGATGAATTTCATCTTATATATATATATATATATATATAGTATTTATTAAGATATCTTTTAAGTGGTGGCTATTTTGAAGACAGTAAAAATACAAGGCGTTGATTCTGCGGTATCTATGGTATCTGCTTTGATCTTTATATATTAAAGTTTTTTATTTAAGAAATCTATTTGGTATATATGCAGGGGTAGTGCTGGGGGGTAGAAGAGAAGAGGGAGAGTGGGGGTTTTTTGTGTACAGTTCTTGTAGGATTTCAACAACTGTTTGGAATGAATTTTGGCTTTGCTTCCCAGAAATAGGTTCTGTTTCATTCCGCTCAGGTAACACATGCATTGGCCCTCGTATGCACAGCTACTTATCATCCGTCAGACTTGAATTCCCGAACTCCAATTGTCTATGTAATTTTGTAATTCTGTTCTAATGCATTTTAACCTCATTGGCTATATCCTTATTTGATGGCCATCAGTAAGTTTACACTGAAATCGCGAGAGGTAAACCTATTAATTTGACTTGTGAAAAAGAAGTTTTTTTTCTCTCTATTTAAATACTGGGTTTCCTAGGATTCGGGTAGCTTGAACTCTCTTTAAATTTATATTTTTAAAGAAGAAAGCCTCCACTTTCTTTTCTTTTTACTTTTACTTTCACATACTTCTTTTGTTTTATGGACCGTACTCGAGATATGCCTCCTTGCGCCCGTCTTAAAGTTGGGCACGCTTGCTACACATGCAGAACCAAGAAGATCAAAGTAATGTATATCAAATCAAATCCTAAATAAAGTAAAGAAAACCCCACATCATTAACTAACTCAACTATAATGGTTATCTTAGTGCGATGGAATTAAGCCATGTATGCAGGTAACTGAAGCCAAAATACAAAAAAAAACTGAATTATTGCTGATCTGTTGCGCGAAATAAATATATTTATTTTATTTAATAACTCATTGTATACATTCTTATTTATCTATTGTTTTTATTAAAATTCATAATATTGCTATTTCATTTGGAATCTTGATTTGATTCGATTTAATTTAATTTAATTTCGCTCAGTGCAAAGGTAAATAATATTTTGTATAATTATTTCCTAAAGAAGAATATTTAAAGTGAACTTTATTTAATATTTTGACTTGTAAAAAAAAAAGACTATTTGTAACCATGTTTCTCTCTCTCTCTCTCTTTAGCGCGTGGGCGTATTTGCGTGTTCAGTAAGGACGGCGTAATCGACGCTGGGTGTGAGGAAAGCGAAGAAGACAAAGACCATGAAATGGAAAATGAGGATTCAGATTCCTTTCTTTTTTCAACAACTATGTCCACTGAACAAGAGCAAAAACAACAAGCGACAAAAAATTGTGAAACTATTACTAGCCACGAGATGGCGTTACGTGCCAAAGTTCTTCAAACGAAAGATCCAAATCATCCAAACTACACGTGTTTTTCCTCCCAAAATGCATCTAAAAGCCAAAATTCCGGCCATTTATCTCACATAGACCTCTTTGGAGATTTCATCAAGTGGTCCACCGAACCTCTCCCTCCTTCAAAATACTGTGGTTCAACTACTATGCCTCCGGTTGATATCCAATTACGTCTGTTAGAGATTTTTTTCGCCGAATGCTGTGAACTATTGCCAATACTCCCAAAACAGCATTTTTACCAACAACTGAACTCCAAGGGCCCATTAATCACACCTTTTCTTCTCAACACCTTATACATGAGTAGCTGTAGATTCGCTAAATGTCTCGGCGAAGGTTACACCCCCGAGCTATTTTACAACAGAGCCAGGCGACTCTTGGATGATTTTATGGACATTCCACGAGTCAGTACTGTCATAGGTCTTGTCTTACTTTCAATTTATGAACCCGAACCTTCCTCGAACCAAAGCGCCACTAATCACTGCCGTGCTTGGATGTACAGTGGAATGGCTAATCGTATGTGTCTCGAGCTGGGACTCAATTCAGAGAAGAACGTCGATGCAGACCTACCAAGCCAAGAGCTCGAAATGAGACGACGTGTTTTTTGGGGGTGCTTCTGTCTAGACAAATATCAAAGTTCCGCATGGCAAAGACCTTGGATGATCTGTGACACAGTCGCACAGGTATCTATGCCAAGACGTCTGGATGAGGAAGATGAAGACACCGCCAAATTTATTCAAGGGCTTGGCGTGAAAATAGATCTTACTCGTTTATGCGAAGCCGGTATCAAACTCAGGGCATCCATTGGGTCAATGGCGGGCCAAATAAGTAGTTTATCTTCAATCGAATCTCGGTTAAGAGACCAACGCTCCAAAATGACCAATTGGTTAGACACGCTACCTCGATCTATGAAATGGACGGTTCCGCTTATAGTAAACAATAGAATGGCAACAACAGAAGACATTGACCAACTCAACTTCAAAGGTTCCATTGTATCGGATCTCCACCTAGTGTACAATATCAACTTGCTAGACTGTCTGCTTTCCATGAAAGAAGATACTTTCATCCGCTACCATCGATTCATTACTGCAGCACATCTAACTCATCTTGCTCGTCAGCTCACTTCACATCCAGCAAAAGTGATGAAGTTTGAAATGGTGGGACATGCGGCAATCATGGCTATCAAAGTGTACACTTGTTACCTCTACGATGTTACCGTTGACATATCTAGAAAGGCTTGGTTGATGTACGACCAGTGTATTGCTGTTCTTTTTGAACTACAAAAATATGTAACAATTCCCAAATGTACTCAAGTTCTTGAACATTTCTTGCATTTCAAGCCAGGATTTACCCAAGCTACTCAGAATATTGTACCCGACACACTTTTTCCTGATAATAATATTGTATGGAATATCTCTCAAGAAAATATTGCTGACTTCTCGCGAGAATCCCTTCGACAATCAAGCAGCTGTCAGACGAATTCGGTTAGAACATCAGAGTCTAACAATGAAAACGTGAGACGACCAGTATCGGAGCCTTGGGGGATAACCAGTTCAAACGCCCTCCAGAATACACCAATCGTTCTATCTCAACAAAGCTCCCAAGAACATATTCCTATTAATTCTATTGGAACGGAAGGGGAAACTCATGCACTGTTCACTACCAATGCAACAACACTCCGCACACCGATTTATGGGACCCATTCAGAAATGTTGAATAACCAGTTGCCAATCTCTGTTCCCAACCTTTCATCTCCGTATTCACTCACACAAGTGTTAGATCCTATAGGAAGTTATACAAATTATTCACCAGTTTAAATATTAAGCCCTTATTATGGACAGCCTCACCCTCCTTCCTTTCCTTCATAAGCACATTTACATATATACGCAAAAATAATAATAATTAAGCAATTAGGCAAATTACATATACATATACATATACATAAACATAAGCATAAATCTCTTATTCATTCAAGCTACAATAAACAGAAAATATATGTTATTATTATATAACGAGTAAAAGTTGTGGGACTCCAAATTAACTATGGGAATTCTACTGTTGATCTTTCCCAATTGCATATAATAAATGTGTGGATAAATTAGGTAGTTAAAGAATAATAATTATTAACCGTAGGATTATTAACGGTGGTCCATTCGATATCTACAAAAAAAAACAAAGAAAAAACATTTCTAGGATCAATTGTTCTTGGGTATAGCTAAAAATAAGAAACCATTCACACTCGCCTAGACACTGTAACTGCATTTGCTTGAACCATTTGCTTATCTAATTCAATCCTTTCTAGTCCGGGTGTTCTGTTAAAGAATCGACGATGAGAAAATCTGGGTTGTAATCAGGCACAGCGCAAGGTTGCTCTAGGCCTACTAATACAAAAATACATACAAATGTATATATAACAAAATTCCAAACAATTAAAATGAAAAGAAAATAACATGATAGATATATGTGCACAAAAAAAAATCGGGTAATCATACTTTGCTGCAGATCAGTTAAGCAGGATCTCCAGTATTCATTTTCAATCATTGACAATGAAAGTTGTTGTTGAACATTGTAAAGTTCATTTGCCAAGTTGATGTAATTTTGTTCAGCATGATGTGCACGATTGATAGCTTCCTGATGAGATTTTTCGAGACTACTAATCTTGGCCTCGAGTTTCAATAAGGCATTATCTCGTTGCCGAGAATAGTTTGCTTGGCGTGCACGAAATGCTGCCTGTGCAAGTCTGTTTTTATCTTTACGTTCTGTTGATAGCATTGGGAATGTCACAAAGTTGTGTTCTGCCGAATTATCCCGGTAACCAATAACAAAGAAAATATTCGGAAAATAAATAATTTATTCTTAGGCTTGAGTTTGGGCTTGTGCTCGGGTTTGAATAATTGCCCATAAATTATATTAATCCCCGTATAATTTCTCAACCCATTCATTTTAGACATACGTTCATATATGTGTATATGTATATATGTATTGGTGTATGCATATTCCATTTGTAAGGCTTATCTGCTTGTGGAAAAAAAATACGATTTTTACAGCAAAGTTTGTCAAATACAATAATAGAAAAATAAGCTTGTTTAATAAATTTATTTTCTAGCCTTTTTTTAAAAAAAAATGTGATAAAATTATAACCGCCTTGGCCTTGCCAAGAGTTGAAAATTATGTTTTTTTCCTCTCCTTGATTATTGATATATTCTTAAATCAAAGTGTAAGGATAAATCAAATCGGAAAGCTGTCTTACAATGCCAAGCGTGCAAGAAATCCGACAAGTGGGTAATAGTGGGTATAATACACCTTTTATGTAGTTTTTACAATAACAGATATTGTCATATCTATATGTAAAAAGTAAAGGAGAATATTAATTATAATAATAGACGTATCTTGAATTGATGAGTGAGCTCAGCATCAATATATCGCAGTTTAATTAATTTATTGGTAGCAAAAGGAACTTCTTTATTTATACAATTAAAAAATGTGGAGATTTGTGAACAAATACAAAAGTCTATTTTATCCAGAATAAACACGACTAATATTCAAAGAAGATCAGCCAAACAAGTACATACATATATTGGCAATAAGTGTATTTATCCCAAGGTATATTTTACTTTGAGTACGGCGATTATGTATATTTATAGGGGTTTCTATATAGTTAGCAATACCAAGACATGCAAGAGTAATTCAAAATTTAAATATAACTTCTCACCATATTATTTACAATATCAGCACCTAAATTCTTATAATGTACAATATTAAATATGATTGTGGCTGATGGCTTAATAGGTTTAGATTTATTCTTCATGAATTGCTGCTTGTGTTTAATTTTTGTCCGTATAAATCTGTTATAATAAATTAAATATGCTTCGCCTACCTGTTTTTTTTTCCATGTGCCTAGAGAACTTATTTGAATAAAAAGCGTACAAAAATATTTATATATATATATATTTAGGTATTAAAATTAAACTTATTAGTATTATATTCTAGCAAAATAATCTCAACTTCAATGTCTTTTGTAAGCAATAAAATAGTAATCCAATGTTCAACCATTATTCTCAAGCACCAATCTGCATCATCAACTATACTTTAAAACACCGCAACTCGATCTGCATGTGCTCTCTTTTACTACCCACGGATGACAAAGCTCACAACCCGGAAACTTGTCTTTACAGACACTTGGTTACAATGACCAATATTTTACGTTCTGGTATTCAAAAGTCTCCATGGAAATTTCTCGCAAGCTGTTCAAAGGTAAATGGTAACCCAATGAATTATGTCCAAAACCTAATCTACATGCGTTTTATCCCAAGACCAATCGCAATCTCCATGGGCTCATTCAGGTAATCTTTACCCAGACTTTTATGGACAAAACGTATATAGCTAAAATCAATATCTTAATCACAGAATGCTCAAGAATATTTAAAACCTATATCAAGCCCACTTGTTGATACCTTTAACCGCAAACATAATTATCTTCGCATATCTCTGACAGAGAAATGCAATCTAAGATGTAGGCTGTCTTGCTGCTGAGCATAATTTAAAAATTTACACCCACTTTCTGCGTAGGCACGTATTGTATGCCAGCTGAAGGAGTACCATTGACTCCTAAGGAAAACCTCTTGACAACAGACGAGATTCTCAAACTAGCACGCTTATTTGTTAGTCAGGGCACAACAAAGATTCGCCTCACTGGGGGTGAACCTACCGTGAGACCGGATTTACTCGAGATCATCCAAGGCCTCGGAGAACTCAAAAGCCAGGGACTTGAAAGTATCGGAATGACTTCCAATGGAATCGCTCTCAAACGCAAACTACCTGCTCTTAAAAAAGCTGGACTCGACACTCTCAATATCAGTCTTGACACTCTCGACCGAGATATGTTTGGGATCATGACCCGAAGACAAGGCAAGTAAATATCTAAAATTTCTTTATCCAATTTGTGACAAATAAATAATAATAATAAAAGTGGTTAACCCCAATAATTTTTATCAGGCTTCGACAAGGTGTTGGGAGCTATCGATGAGGCAGTTCGGATCAATGTAGAGAGAGTGAAGATAAACTGTGTCGTTATACGCGGGACAAACGATGATCAGGTTCTCCATTTTGCTGGCTACACGAAAGACCATCCTGTTAACGTAAGATTTATAGAGTACATGCCTTTTGATGGTAAGTGTTTTTCTTGTCCTTTCTTTTTTTTATTAGACTTTATTGGGTTATATTAATATTTTATAGGAAATCGGTGGAAGAGTGAAAAAATGGTTCCGTATCGGGAACTATTAACAAGGATTGAGTCGATCTATGGCAAGCTCACCAAGCTCACGGATGACAAGAACGATACGACAAAGGTGAGAAACCAAGACGAGCAGATTTCGGATCATTTTAAATAGTATCCTAAAATAAGCTTGGTGTTAGGCATACCAAGTCCCAGGATACCAAGGCAAACTAGGTTTCATTAGTTCGATGACAGACCACTTTTGCGACACTTGCAATAGACTTCGAATCACAGCAGACGGGTCCATCAAAGTGTGTCTATTTGGTAATAGTGAAGTGTCCCTACGAGACCTTTTACGTCAGGATCAATCTGACGAGAAAATCGTACAAGTAATCGGTAATGCTGTCAGGCGGAAAAAGAGAAAACATGCAGGTATGTTTGAGCTCGCTAAACAAAAGAACAGGCCGATGATCTTGATCGGAGGCTGAGAAAAGCCGTGTGGGCTTACTTTATATCCCTCTTTCGATTTCTTCGATTTTTATACACACCCACATGTATATGTATATGTAAAGTATATACATATAAGTCACTATACTATTCATTTATATCTCGTTTTTTGTTTTGTTTTCATTATGTATTCTATCCCACCAAATATATATACTTTTTTCTTAGCAATCGCTTTATCTGTGGTGCCGTCCTTTCTTTTATCACCACTCCAAAGGCGTCATTATAGTTCTCAGAACCGCCTTACTCACACAGACCCTAAAACAGGCGAAGCTCGTATGGTTGCTGTAGAAGGGAAGAAAGACAGTCAGAGAGAAGCAAGGGCAGTGGGAAGGATTGTGCTACCATCAGAAGCCTTTAAGCTACTCAAGAAGAATGAAATTCATACTCTTAAAGGAAATGTTCTTGTTGTTGCTCAGATTGCAGGCATTCAAGCTTCTAAGCAAACAAGTCAACTCATCCCACTTTGCCATCCGCTTGCTCTAACATTCATCAATGTCAACCTTTGGCTCGATGATGAAAAGAGCAGCGTCGAATGTGAATCGACTGTTAGGACAGTTGGAAAGACAGGTGTCGAAATGGAGGCTTTAATGGCAACAAGCACGGCCTTACTCACAGTCTATGATATGTGCAAGGCAGCATCAAAATATATGGTCATTCAGGACATTCACGTCGTTTCGAAAGAAGGGGGCAAAAGTGGGTCATGGCAATGGGAAAATAAATGATCAATCAAAAGCAGACATCATGACATAAATTTTATTGTCAATGAGAAAGAAAAATGCATATTTTTTTGATTTGTTTTTTGTCTACTCTTCGTCAGACTGGGCCTCGGCCTGAACCTCGGGCTTCTTCTCATCACCGGTGGCACGGGCTAAAAAAATAAAGCGAATGAGAATCTTGCACTATATTTTTCTAACTTCTTTTTAACCATAAAAAGTGAGGTGCAATACTTACTGTAGATAACCTGGGCGTGGTGACGGGACAAAGGCTTGATCAAACCCTGAGCCTCGAGCTCACGGATGGCAATACGGGCCAAGGAACCGTTGAGTCTGAGACGATCGACGAGGACGGACTGGGAGATAAGCTTGTAGGTGGGAACCTCCTTGAACAAACGTTCGTGGGTAGGCTTGTCGAGGACAACCAAGTTGTTGGACTTATCCTTGACCTTCTTAGCAGACCACTTCTTCTTGGCCTTCTTTCCTCCGGAGGAAGAGGAGGGCTTGGCAGCGACGTCCTTCTTAGCCTGTTAGAAGAATATGAGTTTCTATGCCTCTTTATCAGGTTTTTTTAGGGTGGAGAAGGCAAAAAGGTGAAGACGAGTATCGCATCCATAAAAGCGGTATTGCATCTGTCCATGTCAGATATCCATCCATGGTGTGTTTATGCTATTGTCTGGATTGTGCATCTTCCTCTTCCTCTTTGCCTTTTCTTCCTATGATTGGTGTCGATACTAACCATGATGATTTAGAGAGAGAGCAAGACACCCAACCGCCCGTGCAGCTATTCAAAAGCAGCGCTCCACTTCGGAGTCTTGTCCGGATACACGTCACGGAGGCTTACCCGGACCGCACTTTTTTCTATTCTCTTTTTTTTTTTCCTTGTCCGGGTCATCCACAATGATGAAGTAACTCAGGAGGAAGATTACATTTAGGTATTAAATATAAGGCGCCCTTTATTTATTCATTTTGTATAGAGACTTAGACCAAACATTCACTATACTAGCATTGAGTTTTTGTAAGAAATACTTGGACAATATGTACATAGAAATACTTAAACTGCTATTTAATTGACCGCACATTACTGGACTGTATCTGGAATTTGTTAAGGAAAATAATATATATATATTCAGGAGGAGGCCTCCAGTAATTATACCACAAACAGACTATTTCTTGTTACTGTGGATCAAATTCATTTATTCTTAAATATTCATTTATTTACTCTATCAAGTTACTCATTTCAAATGAGCGAAAAATCAGGCAATAGTCAACTTTACAGCCTTAATTTTGTTTCTGACAATGTTGTATAGTGAATATATATATATATATATATGACTATTAAACCATGAATATCTAACTACTACCCTTATTACGAGGAAACGCACTCTTTCATCTGTTTCCCCACAAATTTGCGTCAGTAACTATGCAATCAAGATAGTCATTTTATTTGTTGGATTTTGAGATTTATTGTGAATTATCTGGTGATTTCCATGCTCGTTTCTTCGGATTGTTTTATAGTAATGCATAATCGATCATTCACATCTTTTGCTTTACGCTATTCTTGATTGATTGATCGCCACATATTATTTAAGCATAGTATCCAAGAATACATGCAATGTACCAAATTTATATAAATAACAATAAATAGATGTATCTGGCTCAAAGTATCTGAATATATAATGCAATAGCCCGGGTATCGCTATTGACACCAAACAGTACTCATCATCATAAATGTAGTGAAGATATTTAATCTTGGCAGTTTATCCTTACTATGGATAAACTGGATACTTAATATCTTGAAATTTTTTATTTCAAACAATCCGTTCCTCACCGACTTGCATATTATATAGTTTAAAATTGGGAGAATATATTATTTTGTGAATGACCAAGGCGCAAACTAATCCGTAGATGCCTTTTGAAAGTATCATACTAATAGTGATGTTTTTTTTGTTTGGTTTTTCAAAGAAAAGAATATGATTCTTGAGACTATGCTAAAATCATCAACCTTTTTCCCATGGTACCTTCACAATATTTTTATAAATACATTACTAGAGTGAATTGATTGTGTTACATTTATAGAGAAAGAAAAGGGCAAGTTTTCTTCCAAACTCTAAAGGCTTATAGTTCAAAACATGCAAAGAGTGCATGACAGGTACTTGGGCAAACACAGATCGAGAGTTAAAATAAAAATTATTTTGACAAAGATAAAAAGATAGAAAGTTAATAAATAACCTCTCAGTACATTTTATTGACACAACTACACACACCGCACCAACCTTTATCCTTCATTAAGTAAAAGTTTCTGGCTTTCAAGACCAAACAGGCGTTTTACCTGAAAAAGCTAACATGTATAAGATCATCATACAACGAATTTTGAAATAGTCTGCTCTTATGTTATTTCCTGTAATTGGCACACAAAAAGGTACAAATTATAGGGTTCGCCTTCTATCAAAGTCATATATCTTAGCCTGGCCTCATTCGGCTTGATTGGTGCCTTTGCGTCTAATTGATGTTCCATATTTTGGGAGGACACAGCCAAGTTCATATTAAATAAAATTATACAAGAATTTATCCTAATGAATATTTATTGGCAGAAATAAATCACTTATTCAAATCAAATAGCTTAGTACAACATCTAGATTTCTTTCTTTATTTCTCTTTTTTAAACAATAAATAAATAAATAAAACTAAATATAAAAGACCCCTTGTGGAATCTAAACGGATAAACAAACAGGAATAGATATCGTGATAGAGAATGATTCAAGTTGAGGATAAATGAAACAAATGTTGGCGCGATTTAATTTGAAAAAGACTTTGCTTGGTCCAATCAGATACCAAGAAAATGCCGCAAGCAGAAAGTGAGATATACAATACCAACACGAGAGAAAGAGAGAGAAAGAGAGATAGCGTGTGTGTGAACAGTTTGAATCTAGAGACATACCTTTTTTATACATCTCATCTTACAAAGTACTGCTTTTTACTGAATAATATATTCATATATTTACACATTAATGCTTTTTTTTAAAAAAAAAAATAAAAAAAAATAAGCCTATTTTCAATAGGCTGTCATCCCGAGTAAATTTTCAGCAAAAAAGACAATCGATCAACAATATCTTAGTAGAGTTCATCACAGCTTAATCATGTAGACAAAAGTCTTGAGAAAAAATAAGTAAATGCATATTATGGATTGCTCATGTCAGACAGAATTTCAAGTGCTGCTATAATTTATACAAAGAGCTCATACGATAAGGCTTTATCTCTTTACAAAGATATAAAGATATATATATATATATATTACCAGTTCTCCTAGCACATTAGTATATCAAAGTCTAACCGCAAAGCATTGGTATGATATAATGTTTTTTATATCAAAAATAGATAACACTTTGATTGACATGGGAATACAAACTCCATCACAAACGATATACAGTAAAAATATGCTTAGAAAAACAGAAGTTTTAGGCATTATTCTAGGCATGCTTCTATTAAATAAAGAGGTATTTAAACGATAGATTCTTATACTTCCAATGAATTCTTTATACGATTATGTCAACTAACAGCAACAAACCTCTGGTTAGTGATGTATCCTGAAAAACAGCTATCAGTGACACTAGTAATCGTCTTCTTTTTTTTCTTTTTTTAATCTGTGGTTTTTTAAACCGGTTTACGTCGGGATAGGCTTGATATGTTTTGATGCTAACAACAGACAGCAAAGTATGACAATATTTTATTTTTCTTGTTATATTTTCTATTTTACAAGCTAAATTATCAGCGCATATTACTGAGATCAAGTAAACTTAAAATATAATATTTTAATGTAAGAGCTAAACCACAAATGTGTACGAGTTATGAAACCTGCACTCAAAGAGGATTTGTGTGTGTATTTGTGTGTGTGCACTAACAGGAATGGTATTATTTGTCTGGAGCTAGAGCTTAAAGATATTTTAAAAGAAAACATGAAACCAAATAAATATTTTTGTATGTCAAATCCAATCTTCCGTTTAAAAGGAAACCCCCGTTGAATAAGAAATACACAAAATAAAGAGCATTCTCTTTGGACCTAGTCTAAAATATCTCTGGAAATGAAACATGAATCCTAAATGCCAGCTTCATGAGTGCAGTGAGATTAATGCGCCAGTGGAAAGGCTCGTTTTAAAATCCTACGGGACTTTGGGACAATTTTGTATTTTCTAAACCATTTGTCGAGCTGACTTAAGCCGAGTCGAGTCAAGTCAAGTCGAGTCGAGTCGAGTCGAGTTAGGCTGTATCCAACTATAGTAACTAAAGGCAACAATTGTCCACTAAGAAAAAAGAAGAAGAAAAATAAAAAGGTGATTGACTTCACCTCTATAAACACAACATTGATTTGAAAACCCACTTGGTATGTTTATTTAATGCTTTCAATACATTTCTTAGGAGTACGTGTTGGCATATATGACATGCCATTGTGAGCAAATAAATGCAAAGTTGGTTTCGATTTTTAATAAAGGGGTTCACAAGTCTTCCTGCATTTCCTAATTGTTAGTGTTTTGGATTAATAAAATATTAAATATATATATATGTTTGTTTGTATATTACAAATTCATTTCATACTTCAACTGCAACGTATACAAAAATTTGTGTCGCTATATCTCTTACAATATAATTAAGATGTCAAAATACTTAAGACTATAATACGATTATCATTTTTCAATAATGTATATATTAAGCCCAGTCTAAATAAATGTATTATAAAATTATTAATTATTTTTCTATCTTACTATGAGATACTTTCCATCGCTGTTGATGGAATATTCAAGCTGTTCGACCTTTTCACCATCTTAATATCCTGGTCTCCACTTGATTATAGCAGTATGAACGCTGTATTTATTTTCGTGATTTCCTTTTCCAGATTAACATCCTATGTATTTGGGCATTATATAACTGTTTTTTTTTGCTTTGTTTAAAATAAGAAATTTTAAATCGTAAAGAATACTCTATTGCGCACAGGCCGTGGCGCTTCAGATTATTATTTTAATATTTTCATACCTACTGTCAAACCATAGTCTGTAAAGAAACAATATGTGTACTATTATATAAAAGGTTGCTAACAATTGGACCCAAAAGAAGGCTTATAGACCACACTAATTAGAGCGCCCGCCTGTTTGGATCTAATGAGAATTAAGCTCAAACTAGAAACTATGGACTTGTGTGTATGTATATTTGTCAAGGAAAACTACTCTAACGAAATAGACCCCCAGTATAATACACACGGCGGTATTCTAGGAGATATAAGAAATAAGTAAATAGATAAATAATAATAGAAAAAAAACAATAAAAGATAATGTTTTGATTTCTAGATCACAGCTGTAGAATTAGCAGAGTGATTTAAGATTGTTTTTCGTCGAATGATTTCTTGAGAATAGTAAATCTACCAAAATGATCGTCGGCTGCTATTAAAGCTATCCATATCAGCATCAATCTCCAGCGCCAATGACTGTTTTTGTGTAAAAACAGATAGCTTACCGATCCAAGTTTATGGTTACTGGTGTCAAAACCCCGGCTTCTCCACGAAAAGGTACTGTGTTCAGAAAAAATGCACACATCTTACAGTTTTGCTTTGGTGCCCTTGTATTCTTATTATTATTATTTTAGAAAAAAAAGAACCCCGTTTATTGCTATTAGTATCAAAAGTTATTTATTTGTTTTCCAACTTATATTTGCTTCACAATAAATCAATAGTCTAGAGATTAGCTCTGTAACAAAATATACTTGACCATGGGCTTACTCTTATTATTTAGGACTGAGCTCTGAATATACAGTATCATGTCGGGTGAGAACTAAAGATTTTTATAGGTTAGTTCCTATCCAAAAAAAAAAGCGTCTTTGCCACACGTCAATGGGTCAGAAGGGGAGTTTGTTCTTTTAAAGCGATTAAACCTTTACGCTTTCCCAAATTATCCTTTCACAAAAGAAAAATTTGGGCTTGTAAAAAAAAAAAGCAAAAGAAGGTTTGTACAAAATATAATTGAATCGGCAACACAAGAAATATTAAAAGAAAGGTTCTTATTCCCTCATCATCTATTTGATGTGTGCTGCCACTGACAATCACACAAAGATTATTTGTATATAAGAACTTGCTATACGTTAAATATCTAAAACTATTTTTACAATACAAATACGCCATGACAGGTTAATCAAAAGGAAGCAAAAAAAATGGAAGAGATTTAGATTTTAATTAAGTATAGGTATCTTGATAGTTTATTTATTTAAAGGTCTTTATTCCCAAATTGATTTATTCGATATTAATCACTTATTATTGATTATTGATTATTGATTATTGATTATTGATTATTGATTCTTGATAATTGATTATTATTCTTGTATTGCTTGCATTACCTATATTTCTTATATTGCCTGATATCTACCGTGGAAAATTCAGGCGACTTTTTATTCTTTTTAGTATCTTTTTAATAAAGATACGCGACAACAACGTGGCAAGTATCAATGCAATGGAAGGTGAATGGACAAATGAGAAACCTCTTTTTGATTAATCCTGCGTGGTGTGATTACAATTTCCCAAAGCCAAAAAAAAAGATAGAATAAGGTTTGGTCTTATCATATATTCACAACTGCCTGGACCTCCTTTCTGCCCATGTGAAATCCCTGTAGGGGATTGGTCGGAAAACATAAGAAGTTGAGTTGTCTTGGCTATCTTTAACCTTATCTGAGATTATATCACGGTTGGTTTCCATGCCAACCAAAATTCTCTTTCTTCCCTCATGCAGACTCATTTATCACCATTCACAATGTACAACTATTATTATTATTTTCTCTTGACAATGTCACACTGGTGTTTACGTTAGACGAAGAAAAAAAGTGTCGTTTTCTTCAGTAATCAAAAGCTTATTGGTTTGCGAAGCATTGGACCCTTGGTTGGAAGTATATAAAATACTTTTTTGACATGAGAATAATGGCATTGTATAGCCACATGCACCAAAAACAATATGAATTTTTGCTTTAGAATAAATAATAAAGATAGTAATAAAAATAAAACAAAATAAAGCAAAACAAAGCAAAAAGTTTATTTGAATTGTCAATGGGAAATATCTATAGTGTGTTTTCCTTTTTTCTTAAAAAAAATAATAAAAAAAAAACTATTATTATTTATTCAAAAATAAAATATACTAAAGAAAGGCTGTTTCGGTGCTGGCTATAAGAAATAACAACATTTGTATAACGATGCCAGCCCCTAGCGCATCGGCCATCCTCGGGTGTTCATGTAGGACGACCGGAATGTGTTCCTTTTCACATTTTACTTGGTACATGATGAATAAAATAGGGTTGTGCGGAACAAGAGAATGAGTTTATTATACAAAGCGAATGCAAAGGGGGAGTGATAAGGTTGAATAGGGTTAGAGTATCAAAAATCATATACACTTTCAGTTTTGTAGACAACACCATCGTCTCTAACCAATAGTAAAGGAAGAGATCGTCTGGATGAGTGTTCAGAATATTCAACAAAAGGATTATTAACAAGTTCTTCGGCTGGGGGTACAATACAAGAAAGAGTGTCTTTGTGATATTCGGTTTTGAGCTGGATATCAGCCAGCCAGACAGAAAGCTTGGCAGAGAGGCCCTCGCCTGAGAGAACCAGATTGTCAGAGGTATCAAGAGATCGACAAATCTTGTGAGTAAGTCTGGGGAAAGGAGTAACGGGCCGTAAGTCAGAAGAGTTTGCAAGAGGAGAAGGTGTCCAGAAGGTGTAAGTTGCACAATCAGTGCCAACAATAGTCCAAATTGCTGCGTCCGATACATCTTCTGTCCAACATCCACCATTAATGCCCTGAAGAGAGTCGGTTGATGGTCTTCTGCTCCCTGTCACAGATGATTGAGAAGCTCGGCGCTGAGTTGTGTCAGGTAGGGCATCATTGAGAGAGTTGACACGGCGACGGTTCTTTGCCGACATTGCAGATTGGAATTTGGCGGGCAAAGTAACAGGCTTGGTCACATCGCATGATACGCGTCTCTTTCGGACCACACGTCCGTTTTCTTGAGACACTGCTGACGATAAAAGATCATATTCATATGGCCACGCTGGATCGGTTACAGGAAGAAGAGTACGAGGGGCAGTAGTGCGATGCATCCCGACCACTTCACTCAGACAGGCCAAGTAAGTAATAGGATCTGTACTTTGGGGTAGTGACCATTCAGGACAATTTTCGATAGGCGCCGTTTGGCGAAGAGGATCATGGACGATTTGAAAGGCTATCTTATGGAGCTGGGACACTGGATCTCCAAGCGCTTCATCGCCGCATTCGCCTCCTGATCCTAATGGTCGCGCTACTCGGTTTCCACCTTGAACAAGACTCCCGCGGTCTGCTTTACGGATTATCATTACTGGGCTAACAAGACCAGTTGTTGCGCATTGTAATACAATTGCTTGATTGTATAAAATAGCTGTTGGTTGATTTGTCTGAAGTTGAAGAGCAATGGCAGGCGGAGGAGGCATACCCGGTGTGTCTGGGGGAGGACGGTTGTTTGTTTCTTGAGTACGGGTTGTATCTGCAATCCAGATGATAAATGGATCCCAAGAACCTGTCCGGGCTACAAAGCATGCGCCAGTGACATCTTTTTCTCCTGCTGACACACCAAGATATTTGGTTGACACAGTTTGAGAACGGATACGGTTGAACAATGAAATGGGAGTTCCATGATGGATACACACTATGAGCGAGTATCATATCAATATCAAACGATTGGCTGGAGTAAAGTACTCACATTCCATATTACGAGCGCTTTGGCGCTTCTTGGATGGCTTGGATATGACTTTGATACTCTGACTGCAAAAATTGCCGAGATTGAAGCCACTTGACAGTTGTATATTTACCTGGACCTCGACTCTCTTGCGTTTTTCGTCAACATCGCTGATGTGTAGATGTTTCGAGACACATTTACCCAACATCGATGGGTCATCGGCGGCGATGGCAGCTCCCGCACCTTCTGCGTCTAGCATAGTTCCAGAAGAGTACCAGTCAAGTATGCCTGTCTGTGATGCCGCCTCACCAGACACATGCACTGTCAGCCGAGGAGGACTTGGAACACGACTATCTGCAGGTGCTTTGCAGTTGTGTGTCCACCAGTTTGGACCTTGCAAGATAGTTGATGGTGGTGGACATAGAAATCTCTTTTCAGTACCATAACTTTTCTGAGCTACCTTGCTTGTTAAAAGCATTGCAGTGTAGCAATTTTCGGGGCTGTTTTGTAGCAAATAATGTTGAATACTAGACTTCAGGGAATCTGATTGCTGAGCATAACTCATAGACTGAAGTGAGGGAATAGGAGGCGACGGTGATGTTGATGGTGAAGATTGCATTGGTGGTGGGGTGAGGGCTTCTTGCTTTATTGAAGCATTAAGTACCCAGTGCGTCATTTCATCTACATCTGTAGGTACAAATGTTTGTGGTATGTAGCTGGAAATAGGATCATATAGACCAAGAGGATCTATGTTAAGGTTGAGTGGAAAGGTATCTTGAAAGGTGTCCTGGAAAGTGTCGTGTTCTTCTTCTTCTGAGTTGAGGGCATCAAGGAAATTCGGGGGAAAGAATACAGGCGTGCTAGGCCCAGGGGTAATCCGAGCGACGTCTGGGATAAGGGTGAGTGTGCGACGATGGACTGAATTTGGTCGTTCACGATGAGTGCCTTGGCTTGATGAAGACGACCAAGAGGAAGGTAGAGAAGAGCCAAACAGTTGACTGAGATCAGGGTCCCACTGCTCTGGTGTAGTTGTCGTTGCAGGTTCCTGCTTGACAGGAAAAGAGTGATAATTGAGTTCACCTACAGCTACTGAGTGTCTTCGAGAGTGATCATTAGCTTGAGTGATATCTGTCATGGCACTGTCTTGGAGAATACCAGGCATGCCGAAGAGGTCAATGCTAGGTTGTTGTAAGCTGTTAGAGTCCATATAATCAGACCATGGTGTAAGATATTTTGGGTCATTAAATTCTTGCTTGCGTTTCCGAGAGGTATCGGTGAGTTCACAGTTGTTGAGCGTAGTCATTCTGTACAGAGTTATCGCACAGCGATGAAGATTGAAATATTGAAAGAAAAGAAGGCTGGAAAAGGCGGGGCAATCTCACCGGTGGGCCAAACTCACCTTTTTTAAACACAAAGAAGCGTGACACAAAAACCTGTAGCAACCGGATTACATTGGCCAAATTACTTAAGATTCCGCCTCTCCTTATAGACACACCATACGCCACCCCGCACTTTGCAGCCAGACCAATCAATATCACTCACGATGATTGAGAACATGGAAAGATGGGCGACGGGCAGAAAATGAATGGACGGGACATGTTTTAAAACAATCATTGACCTTACATACAAATACACTAATGATATTAAAGACGACCCTAAAAAAAATTCAATCATAATCCGATAAAGGTACTCTGCTTTCTCTTTTCTTTTGATTTTATAATAAAGAAAGAAGGGGATAGGGGGCTATTAGTAATATTTTCAGAAATTAAAAAAAAAACAATAATAAAAAAGAGCCTAAATGACTCTTGGCAGATTAACACTGACCTAAAGAAGTGTTGTGGTGCTCCAGTTCAGATTTCCTTTCTCAGATCGAACACAAGGCCATGTCAAGTGAGCATTGAACTGAAACGTACAACCAGTTCAGGTCTTGCTCTGTTAGGGCGCCGATTCTTTATTTTCAAGAAACCCATTCTTTTTCCCGTCTTTGATTTCGCATTTTTAGAAAAACTTGCGTCTAACAAGCCGCTCATTTGCTCTTTATTTATCTTTGTCACAAATATTTTTAACTCAAGATATATATATATTGTTCAAAAAGCTGTATGCCTTTTTTTTTATAAAAAAAAAAATCGAATTCTTAATTCACTATATGGATTTATGCATCTCCAATCTAAAGGCACTTGGAGCCTTTGACTATGGTGCTGCAAACAAACTCGTCACTCGTCCAATACGGATATACCCACCACTCAACACCATATTCTTTAAACTCATAACCTGCGAAACCCTCTACACTCAGTTATCTTATATGAAGCCAAAATGGTTTACTAGAAAAGACACTGTAAGTTAGAATATTACAGGATGCATGCCTTGATTACCTAAATGTCTCATCGTCATTAGCTTCTTAACTCCCAATATGCTCATCTCGCAGACGAAATTACACGCGAGATTTCACTGATCGATTCAAATCCTTCAATTACTCAAGAAAGGGCGTCCGTAACCCTTTTACTACAAAGCCTTAGTGAATTTTGTCGATGTCGCCAGTTGTTGATTAGCATGTATAACTATTTTTGCTTGCTTGTTTATTTATTTTAACGTTGAATATTTAACTTTTATTTATTTTGTTTTATTTTATTCATTTAATTATTATTATTATTATTACTATTTAAAAAAGATATCATTCGATGGCAACTCAAACCACCCCCAGTGGTACAGAAGCCATGATCCAAGAACTCCTCCTTCTTAGTAACCTATGCACTGAATCATCACTACCAGATCATCTTTATATACTTGGGCTGGGCGTCGAAAAAGAAATCAATATCCTCCTTTCGTTGCTTAGAGCAAGAACAGCTATCGTCAATTATGCCTTTCAGGACGCATGTATATCTTTATTTGTTTGCAAACAAGATCTCAGTGACTGGAAATCCACCTGCGAAGAGCAGGATTTTTTGGAAGTGAGCATTTTTTTAGATAAAGGAAAAGGAAGAAAGAAAATGAAGGGTTTGTGTAAATACCTTAAACTAATGCAAAGCTTGGGGGGAATGTTTCTTGTTTAATTTTTGGAGAAATCGCCAATGCATTGTGAACAATCGCGCGACGCAGCATCAACATGGAGACTCTCAATTTTTGGCAACACATCGGAGGTAACTAAACCAAGAATTGCTTATTTGATATCTTAGTCTAAGTCAAGAAACAGGGAAAACAGAAGCAAGGACATGTATGGCCCCAAACTTTACGATGGCAAGCACGCTACCTCGACAATCTAGCCGCCAAAATGACACTATATTTTAGTACCATTCTAATATCCAAAGAAAGCATACTCACTGAAGATGATCCTGAAAAGGCTTTATGGAAAGGTCTCCAAGTAGATTACCATGATCAGTAAGCCACATTGAGAATACATTGTGTTAATTTTGGTGTCGGATTGAACTAACAGCATTCTTGTCATCCCCCCTGTACCTCCCAGGATCTGCACGTTCCGAAGACGCTTCAATGCGTTTAGTATCAGCCTTGTGTATGAGGTCACATCAACACCTTTTCATCCTCAAGGTTATGTGTGTGCAGGCACGCCATATGAACCGCCCCAGGGTATCCACTCATTTCCATTTATCTATTGTCATCCAAAGGTAAAATAATGATAATATATGCCATGTAAATCGTCTCGATCGCTTTTGCAGATCTTAATAAAGATATTCTCTATGTAGCAAGCGCCAAAAGACCACCTGCCAAACATTATATCAATCATTCAAGGATGTCGTCATAAACTAGGAGATCCAAAAGGAAGTCCAGTATACTTTTTTGATAACAGGATTTCAAGCACCTACTACTTTATGCGTGTTGATGAACACGTTGTCTTGGTAATCATTTACCTCGACAAGCATCTCCACCGTGAACCGACTACCTCTGATTTTATGACTTCATTAGTCACATCACTTCGAGGATCCTCTGTCATAGGGGAACTTGTGCGGATGGAGTAATTCAAATATCCTTGCGCCATTGGGACAAATCTGATGTCGACTAGTACAAAATAATAGAAAAAGCATATCTGGTCCATGTTAAAATGAAGTTAGAGAGACAATGTAATTACACCTTGATTTGGCTAAGAAAAATAAATACAAACATAAACATTATGAAAAAACTGAAAGCCAAAATGGCAAAAGATAGCAAACAGAACCAAGTTTGGAATCAAGAAGCTAAGAGCATCGATAATTAGAGAATGCCAACCGCGTTTACTTGAAATCCAAAAAATAATAATCCAAGCTTGTATAAATACTTGGTTCCATCGTTTGCCAACCTACTTCATCTGCATTCTTATCTGTCTTTTATACCAACACAATGCGCTTCTCTCTTGCTGCCATTGCGGTCCTTTCCCTCAGTAATCTCACATTCGCCCTTCCTTCATTCCCTGAAGAGGCTGCCAGTGCAAGTGCTTATGAAGTTGCCTCTGCCTCTGCCGCTGCTTATTCCCCAGCTTCAGCTTCCGTACAAGGATCCTATGCAAAGGTCGGATCAAAGCGTAATATCATCGAATTCTTTAAGAATCTCATGTACTTTGAAGAGCCTACCGCTCTCGAATCATCGCTGGCCGAAGAGAATGTCTTAGAGGAAGTCTCTGAAGCATCTGCATCTGCTTACCAGTCTGCTTCCGCTTATGCTAAGCGTGGTTTCTTGAACGATCCTTTTGAGTTCTTCCCTGCTGAAGCTTCAGCTGCTTATGGAGCTATCCCCTTAGCTTCCGCCTCGCAAGCCGCAGGATCCATGGTTGCCTATGCCGAAGATTTCTCAGTAGCCACTAACACCGACTCTGTTCCTTTCGCTGCAAGCAATGACCAGATCTTGAACAAACGTGGAATAATCCTTAACTTCTTGGATAGTCTCTTTGATGATCTTTCACCCTCTTCTTCTTCGTCTTCCAGCGAACCTGCTCCATCTTCCGACAGCAGCCTTCTCAAGAAGCGTGGTATTTTCCTCGACATTTTGGAAGATCTCGTCGATGACCTTTCTCCCTCTTCGTCTTCTTCCTCAAGCGAGCCTGCTCCATCCTCTGACAACAGTCAGCCCAAGAAGCGTGGTATCTTCCTCGACATTTTGAATGATCTCGTTGACGACTTATCGCCCTCTTCGTCGTCGTCTTCCAGCGAACCTGCTCCATCTTCTGACAGCAGCCTCCTCAAGAAGCGTGGTATCTTCCTCGACATTTTGAATGATCTCGTTGACGATCTTTCACCCTCTTCTTCTTCGTCTTCCAGCGAGCCTGCCCCATCTTCTGACAATAGCCAGCCAAAGAAGCGTGGTATCTTCCTTGACATTTTGGGTGATATCGTTGATGATCTTTCCCCCTCTTCGTCGTCGTCTTCCAGCGAGCCTGCTCCATCTTCTGACAACAGCCAGCCAAAGAAGCGTGGTATCTTCCTCGACATTTTGAATGATCTCGTTGACGATCTTTCACCCTCTTCTTCTTCGTCTTCCAGCGAGCCTGCCCCATCTTCTGACAACAGCCAGCCAAAGAAGCGTGGTATCTTCCTCGACATTTTGGGTGATATCGTTGACGATCTTTCCCCCTCTTCGTCGTCGTCTTCCAGCGAGCCTGCTCCATCTTCTGACAACAGCCAGCCAAAGAAGCGTGGTATCTTCCTCGATGTTTTGGAAGATCTTGTTGACGACCTTTCTCCTTCGTCCTCATCTTCATCTGATTCCAGCGAGCCTTCCTCTTCCGAAGGTGGCCTTTTGAAGAAGCGTGATGCCCTCGAAGATTTCCTCCGCGAGTTCTTCAGTGATATCGATTTCGACTTCCCCACAGAAAGTGCTTCATCCTCAAGCGATGAGAGCGCCGCTCCAACTGACGATAGCGCTTCTGCTCCTGCCGACGACAGTGCTCCTCCTCCTCCTCCTACCGATGACAGTGTTCCTCCCCCTGCTGATGACAGTGTTCCTCCCCCTGCCGATGACAGTGTTCCTCCCCCTGCCGATGACAGTGTTCCTCCTCCAGCCGATGACAGTGCCCCTGCCGCTGCTCCAGCTCTTAATAAGCGTGGTATTATCATTAACTTCTTGGATGAGCTCTTTGGTGAGGCCGCTCCCGAGGCTTCTGTCTCCGCCAGCGCATCAGCATATTCTGTTGACAATGCTCGCTTTGAAAAGCGTGATTTCTTCATGGATGCTTTGGATGATATCATTAACGATGTCTTGCCAATTCCTTTGTCTTCTTCTGCTTCCGAGTCTGAGTCTGCTTCTCCAGCTTCCGCATCTCCAGCTTCCGCATCTGCTTACTATGCCGATGCCGTATACAAGCGTGATCTTTTTGAGCTTATCGAAGATCTCTTTGAGGACGATTCTTCATCCTCCCAGTCCGAGTCTGCTTCTGCCTCTGAGCCTGAATCATCCGCCTCCGCATATGCTTACCCTGCTGAGGCCTATTACAAGCGTGAAATCATTGGTGACTTGATTGATGCTGTCACTGACGATAAGCCTTCAGATTCCTCTGAGGATGAGGAAGCCGATACCGAAGAGGCCCAGCCTGCTGAGGAAGACAACAGTGCTCCTGCTGAGGAAGAGGAGAGTGAAGCCCCTGCTGACTCTGCTTCAGAGTCTGCCTCCTCCCCTGCTACTGAGGCCTCCGAGGCCTTCGTCGACTATGGTGTTATGGAGGAGTCATACCAGGACAATTTGGACGCCCAAATGATGGCTGAGGATGTTGCTTATCTTGATACCCTTCCCTCTATGAACTTTGAGAAGCGCGCCCATCACAACATGAACAGAATGGCTTCTGCTTCCGCCTCCGCTTCTGTTGCCTCTTTTGCCAGCGCTGCTTACGCTGACTCTGATGTGTACATGGAGGCTCTGGAGCGTATGAACTTTTAAGTTCAAGCTTATATTACTTATCTAATTAAAAATTCGAATATTCCCTTGTTGCACCTTACTTGTTTTACATTGCACATATAATAAAATTGCTTTTTCTGAAAATATATCTCTTTAACTCTTATTGTTTTGCTTATTATTATTATTATTATTATTATTATTATTATTATTTTAAAAAAAGTATATGATTAAGTTTATTATCGTTTTTAAAAGCTGCCTATTTGAGAAACAAGATGTTCTATAAACCACATCTTGTACGCACATATCAATATATATAAACACACACGCACACGCACACACACACATGTATATATATCGATGCGTCTCTTATACGGGTTTAAGCTTTTGTATTTGTGTATATACATTACCGAGAAGTATGGATGTTAAATACTAATTTTTAATGATGCAAGAAAGGAGTTGGAAGAGATGGATTGGATTAAGATCTTGGTCGGCGTTCTTTTTTGTTTGATGCTTTTGCTTTTGGTTTGAATGACATTTCCATGCCACCCATTGCAGTACGAGACATCTTGTGACCCTCGACCTTGTGTTTGGATTCATTTGATTTTAACCGGGTACCAAATGATTTGCGAGCATCACCTCTGCCAGAAGCACGACCAGTCTCACCTCCCATACGCATCTCAGGTCCACGGCGTGCGGTTTTGAATTTCTTGTCTGTAACATTACGGACTGTGGTCTGAGGCTTCTTCTTGTCACGCATGAATAAACCACGCTCTTTACGGATTTTGCCGACAATATCATCTTCACTATCGCTATCACCATCCAATCGATCGCTATCTGAATCGTCGACATGGGTGTTTCTTGATGGTACGTCTTCCATTTCATCATCTTCGTCCTCAGAGTCAGCAACAGCTTTCTTCTACAGAAAGGAGTAAGGTAAGTAATCTTACAAAATTTGAATTTTAAATATTCACTTACAGGAGCAGAAGGATGAAGCAGCTGATATTCTTTAGATGCTTCGTCAACCTGGAAATCAGGATCAGCAAAGAGTTCTGAGAAACGGTTGTCATCCAAAACGGTCTCCTTCTCCTTCTTCTTGTTCTTCTTGTTGCCTTCTTCACGCAGTTTCTTGGCAAGATTTTTATTAACAGATGGCAATTTGTTGTTGGCTCTGATACGCGAACCACGCTCTTTCTCCAACTTCTCGCGGACAGCACGTTCCTTGAAATCGTCGTATGCAAATGGGTTTGCAATCAATCTGGCCTAAGTAGAAGAGAAGATAAAAGAATATTAAACATTATGCTTTCAACCATACACGTAAAATAACAATATCCTCGTTCAAGATTTTGATTTCATTTACCTTTTCGTATAATCTCAAATCGACGAAGAAACCGTGCATATAAGCCTTGAGAACATTTGTACCCATAAGGTGCTCGAGACCGAGTGCTGCCAACTCTTTGCGGGTGACAAACTTGTACTCGTCGTAAACATCTCTGTTGGGGTTTTCTTCCATCTCTTCTGTGATGTTGTCGAGGAACGAAGCCCATCGAGGGGCAGGGCCAAGTTCAGGAATATAATAAGCACCCATCTGTACACCTTCCTGGGCTGTAAAGATCATTCCACTATTTTCTACCACACACACATCGTTGATATCTGTTTCTGGCTCAATCGAAGTAAAGTGCTTTCCGTTGGTACGATCCCAAATCTTAATAATCTTGCAATCGGACACAATAACCTTGTCATTGCCATTGTCGATATCTCCAGAACCTGCGCCACCGTCATGGAAATTGATTGTCTTGATGGGAAATCCATATTGGTGATCCTTCATCATAAACGGTACACTAGCACGCAAATCATACAACAAAGTGTGGCCAGTCGAAGTACCCAAACCCATAGTAAGACCATCATTACGGAATTTGAGTGCAGAGATTTCGAGGTTTGACTCAGTACCAAAGGTGGTGGGCACCTGAGGCTGAGACAAAAGTCCAACACGCGAACGTGAACGAGGATCCCAGAACTCTACAGTACCATTGGCAGTACCGAAACCGAACAACTGATGAGCAGGGTTGATTTCCACACAGTTGACACCCAATGTAGCGTCGGTTATAATAGGGTTCATGAAACGTCCCTGATCTAAGTTGAGTCTGTATACTTCGGTACCAGATGCACCAAGCATCAAATCACACGAAGGGTAATGGTATGCGAGATCACGGCCGAATTTAGGAATGCGTGTACGATAATGAATTCCACCTTGGGTATGCAGTTCAACTGAGCGATCGTTTTGTAAGAGTGCGACCTTTGTCCAGTCATCGGAAAGAATCTAAAGTAGAATTGACACTTGTAGGTAAGAGGTTTGCCTTATATATATATATATATATATTTCATTGCGTATTATAAAGGTATGCCTAAGAAACCGAGAAATGTGTAAGAGAAAGTTCTCTTACCTCAAAGTTTACTGTCTCTGCATCCATATGACGTTCGAACTTGATCGAAACCTCTGCAAACTCAAATACTCTCATTTGAGGTTTATAAACACCGGTAGCCATGGCGAATTTTCCATCGCGGGTAGTTTTGATGCGATTAGAAGCTTCAGGAAATTCGAAATCCTGAATCAAATCGACACGAGTACGATATTCTGTTGATTAAAGGACATTAATTAATACAATGTTGAATTTTAATCTTTTTTCTTTTTTCTTTTTCTTTTAGTTTTTTTTGTAAATGTTGACTTGCCGAAATCTTTCTTCAAGGCTTTCTTTTGGTTTCGTGCAAGCCAGTCTGGTACGGATCGGGATCCGATTCCACCAGAGACGGTGTAGACCTTGACATTATTGGCACTGGTAACTGGCAAGACCATGATGGATGCAAATTGCCTTTCTTCGATGGAGTCAAAGCGAACGTTGAGTATTCAAAAGCTTCATGAGCGCCACTTGGATAGAAAAGAAAAGCAGTCCGAGAAATCGGGATTGAATCTTTCTCCATGAATTAACTGTCTCCTTTAATGGAAAGTGTAAAAATGCATAAATACAAAAGGTTTAAATAATATATTTTTGAGGAAGAATGTATATTTGTAACTATGGATATGAGAGTATGGATACAATTTGCAAAAAAAAATAACTGATAGCTGAATCTTCCTATAATTATTTTTCCATTGATTTTAACTTTATCTTATGATATTATGATAGAGAATTCAGCTTTATTTGACTTTTTTTTCTGTCTCTCTTTCTCTTTTAAAAAATGAAATAAAAGAAGAATATATATTTTATGCATTTGTAATAAACTCATTTTATATTGAATACGACGAGTAAATTATCTAACCGCCCCTATGTTTAGGAATTAACATGACTTCTTTATAATGAAAAAAAAAACTTCTGTTTCTCCTCTTTAGACAACATAGAAGTTTCTCCTATGCAGAGGAACGGGATTTGGACAGCTCCTCAGAACTAAGGGTACGGAAAGATACAAGTTTAGGAACCTGGCCAGTCAGCATTGCCTTGGCCATATCAAAAGCCTCGGATCCTTCTTCCACATCCTTAATGGAATAGCTCACTGTGTCTGCCTTGACATGAATAAGATTAATACGAGGATCATCTGGACCGCTGTCATGAACTCCATCTCCAAGATCGCCATACCAAATCTATAAAGCAAATAGACAAAGTTAAATTAATACGGTTTGCGACACAATCCAGATTCGTTCTTTTCTGTTCATTTAATTACCTTTAGTTCAGGTCGGTAGAGCTCTTTTATTTTCGATCTATCAGTGACATGTGTGGCGTGCCCAGCAATACTGATCCATTCCATGGTAGATTGCTTAACATAGGAAATATTGACACTTGGATTCTTTTTGATTTCTTCGAATTTCTTGCTTACGACATTGGCAAAGAACCATATGTCAGCAGGAGTATCACTACTTTGAGGCTAAAAAAAAGGTGCGTGTGTTTGATGGTTAGAATACGCGTCAAATCAAATTTAGTTGGTAGCCTACCTTGCAAGCATGCATTGCACGACTGACAAGTGCACCAGAATCGACAGTGTGTGTGGTTAGCATGCAGACATTCATGTCTTTTGTAAGCATGTAGAGATCCTCGATTTTCTTTTGAGTGCTTGTGGTCAAGTCTCTACATCTGGTCATGATAGGATCAAGGTCCACATTGGAAGAGGTTTTAGAGGACATGATATTTCAAGAAAAGAAGCAATGAAAAGGATGAGCAGAGCAAGAATTGAAAGGCTTTCTAGATTGAACAATTTATAGTGGAATTAATAGGTTAGTAATTGCCTAAGGATTGTAAGGGATTGTGCTGTAAGGAATTACAATACTCCTTCTACGAATGTCAAACGATCAGATTTCAAGATTCACACCCCTTCTTCCAACTGCGTAGTAAATATATCGGTATAATAACCGATGGGAATGCATTGCCACGTAATATACTTTAAGAGGCTCACTTAAGCTACCTCTTCTTTTTATAGATTTATATATATATATATCTATGTATTATGTTTACTATTCATAGACGTCGTAGAACTAAGGGGATAAAGAACACTAATGAACGTACTAGTGCCTTTTATGACTCCCCTTTTTCTCATCAACTTAAACGTGTAAAAGATTGTTTTTTTTGGTGTTTAAAATAAGTGTTTAATATTGTACAAGGATTTACAAGGTAGGGAGAGGAAGAAGAATTAATACAAACAATTGAAGGATTGCTTTAGAGTAATATATAAATTTAACGGGTAGGGTTTGAAGGAGAATGTGTGAGTTGGACTGGATCGGATCGGATTGGACTGGACTGGACTGAATTGGATTGGATTTGATTGGATTTGATCGGTTTGAAGAGTATAGATTTATGTTGTCTAAAATCTGGGGCGTTCATAGCGGCCAGTGTATTTTTGGTTCAGGGCATAAAGCTTAACTTGTTCTCCCTCCTGTAAGAAATTAAATTGAAACATAATTAGAGATTGTTATAAGAACTTGTTTTTTTTTAAAAAAAGAAAAATATGTTTACCTTCACATCTTGCCATGGAGAGGCATTGGTCTTGTGATCCCAAACGACATCGGGAGCTCTAGCCTGGTGAACGGCCATGAAACCAGCACCACCCAAAGCGATGCCCATGATACCAAAGAGAGGGAAAATTTCGGGTTTGCTACCTGAGAGCTTGAGGAACTTTTGGAGGGCAGACATATTGATGGTTGTTGGTTGTTTTGATAGGATTTGAATAATGATTTTCGAATATCTCATAAACCCTCTCTTTATATACTACTCTGATCATATCCATTCATTATTCCCATGACAGGTCGTACGACAAATTTTGAGCTTCCAATACGTCTTTGACAAAAAAAATCATTCAATATTTTGGAAATCACTCTCTGTGTTTTTTGCACACCAAATAATCGATTTTGATTGGGCGGGCTATTGGCGTGATATCGAGGAGAGGTTGGAGTGAATTGGCCACACGGAATATTTAGGCTATGTACCTGAAATTGGATTGGTTGATTTCCACTCACCGCTCGATTGGACGAAAACGAGAGTCGGTCATAATTCTTCCGTTTAAGAAAATAGCCTGAGGGCGTGGCGTGATGCATTTGTTTTCTGTTAGATTCGGTTATTTGGTTGATTGTCACTTCTATTTGAGTGCACAGAGCATGCAAATATTATTGAAATCCTAATATTGATAAGATTTTTTCACCCAGGGTCGAGCTGTAGAATTGGCCAAAAATCGAAAGAGCTGACAAAACAATCCATACAAAAAAAAGGTTAATAAAAGTAAGGTGTGTAAGGAATAGTTTATTTCTTATTAGAATACAAATATTATAAAGCCAATGTTTATATACTGGATAAAATATCTGATAAAATATATTTCCCAGGGATTCTTGAGCCATTTCTTAGATAATTTATTGATCTGTCCAAAAAGAAAGACTTTATGGCTCATGATATATAATTTTGATACATCTTTATCATAATAATTCAAATTCTTATTATTGTATCAATTACTGATATTTCAGCCTTTTTTGCCATAATATATACATACTACTTGTTTCTTTCTTTGTCTATTCTCTCAAGCTTGATGAATTGTTATCTATAGCCGACCATGATTATGGGATGATTTTTTCTTTCTTTCCCAAATTTAGGTATTAATGGATCACACCGATTTTCAAGTGTTTAATTTTTTCTTTTGCTTATTGGGATGTATAGTGAGCTGTGGTGTATGTAGCCCAAGATTGGGAATATCTAAACTCTTCCTTTATGTAAAATACTGTGAACACATGTGGGTGTATTTATTTTTAGTTGATCAGTTCTGGCCAAATACTACAAGCCAAATAACCAAGAACACGCACACGCACACAATATATATATACTAACGATCTCAGCTAGTATTAATAATAAAAAATAAAGAATAAAGGATTGTACAAACTGTTAGACAATAGCCTCAATTAAACCGTTCAACTATCCCCATCTTGCTCAAGTTCCGGCTTATCTTAACAGTGTCTCGACCTTTCAGAACACAATCCTTTAATAATCACAAAAGCCCAAATGTATATATATATATATATATAAACATGGTTTTGTTAAATGTGTCTTTAATTATATTATATTAGTTTTATCAGCCATATATAGCGGGTATCTATTGTATCCAATAATAATTAAAATATTTAAAGTCAAGACAAGAAATAAAACTGATCCGGGGAACTTGCACACAGCATACAGTGCAGATATAGTGCACGTACAGTACAGTACAGTACAAATACCGTGCACAATATTTGACAGGCTTGTAAATTTTGTTTTATTGTATTTTATTGTATTTTTGCTTCTAATTTAATCTCTAAATATTATTATCTTTTATCTCTTTAAATGGCGCCTTTATTCCTGTTATTTTAACAGCCTGCACTTCCAAGTATAAGCAACCAATACTACAGCTACCACCATCACTACTATAAATCTTAACTATTTTGTCTTATTTGCCTATACATGTAAAATTGTGTAAAAAAAAAGAATATACCTATTGTAAGAAATAAACTCTGTTCCATGCTAATATATATATATATATATATATAGGGGCTTATATAACTGTATTAGGTAATTAATAATAGCCTCTAATTTGGTGCTTGGCGCTCAACTCCAACTTCAACAACAACAGCAAAAATAACAGAAGAGTATAAAGCCTTTGACCTTTGTCTTTTTTCTTTCTTTTTGAGATTTGAGTCTACTAGAACGTTTGGAAATCATGCTCTCTTTCTTTAGATTCGATTTACAACAATGAATATATCGCAATGTTATTGTTTGTGCTTTTGTTTACGATCCAAACAATACTTGGACAGCTATGTTGCCCCTGATTATTGTTACACGATGAATCCTTGCCACAAAGGAGTGCGATCCAGTAATAAGGCAAAATAATAATAATAATAAAAAATCAAAGAGTATATTACAGTTATTTGGTTAACCGATACTGTGGAATGTATTGTCTGTGTGAGTGTATGCAGTACTGGCTAGCTTTATCTTACTGGTCAAGACCAATAAGCCTAATTTTTTGGGTTTTGTGTTCAAGAACCAAAGAGCATCAGAGGAGGCTTCAATTTGTGTGACATCTTTTTTTTTTGGTGATCGGCAATGTCATAAAAGTACCTAAAATGGATTGTTCTCTATCTGTCTACATTTTACTTGGTGGTTGTATTTTGCTTATAGATGAAAACCATAAGCTTGTTCGGGAATAGCCACAGGTAATTTTCGGAGATACGAGCCAAACGCTAAAGAATACTGTTTTGCCTTTTACCTTTATATATATATACATATGATGTGTGCTTTTGTAATTATATTTATATAATTTTAGGGGGAGTACATTCTACGTTATTTCTTGCCATTAAGTCCTCTCTCCTTTTTCATTTCTCTTCTTCTCTTTGTTTTTCACATCTTCGTATTTTCTTTTTCTTTTGAAGCTATATATATATATATATTCAAGGTATATGAGTCAGCCTTCTCGAAGCTCTACAATCAACCGCTCAGTACGGCGTGGTCCTACTCTGAGGAGCGATCGTAGCTTTAGACCTCCTATCGGTCGACTACCAATACCACGCACTCTACGCAGAGGAAGTCAGGATGAATGCCAGTCCTTGACCAGTCCCAGTTCACCTTATATGAGAACAGACAGTGACCTTGACTTTGTGTACGAAGAAAAAGAAGAGTACCGACCAGAGCAAGGTCAACCCGTCTATCACCATGGAGATGAAACATTTGGTGATATTATCACCCACCCAATAGAACAGCTGCAAGCTCACAGACAACGTCGGCAGGAGTATGAAGGACAGGTACACACCTGGGAGGACAGAGTGGCACACGACGAGATCAACCCAAGAGAACTTGAAACCGGGTAAGAAACTAAAAAAAAAAAGTGTGTACATATTGTATATATAGATTTCTTACGCAGCCAGAGCGGCATCTTAGGCTACTCCCTTCGACCAATGCATCTCATCCACAGGAAGAGTACGATTATATCATCGGTACATAATATATTTACGCCTATGATCTTTATCAGAAATCTTGTATTTTTAACCCCAACCCTACAGTTGTGCATTTTAGACAGTTGCGTGGCAACCAAAGTTTTGTTCTTGATCTTGAAAAAGCTAATGAATTCTCCAACAAGGTAGGTTACATCTAATTTATGAGCCAATCATAATAGCTGCCTAGAGTCCCGAAATTAAATGAACAATAACCTTACACGCGTGTAACATACGCAGATCAATCTCACACCCCAGGAACGTGTCCAATTCAACGGAGTGCGCGATACCGACGGACTGACAGCCTTCTTGTACAAGACTCGTCGAGAATTCTCTATAAAGATTCACCACAAAGCAGAAATCTCACGTTCTGATAACCGCCACTCAAAGGGAGACCTAAGCCATCACGCTCAGGAGCATGATCCTAACCACCATACCATCGAATTCAATGAAAATGTCTACGTGGAGTTCAAACCAGTGTACTACGTGCACTCAGAGCTCCCTGTCCAGGCCACACGAAGACCATTTTTCCAGTAAATATGGGTTCTATTTATGTGTCTTTATTAAATATACTTGATAATTTTAAATTTTGTTTACATTATCCTTCCCTTTTTTTTAGGCATCCAGAACCTGATCTCAGTGCTGATATCGGAGAAGAAAAGGCCGCTTCTTGGCTAGAGCTATTTTATGACTTGTTTTATGTGGCCACACTCACAGAATTTACACACACACATGTCATCAAAGACTGGGAATCTCTTGGTCTCTATACATCTTGGTTTGTCATCACCTGGTGGGCCTGGACAGCAAGTTCTCTGTAAGTCTTAATTGCTTTATCTTTTCTTTTTGTGCGTGTGTGTCTAATTTCTAATTATTGAATATATTGATTAATTAATGAAAAATAACAATATATATATATATAAATATTTAATATTAATAACATTATTACTATTATTATTATTAGGTACACAGCTCGTTTTGATACGTGAGTAACCCATTATTCTTTTTTTGGTCTTTTGGTTTTATTTTAATTTGGTAATATAAAGCTAATTATTACCTTGACTTGTGATTAACTATAGAGATGATGTGCTGCATCATATTTGGAAATTGATTGAAATGTGTGCAGTTAGTAAGTAAACCTATATCTCTTCTCTTTGTGTGTGTATGTGTGCGTATGCATGTATACTGCTATTTTGAGTTATTCTTCTTTATGTGTTAACAAATCGACTTTTGTTTTATTAGTTGGAATGGCTGGCACTTCAGACCATTTTTTGAATTCAAGAGGATACGTATATGGATATTTAGGTAAAGCCCTTGCATTTCTATTTTTATTTGAATAAATAAAAAAAGTCCACCAAAATACAGTGTAACTCACATCTATCTTTAGTTCTCAAGGCTGTACTTGTCCTAGAGTACTCCATAGGTAATATATATATATGCAAAAGTATTCACATTCTTAAATGCACCAAACCCAAAACCCAAAATCCAAAAAAAATCATGTATTTATTTTTAATTTATAGTTTTCGTTGTCGCTCTTATGGCCCGCTCCAAGTCAAGATTAGCTCTGTCTTTCTATGTTGGAGCTAATGTTATATCGATGATTATCTGGGGATGTTCACTTTTGATTATCGATAAGGAAATTCATCGTTTGCTTTGGTACCTTGGGGTTCTTGCAGAACTCCTGGTAAATGTCATTGTGCGTGGTGACAAGACACTTTCGTGGGCCGCAAGTCATTTAGCAGAACGCCTTGGTCTATTATCATTGATTGTTTTGGGAGAGAATCTCATGGGTTTAGTCAAACTAGTTGCCGAATCTGGCACGGACTTTGTTGTAATGTAAGTCTATACCCTCCTTATATTGATAGATAGATATAAAAACGTTTAATAGAATCAACAAAGTAATGAACTCGTTTTTTTTTTGTTATCTAGTGTTCCAAACTTTATGGCTGTTGTTATTATATTTGGCTTCTTTTTCATGTATTTTGAAGATTTCAACAAGGAGGTAATAATAATACTAGCAAAGATGAATATAGTTTGACATGATAGCAGTGACTTGGAAAACATTTAATTTTAACCGTGACTGATTCCCATGTTAGGTCTTCCTCCACAGCTCATATCATCAAGTTTGGGTCTATCTGCACTTCCCCCTCCATTTGTGCCAGGTCGCTTTTGGTATAGCTTTGATCAACACGTAAGTTGATTACAACAGAGGATTCTTAACACAAGAAAATATGCAAAGTAAAAATAAAGAAACTAACCAGAAATGAATCACAGGCTCGTTGTTTACAGACATCAGATGGTTCAAAGCGGAAGACTTGTCAAAGGCGAAGGCGAGGAGGAAGAATCTGAGGAGGGCCATTCAACAGCAGGTTCTGGTACTGAGAGCTCTGAAAATGCCCATGGTGCAGCTGAGTCTAGTGCCAATGGCGCAGCTGAGTCTAGTACCCACGGTACGACTGAATCCGGCACATCTGCAACAACGGAGGCATCAGATCACAGCACACCCGAAACGAGTTCACAAGCCTCCCATGAAACAGCCGGTCAGACTACAGCCGAAACACCTACACACTCAGACGAGGCAGATGCATACACACTTGCTCAGCGAGCTATTGAAGAAACTTTCCCACATCTTTCACTTGAAAAACGTAGCTCGGACAGTGTCTACGAACCTTCTGGATTAAATCTGTCGCTAGAGCCTACAGACGTACACTCCAGCAGATATCACGCCAGTGGAGGGTTCATAACTATGGGCAAACAGTTTGTGGCAACTGTGGTATTTACTGCCTTGCAAGCTGTGTCAATAGGAGGGTCTGTTGATCAACTTGACAGCAGCTCTGGTGCCCATCATTTTCAACGCCGATCAATTGAAGTAGAAGAAGAGTTGACCGATAATGAGAAAGTGTTTATCTACAAGACCTTTCTTATCTGCGGTGGATTTATTTTGGTTATCAATTCATTCATCAAGCTACTGAATACAAAGGTTACAGGTAAGAAAAAAAATCAAATTAAGCAAACGGAACATTTTGTTTGCCATTTATTGTATCTGTGTATCTGTGCATGTATGTTAACTGAGTGTACCTGTTTCTGTGTCTTTTTCTTCTTCGTTTTCTTTATATAAAAAAAGATATCTATGGAAAAATCATTGTTACTTCCCGAGTAATAAACGCGATTGTTCTTTGGTCCATGTGTGCTCTTTCATTTGCTAGCCTTGATGCATTTGTCCTGTTATCTGTGATGATGGGCTCATTAATCTTCCAAGGTAAGAATCAAGTAATTAAATGACCTTTTAATATTTATATACACAAAAGGTTGTACAGAAAAAAGTTGTAATAATAATAATAATAATAATAATAATAATAATAACATTTTGTTTTGTATAGCTGCCGTTGACTTGCTAGATTAGTTTTCTTTATTTTTTTCCCTACTCCTTCTTACTCTTCTTCTTCCTCTCCTTTATATTAATGAAGTCGGTCCGTTGCTTCAGCATTATTAGCATAGTTATTCAATGTATATTTTGTTCTTATTCCGAGGCTATTGTCCCTCACTCTTTTTTTCTTCTGTCATGAATATTAAATCATGTTACAGCACAATAATTGGCATTGTAGTTGTCATTATTATGGCATCACATATATAATAAATAAAATAAAATAAAATAAATAATTCTATTGATTTATCTACCTAGTTATCAGTATTATTATTCCCTTTTTTTTACGTTTAGAGAAACGGGGTTGTATTATTTACATTAAAAGGAAGCAAATAACAAAACCAGGCTACCAATAGAAAAAGTGAAAAAAAAAGAAATATAAAGCATAAGTAGAAAGAAAGAAAGACGATTCTTTTGTAAAGAAAGGATCAGTCAAGAAGTATAATTTTTTGAAGAAAAAATAACGTGACAAGAACAAAAATAAGAAAGTATAGATGCGGTGAGGAAGTAAAAGAAAAATTTAGCGAATAAAATAAAGAGCTCCAAGATGCCATGGTTATTTCTTTTCCTTTTCCTTTTGTGTTGGAGAAAAAGATGAAAAGAAACAGAAATATATAAAAAAATGTTCAAAGGGAAATGTAGGTTGTAGGTACGGGTTGTAGGTACGGGTACGGGTACGGGGTACTGGTGTGCGCGTGAGAATAAGTTTAAGTGTGGGTGTGGATTGTTAAGGGGAGAGAAAGGGGGATGAGAGGATGATGAAAATGATGTTTTACGCACTAACTTCTTTTGAGTAAAGTCAAGACTGCAGCTGCCTCCACAGCATCTACACCTGCAGACATTGTGAATGAAGATGAACTTAGACCCATCTTTTCTGCAATAGATATATCTGCTGTGTGTCTACGTTGCCTTGGTGGTGTTGAGAGTGAAGGTGTTATATATGAGGCAAGAGGTGGGCTGTATGAGTCAGATATAGATGATGACCAGCTGTGAGCTTCAAATGAAGATCTCATTCTAGCGCCATATTCACGTGAGCCTGACATAGCAAATACTGCAGCTGCTGCAGCAGTAGCGGTAGCGGCAGCGGATGATGATCGAGACAGACGGAGAGCTCGCAAACTCTCGTCATCTTCATAAATACTCAAGTTCCTAGCCGCATCAATATTACTCTCCATCTCATCGTCTTCTGTGTAAGTGTTCCCATATTCTAGTTCTTCGTCGGTTGTGTGTATCATTGGCTTGCGGGCATCCTTGACCTTTGCTCGCTTGTCTTTTTTAGCTCCACTTCCGGACTTCTTTCGTTTCTTCTCGGCCTTTTTCGTTCCGCGATAATCTTTGGGAAGTAATTGAGGATTTTCACCGCCACCACCACCACCATTAAAATTACTATTACTATTACTATTGTCATTTACCATTATTACCATCGCCATTGTTGTCTCCAACGCCGCTGCCGCCGCCACAAAGGATTTTTCCGTGCTTCCACTTGACGCCACATGCATTACAGAGAGTTCCGGCACCTTGTGGTCCTCTGCGCCACATTGGTGTGCTTTTTGATCCACAATAAAGACATTTCTTAATCGAACCGTTGGTGTTACCTGCTCGCTTTGTATTGTTGGTGGATACGGATGTAGTAATCAATGGAGGGGAGTCAAACGGTGTCCCGAGTGCTGGTTTTGGAGACAGTGCGGTGTCAGAATGTAAGAATTCGGTTTGTTGACGGTCTTCTTCGTAAACATGGGAATCTGAAGGTATTACAAAAGATGCCAATTGTGTTGAGCCAAATAATAATAATAATAACAATATATAGATCAGAAAACAGGCACTTATATATATATATATATATATATATATATATATATACATATACAAGTATACGTGTGTGAATGTGTATATATTAAATGTACCCTTTTCCCAACTATTGTCATCACTGCTACTCCATGCATCAAGGAGTGTTGTACGATGAATATAACCTGTATCTTCTTCAGTTGGAATTGTAAAATCGACTCTTGTTTCTGAACGGAGCACGCTGTCAGCTCGCTGACTAGCAACAAGCTGTGTGTGAAGTGTTCTCTGCCATAGCATTAGCGTGTGGTTGTGGGTAATTGAATATTGTTATACATATGTTACATACAGACAGACATACAATACAATACAATACATTACAATACATTACAATGTGATGTAATATAATATAATGTAAGGTAAGGTATGTATATATGTATATACTAATGTATTTTTTTTCCATCATTACCAAGTCCCTCATTCTCTCATAGGCAGCCTCAAACCCGGAAACCGCCTGTTTCACAGCCATATACAGTTCACGAGAGGCATTTGAGAACCGTACGTTCAGTATATGGCACTCAGGTCTAAACTGGCGTTCTAAGCCAGGATCTGTCCATCTGCGCTGAGGATGTGATGGGTAGGTAGGAGATGTAAGACGACAGCTGTTACTACAAACAGCTGCAAACTCTTCTAACTTGGTCTTATAAGATACTTGAGATGTTTCTAGGATATGGTCATGACAGGAACACAGCGAATGATGTCCAGAAGGGTCAGATGTCTTTGGAAGATAAAATGAAAAGATAACCTACAGCCAAAATAAGAGGGTATTAACCTCATATATCAGCCTGAATGTTGCTTATTCTTTTTTTAAAAAAAAACATTTCTCCATTTCCTTTCCCTCTCTCTCTCTCTCTCTCTCTCTCTCTACCCTTCCCTCGTCTTTTTATCTTTCATATATATATATGTATGTATGTATGTATGTATATTATAGTGTAGTGATTGTAGACTATTCAACGGCCTAAAGATAAGCTTTGATTTTTTTTTACGACAGCCTACCTCAAAGGGCGGTGCATTGTTGAGAGTTTCGAGAACAGCATCATGAGGAAATAGATAATACTCTTGTTCGGCCGATATGTGTTCCAGTGAGTCCCTAGCCAGGACTTCTTCCGGACTACACAAACACATCACCACATCAAAGCGCACAATTCTGCGTCGCTTGCGTTTTTTGGGTGGAAGAGCCGCCAAGGGTTTTTCGGAGCCCAAAAGAATACCATCTGTCATCATCATATTGCTATTATTGCTACTGTTATTGTTATTGTTACTGTTATGGTTGTTATGACTGTCGGACCTGGCAATGACAGGTGCTTCTGAAAGTGACAGAAGAGTATCTACAGAGTCTGATAGAACGACACTATGATCTGTTTGAATCTGGTCTGATCCAAAATAATTGATTCCAACATTCTTGGTCAAGTCATTGATTGCAGTAGATGGATCGTTGATCTTGGCTTGTTTGTCCGATGAGGCGATCTCTGTGATTTCATACTTTGTTACTTGATAAAAGGCAACGTTCGCACTGTGGTTTGTACTAGAGTGTAGTAAAGAGACACCCAGGAAGCGGGAATGGATGCGATGAACAAGACCATCGACAGGATCGATGGTGTCCTGACCCAATTGTGGTGGAAAGCGATAGGGTTGAAAGGCGTCAGAAATCCAGGCTCTATTATAGATAATAATAATAATAGTATATATATATAATATAAAAAATACAAAACAAGGTAGAAACATTGACGATTAGGCCTTGTTTTAAAATGATGCAAAGGCTGATGGGGAGTAGAAGTTGGTGTTATTGTTGTTGTTGCGAGCTAGGCATGTCTATTGACAGCCGATCTGCTTCCAAACAAAACGTTATTATTATTATTCCCCATTGGCCTTTGCTCATAAAAGTGTGTGTATGTGTATCACCGTTGTTGTATAGCGTTTTCTGGCACAGGAATGCTGCTAGATCTCGACCGCGTAAATGACATTTGTTTTGTGCGTGTGTCTGTAGAGTGGGTGTATATATATCTCTGTGTGTGTGGATTGAATAAAATTCAGAAATATAAGAGATAATATAAAATATTTTTGGGGTAGTGATGGTTTGTCTAGTTAATATTATTATTATTGAGTGTAAAGATAGGAGAAATAAGAAGAGTTGTTAAAGAAGAAAGCGATCGATGGGGTTAATGTCGGGCAATGTTAAACTGGCCAAAAGAGAACGATGAGTGACTGTGTGAAGGAGAGAGGGAGGAAGAGAGTGAAGTTTGACATGTCAATCTACTTACAGCCAGATGAGCTTTACAGTCAAAGAAAGAGAGAAAGAGAGAGAGAGAGAAAATAAGAAAAGATTCGGAAGACTAGGAAGCAGTTAAGGAATTTGAACTGCCATCTTTTGTTCTTTTTTAATAATGGATTTTAGCCCCAATTTTTTTTTATCAAGGTATAAATGGTGTTAATTATATACATACATACCTATTTATCTACCTAACTATCTACATACATATGAGTGATGTACACATGAGTCTATCAATATTTATCATTGTGCAGAGTAGTAATATAGAATTTGTACTCTATCAATAGGAGAATAGTAAAAGCAGCTGTACCTCTATTTACTGCTACAGGTTAGATATTTTATTATCTATTTATTTTAGCTATTAGACTTGTATTAAATAATAATAATTATAATAATAAGAGTAATTCCGGGTAAAGGATATCTCCATCGACAAGGGCTTGTGAAAAAACATGGTGTATTCAACTATAATGGTTATTACTATTATTATTTCTTTGATTCTTTTATTGTAGTACAACAGGTTATCCGAGCAGAATCTTTTATACCAACAACAATAACAAATGAAACCAGTATTCATATTTTTTTTCTGGTCCACATTTTATGTATCAAGTGCTAAGCTGTGAGTGTAAGCTATAAATTTAACAAGGCTGAGTAAGAAGAATAAGTAAGTAGAAAGATAAGTAAAGAAGTAAAGAAGTAAAGAAGTATGCTTTATTTTCTTTTTGTTAATGATTTATACATGTGTTTTATTCTTTTACGACCAGCCAAGGACATCCATTTGTTAAATAAAATAATTCACAAGGTCCCTTGCTACTTTATCTTCGTTTTTCTTTGAAAGTCTTATTTTAATGAGCGTTGACTTGCAGCCAATAAAAATAATTCCATGGAACAGGCCGAGCTGAACCTACACAAACATATATATGTATATACACATAAAGATACACATATGGACACATAGTATATATACATATACATATATTCATACAAAATCCGCAAAAAAATACAAGCCATTCAAATGAGCCATTGAAGAGAGCATGCTTATTTCTATCGCAAATCCCTTTATATATATATATAAATTACTCTACAAACCTTATATTATAATACGTATATATATACGTGTGTGTGTCTATGTGCATGTGTATATGCGTATGTGTATATATAAAGTTTCTCAATTCATTACGCAAAATCAAATAATTTTATACCGTTGTACTAATCACCATGAATGAAAGGGGTGTAATGTTTCACGTTCAGTATACAAAAGATATCAAAGCCAATTAATTGTCCATTACTCCTAAGGATTTAGACAATTTCTAATATTTGTATGTATATCTGTATGTATATCTGTATGTAAGTGTGTATGTGTGTGTATGTGTGTATATATATATATTTGTGTGTAGAAGGGATTTTGTTGGGGTGTAGACGTGTGTTGGTGTGTTGATGTAGGTTGTAGGTGTGTACGAGAGACATGGTTTATTAAATCTAAACAGTAACCTGGGCTCTTTCCTGAGAATAATACTCTACTCGACGCATTAGTTTCGTTTTGTTTTTGGTTTGTCTTTCTTTTCACAATCCACTTACTGATATCCTCTTTGCGAATTGGTGCTGCTGCTTTGGGGGTCTTTGTGAACTTCTCGGGGTGGATAAGTGCTCTGAGACCGATAGCATTGAAGTAACGGAGAGAGACGGTTCCACCAGCCTTCTCAATAGCCTCAATGGCCTTCTGGGAAGCTCTAGATACCTCAATAGTAATAGGAATGTTGAATTGTTCAGCACCCTAAAAAAATCACAGCAGTAAAATTGTAATAATCACATTTAGTATCCTTGCTTTCTCTCTTAATATATATATATATATATATAATAAATATATAAATTTTTCATTTTGCTTTAATGCCTACCACACTGAGAATCTTTACACCATCCTCAATCTTGTGGATACAGCGGCTGTCCAAAAGATCCTTCATTGTAATAGGCTTAGATGCGTCGATTCTTCCACTAACGATCCAGTGCTGTAAACGATCGAGATTAACTTCCTGGTATTCTTTACCGTGCCTGTAATAGTAATTATAGACATCAATTGATTATCATTTAATTGATTAAATTTCTGAATATATATATATATATATGAAGGTTGTATAATATAATATATTATTTTCTCTCTCTCTTAATGGTTAAATCGAATATACAATTCTTACTGGTTGAAGAAACCGCGCTTGGGAAGACGCTTGACAAGAGGAGTTTGACCACCCTCGAACCAAGGTACAGGCTGACCGTTACCAGAACGAGCCTTTTGACCCTTGTGACCTCTACCGGCAGTCTTTCCCTTGCCAGAACCAGGACCACGACCAAGGCGAATACGCTAAAAAAAATAGCAATAATATTAATAGCAGCAAAAAAGAAAAAGAATAAATAAAATAAGTTATATATATGTGTGTGTGTGTGTGCATTTTTTGTTGTTTTTTGTTGTTTGTTGTTTGTTGTTTGTTGTTTACCTGAGATACAGCACCGGCATTGTCAGCCAAACTGGCCAAATGAATGGAAGACTTGGCCTGGTTTGCCTGGGTAGCAAATGAGCGCACCGAGGCATTGATGCCCACGGTAGCAGTGGAGAATGCTGATCGGAACATAATGTGAAGGAATAGACCAAGAGGAGGGAGAGGGGAGGGGGTGTAAATCTGACAGCAACTAAGGATTGTGCCATGGGCCTACTTCCAAGCCACCGGATCACGTGTACATGAGTTTTTCTACAAATGCACACACACACACACAGGTACACAATCATACAGGCACACAAATATTAATGTTTCATCATGATATTTAACCCAAGCACACACACACACACACAGAGAGAGGGAGGGAGGGAGATATAGAGAGAAATATATATTATAGATATATACCTTTGGTTTATTTTCAATTCAGAGATTTATTACTTTTGTTTCTTTGATAAAGGTCATAAATGTGAGCAAAAATAAATTGGACTGAATCTAATTGAATTGAATTGAATTGAGTTTAATATTTTTTTAAGAAAAAAATCAGTTAAATTTGATAATGAAATTATTAAATGAGATATAATAGAATGGAATAAAAAGCATAGGTATCTTGATTATTATTATTACTATTTTTTGAAGTATACTTTATTTTATTTTTTATTTTAATTTATTTTATTTTATTTTATTTTATTTTACTTTGTTATATATGGATATGTAACAAAATAGAAAGAAAAGAAAAGAAAAAAAAGAGTGCATGATATTATTCTTTTGATTTTGTTTGTTTATCGATCGACTTCACCAAACACAATATCCATGGTACCAATGATGGTGACCATATCGGGGAGAAGGTGACCGCGAGACATGAAGTCAGATCCCTGGAGATGCAAGAAACCAGGAGCCTTGATCTTACATCTGTAAGGTCTGTTGGTTCCGTCTGACACCAAGAAGACACCAAACTCACCCTTGGGGGCCTCAATTACAGTGTAAGTCTCACCAGGAGGAACGGAGTAACCCTCAGAGTAAAGCTTGAAGTGATGGATAAGAGCCTCCATGTTCTCCTTCATGGCAGCACGGGGAGGAGGAGCAATCTAATGAAATTACAATATATATATATATTTATATATTATTTTCCCCCACATAAAACAAAATAAAATAAAAAGCGCGCGCAATACACATACAGAGAAAGAAAGACAAATCAGATAGTTAGTTTTATATTCTATTATTTTCACCATATATATATATGTGCGTATGGAAGTATGTATCCATTCATATATTGATTCTCTTTCTTTCTAACCGTCTGTCTTATGCTTCTCTCTTTCTTTTTAAAAAATAACAATAATTACCTTCCAGTCATCGACCTTAATAGGTCCTTCGGGAATAGTGTTAATGCACTGGGAAATGATACGGAGAGACTGACGCATCTCTTCGGTACGGCACATGTAACGATCGTAACAATCACCGTTCATACCAACAGGCACATCAAACTCGACCTTGTCGTAGGCATCGTAAGGGGCAGCCTTACGAATATCATACTTGATGCCTGAACCTCTGCTCATGACACCTGAGAAACCCCAGTCGAGGGCTTCCTGGGCAGTGACAACACCAACACCCTGGGTACGGACCTTCCAGATACGGTTTCCTGTCAAGAGCTCTTCAATTTCATCCACACGGTCAGCAAACTGTTCGGCCCAGAGATGGATATCAGTCAAGAGACCCATGGGCAAATCAAGGGCAACACCGCCGGGACGGACGTAGGCCGAGTGAAGACGGGCACCCGACACACGTTCGTAGAACTCCATGAGCTTCTCACGCTCCTCGAACATCCACAAGAAAGGTGTCAGGGCACCGACATCCATTGCGTGGGACATGATTGACATGATATGGTTCAGAATACGGGTCACTTCGCCAAACATGGTGCGAATGTACTTTGCGCGTTCGGGGATTTCGACGTTGAGGAGCTTCTCGACAGCAAGTGAATAGGCCTGCTCATTGCACATCATCGAAACGTAATCAAGACGATCAAAGTAAGGAAGGGCCTGGAGGTATGTCTTGTACTCAATCAGCTTTTCGGTACCGCGATGCAAGAGACCGACGTGGGGATCGGCGCGGATGATCTCCTCACCATTCAATTCGAGAATCAGACGAAGCACACCGTGAGCAGCGGGATGCTGGGGACCAAAGTTGACAGTGAAATTGCGCATCTTTGCCTCATCTTCATCTTCGACATCTGCAAGAAACTTGTCAGAAATATATATATATATATTTTTATATTATAATATAAAAATAATAAGTTTCATGGTTTTCTTCTTCTTTGAATTGAATTGAATTGAATCGGATTGATTTTCTCTCTTTCTATCTTTCTTTATTCTTCATATGTATATATTCTTTCGTCGGTTCGCAAATAGAATATATCGTTGTATCTCTCTCTCTAAATTACATTCCCTTTCTGCATGTATTTTGTGTAAAATCGTTTTTTTCGTTCTTGTTGTCGTTATCGTTGTTGTTGTTTATTATATATATATTCTACAAAGAAAAGGAAAATTCGTGCGCTTTTGCTTTTTTCTTTATATAAAAACTCTATTCGTTTTCAACTCACCACCAAAATCCTTATCCTCCGAAATAGTGGTGGCAGGAATATCACCAATCACGGTGTGGGAGGCCATGGTACGCCATTGGAGAGGCTTAATTGCCTTTGTCAAACTAGGTCTGAGGAATGCAGTAGGACGAGCAGCTGTGGCAATGCGGCGACCCCACAATCTTGCAGCAAAGGACATTTGTTATAAAAAATAAAATAAAATAAAAAAAAGAAGGAAGAGAGGGGAGTTTTTTTTTTTGGTCTGTATAATTTTTTGTTTTTTTTTGTTATTTTTTTGTTTTTTTTTTAATTTATTTTATTATTATTTTATATATATTATATATATATATATATCATTTACATATCATTTGCGTATGTGAATGTGTATATGTATGTGTGTTTATATGTGTGTTTTTATATATTTGCGTATAAAAGAAAAACGTAAAAATATATAATATTATAATAAAAAAAGTCATCATTAGATCTCAATTAAAGACATTTCTAGGCATCAAGGATGTCCTAAAACACGTACAGAGTAAGAATGCTACCTGTTTGCTTTAGCAGGATAGTTGAAGAGCGGTCAACTTTTTTACTGATGTTTTTTCAGAGGGCAAGGGCGGAAATTTGGGCACCATGTTTTTTGTTGCGTCATTAATATTTGTGACGTAGTTTGCTAACCACACCTCTTTACCTGCCTTATCCTTCTTTCCTTCTTTTCTTCCTTCTTTCCTTCTCTATCTCACCTTTACACATACACACACACACACACACACATATATATATATATATATATATACACAATTAAGTGTATTAGATAACCAGCTGGTTTAAGCACAAAAATTTTATGGTTCTTTATATTTTTTGGCCTACCCAGATACCTGGATCAAAATTCTCTATTGAACATATTTTTTTAGAGAACTTATATTTATACAGAGACCACACAATAATCGATACGTATATATATATGTATAGCGAAAGGACAGAAAAATAATAATTAGGATTAACTTGCAGTTTACAAATACACCAAAACATGGTTTAAATTCTATTCTTTTTTTTTAAGTTTTTTTTTTTAAAAAAAAAAAATCTTTGGTTGCTATTATACCAAAATAAAGTTCAAGAAGTAAATGTCAAGAAACAAACAAAAAGATGAGGATAGCACAGCCAAATATTAATGCTTCTATCATATCATATGTTGATCTCTTTTATATATATATATATATATTGAACTATACTTTCTTGAAGCTTAACTATATTTTTTGAGTACCCATTTATTATTACAATGTTTCTACTTGAGATTAAGACGATGTTAGTTTTATTTTGGACAATTTGCTTACCTTTCTTGGATACTCCATGCCGTAAACTGCGAAATATGACACTTGGATTGTTTGTAAGCCCATCTCCAAAGACAATCAAAGGCACCTTAAACGTTTGCGGCTCTAAAAGACACGTCGATGAGAGTTTCTGTAATATTTTAAATTATTACAAGTGAAATGGGGAATACAAAAAAGAACTAATTGTATTATTATTATTTTTGTATGATTACCAAATAAATAAAAAGATTGGCTGTGATTTTTATAATTGATTAACCACTCTGTTCGTACCTTTTGGCAGAATCTCATTTTTTTATTTTATTTTATCTTTCAACTAAACCCTTTCTATCCCAAATTTTATTCTTTTGTGTCTTAATTCCTTCTTTCTTTCTTTTTTTTTTTGGACAAACAAACAAAAAACTAACATCGTCTTAATCTCAAGTAGAAACACTGTAATAACATTATTTAAATAATAAAATACTTGGAAATTAAGGTTCCGTCAATTAAACTTTTTGGTAATTTTATATTTATGTACTGTTACAGGGTTGGTAAAGCTTCATTATCTATTAGAGAAAAGACTGTTATTATATATAGTTACTGTAGAGCTTACAGACCATTTTACTATTAACTAATCGATTGATTAATTGATTAATAGGTTTGTAGGTCATTTGTTTGTGCTTGTATCTTTGGAAGTAATATTTCTGTTTTACTTTAAATTGATATAAAAGAAATTTATATTGTGAAAATCTTGTTCCCTCTTTTGGACTGTCAGATTATTAAAATAAAGTTGATTCTGACTGATAGTTACCATTAGATATATATATATATCTAAAGATGATTATTATTATTATTTTTCTGGTTAATCTGAATTTGTATATCCAAGTATTAATTGATGATTAAATATGCGAGATAACAATATAGCTCTCTGATTGGATGATTTGCACTAGAATATTGACACACAGATCTATGTAGATATAGATATAGATATAGACTTTCAAAGAAATAAGATAAAATATGATGGTAATCTCGAATGAGTTTATTGTATACAGTATTCTTATTAAGCTACCTGGATATAAAGATGTTTTTCATGTACATACATACATCTATATAGACTATGTAAATGAAATATAAAAAGAAAAAGAAAAATACAAGATCATAAATATGTTTCATGTAAAGAAGTGGTCAAGATTTTACTTGCATATTGATTAATTGTTTTAAGAATGAGAATGAGAATGACGATGATGAATATTCTTAAAAGAAGAAGTACTTTTAGTATTAATGGTTTCTATACAAAGAATTCTGTAAGCAATCATCATAATTTTTGTCATCAGTGTATAATATATACATTCAAAATAAGAGTCCTATGTGTGTGTGATTTTTTTTTTAATATATTCTAATGGTATAATTACTATTCTGATTTAATTTTAATACATGTACATTTATGTACGTGCATATGCCTGTATGCACAAGAGCGCGCAAAAAAATGAAAAAGTCTCTGTGATTAAATGAAATCTCTGATATGTAATGTAGCTCAGCACACAAAAGAATTAAAGCCAAAAAAAATTATATAGAGGGAATTGCGTCGGCGTGCATTTGGTTTATTATCATTATTATTTGTTTATCAAGGAATAACGATATCCCTCTTCCTTTCTTTCCCTACTACTTCTATTTATTTATTTTTCGACAAGTTAACAATAAAATATCAAATTAAAATGATGATGTTAATTGTGCTGATGATCTCATAAAACCTGTCTGGCTTATCTTGGATTCTTGTAATATTCAAAATACAGGTACATAATATTAAGAAAAAAAGAAGAAGCAAAAGAGAGAGGGAGGGGTCAGTTGTTGTTGTTGTTGTTGTTGTTGTTGTTGTTGTCGTTTGTTGCTCAATCACGATCTTATTACTGACAGCTTTCAAGATTCGATAAATGAATGAAATGGACAAAGGAATGACCATCAAAAGTGTTGCGAAGATCTTGTTTTTTTTTCTTTTCTTTTCTTCTCTTCTTTATGATATCCTAATTTAATTTATATTATCAAATCCAAACTAATGCAGGGACATGATATATTTGATTTTATATTCTTATTTTCATTTAATGATCAACCAGCTAACTGACTAATGACTGGCTCACTGGCTGACTGATTGACTGAGCTTTCTTTTTTATATATAAATATATATATAAAGTATTAATGAAAAATGTAAAATGTAATGTTGCATTTACAAATAAAAAAATATCAAAATATTCTTTACTCTTTTATTGTGGTGTAGGTTTGTAAAGAAAATGCAATGGTCATTAATTGATTATGAATACACAATATGCTTATACTAATTAATCAATTGAGCAATGACTGTGATTTTATTTTCATTTATTAGTTAATTTGTCTTATCTTGGTTTGTCTTGCCTTATTATTTTTTAATTTTTTTTTTGGTCTAGTCTGGTCTTGCTAATAGTGATATTTTCTTGAATGATATGTAATATGATGATTATATCAGAAATAAAGATTAACAATATATATATATACTCTGTATTCAAATGCACTCCTATTTAAAATACTAATAATAAAGCAATATCATTTAATTGTTCCCAAGTGGTAAAACTATCAAAGCTAGAATTTTATTTAGTATTATTAAATAAAATCAGATTATAAGCAATGGCTATTTATTATCAATTACGATCTATCTAGCTTGTAATGAATAGTCTTGATAATATATATATAATAATAATCATAATATAGATTAAAGTAAATATTAGTAAGAGTAGTAAATAATTTTAAAAAAAAAAAAAAAAAAAAAAGACAAAAGATGGTGTCAAATTGACGTTTTGAAAATTTCCTTTTTGTGTTTGCAAGTAGAAAAGCATAAGATTCTACAAGAAAGTAAAAAAAAAAACAAGGTATTCTATTATTGATATATATATGTATTTTGTATTTTATATGCTCTTTTTGTAGTTTTGATAGATTGACTTTTGTATTGTATTGATTTATATAATAAATGAATAAATAAAGGAGAAAAGAAGAAAGAAGAAAACAGAAATTAAACAAAATGAAATATAAAAAAAAAACCCCCACGGTGCATGCTAAAATAGACTAGGTCTAATGAAGTATAGCACACGCCTTTGTGTGTAGTGCGTTTTGGTGAAGTACAAGAATTTTATAGACGGAATCTGGGTAGATAGATAGAAAGATAGAAAAAAATAAAATAAAATAAAATAAACTGTACATAGATATGTATATGAGCAATTCAAACACAGTGTTTCGGTAATTTAATATCCAAGTAAATTATTACCCATTTCTCTGTCTGGACTCCAATATATTAACCTGGATATTTAATTAACGCATTAATAATAATAATAAATGGCCAAAGTGTTTCCACACCATAATTTTGAGTTTTTGTGTGTTCAAAATAAAGGACAATCTTACAGAATCGCCGTAAAAAAAAATATTTTTTTTGAAGGATATATTTATAAAACAAAACAAAAAAAAGTAACAAGTTGTACGGACTATTGACTCCATTTGTACAAGAAAGAATAAAAGGAAGGAAGGAAAAAAAAGGTATCTTTGGCTGGTGCGTCACACATGATTCTCAAATGAATTTCCTTTCTTTTTTATATATAGGATGATTTTTTTTTTTAAGAGAATAATAATTTCTATATATTTCTTTCGCCTTGGACTCAAACGGAAAACTCGGAATCAATTTTTGTGCATTTTTACTTTACTTTATTTTATTTTATTTTATTGTATGCAATGCAATGTACAAAAAAAGCAAAGCAAAGCAAAGCAAAGCAAAGCAAAGAATTAAACGTCTTGAGATGAATTGCGAATACCAACAGCAACAACAACAAATAAGTAATTGCGATCATTATGCTCAATATTTACTCTATACATACATAATGCTCAGTAGATCTCCACTTTTTTTTATTTTATTTTATTTTTTATTCTTTGTGTATTTTAAGTATAGATTTCATTTATAGATCGAATACACAAGAAAAAAAAAAGAAAAAAAAAAGTCGGTACGAATGATAGATATCCGAACCTGTTATTTATTTAATAAAGTTAAAAAAAAAAAAGAGAGAGAGAGAGACTTGATATTATATATTTATATCTAAAATGAAATGTTGTATCTTTACCACAACTAGACATCTAATCTTCAATCTTTCTTAAGCACCGATTTGTCGAGACCGCTAGAAATCTTTTGAGTAAGCGCTCTATGTCAAATTCCAGGTCTTACGTTAATTGTGTACACTTGTTTGTATACTACTTTCGATTCCTGAGCCGGTTGAGTCTGCGAGATTGAACATCAAGACTGTCTTAGTGCTATTCTTTGCAATTGTAACATTATCTTGTGATTGTAGAGAAGGCCGGTGAGTCTGACAGATTATTATTATTATTATTATTATTATTATTATTAATAATATTATATGAAATGAAATGAAATGAAATGAAATGAACGTTTTTTTATGGTGTATAATAAATAAAATTGCTGTTGTTGTTGTTGTGTGTCATGATGGCGACAATGGTTCTTAATTTTTATTTTTCTCAGTCTTTCTTAAAAAGGAAAGACAGGTAGAATATATAATATATGTGTATATAGATAGATAGATAGATAGATAGATAGATAGATCGAAAGAAAAGAGATACAAGCGGTTCTTTAATAAAAGTAAATAATAATATAACTTTCTTGTGCTTACCGTCATTTCTACAATCTTAATGGATGATGTGCTTTCTTTTGAAGCATAATTACACACACATACTACACTCCTACTTTTACTACTAAAAATAATCAAATATAAAATATACATATAAATTCAAATATTTCCCTTTTCCTCTCTTTCCTTACCTCTTCTTCTTCTCTGTCTATATTCTTCAAGTTCAATCACACACAACAAAATAATTCAAGAAATGCCTCCTCTGATTCAATCAAATTGGGACTCTGTTCAGACTCGTGCATGGGCATCTTCAACTGTCGATAGTTTCTTGTGTGATCCACAACCCATCAGTTTTGAGCCACACAACCAACCAAATAAAAAGACCAACGCCGGTCGTCGGTCAATGTCAATAATCGAGCAAAGTCTCCTCAGACCAACAAAGTCTCTTGAAGGAACTCGCTCAAAACCACGCACCCTTTTCACGTCCAATAGTCAATTTGTCATTGACCAACATATCTGCCAGACAGCCACAAACACCTCAACAACTTCTTCTTCATCTTCTTTATCACAACAGCCTTCACCTCCCCGGACTAAACGTGGGTGGACTCTTGACCGACTCGTCTTCCATTTCTTCACACCAACCCATTCACTCCGCCGAAAGGTAGCACAAAAAGAACAACAGGGTCTTGTATTATGGCAAGATGCATTTTACGAATCTCTCCGTCTACCAATCTCAAAGGTAAATATACCTTTATATCTATATAGACCTATTGGACACTAAATAAATAAATAAATAAATAAATAAATAAATGATATCATAGTCATCGCAACATCCACGATCAGCCCAACTCAAAAGATTCATTCTCGATGAATTATTGACTACAGAAAGCACATATCTACAACATCTCCAGATGGCCAAAATGGTAAAGCAAAATGCTATATTTTATTATTATTTGAAAATTTAATTTAATGATCTATCTATGTATTCCTTTAGCTTTATATGGATCCACTCTTAAAGGCAGCCCAGGCAACACCGCCTCTGGTCAATCTGAGGCTGGTAGAATCAATCTTTGCCTATTTACCGCAGTTGATCGTGCTATCGACAAATCTAGTCGATTGGCTGACCGAGTGCATCTGTATCTGTTCATCGGGAAAAGGCGTAGGTCAAGTGTTCTGTGAGATGGAAGGGCGATTGGAGATCTACATTGGCTATGCTGCCAACTATGCAACGTGCCAACGATCACTGGCCAAGGCAGACCGAAGCAGTGCTTACCGCCAAGTGATAGAGGTAAACAAGACAATAACAATAGTTATTATAAAAAAAAAAGAAAGGGGGATAATTATTGTGCCATTCTTGTAAATCATAAGCTTAAGTTTAAGCTTTCTATTATTATTATTTTTATTTAAAAAATAAAATAAATTAAAAACAAATGGCTGAAACTCTCTTAGGATTCACGGCATAAAAAAGAATCACACCGAATGGAGCTTTCGGATTATTTGATTGCGCCCATACAACGTATCACTCGATATTGTCTCTTATTTAAAGGTAAAATCCGTAACCAAAAACAAAACAAAAAAATTTGATCATTAAATTTTTGTTACTATTTGTTATTTGATTATTAGACCTCTTAAAACACACTCCATCAATCGAACAAGATTACCCCAACCTTGACCGCTCATTAAAATGTCTGACTGCCCTTGCACTAGCAATGAACAATATCCAGTAACCAAGCAACCATTTATTCATTCAATAATCATAATAATTTCGATTTCATACACTTATTTACCTACATAACTTATTTACATAACTTACGCACCACAAACTACGCACTACAAACTACGCAGTCTTTCTTTATCTCTCACCCACCCCTTCCACCTCCTTCCACCCCTTCCAAACCCTCATATGTATCATATTATCTTCATCATCTATATATATAATTTTTTTCTGTATATTCTTTTTTTTTTCTATAAGCAAATAAAGTAAAATAAAAACATCATCCTTATTATTATTAATATTAACATTGAAAACAAATAATTTGCCACCAAAGTCAAAACTAAAATAAAATGAGTTTTTTTATTTTGTTCGCATGATTATCCTATCCTATTTTATATTATATTACATTAATATTTACCAGCAAAACTTATTACCGGTTGCAATACAAATATGCTGTGTAAAAATATTATACTATATCAAATACTCTTTATTTATTTTTTTACTTCTTCTTATTACTATTTGTACAATTGGATTATCAACCAAAGGAGTATCTGACCAGATGAGAGGGTTGGGCTTGTATTTTATTTTATAGTTCATTAATAAATAAATATATAAGTGTGTCTACAAGCCCATACACACATTAACAAAGACCTCAATAGCATAACATATATTCTTGTTGGAGAATTCCATCTTTTTTTTTTTTTTTTTTGAAAAAAAAAGAGGGGGTAATCAGCCGTGAATAATTTTCGGTAATTGAAAAAAAAGAAAGAAAGTAACTTTAACCAATAGGATTCCTTTATTTACGTCCTTAATACTTGCAAAGCAATATTTTGAACAACTTTCTTTTCTTTTCTTTTTTTTTAATTTATTTATTTAATAAATGATGATATCAGTAGATATAAATATTGAAACAATTGAAACAATTGAAACAATTGAAACAATTGAAACAATGATTAATTATACTTTTATTCATTTATTTTTGCTTTATGATCTTGCAAAATAAAATAAATATGTATGTATGTATGTATGTATACATATTTGATTTGATTTGATTTGATTTGATTTTTATTTATTTTATTTTATTTTACTTACCAGCCACTCGATGAGCCAAATTAAGCCCATCTCGTTTTTCTTGCTCACTTTTTAAATTTTTTTTTTTGGTTGGCACGGTGGATTGACTCGGTGGAAAAATATTGCCTGTTTTAGACGTTCATCTTCCGCTTTGTCCTAAAGTACAAAAGACCAATTTTTATATATATATATAAAAAGGATCTCTTTCTTTTCTACTTCTTCTACTTCTTTGATATACATATATTGGTTTAAAGAAAATTATCATTTTTTTGCCATATTTTATTTTACCAAGAAATTCCAATTAAAGATAATAATATAATATAAAAAAAAAATGCTTCGTTCTCTTTTGTCTCAACGCACCTCAGTTGCCCGCATTGCCCGCCCTGCACTCAACCAAACTGTGAGTTTATAATTTTCTATTAGATAATAAAGCTGTAATCTAAATCATTGTTTCTTGTTACTTACTCTATTTCTTTCTTTTAAATACTTGACAGCGTACATATGCTTTCCCTGCTGGTCAGAGAGAGGTTAGATAATATAAATAAATAAATAAATAAAGACATCTTATATATATATATATATATTTATATAATTTCTAGTTCCTCAACGAACGTTTATCCCAAAATGACCCCGAGATGTTTGACATCATCGAAAAGGAAAAAAAGAGACAGCGTGAGAGTGTTGTCTTGATCCCATCAGAGGTACATATTTCATTTCATTTGATCTATTATCATAAAACTGTGATATACTTTGTTCTGATTCATTTATAATTTCTTCATCTATTTATATACATATATATATATATATAAAGAACTTTACCTCTAGAGCTGTCATGGATGCTCTTGGCAGTGTCATGCAAAACAAGTACTCTGAAGGTTATCCCAATGCAAGGTAAATAACCACATATATATATTGGACCTTTTCTTTCTTTCTTTCTTAATGCTTTAATTTTCTCTAGATATTATGGTGGAAATGAGTTCATTGACATGTCCGAACTTCTCTGCCAAAAGAGAGCCTTGGAGGCCTTTAATCTCTCTACTGAGGAATGGGGTGTGAATGTCCAGGCCTTGTCGGGTGCACCTGCAAACCTGTATGTTTATGGAGCTATCATGAAACCCCATGATCGTTTGATGGGTCTTGATCTTCCCCACGGTGGACAGTAAGTAGCTTATATTTTATTTTATTTTACTTTATTTATTTATTTATTTATTTAATTAATTTCACTATTAGTTTGTCGCACGGTTATCAAACCCCCACAAAAAAGATTTCTGCTGTCTCTACATATTTCGAAACATTGCCCTACCGCCTCGATGAATCAACTGGCCGTATTGATTATGATGCTCTGGAAGCAAATGCTCTCTTGTACCGCCCCAAGGTCATCGTGGCCGGTGCCAGTGCATACTCTCGCAATATCGATTACGCCCGCATGAAACAGGTAATACAAAGCAATAAATAAATAAAAATTTATGAGATGTAGATATAAAGATGCAGAGAGAGAAATATTAGTGGTGTTTCAATGACTGGCTTGACTCAATAAAAAAAAAGAAAAAAAAAGACTAAAAGTAAACCAATTAGATTGCAGACAAGGCTGGTGCTTACTTGATGGCTGACATGGCCCACATCTCTGGTAAGAATACATAGATACTTTGATGAATAGATGTGGAGGGGTGCGGATATATAGTTTGTAGTGTGTTGCTAACCAAGTCAAATAATAATAATAATAATCAAATCGCTATTGTAGGTATGGTTGCTGCCGATCTCTTGCCTTCTCCTTTCAAGTACGCTGATATTGTTACCACCACCACCCACAAGTCTCTCCGTGGTCCTCGTGGTTCAATGATCTTCTTCCGCAAGGGTATTCGTAGTGTCGACAAGAAGGGAAAAGGTAATTATTTAATACAAACCAACTCATTTAATAATAACAACAACAACAAATTAATTAATAAACTATAGAAATCCTTTATGATCTCGAGAACCCCATCAACCAGTCCGTCTTCCCTGGCCACCAGGGTGGACCTCACAACCACACCATCTCTGCTCTCTCTGTAGCCTTGAAGCAGGTCAAGTCCCCCTTGTACAAGGAATACCAGCAGCAGGTTCTGGTCAACAACCAGGCCTTTGCCACCGCATTCTTGGACCTCGGTTACGACCTCGTCTCCGGCGGCACCGACAACCACCTGTTGCTCGTCAACCTCAAGGCCAAGGGTATTGACGGTGCACGTGTGGAACGTATTCTGGAGCTGGTCAACATTGCTGCCAACAAGAACACTGTCCCGGGCGACAAGAGTGCCCTGATCCCCGGTGGTCTGCGTGTCGGTACCCCAGCAATGACCAGCCGTGGATTCAAGCCTGAGGACTTTGGCAAGGTCGTGTCCTTTATCGACCGTGCCGTGACCATCGCAATCAACGAAAAGGCCAAGGTCAAGGGAACCAAGCTTGCCAACTTTAAGGAACACATTGGCGATGGATCCCAGCTTGAGGATGTCCAGGCATTGAAGAACGAGGTCGCTGAATTCAGCCGTGCCTTCCCCACTGTTGGTTTCTATGAGAACGAGATGAAGTACGAGTAAAGAAGATCACACAAACATATATATATGTATAAAGTACTCTCTTTACACAAAGCACCTCACAATATTCAAGACATGATATCATACCTCTTTACTACACATACACACCCTTACCCTTCATCCCATATACATATATGTATAAAATAGACAATATAATAAACAAACAAGCAAACATATAAAATTAAAAATTAAATCATTGCTTTATATACATAATACACTATTATTATATAATATCTTATTAAAGAAAAGGGATCGGGTTTTATTATTAATGTTGTCTCGGATCTTCTATTAACAAACATGTTTCAATCCTCACTACTTTGCATTCTCAATATATCGGAAAAAAAAAGAGCAAATGATAAAATAAAGACAGATAGACAAAACAAGATACTTCTTACACACTTGAAGGCATCCCAGAATCATACAAATTCTTTTCTTCTTCTTCTTTCTATCACCCTTACTACTGCTACTACTACAACTACAACTACAACAATGGGAACCAAGGATACAAATGTTGATCTCAGCCACACTCATGATCCTGAACAGGAAGCCACCAAGACCCGTACAGCAGTGATTAGTATCGATGATCATTCCGATTATGTGGTTGAATGGGCTCTTGAGAATTTCATTCGACCCGAAACTGATATGGTGAGTTACGATAAATCTTTTGTAATTTTGTGAATATCCTTTTCTTATAATATATATATATATATATATATATATATACATAAAAGGTTGTCTTGATCCATGTTCGCCACCTGGATGTCCCTGTAGCTCCTTACATCAACCCCACAGGTTACATCGAAGATAACGATGAAGTCGGCAGAGAGAGAAGTCATCGTTTGCTCCGAGGCTTTGCCAAGGAACTTAAAAAGAGAAATGTGAGTTGTAACTTGTGCCCAGACCCAATTGTCTTGCATTGCATTGCATTGCATTGCATTGTAGTGTAGTGTAGTGTAGTGTAGTGTAGTGTAGTGTAATTCAAGTATTAATCTGCATATATTTCTTCTTATTCTTATCTAGATCCTCTGTCGTGCAATTTCGATAATCGGTGAACCCAAGACTGAAATTCTTCGTAAAACTCGCGAAGTAAAGGCTGATGTATTGATTATGGGTTCACGTAAACTCGGAACTATCAAACGGTAAATATATTCACACACAAAAGAAGCCATGTTATTTTGTTTTACTTACACCTACATCTACATCTACGTATTGTGTATTAGTACTTTGCTCGGAAGTGTTAGTGACCATTGCGTTCACCACTGTACTTGTTCGATTATCATTGCCAGTCCAAAAGAGGCTGAAGAGGCACCACAAAAGTCCCATTCGTTCTTTTCAAAATAACAGCAACATAAATATGGATATATATATATATATTTATTTATTTATTTATTATGTTTAAAATAATATAATATAATATAATATATAATAATTCACATGTATTCTTTATTGTGCTTCTGGTAGTTTGCAGGTCTCACAGGGCTTGTTAGATTCTTTCTTTTGCCTTATAAATAATAATCAATAGATATATACATATCCATAATGTATATATATATAAGGGTGACAAAGGAAATAATAACATTATATATTTCTTTATCTTGCCTGATCACTTGCTTGGTTTACTTACTTTTCACGGCATTTGCGCTGAAAATCATCCCATTCTTTACGGCACTTTGTCTGATCGTTATTGTTGGCCAATAAACATTGTTGCAATGGAGTGGAATCGCATGACTCTTTCTTGGATGGCATTCTGTCTTTTCTTTTTTTTATTATAAAAAAAAAAAGAAAGAGATAGTAAAGTCTCAAAAATAAAATGCACCTTTTTTTTCTGTAATATTATAAAAAAATATACTAGTCACAGTCACCCTTTTATGGTAGGGGTTGTAAATATTTTGAAATTGAAACAGCGGCATTTGACTCTAATGACAATAATTAATGAAGGGTCTATTGGTTATTTATACATCTTTGTTCATTTTAACTTATTCTGTTAAGCAATGACACGCAATGCCTCTTTTACAAACCATATCTAGAATAATATTTATTCAATTTCACATGGGTTAGAAATATCCAGCTCATTTAGGGAATGAGATTTGGACAATTAGCTGGTCATACTAACTATTTACTGGCTTACTCTTTTTTTTTGTTTTGTTTGTTTTATAAGGGTCTTCAAAGGTTTAGCACCTCTTGGACCCTAAATAATCTTTAGGATCTTGCCCATGTTTTTATATTCATCTCTCAACACTTTCCTTCCGGGTGACAATATATCGTATCTTATTAGTCTTTCTGGAGTACTGAGCAAATGCCAACAATTGTTGTTGTTGGTGTTGTTATTTGATTGTATACCTTTAAAATGTATTGGCTTGTACACAGATCAGCAAAAAATAAAAAGAATTCATTCAAAATATACATGGAAAAATCCGGTGCACGGTGGACATGAGCATAAATGTGTGTGGATATGGACATGGAGATTGAATGTTGCTAATGCATCTATACATTAGCAACAAGATATCCAGTTATTTCTTGCTTCACGATTTCCCCCTGAAGTTCATTAGTCAAATGGCGTTGATCTCGCTCATCCATGTTTTTTTTTATAATGCCTTTTTTTTTGGTTGTTGTTCTTGATTTGGTATTTCTTTGTATCGTTTGAATGAGAAGAGTGCTGAGAGCGAAAAAGTGTAGTGTAATATCCTATCGAGACCTTATTTTGTGAATCTTTTATCGATTATGATGACTAGAGGTGATGCAGGTTTGTATAGAGATATATTATCTTTTTACAATAGTCATATCTATAAAACCATACACAGCTACTAATTGGTATAATAATCAAATTGGTTATTGTGTGTGTGTGTCTGTGCGTAAATAATGATCAAAATAAAAAGTATACTTCTTTAACAAATGTCATGTAGGATAATGTAAAGTGCCTTTGTATTAGTACAGATGTGTGTATACTAGACTTTTTGTTCTTATTCTTATTCCCTTTTTGTGTGTGTGTGTATGGGGAGGTTTTATTCTGTTATATATCAACATATATATATATGTGCGCGTGTGTATCTGTGTATTTATGTGTGTATTTATTAAAGAGGAGGGATCTTGAGATCCTCAGTAGGAATAGGCTCAAAACAATTGACATCAATACCACGTTCCAACAATTCTTGTTCACAGTGAGGAGGTACAAGTCGTCTGATCAAATCAGGCCGGATTGACAATTCTACAAGAAACAATATATATACATATATAAGTATGCGCGCATTTGAAATAACAGTATAAACAACAGCAATCATTTTTTTATAAGCTATAATATATATATATATACATGTATATATATTGGCGTATCTTACCGTGCTTGGAGAAATCTAAGACTGGAGGAAGAGGTCCTCCATTCTCAAGTCGGGTTGTAGGATCACGAATAGGATCAAAGAATGGATGGCAAAGAGCCTCGATGGCGCTTATTCGTCTCTGGGGGTGGTACTGGAGCAATCTAGACAACAAATCTACTGCCTCGATTGTCGCACTCGAAAAGATCTTTATATAAATTTGAAATAGTTAATTATCTTGTTTCAAATATTCCAACCAACCAACCAATCAAGAAATAAAGAGAAAAGACTACCTTTTGCAGAGGATGCGGCTTGATCTGGGGAAACTTGTGTTCGACATAGCTTGCATTCATAGCCGCGATCTCCTGTTTTGAAGGCGTACCGAGAATCTTGATGATTTCCACCAACTGATCAATCCCACTATCGCCTGGAAAGAAAGGCTGCCCGAGAATCAACTCAGCCATCACACATCCAGTAGACCAAAGATCGATTGTGATGGCGTAGTTTGTTGCCCCAAAGATAAGTTCGGGTGCACGGTAATATCTCGAGCAAATGTAAGACACATTTGGTTCACCTGGCACCAATATCTTTGCACTATAAAGTAATACACACACGTACATACACATATACACACAAGCACACAAGCACACAAGCACACACACAGAGAGAAAGAGACATAAATGGTATAAATATCAAAAAGAAGAAAAAAAAAGCTGTTCCTTTGTTCTTTATTATTATCGCCATTACTGCTACTACTACTATTGTTACTGATATTCTACATTCGTGTTTTATCCTCATATTCTTCTTCTTCTTCTTCTTCTTCTTCTGCAGCTTGTTCTTCTCTTTCTTACTCTAATATGTATAATATATAAATCATCTTACCTTCCAAAGTCACACATCTTGCACACTGCACTATCAACATTCAACAATACATTCTGAGGCTTGATGTCACGATGACAGATGCCAAGCGAGTGAATGTAAGCCAATGATCTGATGACTTGATACATGTAAATCTGAACTCGGAACATTGGCATGGGTTGCTTCATCTTTGCATAATGACGAGTGGCGCGATAAAGGGTGTCTGGAACATACTCCATCACCAAATTGAGGTACACTTCATCTTCCTAGATTTATTGTTGGTGATTTACCAATTAGATTTGTCTTTTTTTTTTTGGTTTGAATTCATATAATGTTTCCTTCATTTCAACTTGCCTTGTTTTCTACTTGATTGTAAAAGTAAGACTTAAGACGACAAACGTTGGGATGATCTACTAGACGCATAATCTGTAGTTCACGGTTCTATAATTGCCATTATATACACAGACACAAGTATTTAGTATACATCATCCCCTAGGAGTAGAATCCGGGGTACCTTGATTATTTTACCTTGAAGCGTCTGTCCTGAAGGACTTTCTTAATTGCAGCATCTTCATCTGTGTCTGTAAGACGAGTCTGATAGACGACACCGAAAGAACCATTGCCGGTAATCTTCTTGTTTACATAGTTTAGTTTGATTTGCTTGCCACTTTTTGCATCTTTAGCTACGACATGAACTATTTTGGCTGTATCGCTGTTGGCTGTTGTAATTTTAGTTTTTAGTTTTTAGTTTTGTTGTTATTGATGTTTGTTGTTGTTGTTGTTGTTGTTGTTATAAAGGTAAGTATATATATATATATATATATTTATATTTATATATGTATATACAAAAAAAAGGGAAAAAAAAGGAAAGATATTTAGAATATAAAGAATATTAGCCAACGAGCACTATATTGGTGAGGTCTTGATAGAGAAATAGATGGTTGTTTGATAGGTAGAAATAAAAAAGTAGGGTCTTTCTATTATGAACAACCATCGTTCTTCTACTTGCCAGACATGTTTCAAAAAAGGGAATCCAAATCCAATCCACAACCACAAAAAAAAATATTAAAAAAAAAAAAGCCAAAAAAAGCTCGGTCCTTTTTCTCCACATCACTTTGTGGAAAGCTACTGTTATGACGTTCTGTGACTTTCGATGTGGAAACCCACTTGCCCCCCACACCCAACTTGCCCCCACACCTTACCACCCACATCCACACCCACACTCGTACGCCCATTCACTCACCCACTCATACACCCATATATATAATATATATAATATATATACAGATCTCTCTCTCTCTCTTTGAACTGACTACCCCTCCTGTTACCCCCGCCCCTCTCACCCCCTTCCTTATCTTTTTTATTTATTTATTTATTTATTTCTTCCTCCCCTACTCTCGTTTCCCCTCTCCTTTTGTCACACCTGTACACAGACAACACCAAGAAAAAATCGTCGTTTAATTTTGTACTAAAAAAAAAAAGTTGGATGATCATACAGTAAGCGCAAGACCAATAATCGGGATTTAAATAAAAATGCTACTTCTGAAAAGTATCTCGGTGGTTTTCATTTTCCCAAAAGGTGGTTTTTTTTTTTACATGTCACAGGGCGGGTTTCTTTTACTAACCTTAAATAGATGATTACATATGTTTCTTTGTGATTATGAGCAAGAAAACAATTTTGCTGAAAGGGGAGGGGAGGGGAGTGCGGCGTAGTGTATTGGGAAGAAGAAGTAGACACTCATTCACCTAGAGACACTAACCTGTCTTAGGCACTACTGCGAAAACTAAGGTTTAAAGCACAAGACAACTGATAAAAGCTTAGATATTGAAATGAAAGAAAATTCATTTACAAAACAAATCAGCAAATTAAGCCATATAAAAGCTAACCCCCCCCCCCCCCCAAAAAAAAAAAAAAAAAAAAAAAACAGAAACTACTCTTTGTCTATTATAGATGCTCATGAAGTAAACGTCCCAAACGAACAAAATAATAATAATAATAATAATGCTCGATCGACTAATTTGGATGAGCTTCAAGCCTAAGTATGATATTTGCTTTTTAAAGTTTACAAAAAAAAAATGGCCCTGCTACCTTGACACGTAGGGCACTCGAGTGATGCAAAACAACTGGTCACGACTTTATTATGAAGAAGGATTCCCGAGTTGTATAGTGCTTATAGTCGGGTTACTAGCTAGCAAATGTTCTCTATTCCTAACGAAGGCGCGATAAGGGACAATAAACTACTTTCAAGAGAATGCGTTCTCAAGACAATAGATATGCACTCATTAGTTAATTAGGATGAGTCAAATGATATGTAATTGACTAGGCATATAGAAATGAGAATCAGTTGTCTAAATTTGAAATTAAGAATTGTTTTTTAGCGAGGTAAAAAAAATAAAATAAAAATAAAATAAAGGCTGATGTATTTATTTATTTTTTGTTTCACTAAACTTTCTCTGATAAGTACCTCTACTGTCAAATGCTGCTTGTTCCTAAGATCTTCTCTTTTTTTTTTCTCTGTAAGGTGGCGACCACGAACCACCACGACCATCGACTCGATTGATTTCAGAGTTTCTTTGTTTTAAGTCTTGATTTGGGATAAAGTTGAAATTTTCATTTGGATGAAGAAACTCTTTGTAAAGAATCTCTACTGGAATTGCTTTGACATATTCCAGTATAGTTAACACTAGTAAAAAAAAGTATTATTTTGCAGAAAGATTCTTGCAAGTAATACGCTATATAATCGAGCCAAGCATAATAGCAAATACAGTCATTATATATTGATTGGTTTACTTGTAATAATGCGATTGAAAGTACCTTTTAATTCTTTCTTTTTTAATTTATTTTTATAAATATTCGGGTAGTAGAATTGTTTTAAATGGAGTTGTTATATAAATCAATTATTTGGATTCCACACTGAAAGTACAAAAGGTTACATGATTTAATAAATAGATATACGTTTTTTGAAGTATATTTCTAGCAAGAAGAAGTTATGTGCTAAGTAAATATTAGACTTTACATATAGACAGCTTAATATATCTCACTCATAAATAAACAAATCCTTTGGGAGGCTTATATATCACATGTTAATAAAAGAATATGGGCCCATTTTTTGTTCAGAACCCGATGTTTATTTTATGCGCCGTGACTTTTACTTTTACGCCCAGATGGCTTTGAAGAAAAAAAAATTTTCTTTAAAAACGGGGGAGTGAATGGGGTTTTTTAATTTTCTTCTTTACTCGCGGTTTGTATCTTCTCCATTTTAATTGATACAGTAAAATCAGATATTATCATTCTATCTTGTGCAAGATGCAAGTCAATAATAAGCTGTGGTCCCGGTAATTATGCTTAATCATCGATGCGGTATAGAGCTTGTCAGTCTATGCCTCGCGTATTTCGTAGGGATCTGAGGGTTTTCTGCCATGCGTGTTCGATGTTAGATTGTAGTCATCTCAAGTCTTCTGCGCATGACGTGGCATTTGTAAGCGGCCTTAATTTCTCAACCTCGGTTGGGAAGAGGTCCTGTTGCATAATCTGATTGTAATGTCGATGGCGGATGCTGCTTTTTTTCTCTTATACAAAACGTGGGAAACTCTGAGGGTTTTCTGACTTAAACGCTTGGTGGGACGTAGTGGCGAACACACCTTACACTTTTGTGTGCTAGCCAGTGGCTCTATCTGCCTAGCGGCTTATTAAGGTGATAATAATCTCCAACCGGGTCTCTCTCGTTTTTGCGAGAGAATCTTGAGCTGACCATACCTCAAGATAAGCAATATTTTTATTTATAGCAGGTATGTAATAAATAAATAAAAACATTCATTGACAATATACTAATCTTAACTTTTTTTTTTGAATATTTAGATAAAGTAAAGCCAAGGTACCACCTTGAACCAGCTCAGCAAAGCTCTTAGGCTTGAGCGTTCATCGACTTTAATTGTTTTTTTTAATTGTTTTTTTAATCAATATATAAAAGACCTTAATAAAATCAAAGTTACTTATACTTTATTTAAACAAATGAAGTGAAACAGTATATAATATTATACGCGTTTTTGAAATCTATCTATTAAAGTCAACTCTAGTTTTGAATTAGTCTGTCAAAAGATTAAAGACTCACAATCTAATGCGTTTTGACACCTGCTAAAAATAAAAGCATGAGCATTGTTTTCTTCCTCATTTTAACAATCTAATCCAACATGCAAGACACATCATCAGAAATCACACGCGTTTCTTTTGAGATATACGATTCCTACTAATACGAATGCATTGTGTACATGCATTAAGCGGATGTCAAAGTAACTCAGATTTCATGGACTGTTGGCATGAGTCTGTCCAATGTCAAGTACATCATTAACAGAGTGAATTAAACATGATCAAAGCATAGAAAATGGATTTGAAAAGTCCCATTTGCACCATACTTTAGGTTGAAAGCCTCTTTATAGATGGAAATACTCGTGTGTGGAAAGACAATAATCAGCTGCCCCAAGCTTTTGGGCTTTAGATCCTATATCGCAGCTCATAATCCAACCTTGACAGATGATCAACGGAGGAGTGTATTTTGGTCCGATTAATTACGATTCACAGCCAAACTTAACGATGGAGAAGCCAAATTTATCAGACGAGTTGATGAAAGGTCAAAGAAAGAAAATATAATCGAGAGAACAAAGCAAGTATCTCGTGTTCAAAGAAGACAATGCCAGCTACCGTATTAGCTCTTATTTGAGGTAATAGAAAGGCAGTCTTGAATACGTTTGGTGGTTTTTTGAGAAACACATTAGTGATGAGAGGGTCAGCATAACAAGAAGTATACAACATTGATGCAAGGCTGTAATTGATGCCAAGGGAGTTTCATACCAAATACTGATCTTTTTACTTTTAAAAATAATAATAATAGGCATGCATATAAAACTGCGAAAAAGTTTTGCAGACTATTCAGACAGACAGACAGATAGATAAGATTACTGAAGAACGCATATATACTATGCTATAGTATACCCTAGTATAATATAATAGAGAGTACAGCACATAGTATAAATAAATATAAGCTACTTTTTTTATTTTATTTTTAAGAAATAGAATATTGAGTGTGTATCTAATTAGTAATATTAAATAGAAGCACTTGTATTAATATTTAATAAGAATGGTATATTGTATTTCCTACTATACATATATGTAAATATGTATGTATACACCTGCTTAAAGCATATATATATATAAGAAATACTTCTTTCAAGAAGTTATATACAACCCAAACATAAAGGTTTCTTAAACGCGTTGTCGGAGATATTCCATCACTGCTTTAGTGCCTTTTTCGAGCACGGCCTGACGGGGAACCCGAAATCTACAAAAAAAAGAAAAAAAAAATAGAAAACGTCAATGGTAAGTTCCAAAAAGGTTCAAAGAAGTTCACAGAAATACAAAGATTGAAAACAGTTACAGAACCAATGGCACACTTTTTTCCAAAAAAAAAAAAAAACTTTGGGCAAGTGTTGTGCATCAGGTTCCTTGCATTGTCCCCACGCCCATCCCCTTCCTCCAAAAAAAAAAGAACCCTCTTCTCCTCCCTTCTCCATTTAACCTTGCTTGTGTATATACATATTTCCTTGCAGTTATTTTTTTTGTTTACCTGTTTCCATAAACTGTCAGTTCGGTAATGGTATCAATAAGTCCAATCTCTGGAGGGAGTAGTCCGATATTATTATTTCCCAAATCCAAGACAGTCAGTCGACCAAAGCTTTTTGCAGAGATCTGGTCAAGTCTATTTCCATTTAGCAGCAATATTTTTAATTGTGGTACAGCTGATGGTAATGTTTCCGGAAGACTGGCGAGACAGTTGTTATTGAGATTGAGTTCCTCTAGGTTTGGAAAAGAAACTTGATTTCCAGTAACCAGATTAGCGATCGAATTATTGGCGAGGTTTAAGGTCTTTAGGCTAGGTAGGACAATTTGATCAGGCAGACAAAGTGAAAAATCTGAAAACTCATTATACTGTAGATGAAGGTTGACAAGGGTAGTGGCAAATGAAGAAAGGTTCAATGGGAAACTAGAGAGAAGGTTGTGATCTACATATAAACACGCACAGAAACAGAAACACAAACATACACATACATATTAATCAATCAAGTTAGATGAATTCAAGTAAGCCATCCCTTTTTTCTTTCCTCATTTCTTTTGAAACATTCTAGTACTTACGAAGCTGAATATTCACTGGCTCAAAATCTATTTGACTCACAAAAGATTGTGGGAAATCATCCAAATTTTGGTTGGCTAGGTCCAGAGTTTTGGCACTCGCTGACTTTTGAGACTGTGGTGGGAGTGCAGGTCCCTTGGCCCTACCCCCTTCCGCTACTGAACCACCGTGATTTGTTTCATAATCACCTTCCACACCCTCGTCCTCGTTGTCATCTTTGCCGAGATCTCCATTTTCTGCCGCAAGTTGGCTGCGGAGGATCTCAATAAGCTCAGTAGCGGAGGTTCCTTTTGGAATAGAACGCATAGGATTTCCTTCCCAAGTAAGAACCTGGAGATTTCTGAGACTACCGATCCTTGATGGTAGGCTCATAAACCGATTGGATCCTAAATCTAGACGTCTAAGACTCTGAACCTCAAATACGGCTGGGGGTAAATCGTCAAGATCGTTCCAAGACAGATCAAGGGTTTGTAATTGAGGTGCACAAGTCAACATTCGTAAATCAGCATTGCCTAGTGTGTTGTGGGACAAGAATATCTCCAGGAGTTTGGGAAGTTCAAGACTTGACTCTGAAAGTTCTTTGAGCTGATTGTGACGAGCATCAACTCGTGTCAGGCTAGGCAGTGGATAATCTGTGGGCAGATATAGAGTGAGGATACATTTTTTTAGAACTCTTAAAAAACAATACAACCCAATAATATATATAAGCATTTTTACCAGAGAATAATATTGTCAATCGATTTTGGAAAACAAGCAACTCTTCCAATCGCTGCCATGCTTCCATAGCTGGGAGTTCGGTAATTTGGTTATCATTAACATGCAACTTGCGCAAGTGTGAGAGTTGACCAATCGATTCAGGAAGAGACTCAAGCTTATTGTTACCAAGCAGCAATATCTCCAATCGCCCCAAATTGACCATTGGAGGAAGTTCGGTTAGTCGGTTGTGGGACATGTCTAGTTCACGCAGTTGAGGCATCTCCAATAATACATTTGGCATGTATTCTAGGTGGTTGTGAGGCATTTGAACATGAGTCAGGTTTTTTAATCGAGTAAGACTGTGAGGCAGATCTTGAAGTTGATTGTTGCGCAGCTATATATGTAAAGAGAGATGTTGTCAATTGATGTTTTTAAAGAAAAAAAAATATTTCCCTCTAAACGTCTATCTTCAATATATTTATACACTATCCATACAACTTACATCCAATAGAGTCAGAGCACCAAACTCCTCTCCCACACGTTCATCCAGTACCACCAGTTGATTATCAGAAGCCATAAACTTTGTAAGCTCTACCGAATCATACCACGCGTCGGCCGAAGAAGTAAAATCAACAACAATCTTGTTGGGATCAACATGGTACATTGTCAAGACTTCTTCGGGAATCCTCTCCAAACCGCGATTTGAGATTATCAATTTTCCACTCTGCTTAGCTTGGGCAATTGCCGTTTGAATCTTTGTGTTGACTCTGGTCGGGTCCATTCCGAATGCCTCATCTCGCCTTGCATCAGCACCCGAAGTGTACCGCTGAGTTCCTGACATGACCCGCTTTGGTCGCTCTTTTTCTTTTTCGACTGGCTTAATTGCAGCCACACGGGCTCTCTGCTGAGCCAGGAATGATCGCAATCCTTCGGATGAGCCTGGTGGAGCTTCTTTCGCTATCTTTGTACGTGGTCTGGGTGTGTCGGGAACAGTGGTTGGGATTGCTTCAGCTGGAGGATGTTGAACATGAGCCGTCTTTCTGGCTTCTGAAGGAGCCCCAGACTTTTTTGCAGCGTCTTGAGCTGTTCTTAGCAAAGATGCTCGGGTAGGTCTTGGTTGAACTGGAGGTCGTCTTGAACTAGACATTTCTCTTTGAATTGGAATCAAGAAACAAAGAAGAAAAAGAAAAGGTGACGCAGTTTGAATAATATACACACAAAAAGGAGAATATTTAATTTATCTGCAACTTTGCAAGCGTCCTTATTTCTCATAACCTTCCCCTTCTTTCTCATTAATTTTTTTAAAGAAGAAAAAAAAAGAAAGAATCTGATTATTTGGACGTAGCTCTAGTAGAAAAATTACAAAGAAACAAATGTAAAAGAGGGAGAGGGAGAATATATACAGTACAAATGGGGTTTTACAGCTAGCTTTGTACCCACTTTATTTCTTCTTCAGTACACTTTTGAGTTTTGAAAATTTATAGGTACAAGTGATGACTTTTACTGTGATCAGTGCCCCACACAAACTTGCTTTTTATCTTGCTTTTGCATAGCATATTATTGATTAATTAAGTATGCGGGAGCTTGCAGCAGTATATAAAAATTTGCAAATATTTTTTGATTATTTTTATTGCACATCATTTTCTATTCGATTGAGTTCACTTATACGACTTTTTAAAAGCACAATCTGAATTATAATGGGAAGACGGGTGAAAGTAGGGATACATATTTAGAAATACCTCGGCCAGATATTACCATAGTAATATCATTCCCTTTCTCAAGTTCAACTTTCACCTGACAGATGTTAAACTGATGCGGTTATCAAGGTACTTATCTAACATTGAAAGATATCAATATTAACACTCTATATTTAATAACTGCCAATACAAACATCGAGAAATGATCTGTAGGGCCAGGAAACAGGATACCAATTCCAGCGGATAGAACTCAGAAGTGGGGATAAACAAAAAAAATAAGAATATAAATGAGAGCCAAGGATGTGGTACTGCTAAAATAGAGAGGATGTCAAAAAGCGTCCCTTGGAATCGTCTCTGAAATCACCCTCAAAATCACCCTTTGAAATCGCCCTTTGAAATCACCCCTTGAAATCACCCCTTGAAATCACCCTTTGAAATCGCCCTTTGAAGTCACCATTTGAAATCACCCCTGAAACCACCCTCAAAATCACCCCTTGAAATCACCTTTTGAAATCGCCCTTTGAAATCACCCCTGAAACCACCCTCAAAATCACCCTTTGAAATCACCCTCAAAATCACCCTTCTTTTTTCCCGTAATGATATTTAAAATATCTAAAGTGAGTGCTTTTTTTATTATCAAAAAGTTCGCAGAGACTATTTAATATTATTATAACCGTATTTAACCTAAATAAAACTACTTCAAATCTTTGCTGCATATTTTTTAGATATACTTAAAAACCCTTTTCCAAACCGTTCATATTTTTCATCTGACATTTCAACCGCCTTTAAGAAATCTGAAATTGTGCTTGGAAGTTTTTGAGCCTTGAAGAGAAAATGGTAAGTAGTGAAGCACAAGAATCGTAAACAAGTTATTTTGAGAATTAAGCTGCTCACCATTGTGGAGAGTTGAGTGTCCGTGAATAAGGTAGCAACACTACGAATATTATGCCGAGAAACAAGCTAAAAATAAATAAATAAATAAAATTTATAAACAGTAGGAATTATTGTTTTTTTTTGGGAAGATATTGATTATATGTTTTTGTCTTTTCTTTCTTTCTTCGTATACAAGTATATGTAGTTTATCCTTACTGCATTTCGGTATTTCTTCATTTCTTCGAAACATAATAATCGAGTTTCCGCCTCAGCATCACTGAGAACAGGAGCTGGTTTTTGAGCTGGAACTGAGGTAATTGAGCTGGATGACTGAATCCCCGTGGACAAAGAGACAGAAGAGACAGAAGATATTCTACTTGTATTTATGTTTGTATTTATATTTGTACTGTGTGTATTCGTGTTTGTCCTTCTTATCGGTGTCATATTATTCGCAGATTGATAGACATAATTGGGTATTGACTTTCCCTTATTCAATGTATTTGAATTTACGGTAGAGCCCATGTATGACCTGTTTGATGCATACGATGAAGAGGTAGAAGCAGAGGTAGATGTAGATGTAGATGTAGGACTAGAGAACGATGATATTGTTGATACACTTCGTCGAGAAGTGCTCGTTGATGTGGTGGTTCGTAACTGATTGTTAATAAAAAAGTGATTAACATTGAACTCAAAGTATCATATTTAACATTACACCATTTTTTATATTTATTTACCCTTTCTTGGTTTCCGTTCGAAAAATCGAGGAAAATTTTTCGCTTTTTACTCTCTACTAGACCTGCATCAGGTCCAAGCTAGACACAAATGCAAATTTTATTAAGGGTTATTACATATGTTAATTTGTACACTTCTTACCTGAATGTATGAACTTATGAATCCTTTGCTGTTACATTCTGTCCGTTCAGTAAACACGTCGTGGGTGGCCAAGTGTTTTAATAACCTGTCAGCATCATTTCGTGATAGATCCTTTCCGGCACCGAAGCCAGGAAGGGTTTCGTAGCCTCTTTCGATGAAACGCTTTGCCCGTGAGCCTCGAAAAAGCTCAATGGCTTGGATGAGTGTGACATTGTCTCCTTGAGTGTGACGCACAAGTTGGATGGCTAGTGATGCTTCCTTTGTCATGTCCCGTTGTACACGCTTTCCATGCTTTTGACTCGTACAATTGTCACATGTATTACTGCACCCAGATGGGTCAAATTTCTCTCCAAAGTACCACAGAATTTGTTTGCGTCTACAATCTGTCTTGTTCTCGCAATACTTAACCATGTGATTCAGATTGTCTTTTTGACGCTTCTTCTGGTCATAGTCCCCATCGCCTCCGTCTATGAGTTTTTGGTAGGTTTTCGTATCAGCATAAGTATAGTATAGGCGACACACAGCAGGGAGACCGTCTCGACCTGCACGACCTGTCTCTTGGTAATATCCCTCTAGCGATTGTGGAAGAGTATAGTGTATAACGAATCGTACATCTGGCTTATCGATACCCATTCCAAACGCAATTGTTGCCACAATTACTCGCACCGTTCCCTCCTGCCATTTATTCTGAATGTCTATTCGGTCTTCAGTACTCAATCCTGCGTGGTAGTGTTCTGTGCTCACTCCATACTGGCTCTTCAGTTTCTCGGCCACATTCTCACAGTGCTTTCGGGTACTACAGTAAATAATACCAGTTTGATGTCTAAACCTTGAAATGAAATTGCTAATATCACCTAGAATAGTCTTTGAGGTTTTTGGTACAACTTCATAGCTGTTTTTTTTAAAAGAAGAAAGAAGAAGAAAGAGAGATTAGTACAATAGTTCACTTATTTATTATATCTTGTTATCGTCTTTATTATTATTATTAAACAATACCTGAGATTGGAACGGTTGAAACTTTGCTTGAACACTCTGCAATTTTTCATTCGCATGTTGTGTAGTACATCTTCTTGAACCATCTTATTGGCCGTAGCTGTAAGTGCCATAATTGGAACACCTGGATAAATATCCTTGAGATTTCCCAGTAATTTGTAGTCTGGTCTAAAATCATGTCCCCACTGAGATACACAATGGGCTTCATCGACGACAAATCGGGCCAGCATATTGTTGCGATGTAGTCTTTTGAGTACATTCTGTAGTACGTCCGAACGATGCAACTGTTCAGGTGTCACATAAAGCAGCTCTAGCGCGGGGGGAACGACCTTGAGACAATCATAGACCCGTTGCTTTTCAATTAAAGGAATCTCTCCATTCAACATAGCCGCCCGAATTCCTCTACGGTTAACAAGAGTGTCCACTTGGTCGTGCATCAAGGACAGAAGAGGTGACACAACCAAAGTTACTCCCTGGCGCTTGTACCCTTGAACAGTAGCCGGTAGTTGATAACATAAACTTTTGCCACCACCTGTGGGCATTAGCACGAACACATCCTCTCCATTCAATGTTGAATTAATTGCTTCAAGCTGATTCAGACGGAAGCTGGACAGGCCAAATGTCTTTGTCAAAGCTTTTCTGACATCATTGTACCAAGGGGAGCATTTCTGGGAAGATGTATCCTTGTGTATATCTGTCGAAGGTGAGTATATTTCGAGATGTCTGCTTGATTCTGACTCTGGCTCTGTCTCTGTTTCTGGCTCTAGTTCTAGTTCTGACTCAAAGTCTGGCTCTGAGTCTAGAACAAATGCTTGGTTTGGTGTGGATTCTTGTAATCGAGGATATGCAGTTGAAGATGGTGGTGTAAAGGTCGTTACAGAGTATTTAGGAGTATCATAATAAGACACATCGTATTCGCTTGCCGAGTAGTCATTTTGCTGTGACTGGAGAGATTGAACACTTATAGGTGCTTTTGATAGTGGACTGAGAGATGGGTTTTCAAACTCTTTGATTTGCTCTAAAATAAGGGTCCGTTCCTCGACAAGTTCATTCTTCAATGGTTCGTCAATCTTTGTACTAGTCAAGATATCTACTAGTCTATTGTTGATAGCATTCACTCGGTCCTTCAATTGTGAGCAAGTTGAAGAGTACATTGATGGTACATTGCCCTGTGTACATATTTAGAGAATCAAAAAGAAGAAGAAGAAGAATAAATTAGATTTCAAGATTTATGATATTTAAGCCAATTTCGTAACTTTCCTCTTAATTTGCTTAAATATATATGTATATCAATACTAAGAACAAAAGATTATACCTTTTTGGTGTCGCTGTATTCATCGTTCTGTTCAAGTGCATCCACGTATTTTACCAAATCTTCTTCAAATGTACCTGAATCATTAAAATAATCATCGTCATCCTGTCAAAATAATAATAGAAATTATTGAATATTAAATCAATCAAGTAAATAAATAAAATAAGTTAAAGATAATAATCTCATTTTTTTTAACTAAATAAGTGGTGCATCAATACTTATTTCTTTTTTAATTAGATCCGTACATTTTGTGGTACTTTATTGTTGGTCTCACGAGTATGTTGTTCATAGTAATCGTCAGGCTCAGTGAAGTCGTTGTATTCAGCTGGCCAATCGTCATCGTCAAAGGGATCAACTGGAGTATTGCGAATAGAAGGTTGGTATGGTCTTTGGAATGGCGTGTGGTTGGTAGTGGTCGGTGGTGAGCTAAAATGATTATTTTTTGATTGCTCGCCTGTAAGATCAATGAAATTGTTTTCCAAAGGAACATCATCATTTGTTGGATACGATCTTTTTGCAGGTAAAAGGTTTGAAGTTTCTTGTAAATCAACCACTATATATACATATATCATTTGTTTTATTGGAACAATAAATAAATATATATTGAGTTATTAGATATAAGTTAAACATTAATATATCTCTGTTTGTATGTGTATATATAAAGTAATCAATGCAACATAGATAAACAACAACAAATTGATCTATATTATATCTATCTTTTTTATCTTTTTTCTTTTCTTTCTTGCCATTTGATTCCTGAGTTACCAAGGATCGTGATTCATTAGATCTCGGTCGATCCGTTCGATAAAGGTAAGTTGGCAATGTGAATGCATCTTTGTGGCTGTAAATCAAGAGATGTTCAACATGTTGTTTGAACCAAGCCTTGTGTTCTTCCAAGTTGTTTTTCATGTTAGGAATGAGTAGGTAATTAATGTAATAAATAAAATGTGTATATATATATATATATATATTGCAAAGAGGATTGATCAATGACTAGTTGACAGCGTTTTGACGTAATAAGTAAATTGACTGCGAGTCTACTGTTAATTGGTATAATTATCTTTTAAAACAAAAACACCAGTCGTAGACTTAAAGTCTAAGTCTGAACAGGCGTTCTAACCCCGTAAACTTCATATAGAACGCCAAAAAAGAATGGAGAAAAGGGGTACTCAACCAGAATCTATGAAGAGATTTTAGATTCAGACTAAAATATTATTGGATTATACCTCTTATATTGACGAAGAATAATTGGTGGACTCAACCACAAAACAATATTATTGGCTGATCTCCAGATTTTAATTTCTTCGAAGATTCTGGCTGAGTACCCCCATTAATAATAATTTCTGTGTATCTTTTTGCGAAGCAGCAGACAAGCTCGTTTTGGATTTGAGTACAGAAAGTGACATCCAAAAGTCAATCTAATTCAAAATTTTCTTTTTGTACATGTGTATATTTATTTAATGGCCTGGAGAGGAATTAAAGACAAGCGATTAAGCTGTGACCAACTACAATTTTACTTACTTGGTTACTTACTTGATTGTGTTGCGTACACATCCTACAACCTATATGACTTTTTAGTAAATAGATACATATACATGTATTAAAAATAAATAGATAAATTCTACTAAATATACTATGAGGATGTTTGATGTTTGATGCTTAATGCTTAATGAGTACTTTTATTTATTTATTTTATCTATTAACCTTCTCTATGTGTTTTAAAATATAGGATTATATTTCTTCTTTTTTGTTCTCTGCTTATTATTTATATATAAAAAAAACAGTAGGGCAGTGTTTCAAAAAAGAAAGAAAAAATCTATTATCAAATTCATTCAATATTTTAACAGCTATTTAGAGTACTGATATTATTGATTCATAGCCTACTTTTGCTGCTGCTGCTGCTGCTACTGATACCACTACTGCTACCACTACTACCAATACTATAATTAGTATTATATCCTCTTCCTTCTCTCTATCATAGTTCAGGTACTTGAGATGATCCTTTCTTCAGAATAAAGTCTCTCACGACAGGCTCAATTCTTGACACAGGCCCAATAATCTTCCAATGGTTTCCATCCCGGCACACAAAGTAAGGAACCTTGTTATAGTTGCGGACGTGGAGATCGTCTGATCGGTTAACATGCTGACTGTGACAAGCTTCATCAAATTCGTTTGGATGCCCAAGCACTATATCTCCTGCGGGAGTTCTACAGATAACCCTTGGTTTTTTGGATGTAGGCTCAACATTCAAAATAATGATTCTTCCACGATCCGATAAACTTTCGGGTTGGTCTGGAGGAAGCCCACTGCTCTTTGTTTTGGCTGTAGCAGCTTTTTTTGAAGGATTAGGGTTTGTACCACCACCATCACTACCACTACCACTGCCACTGCCACCACCACTACCACCACCAGGACCAGAGATTGAACCAACACCAACACCAGAAGACGAATAAGAAGAAGATTGTTTATTATTTTGCGGGTTTGTTTTGGATGTGATGACCATTGGAATTCCGGAAGATGATATCGCAGAATACGATGATGCTGATGAGGAAGAATAAGGAGAGTTCTGTGTAAAACCAAATTCAAACTTGCGTTTGAGAGGATTATTTACGATTTTTCGAGCTGCGGCTTCTTTTTGTATAGCAAATTGATTTGCTGGCTGTGTTGGCATTGGAATTGGTGGTGGCAAATTTGAATACGGATTTGGTTTTGGGATTGTTCCTAGCTGCTTCTGAAGCTGTTGCTGATATTGAATATTTTCTTGTAGTTGTTGCTGATATTGAATATTTTCTTGTAGCTGTTGTTGTTGTAGCTGTTGTTGTTGTAGCTGTTGTTGTTGTAGCTGTTGTTGTTGTAGCTGTTGTAGTTGTTGTAGCTGCTGTAGCTGCTGTTGTTGTTGGTGATGATGATGATGCTGATTTATTTTTGTGTTTGGATTTGCATTAGGTTGTGGAGATTGAGACCATGATTGAACAACACGAGCAGCTTGTGCTTGGGCGACCGTTATGCTTACTGGTGTATTTGTTGGAAGTCGCGCATCTACTCCAAGTGACCTCGATATATTTTTATTCTGTGTGTTTGATAAGCCTTGTGGGTTTGCATTTTTTGGAAAATTAGAAGTCTTGGGTCCATTATTTATGTTTGATGATTTGAATGAACTTGATACGGGAGAGATTGACCCGTTTGATACATTTGACCCGCTTGATACATTTGACCCGTTTGATACATTTGACCCGTTTGATACATTTGATCCGTTCGATACGTTCGATACGTTCGATACATTTGGTACATTTGATCCGTTTGGTGCGCTGGCTGGTTGGTTATCTTGGAATTTTTGTGTGCTTGTTTGGCTAGGAGTAGGAGGCTTTGGGGGATGTGCTGGTTTTAAACGTGGATCTCGTGCCCGATCGTAAGAGCTAGAAACTTTTGGTATGGATGGAACATTCGGATTCTTTTGTGATTGAGGAATGGTCTGTGCTGTATTTGTTGTTGGACGTGGTGTAAAACGATTTTGGGTTGGCGACATAGTTTGTGTAGTTGGTGAAGTGGGTAGTTTTGTGTTGAGAGGTGGTGGTACATTTGGTCTGGGTTGAGGTGATATATACTTTTTGTATTCTGGGTAAGATATGTTTTCAGAGTCTGCAAAGTATTCCAGAAGAGAATTTATACGCTTAAAATGAATGTCTTCAATGTTCCTTGTCTTTTCCAGTAAAACCTTTGAAAGGAATAAAAACAATGATTAGTTTTATTTCTCTTTTTTTTTAAAAAAAAAAAAAAAGGTAAGAATGATAATGATGATAAAACACTACTTTATTCTTCTAATGATAATACTATTTATATATGCACACGTGTGTACACGTTTTAACATTAACATTGGCATTAATTTTTTTTATTAATGATACTAATATTTACCGTTGTTATAGTTTCGAGTTTTCTACTGTTATCTTCCTCTTTGCCATTTCAATTATAGTTAGTATCGGCTTTTACTTTTAGCCTTGATGTTGGCTTTATTACTACTATTATTGTTGTTGTTATACTATAATATAATTACCTTTATCGCTATTATCGTCTTCTCCGGAATATTTGAGTTGAGCGTTATTCGCATATGTTAAGCTGTGTGGAGCAAGTCTGTCTTTCTTGTCGATTTGTTCAATTAGGAATGGAATTGGATGTAGATTTGCATTAGGCAATACGATCTTTGCTTGTTCGATTAATGTTTGATTGAACTCTTGTACTTGATAAGCCAAGGATCTGTGAATCAAACGTTGGCGTCTTTCGTTACGGATCTTTGGTTTCGTTCTCGTGGCAGCCTCGGGTGGTGTTCCAACAGGCACATGTACTTCTACATCCCTAAAAGAAATCAGTTTTTTTTTTTATAAGAAATCACACATGCAAATACACACATTCACACAAATGTACACAAATGTATACATGCATACACAAACACACGCATACATATGAGTGAAATATATATATATATATATATATTATTGGATTATTTTTTAATGGATTATACTTACTCAATGTCTTCTGAATCCAGCCAAATCATAAGATTGTCCATCTTTACTTATATATGAATATGAATGTGTGTGTGTGTGAATGTGTATACATAGACGAGCGCGTGCCTTTTTTGTTACTTTTGATTGATTTTACTTAATGTCTACGTCAGACATATATATATATATATTTACTTATTCTGTGACAATTATTTCAAAATGTTTAAACAGGAAGCTGGATATAAGCTAAGTATAACTTGTTTTTCTTGTCTTTCTACAGATTACTTTAATACTCTTAGATATAAAGGAAGGAAGAATATATATTTATATATATAAATACATATAAAACATTGAAGAATTTATAGTACGATTTGGAATATATTTTGCATTATAAAATTCCAAGAATATATTCAAGAAAAAAAAGTAATTAAAAAAAATACCTGTGGAATCTTATAAATACATATACATTTCTATTCAAGAGTATTTATACGACATATATATATATAAAGTGTAAATTACCTGAGCTAAGTCCAGAATGATTTAAACACGCTTGGTGAAATTTATAGATTGTTTTAATTGGCATGATTAATTAATAGTACCTTTAGAAAATTGGTTGATTACATTTAAACTAATATAGATAATATTTGATCACTAAGTCAAGACTTTTGTATGTATGTATCTGTGTATATGCTTTTCTAATTGGTAAATATTATTTAATAGAGGTATATAACACGTCTTCTTTCTTTTTAGCTGGAAGACTTATATGTACTTTAAACGGTATGTTGATAGATACCATTCAAATGGATTTTCTCTTTAAAAAATCTATACCTTGGTCTACAAATTGGATTGATGAGGTCTATGTGTAAGTGCATGAATAAAAGAGTGATTATATTAAATTAATATTATTTTAGGTTTTGGTTGGTTAGGATATATCTCAAAGTAGGAACACTGTACACCCTTTATATATATATATAAAGTATAAATTTTTGGACTGTACCCTAGTGAGATGCCAATATTATAATCAAGAATTCTACATTAATCTCTCTTTCTTTCTCTTTATATATTTACTTTTGACGGGTTATCATTATTTTTTGTATCTTTCACTAAACAATAAGTAAAGACAAGGGGGTATTACTTGATCCTACGAACAAATATTACGGTTATTACTATCATTTTTTATTGGTGTTGTTAATATCCTTAAAGAACATAGCAATTGAAGATACAAAAATCATATAAAAAGCATATATTGTATTGATGTTAAGCTTTCCGATAATAATAATAATGAATGAATGAATTATTGGATAATACTAGTATTTTTTATTGATTATTTATCGACTACAAATTTCTCTTCTTACAAGTAAAATGATGGTGTTGATGACAACAAAAATGCTCAAATTTTGGTTACTTTTTATTTGATTTATATTTGTTCTGTAACCGGAAAAAGTAAACCTTGTATTCATTATTGGTTCTTCTTCTTACTGTGAATTATTAATATCCAGATGTTATAATATTTTGATAATTATAGTAAAAATAATAATAAAAGAGTAAATAATGTCTTGCTAAAAACAAAGTTCTAAAAAAAATGTAATGATGTTTAAGCATAAAGCCATCTATAGATATTGGTCTATTTTGATTGAAGGATTGAATATATATATATATATCTTTCATAATTAAGAATGCCAAATAAGAATTAAAAAATAAAGAAGTATTATATGTATACATTATATTCACTTTATCTTCTTGTGTATATTATATTTAGATGTGAATATTTTGTGCATGTCAACAGCAAGAAAGTTTTAAATCGCATTTTTCTTTTGTGCTTTAATTCGGTAAAAAGAAAAGAAGGAGAACCAAAAGGCAATTATATTATTATTATTGTATTGCTGTTTCTGGGTAATATGTACATTAGAATTCTTATCTTATAAGTGCACACGTGCACATGCGGGCGCGCAGATAGAGAGAGAGAACATATATATATATATATATATGGGTGTGTATGTACAAATTTATTCTTATTTTTGATTATTTGGTACGATAGCCGGTGCTGGTACAGAGCACCCAGAAAGAACTGTCTAGAATTGGTTAAAATACATCAATAGATTATCTAAACTTACGCCCAAATACATGCTTTGTACATCTTGAATAAAGTATATACTAAATCTCTAAAGTCCACTCGTCAATCGGCGACAAAATAGAATGCAAACTTACCACAATGACTTTTTGTTATTATTCTTCGCTTTCTTTGCCTTCTTTTTTTTAAAAAAAAAAATAGCCAACATCTCAATCTTAACATTTGTTGTTATTCTACAGAGCAGTCTTTGATCTACAACTAGAATATTAGTGGTATTGTTCCCCCAATCTCCTAACTCGTATACTGATGCTGATTGTCCTTCGTTTTGGATGTTAGGCTGGGCCTGTTGTAGTAGATCTAACTTAATTCACCAAAAAAAGAAGGCAATGATCTATTTCTAGAAGTGTGCCCACTATTTGACCATGATCAGCTTCAACAAAAATCTTGTGTTATACTCAAATGTGTATACCTTTTCTTTTCAGTGAAGTAATATATCTCTGCCCTGGCCAGATTTGAATTATACATAATAACACACTATAGGAAATCCCATCAAGTGGTGGCCTCTCAATATTCATAACCCTGGAATTGAGACGATTTTGCATTATTATTGTTTTGGATCAATTAACGTTTATTTCTTGACGAGCCTATATAATTATATATATTCTTAATATAAAGCCAATGGGTCTAAATGAGACAAGTTTACCTTTTCATTTATCTATTTATTTATTTATTTGTTAGGTGGTAAAAACACTGAAAATAGAAAGCTACTAGGATAATTGAATATTTTCATAATTAAATGGTTGACCAAGCATCAATGTTAAATATCTTTTTTCTTTTGGTGGAGAAAAACACACGACAAATGTTCACTAGAAATTATTTTATTACCACAGATCATAATGAATCAATGCAAAGTCTTGTAGAAAGTATCATTAGATTTTCCATTCACATCAAAATATCAAATATATCTTTACGCCATAGATAACACAAAACAAGGCTAAAATAATAGTTTATTTTTAATTTTTATTAATTTTTCATCAAATATATTAGAGGTGTTATCTAGTGGAAAATTGAATATTTTATCTATTTTCAATTGAAACGGCGATTTAATTACCAATGATTGTTATACGTTTTTCTCGGTTGACGCGATTTAGTGGAAAATGTATGTGGAAAATTACGAATTTCCTAATTTTCCACTAACATTTTCCATTAATTATTTCCTCAAAATCGAGCTTATTATCTCACTCTCAAATTAAGGTATAGGGTAGCCAGGAGTGTCTATTGTATATGTAATTAATTTATTCGATCTTTAAAGGTCAAATTTATTAAAAAAAAAAAGATTGAAATTTATGAGGATTTATTTTTCTTATATTTGACACAGTATGATGTTCTCATCAATTGATAAGTTTCCACAACTGCTGCCGGAGTGCTTTGTTTTTTACTGGGTTTGTCCAATCTTTATTTTTAGAAGTCACGCTTTTTCCATTAGATAACACCTCTAATGATTATTATTATTTTTGGATCTCGCACAATCTTATATGTGACAGAGTAAAAGAAGTCTGCTGTTTGGTATAATTCCGTTCTACAAATATATTATTATCTCCGACATGGCAACAAATGGGTTTTGTAATCTGCGATTTTCGGAGAAACACAATAATAAAATCCAGTTACTAAAAACAAACCTTTGGACAAATTTTACTGTCCTTATAAAAATGTCGCACTGCTAAGAGCTTTCTTAAAAAGAAAAATCTTAAAATATGTTGAGTTTCAAATGTACCTGTAATCTCTGCCAAAGAAAGAAAGAAAGAAAAAAAAAACTTGACAGTCGAAATGAGGTGATGTTTGAAATTTAAATTAATTAATTTTTTTTTCTTTGTTATTTGTATTCATTATCAAATAATTATACAACCAAGCGTTGTGTTTATTGTAAGAGACAACTGACAATAATGAGCTGACCAGTATACTAAACTCTCGCAAATATCTATATATTTTTTTGAATCGATTGTATGATAAAAAAGAGTTATGGAATTTATATCATAAATAAATAGATGATTTGGTAACCATTTTTTATTCTCTTTAGTATAATTTCTCATTGGATCAACTCAAATACATTATGCCAAAAGTAAATTAATATATCTAATACAGGCTAATACATATATATATATATATATTATCTTTATAATTGTGCGTCTTTTCGCATGTTACATGAATTGCATTTGACTTTATATAACGTGAGACGAGAGGAAACAGACAGCAGTATCCTGACAATCTGGAGGAAGAATATGTGTGGGGGGGTTTTTGGCTGTCAGCGTTGGGGTGGTACATTCATGCCGAAAAAGAGTTTCGTCCTCTGAGCCTAAAAAAAATCATGAGAGGAAATCAAAGCATATCTTAAAACATACAACTGCTCATCAGCAAGCATAATAATAATAATGATAATGATGATGATAGTCAAGTCCTTTAAACTTCAAATACAAAATTATTTGCATGTTTATTATTGAAATAAAGAATAAAATAAAAGAAATAACAATATTTGGTATGACCTTCCTTGGCATCAATTGGAGCTTGGCATCGATGTTGCATGCTGCCTTGTCAAACATTATGCAAGTTCAATTCCATTTCTTTTCTATTATCTTTGCATGAAGATTTTCAAACCATCAATGTTGTTGCCGCTGCCCCTCTCATCACTCATACTTTTTTCTCAAGGACACCACCAGATATGCTCAATGGGGCTGGGAGAGCTTGAGATCCGAACTTTTAAACTGGCCAGTAATTCGAAGCCTCCCCAGGATTTTATGGTTGTCTTTCCACCACCTTGGATAAGAAACTAGTATGACAGTTATCGTATTTTCTTCTTGGAACATCAAGGACCCAAAACAACAAGCCCAGAAACAGCTTCAGATCATCCTACTTCCCCCTCCTATTCAATCCCTTCCCCCCCTCCCCTCCACCCTACTTGGCTCCCTCGATTATATTTTCTTCCTTGAACTTTTTTTCTGTGGCCAAATTATTCTGATAGCTCTTAGTCTTTCCGTTATTACCTTTTGACTGTGTGAGTCTTGATCCATCAGACTAGACTACACGCCTCTCTTCGTTGCTCATCGGTCCAATTGACATGAGTACAAGCCCATTCCAGCCATTTTCCCTTTATTTTTGTGGTTGTCTGTCAAGGTTGACTTATGTGGCTACGATATACAAACCAAAGCCCAAAAGAAAAAGAAAAATGCTTGAGGCAGCTGATTACATGCGTATCTATTGATTTATACCTTCCATATTCTTCTAAAAGACGTTCTCAATTCAGACAATCCTGTTTATTTTATTATCTCAACCCTCAATTTGACTGTGGATAGATTTATTGTAACAACAAAAGAGATTCTCACCCTGGATTAGTTTGAACTATACACTAAAGAAATAAGACCAAGAAGTATATGTATATATGCAAGTATTAATGGCGACAAAAAATATTAAAGAGAAAAATTAAAAAAAAAATTAAAAAAAATGAGGGGATTCTAGCAAGTTACTTCAAATTTGAGCGTGGATATAAAAAAATAGATCAATTTACCAAAATCACAGCTTTTCATATTAGTTTATTTTATAGTCCCACACACACACACACTTTATCTTTATCTTTGTCTTTATCTCTTTATTTCTCTCGCACAGGCAAGGCGCATGATTTATGTATTATTTTGAAAGGTAAGCAAGTGACCGTTTATTTAAACTTGTAACATACACACACACACACACATATATATATATATATATAAATATAAATGTGTGGGAAGTATGTACATCTGAAAAGAAAATAAAGAAGTAATTTCTGACTAGCTAAATGACTTGTTTTATCTTTTCTCTTTACAATTTGTGAGTCATATGTGATTTGTGAGTATTAACTAACGGGGTTTTGACAGATATTTTTTTAAAAAAAAAGAAGAAGAAGAAAAGGGAGAAGTATTTGATTTTGAAATAATCAAATAATAATCAAACATTCTCTTGTTTCTTTTTTCCTCTTCTTTTTCTTCTTCTTCTTTATGTTATTCATTCTCTTTGAATAGAGAATCATTTGATGCTGATGCTGATGCTGTAGGGACCGAGCTGTGATGTTGTTCTGACTGAGCGGATAAGGCTGCAAACACAAGATAGAGATCAAGTAATTGAAATAATAATAGTTGGGACACCCTTGTGCACCAACTCGTAGCATTCAATGGACAGAGAGGCTTGGTGGTGTCAATCTAGAATGAGCTTTTTTTTTGGTGGTGATTTTGTGGTTTAGGTTAATACATATATCTTGTCCGCTCACGTGTGGTCGTACTACATTGATAGGTTTCTTTTATATATATATAAAAAAACTAAACTAAACTAAACTAAACTAAACTAAAATATGTATGTATGTTTATATCGAAAAGTCTATAATTTTTATGTTCTTACCTTGCTGCATGTCCTTGTAAGTGTTTTCAGACTTTGATAAGGTTCTCTTGCGCTTCTTGTTTGATTTCTTCTGCTTCTTTTTCTGCGCGACAGGAGGTTCGGGCAATTTCTTTAGACAGCTCTTAAGAGTGCAGATTGGTTCCTGTGGTGGCGTATCTCTGGTGCACTCACAGACGGTCTGCTGGATTTCGGATATAATACTTTCATCGAGCATGTCCTGGTTCAGACTACGGCGTTCCCATGCTTCCTTGAGTCTCTTGCTTGCCTCGGCGCGGCATTCTTCGAGACTTGGCAGGAGGTGAACGATGTTGTGTTCAAGGTCAAAGCTAACACGTCTAGGACCATTGAGTGGTAGTTGTGCCTAATGATTTTGTATAGACATAGACATATATATAGTTTTTTTATCAAATATAAGAATCATAATTATATAAGAATAATTACATTGTATTCTTTAGGGATAGGCGCGCAAATGGAGCTCATATGGAATAAGGTTAATGAAGAAGAGAGAATAAGAGGAAGAAGTAAAGAAGAAGAAGAAGAAGAAAAAGAAAAAGATAAGAATATATATATTATATATAGTAGATATATGTATTTTATTTAGATATTAAAAAGAAAAGGAAAGAAAAGAGGGGAATGAATGCTAAAAGTATGACAGGTTCCTTCATGTTAAAACTCAACGGCTTTCAAACACCTATTTTCTCCCCTCTCTGCCCCTCGCCTCACTATACCTTACCTTACCTTACCTTACCTTACCTTACCTCATTGTAAGGTGAAATTGAGTCAACTTTGTGTCCAATAGATTTTCAGCGTTCGGGCTTATTCAATTACGCACTACAAAGATAGAAATATTTAGTGTCAACGAATTACACTAGTAGAAAAAAAAATGATTTTTTTTTATATATAAAGAAGCCGATCAAATATATATATATGTAATATGCATATAAATAAAAATTAAATAATAGAATTTTTTTTTTTTTTAAAAAAAAAGGACTCGGCTATACAGCAGATGAATATATATATATATTTGAAATTTTGAATTGGTTTTTTTTTGGCGTTCTATTTTAGATTTTATTTATTTATTAGTCTGATTGTTTCAAAATATTTGGTCATAAATACATAAATATATATATATATGTATTTTATTTGGTTATTTGATTATCACCCTCTATTATAATTATTATTATTATTATGACAAGGCAATAAATTGAAACAATGGTATAATATAGAGAGGGAGAGAAATAAAGAAAGAAAGCCTTTTTGATTTGTGTGCAATAATTATAATAATAATAATTTTTTATTTTATTTTTTCAATTTTATATATAAATTTTTGTCAATTGTCTTTTTTCTCCCTTTTATTCTACCTCTTCTTCTTATTCTTCTTCTTTTACTTTATATTTTCTTTTTAATTTTAATTTTAATTTTTACATTTTATATTTTATATTTTATATTTTATATTTTACATAAAAATACATATATTAGTATTTCCATATGTTTTATATATAATATACATAAAAAAAAATCAAAACATATTAATCATAAACATAGTCTTAATAGTCTTAATAATAATACATATAATATTACATCATACAAAATCTTTTAAAAAAAAACAATAACAACAATAACAATTTCTCTATTCTATTCTATTAATTTATTTATTTTATTTGATTTTATTTTATTTTTACCTCACCTTTAAAACAACCAACTCAATCAGTCAAAGCAGTCGAACCAACCAAAGCACCCAAAGAAGTGCAATCAGTCGAATCAACCGACATCTTTTTTTCTTCTTCTTCTTTCTTCTATTAATCCCTTTAATACAGTCATGGACCAACACTCCATCATCCTACCTCCACCACCATCCTACAAATCAAGTCAGATTCCTTCTCAACTAAAACCAATCTTCTCCTCCGACCTACCGAATCATGACCCACCAATCTTTACAGTCCCCAACAATTTCGACGGCGCAAAGACTCAAAAGGGTCTCAAGAGTATCTCCTGCTTTTCGTATCCCCCTCCTCTGATGACTGCCGACAAAGCAGCCATCCGCCGAGTCGTCTCAGTGCCGAATGGAGCAGACCTTTTGAATATAACCAGCTTAGCGCAGCAACAAAAGAACCAAGAAAATCCACCGCTACACTTTTTACGTCTGCACGACCTCCACACCCAACAAACAAACCACCACCATGACCACGACCATGACCATGACCTTGCCCCTCCACCAACCTACGACTCTGTCTCAGCCCTCACGAAACACTCTCTCTGCAGACGTACCTACTCCACCAGCAGTATTAAACTACGTCAGGTAGAAGTAGGGCCGGCAAGCTTCCAAAAGATACGCATGCTAGGAAAAGGAGACGTCGGAAAGGTGTACATGGTTCGTCAAAAGAATACAGACAAGCTATTTGCAATGAAAGGTAAAAATATTTATATACATAATAGCTCTACTCGATATTCATATTATTTATTTTCTCTAGTTCTTTCAAAACGAGAAATGCTTAAACGCAACAAGATCAAGCGGGCATTGGCCGAACAGGAGATTTTAACCACCTCAAACCACCCTTTTATCGTCACACTCTACCACTCCTTCCAAAGCCAAGACTACCTCTACTTTGTAATGGAATATTGCATGGGTGGTGAATTCTTCCGAGGTGTGTTGAACTTCACAATTCTTTTTTTTTCTACTAAACATTTTATTAATATTATTTATTATAGCACTTCAAATGCGCCCAGGAAAATGTTTGACAGAACAAGCCGCGCGATTCTATGCCGCTGAAGTCACTGCTGCTCTCGAATATCTTCATCTTCAAGGACACATTTATCGTGATCTCAAACCAGAGAGTAAGTTCCCTCTCCAATATAGACACATATTTATATATATATATATATATTTCACGTTGGTACAACAACAAGTTGATTATTAATACGTCTCTTTTTATTTATATATCTATATCTATATTTTTATTTATTTATTTATTTAAATTATTTATTTATTGTACAAAAAAAAAGATATCTTGCTTCATCAAAGTGGCCACATAATGCTTACTGACTTTGATCTCAGCAAAGGGTCTCGCCCTCCGGGAAATCCTGGCGTGATAAAGTCAAGTTGGCCCTATCAGGTACTTTCTTATTGCTTTTATTACTTTTATTACTATCATTCCCACCACTACGACAACAACATCGACAACAAAGAATAGAAATAAGAAACAAACGGGAGATATTTCATAGAGGAGAAGGAGAAAGGAATAAAGGGGGATAAAATAAAGAGTGCAATAAAGAGAGTGAGATAATGATAGACTGAAATCGAGAAGAGAAGAAACCGAAAAAAAAAAACAACAACAGCAGAAAGTTTCAAGGGATGCATATCATTTATATTAGAATCATTTTAACCAAAATCTACAATTATATTTATCTCTCTCTCTCTCTTTATCTATCTATCTCTTTCTACCTTTATCATTATCATTATACTTATTTTAAATTTAAATTTATATAGCCACTTATCATTAATACTCGTTCCTGTGTCGATGGTATTCGTACAAACAGCTTTGTTGGTACTGAAGGTAAAAAGTCATATAATGCTAATTTTAATGATAATTTAGAAATTGAAAATGTCTATTATATATCTAAATATCTAACCAATGTATTCAACAGAATATATTGCCCCAGAAGTAGTCAAGGGATGTGGCCACACAAGTGCTGTAGATTGGTGGACCCTTGGTATCCTTATTTATGAGATGCTGGTGAGTACAGTATACCTTACACCACACTACACATTACACACGCACACACGCACACAATTACACATTAAATCATTGTACACTCCACCCCCTCCCCACACACACACACATACCCCTCCTTTCTTTTTTTTTCTTACTACCATTATTACCAGTACCAGTACCAGTACCATTATCATTATCATTATCATTACCATTATTAACATTTCATTATCCTTCTTTCTTTTTAATGTGTAAAAATAGTACGGTACAACTCCCTTCAAGGGGGATCATCGCAACGAAACTTTTAGCCGGATTGTCTACCAAGATCCCAGCTTCCCTAACCAGCCGGCACCTCACCAAACCCCAATCTCGAGTGCCTGCAAGAACCTCCTCCGGAAATTACTCCACAAGGACGAGTTTAAGCGGCTTGGATCCCGCGCCGGCGCGGCAGATATCAAACAACACGCCTTTTTCAAGACCACAAACTTTGCTCTTCTCAGAAACGCCACTCCACCAATCCAACCACTCATCTACCAGTCAAACGGAATCGATGCTGTCAACTTTAGACGTATGCCGCCAGAGAGCTTCAGTCTTGATCTTAATACCGACAATGTTTTGATTACCGAGAAAGCCGGTACAAATCCCTTTGAAAATTTCAGTTCAGGTAAGATCTTCGTAATATACATTACATTGTATTGCATTATATTTAAAATAAGTATAAACCAAGAGTAACTAATATTTAAATATAAATATGTATATATATTTGCAGTTACTCTTCATCATGATGGTGACTCTGATACAGAAGATTTCTATTAAAACTCACAAAAGGAAAAATGGAAAGGAAAGAAGATCGTATTCTTTAATTCTATTCTACCTGCTTTTACTTTTTCTTACACCTCTTTATCTTTCTCTACTCTTACCTTAATTCCAAAACAACCTTTATACACCAATCAACTCTCCTAGTTCTCTTACTTTATATAATATCTCTAATCCTCTCTATATACATATATAATATTTAACTATTCCTTCTCTCACAACCCCCCCTTGTTCTATTTTATCTTATTTTTACCTTTATACTTTTGTGATAACCCTTATCCCTATTCAACAACCTTTCTCCATAATTATTTATCTCTCTCTACTCTACTCTACTATCTATTCCTACCCTTTATTATCTATTATCTATTATATTCTTTTTTTGCTTTGTTTCAAAGAAAAAGATAAAAAAAACACTCCCCTCAACATAATTCTTACAAGTAATAATAATATTTTATCTTATTTACAAATTTCAACGTAAAAAAAACCAAAAAAAATATAATAATAATTGCTTTTATATTTTAATTTAATAATTAATTGATTGATTAATATTCTTATCTAATTATTTATTTATTTTATTGGTATAAGCTAGCTATATATTTATTATATGTATATTACTATTATTAAAAAAAAAGCTGCTTAGCAATTCATTTATTGTATTTATTTGTCGTCCACAATGTGCTTAGCAATTATGCTACCAAGACTATGGTTCTATGAGACATTTTGTACAATTAAAGCCTGTTTCTGTTCCTATTTACAAAAAAGTTAAATGCTCAAATTATACACAAACACACGCACGCACACACAAAGCATATAAAATGGTTAACGGACGAATACTTAATTGGATACATATTTCTCTTTTTTTTTTCTCTTTTATCTGTTTAAATGACGATGACTACCATCCAATATCCTCTCATATATTAATAATAAAAATAAATAAATAAAAAGGCCGGCCTAAATGTGCCCTAGTCTACAAACTACCATTACATCCCCATATACACATATACATATATCCCAATATGCTGCAACAATAACTATCAATTTCATATACAAAAACAAAACTCTCAACTGTAACGTAAAACTAAAGCATTTTGACAATTAATTGGGTTGAAACAATGCCACTGGAAGATTATATTCCCAAGTCAGTGAAATATTTAAACATCGACTAAAATATTCGTTTAAATACACACCCACAAAAAAGTCCTTTTTTTTTCTTTCTTTGATTTTACCCTAGGTTAACTGTATCGTCCAGTCTTGCTATCATTATACTCACAATATCATGTGCATACTGACAAAAAGAAAGCAAGCATAAAAGAAAGAACTTGTGACACTGCTACTTGGAAGACGTGATATTGAATTTTCCCAGAGATATTACAAAGTCTTTCAATGAAAAGAATCGATATGAAGAATATACACTGCAAATATTCTGCAAAAGAGATTTTCAATATGGTGCTTTTAAATCTTGATTCAGATTGGCCGAATCTTATTTTATTAAAAGAAAGAAAAATGATGTTACGATTTTACTTGGGACGAGCCTCACTAGCTCTCCGAGGGTTTCCTATATAGAAAAGTAAAAATCGAGAGAAAAGAATGCCAAAATTATATTTAGGTTTATGTAGCTCTCTTATATTATAATAGGCCATGTTGGTCATACCAAAGATACAACAGACAAAAAAAAAGGATCTTTACAATGTCAAGTCAGGATCTTTGATCAAGTAACCAGAAGTGGAAAATGATCCACCTAATATTTTTATATGATTTCTCTATAATTACTTGGTTGGGAATTTTTTGTCAAGGCCCTGGACTCTATATGAATATATGTCAATCTCTTCAAGAGGTGCATACTTTGTTTTTTTTTTTTGTGTTTTAGTCAAACTTGTGATCATCTTTAAAGAAAATAAGTAAAAAATCCAAAAAGGGGTAGTCATTTGTGGATATTCATCGGTATTCGAAAAGAGGTGAATTTGATTTAAGTAATATGATTGGATAATACTACTTTTACCTTTTTTGAAGAATAGCACCAGCTATTTCGAAGAGGGTTTTTTCGAAAATAAATAAAAAAAGGTAGAAATTTGAAATATATATAAAGATTGCATTGCTAGGTTTGTCTAACTCTTGTTTTAGAATTAAATTTGATCGAATATTTGTCTTTTTGAATATTAAGACATTAATCGTAAATGAATCGTATTGGCCAGAGTACCCTTTCATTTTTTTAAGATACCGACAGATATTCACGAATGACGACCCGTAACAAATCGGTGTGTGAATAAAACAATTCATCCGCAATGGATCGGAGATTTATAACTTCCATAAAAGTAAGAGGTAATGTGAGGGGTGTAAACCAAATTGTCCCCTAGAATTGCCTCTGAAATCATCCTCAAAATCGCCCTTTATTTTTTTCGTAGTGATATTCAAGAATCTCCCCCCCCCCCCTCCACCCCTGGAGACCACTTATTTTCTTTTCCCGTAGGGGGTTAGTAACATTAGTAAAAGTCTTTTTTATACTTTAAAAACAAAATGAGATATGTATTAATTATCGAATTATCGAAAATAACAAGGAGTTAATGTTGAATGTGACCTTTTTTTGGTATCAATTACTGTCCGAGTAACCGTCCAGTTTGGAAACTTTTTCCAATCTCTCGGATGGGTCAGTGCTTATCACCAAATAAAGGAAGATATATATATATATACATGACAGTTCTTCATCGACAGTTTGTAGATATATTTGCACAAAACTATCTCTACGTATATCCTCAACACAATAAAAATCAAAATAAAAGTTAACCAATCATATTCATTTTATATTTCGTAAAGCAAGACTCAATCTTTACTGAATATTTTCGACAAAACCCTTATATTTACATATATATATATACGAATTTATTTCCTTATCAAAAGAATATTTAACCATCATACTTTTAGGAAAAAAAATATCTGGGTACTGTCTACCCATCAATTAACCACTTGTTTAAATATTTTGCTTAATGAAATTTCATGTATAATAATAATTTGAATCTTTTTTTTTTTGAGGGGGGTTTCAGGCACAAAAAGGTACTTTAGCTTATTTACACTAATACATGTATTTGATAATAAAGATCATGCTAATTCTAATACTAATTACAATTCTTTCACTAGATCAGCAATTGAATAAATTATATATATACATATACATATACATGTTTGTGTTCTTATTTACAAATCCAAAATACATTTCTTAAGCTCTTGTTAATTAATTAAAACTATATAATTTCAAGTAATTGATCTAATATTCCTCTGTTTTTTTTTACGCAATTACCATTATTGTAATTATCTTAATGATTCTTATTATCACTATTATCAACTCTTCTTTTATAATTACTATGTCTTGATATAATATATGTATATACATGTTTTCTAAACTCAAACTTTAAGCTTTCATTTTTCGGCTTTACTTAAATACTACAAAAAAAAATAGAAATAAAATAAAATAAAATAAAATAAAAAAAAAAGAAATCACTAAACCAAAGTCCGTATGTCTACGTCACTCATCTCATGGGTGCACCTAGCGCCACACCCCTGAGCAGAGCGAGTGGTGTATGAAAAAAAAAGAAAAAAAAATTTGCCCCGGGGCAACGAAAGTTTAGAAAAGCAAAAAAGTGTTGTGCTTCCTTTTCCCGTTTACCTAAACACATCACCATGCTTAGAAACGTTGTTCGCGTCGCTCGCCCCTTGTCGCTTGCTGCCCGCGGTCTTGCCCCCGCTGTAAGTACAACGCGCCAAAAAACCGCCCCAACCTATAATTCTACAAATACATACATACATACACACACCTGTACACCTGTTCACTTGCACACATATACATATACAAGTAAGAGTACATGTAACTGTTCATGTGCATGTACATCCACATGTATATATGCATGTATGTAAACGGACAAGTGTACACAAGTGTACCTGTGTGTATGTATTTTTGGAAAGCAAATGTAGTTTTTTTTAGTAAAGTGTAATGAAGTGTTGGTGTTGGTGTCCTTTATTTAAATTACAAGTCGACAAATTAAAGAACCAAAAAAGATAAATTAAAATTAAAATATAAAGGGCACCATACATTGACATTAAATTACACTTCACTACACTGTACAATTATCCATTAACAACGATAGTAGTAACCCAACAAAAAACTCATTTTCATTTTACTAATTATTTTTCTTTAATATATATAATTTCTATTTTTACTTCAATTATTATAATTGTTATTGATCCTTACAGGCCCGCCTTAACCTTGGCGCCGTCGCTCAGGCTGCCCGTTACGCTTCCTCCAAGCCCTCCACCGCCGAGGTCTCTTCTATCCTCGAGCAGCGCATCCTCGGTGCCTCTGCTGAGGCCGATCTCCAGGAGACTGGTCGCGTCCTCTCCATTGGTGACGGTATTGCCCGTGTCTATGGTTTGAAGAACGTCCAGGCTGAGGAGATGGTTGAGTTCTCCAGCGGTCTCAAGGTAAATATTATATAAATGCCTACTTGATACTGTGCATTATTATTGGAGTCTATATTTTAAAAGAGAGAAAGAGAGAAAGAGAATATGATTGAAAAATATTATGATATGGAAATTTAAACATGTTTTGTATTTGTAAATTAATAATTATGTTTTGTGTGTCTCTTTTGTAATTGTGTATGTGTGTATAGGGTATGGCCCTCAACTTGGAAGCTGACAACGTCGGTATTGTCGTCTTCGGTAACGATCGTTTGATCAAGGAAGGTGACACCGTCAAGCGTACTGGTGCTATTGTCGACGTTCCCGTCGGTCCTGGTATCTTGGGTCGTGTTGTCGATGCCCTCGGTAACCCCATTGATGGTAAGGGTCCTCTTGAGACCGTTGGCCGTTCGCGTGTCCAGGTCAAGGCTCCCGGTATTTTGCCCCGTCACTCTGTCAACGAGCCCATGCAGACTGGTATCAAGTCTGTTGATTCCATGGTTCCCATCGGTCGTGGTCAGCGTGAGTTGATCATTGGTGATCGTCAGACCGGTAAGACTGCCGTCGCTCTTGACACCATTCTTAACCAGAAGAACTGGAACAACGGTTCCGATGAGTCCAAGAAGCTTTACTGCATCTACGTTGCCGTCGGTCAGAAGCGTTCCACTGTTGCCCAGTTGGTCCGTACCCTCGAGGAGAACGACGCCATGAAGTACACCATCGTCGTTGCCGCCACTGCCTCTGAGGCTGCCCCTCTCCAGTACCTCGCTCCCTTCTCTGGTGCTGCCTTTGGTGAATGGTTCCGTGACAACGGTCGCCACTCCCTCATCATCTACGATGATTTGTCCAAGCAGGCTGTTGCCTACCGTCAGATGTCCCTCTTGCTTCGTCGTCCCCCCGGTCGTGAGGCCTACCCCGGTGATGTCTTCTACCTCCACTCCCGTCTTTTAGAGCGTGCTGCCAAGATGAACAAGGCTTTCGGTTACGGTTCCATGACCGCCCTTCCCATCATTGAGACCCAGGGTGGTGATGTGTCTGCCTACATTCCTACCAACGTCATTTCCATCACTGATGGTCAGATTTTCTTGGAAGCCGAGCTCTTCTTCAAGGGTGTCCGTCCCGCCATTAACGTCGGTCTTTCCGTCTCCCGTGTCGGTTCCGCTGCCCAGACCAAGGCCATGAAGCAGGTTGCTGGTTCGCTCAAGCTTTTCTTGGCCCAGTACCGTGAAGTTGCCGCCTTCGCCCAGTTCGGTTCTGATCTCGATGCCTCCACCCAGTTCTTGCTTAACCGTGGTGCCCGTCTCACCGAGCTCCTCAAGCAGCCCCAGTACACTCCTCTCTCCATTGAGGTCCAGGTCCCCATCGTCTTTGCCGGTGTCAACGGTTTCCTCGATAAGTTGCCCGTCGGTAAGGTTGTCGACTGGGAGAAGGACTTTGTCAGCTACGTCAAGACCCAGCACCAGGCTGAGCTCGATGAGATCCGCACCAAGGGTGTCATCTCCAAGGAATTGGATGCCAAGCTCCGCAACATCTGCGAGACCCACGTCAAGACCTTCTTGTAAAAAAACAAACAAACAAACTCTCACAATCTCAGTTTCACCCCCCAATCCCAATCCCCTCAAATACACTCAAAGAAATGTTCTGTAATATGTGTCCAAAAAACATTATAATGGAAAAAAAATCATTTTTACCTTAATGGTATTTTTCTTTCTTTCCTTTGAGCTATATGTAGACTCTTTTAGCTTTTGAATGAAAAATAACCCATTGTTTTCAAATAAAATATATATAAAAACTAAAGTATATAAACCCATTTTCTTTTATGAATTTTGTAAAGAAGTACATCATATACATACATGCAAAAGATGTAAAGGTCTTGTTATAATCATATATATATATATTCTTTATTTTTTTATACAACTTTAAAAAGAAAAAAGAAAAAAACAGATAGAGAAAGAAATCAATTCTCTTCATCTTTCTTCTTCTTCTTCTTATTTTCTCTCTCTCTCTAAGCGAAATCGTCTGGTTCAGATGGCATTTCAGAGGCAAGGACCTGTAATATCTTCCAATTGTCACTTAATTTTCGTTCATATTTGATTTGTTCAAATGCATAATCTTGGTATAATTGGGAAACAAATGCTTGGTGCTTGTGTAAAAAGGATATTTCGGATGCAAGGCAATATTGAACAAACGTGCGTCGTTGCTGTTGAGCTGACACTCGAGGCTGATAATGAATAAAAGAAAAGAAGTGGAAATGTGAGAAAGAAACATACAATGTCATATGTGGTCGTGTTTTGTTTTCCTTTTTTTTTTGTTAAAAAAAAACCTACTGTTCCCAAATAACTTTCAGATTCACGATCAGGATCCCGTTTTGCTTTTGATGTCGGTACGGAAGGTACCAATCGATCTCTACGATCCAACATTTCCTACAAAAACAATGCAAGAAACCCATTAAAATCTATTTGATTTTAAAGATAAATGTATGTTTTGCTCTTTAAACTAGCACTACCACTGCCTTTGCTAATATCAATGTCTCCAAAGCCAAAGATCTTTACTTTAAATGATATCAATAGATCCCTTTGCCGTCGTAGGTTCTCCAAGGTAGTATATCTTGTCACCAATGTCTGATCATTTTGGATCTGCCCTGCTCTTTGCATGTGTTTTGATACTGACTCATAACCATGGATGACAAACCCACAAGGTAAACACTCTGGCACGTAACATGCTTGTTCCAATGTACACATTGCACTGATAAGTTTAAAGATACATATAAAAAAATACAAAACCAAAAAGGGGTTAGCTTGTTGCTGTTGCTTTTTCTTTCTTTCTTTCTTCAATGTGTTCAAATCACTTGACACTCAAGAAATACCAACAACAATAAGAAAAATAAGATAAAGAGATAATGGGAGGGATTATTGATAGGGAGATTAAGAAACATTTTTTGTTGTAATTCTTGATTAGGTTTTCTTTCTATGTTTTGTGCTTGTTGTTGTTGTTTTACTTTACTTTAAGGTTGCACTGTAATGGTCAAACTCGGCTGCCTGTGCTTCCTCGAGTCTGATCATTCGCTCCATTTGACTGCACAGGGTGTGGTAAAGTTGTGTTAGAGGTTCAAGGCGCTTACGGAGTGTTTCGAGTTGAAGGTCTAGTTGATCTGGCACTCTTCTCTCGACTTCTTCAAAAGACAGGTGTTGATGCATAAATTCTTCTTCGATTAAAGGTGAGTGAGATCTTAGCCATGTTCTTAACGCCTATTTAGATCCAAAATTAAAATGAAATGAATTCTTTTTTAAAGAAGAAGAAAAAAAAAAGGGGGGAAACAATATAATATAAAATAGGGTTTCTTACAGATGATTCTGTCAGAAACACTGCCACAAGTTCATCTTTGGCAAGTATCGGGTGACGGACTATACTGCCCAGGAATCGTTCTAGTCCTTTTCGCCGTCTTTCTAAAAACACCTCGTCTTCTAGAAATCTCTCTGTGGTGTGAGAACTCTAAACAAACGAACAGACAAACAAACAAGTATATATATTTCCTCTCATCCCACACCTTGAAAAATAATAATAAAACCCTATGGTTATTATTTTAACTTACTTCCTCGGACTTGTTTTGGTGGTAGGGTTGGTAACATACGAAGTGGGTATCGTTTCAAGAGCATCTCAGCCAGCCAGCAAAAATCACTGTATCTACGCAGTACAGAACAGTTGTGCTGTTCACTCTCGATCTTGTAGTTCGCGTGTTTGAATAAAAATCCTTCTTTTTCTTCCATGAGATCAACTCGGACCCTGTCCATTTGAGCAAACCATTGGTGAGCTTCTGAAGGAAGTTTGTCTGCCAGATGTCGTTTATTGGAAAGGGTAGTAGCAGAAGTAGTTGTTGTAGTAGTTGTTGTAGTTGTGTTATTATTGTTATTACTTGTGATAAAATTATTATTGTTATTGTTATTGTTATTGTTGATTGTTGTTGCAGTAGACGACGGGTTGATCCCACGCGATCGAATTAGCTCTTGTGGGTTAGTTGGAATTGTGGGTCGTAGATCTTCTGGGTTGTAGTGGTTTGGTGTGTTTTCGTTTTGGATGAGTGGTCTGGTGGTTACCCATGGATCTACTATTCTCTGCTGTTGTTGTTGTTTCTGTAATTCAAGCCGAGTCTGTTGTAATCTTTGTCCGTTAACCCTAGATGATATTGGAGTTCGTTGGGTGTACATTGTATCAATGTTTGCCAAGATAAGTTCGGGTAAATCTACACGAGTTTAAAGTAGATAACGGATCAGTGAGATCAATGTGCATATTGGGACCCAAAGCATAACATGCTTAGTAAGTAGAGTAAAACAATACAATACAATACATTAAAATAAAATAAATCATACCATTTCTATGCTGCTGGACAGTTTCGAGGGAGACATCTATATGTTATATATGTATGCACGTATATATATATATATATATATATTCAAAAATAAATACACATTCTGCAGTGCGTGATATATTGTAATGAACCTTATTTTTTTTCCATTTATTATTTTTCATCAAGGTTCTCTCTGGTTCTTTACTCTATTACTCCTCGCTTATTACTTACCCATATGTTTCTGGGCACAGGCAACTAATGCCAAGGCGGTGTTAAACTCATTGCGTGTGACGTACTGAGAACCAGGTGGAACGACAATGCCAATAATCTGTGTACAAAAGGTCTTAGATGATAATATACCCATATATTTCTGTAATTCAACTCATAATATATATATGTCTGTGTGTCTGTGGCTAGAGAGAAGCGGGTGTATAAAAAGTACACTGACTTGCCTCATCCAACGTCTGTACCGTCACTCCACCAAGACCCATAACTCTTTCAAGGGACTCCAAACTGACACGATCCCCCGTAGGCCCTGATCGAATATAAGCCGTATCATATAACTCTGGCACGTCCACACCCACTGAAATTCAATAGAAATGAATTATTATCATTTTTTAACATATATATATATATATAAAGGCAAAAAACAATAGTAATATTTTTAAATAAATAATCAGTTTATATTCACTCTCACAAACACAGGTAATAATAATGGTAAGAAAGAAAAAAAAGGTAAATATATTCCCTATCATTCTCTTGCTCTTCTCTCTATCTCTATCTCTCTTTCACTCTGAATATATGTATGTATTTGTATATGTATATGTATATATGCGTGTATATATATATATAAGGTGTGTGTGTGTGTATGTTTGTAGACTCTTTTTCTTTGGGTTTTGTTTGCATACACATAATGTGTGTGTATACACACATATTGGCTACTTGCCAAGTACACTCGCAGGAGTGATTCCTGAACTCAATAAGGCATCTTCCACTGCGTCTCTTGGGGTGAGGATGTTCGTGTGCGTCTCAGGCTCAAAGCTAGTTTCGCCACCCCAGGGATTGTCGAACTGATTAGTGTAGACTGGTGATACTGTGCGGGTTGTAAAGAGGAATTTCGTAGAGCTAGTGTCAAGGAATCCCGCTGTCAGGTCATCATCACCTTGCAACATGTTTGTTTGTTTTATATATATTTATATATAAAGATAAAAGGTTGAAGAATAAAAGTAAAAATAGGAAAAGGAAAAGGAAGAAAAGAGATAGAAAGGTAAGTAGTAATGTAGAATAAGTAAGTAAAAGAAAGAACGAACGGACAAACGAACGAGCGAACGAAAGAGGGGTTTATGTTATGTCAGAGGGCATTGTTCCAGTTGTTTGCTCGACACAGAATAATAAGAAATACCAATCCCCTTTTTGAGGCCATCATTTTGTCACGAGACTTTTTCTGTATCAAGCAGAAAGCACACACACCAAGCACAAAAGCACAAAAGCAAAAGAGGGTCCTTTTTTATAATTTTTATTTTTTGGGTGACATCAATGGCTTTACATGTTCACGTAGAAGGGAGGAAAGAGTGAGAGATAGAGATAAGGCAAACAGAACAGTCAGACAAACACTAGTTAAATTTCACGTTTATATATATATATATATATATATATAACCAGTAAAAAGCTAAGGGTTCTTTATTTCTTATTGAATTACGCAATAAAGAGCTGTTTGCTAAGCAAGATTTTGTAGTACGGGAATCTTTGTAACATTTCTCATTCACAATCAGAATGATGAAATGATGAAATCTACAATCAAAGAAACAAAGGTAGGAACATAGCTAAAAAAGTAGAAGGGTATAAAGGCTGTAAATAAGGTAGCATAATAGCTGGAACGTCATCAAATAATCGTGCAAACTATTTGACTACACCAACTGATAATACTATCTTGTCTTGTAACTTTGTCCTGTGACTAGTTTGCTTAGTATCCTCGGTTTGTAATTTATGAAAATACACACAAACAGACGCACCGCTATATACATACATACATGTATATGTATATGTATATGTATATGTATATGTATAATTATTCCAACCACAGGGTACCATTTTTATGGGTAGAAATGGATTATAGACTCCTTATTGAATGTCAAAAAAGGGCCAAGCATTCTCTTGGATACAATGATATTGCTTGGCTGTGATTGTGATGCTTTCCACACAACTGGTAAGATTTTTTTTAAAAAAAAAGGGAGGAAGGGCAGGAATATCATGCGTCATTTTAGTCTTTATTATTCCTGATCTGGATTTAGCCTTTCTTTTACTACACCAAAAAGAAGCAACAAACAAACCTCCTTTGCCCCCTTTCAACTGGATAAAAAATGTAAAGTAATTTTATAAGAGATAAGATAATCAAAAGATGTCGTTATAGGGAAGAAAGGAGGGAAGGAGGTTTAATATTAAGGAGAAGAAAAATCTTTTATTCGTAATACAAGCGCAATGACAAGAATCAATTATTGATACAAAATAAAAACGGCCCAAGATAATAGATCATTGAACTCGAATACATACATGTAAAGAATAAAACAGCATTAAACAGAACAGGCTCTGAAGTTGCAAATTAGCTGACAATATTTACTATATAGATATATATATATATATAAATAAAGAAACAAATAACAACTTGTCTTGTATCATTACTACTAAGCTGCCCTTTTTAATTTACGCTGTACTGCTTGGATTAATTCTTCGTAGTCCAAGACGTAGCTGTTGTCAACCGACATATCAAAACGTCTCATGTGAACCAATGAGTACGTGTAAAATGGATTAAAGAGAGGATACTGATATATAATGTTTCGAATTGAATTCTTTTATATATTTCTAAAAAATATACATTCTTTTCTGAACTGTAGTCAGTGCTTAGGAATATGCTATTGCTCGTAATGAAGTACAACATTAAACCACCTTTAGGTTTTACTTTCAAAAACAGTACCCAATGTCATTTTCTCTTTCTAGTATATAAAAATTTTGGTATTTAACAGAGCAAAATAATATAATTGAGTATAATTGTTGAATTGGTCTCATTTATGTAGATATACATTTTGTACTTGTACCTGTATCTGTACCTGTGCAATATTTTAACTATTACCTAAATTACACACACAAACTGTAACAGCACCCATATTTTATTTTATTTTGTATTTTTCAATTGTTTCCGCCCGAGTGTCCGCCACAAGAGGAACCTGAGAAAGTGACCTGGTTCACCTTTTTTTTGTGACGTGTTTCATTCTTTTTCTAAAAAAAAAACGCGTCAAAAATATTAAAGACTTTCTTTTTTTTTGGATTTATCTCGTATTTTTTTTTATTAATAAAGAAATCTAGAAAGGTAAGGAAGAAAACGAAGAGAAAGAAGTAGTAGTTTTTTGATTCTTTACCATAAATTAAGGCGTAGTACACATAATAAACAAATAAATAAAGACACAAATACAATATACAAATTACACTGTACGCGTTGGTCTAACTAAATAAATAATATATATATATATATATATATATAAATCAACAACTTGTATATATTACAATAGTATGCTCGAAGCCAGACTCAACCAAGCTCGTCTTCTCAAGTCTCTTCTCGAGGCCATCAAGGAATTGGTCACCGAATGCAATTTCGACTGTAACGACACTGGAATTTCTCTCCAGGCCATGGACAACTCTCACGTTGCCCTTGTGTCAATGTTGCTCCGTTGCGATGGTTTTGATCCCTACCGTTGTGATCGCAACATTCCCCTTGGCATCAACTTGGTCAATCTCAGCAAGATTCTCAAGTGTGCTCGCAATGACGACACCCTTACCCTTAAGGCTGATGATGGTGGTGATGTCTTGAGCATGGTTTTTGAGAGCAAGGGTAAATATATACATGCATACATATTTGGCTGGATAAATTTACACGAATTATCATTATCGCTGATGGGAAAGAAAAAAGGAAGCTTACATTGACAAAATTCATATATTATTATTACTTATATAGATAGCGAGAAAATCAGTGAATACGATCTTAGATTGATGGATATTGACAGTGAGCACCTCGGTATTCCCGAGACTACCTACGATGCCGTTGTCCACATGTCATCTGCCAAGTTCTCCGAAATCTGTCGTGAAATGCAGGTTCTTAGTGATTCAGGTACACACAATACACAATACACAATAAGTGCTTTAAAGTATTATTATTATGCTGTACTATATTAGATATGCATTTACAACTGGGTTAACTAATGTCTCTATATATTGTAAATTGTAGTTACTGTTGAGTGCACTAAGGAAGGCATCAAGTTCTCTGGTGATGGTGAGGTTGGTAAGGGTGGTATTACCCTTAAGGCCAGCAGCTCTGTCGATAGTGTAAGTTGTGGGATTCATTTCTTCATTTCTTCATCTTGTATATTTTCAATTATGTGATGATATATTATATTATCTTGCGTGAAGAAAAAGGAATATCTTGTTTGAGCAACTGTGTGATTGTGTGGGATGTTTAGGTGATAATGGATATTTGCTTATTCTTTCCTTTATCTGGTTCTGTCATTTAGGATGATGATTCTACTGTCATTGAACTCCAGCAGACTGTCTGCATGACATTTGCCCTCAAATATCTTGTCAACTTCACAAAGGCAACCCCACTTTCTCCCCGTGTCAGCCTCAACTTGTCTGCTGAGGTTCCTCTTTTGGTTGAGTACAAGCTTGATAACCTTGGCCACGTTAGATACTACTTGGTAAGATTAAATAATAATAACTAACTGTATATATAATGTGTATAAATTCATATCACTCATAATTATAATATCTTATTATATTTTGTTTACAGGCACCCAAGATCGGTGAGGATAACTAAAAAAAAAAGATGATATATATATAATATGCCATTATTTTGTTCCTCTCCATCTTCTTCTTTCTCGCTTTTGTGTACGTATTTCATCGCAGTCTATGGCACCTCTATTTTTTTACAGCTTGTTATTTCTCTCAAATCCCTTAACCCTTTTTTTGCTTTTTTTTTATAAAAAAAATATGTCATTTTTTCTACTTTATTCTTCCTTTTTTATACTATTCTTCCATCAATCTCATTATTGCGCTATAATAAAGTTGTGTTCTTCTAGCACTCAATTCTCATTTAATTCTTTCATACTACAATTCAATTCAATTTTGAAACAAAAGATTGAAGATATACATATAAAAAATAAATCCCCTCTGCTTCACCTCACTTCAGATTGAAACATTTTAATTTTAAAGTCTTATAAGCAGTCACATATTCATCTGAAGTACCCATTTATGGGTATACAGACATACATGTATATATAATAAAAAAAATATGTGAATCTCTCTCTCTTTAACACCCCCCCACTCTCCCACTCCCCACTCTCCCCTTCCCAAAAAAGGAACAATAAGCTTACAATGAGCGGGTTTGTCAACAGCCTGCTTTACAGCTTCACTAACATCCTGTCCATTGGACCTGAGCAACCTCGCGATGACGCTGTTGAAGAAGGCTCATGTGGAAAGACATCTGGATCATGCTGTCAATCCAACAATGACGATTCCACACAGACCTCGGGAGGATCCTGCTGCAAGTCTGGGCCATCCGCCGAAGGATCCTGCAAACCAGCCACCGTTGAAGAACCTGTCAAGAGCTGTCAAAGCAGCCCTGAGGGATGTGCTTGTGGATCCCAACAGCCTACTGAGATCGAGTCCCTCAAGATCTTCTATTCAGGTCTGACAGGCACTGCCAAGGGATTTGCCACACAATTGGAGGACCAAATCAAGGCTGTTTCTGAAGCTGTCAAGGTTAAGCAAATCCAGGTGTTGGATATTACCGATTATGACAACGAGGATTTGTTGACAGAAACCTCTGTTTGTGTATTTGTTCTTTCTTCTTACAATATCGAAGGACCTTTGGACTGGTAAGTTTTGCAAAAGTAAATAATAATAGATAAAGAAAAAAGGAAAAAGAAAAAAGGAACTAATCAAATGTTTTACTATGATCACTATTATTGATGATATTGTTATTTCATAACAATATAAATTAGGTTTACTAAATGGTTACGTGATATTCGTTATGATTTCCGTGTGGACCGTATTGCATTAAACAAACTGCGTTATGCTGTGTGTGGTCTTGGGGACTCTGCCTATGGTGATGAATTCAATGTTGCTTCCCAAGACATTGACAAGTGGCTTGGTCAATTGGGCGCTACTCGCATTTACCCTCTTGGTGCATGCGATAAGAATGCTGACCAAAAGACCCAGTTTGAGACATGGGCCCACCAGTTCGTTTCCGAACTTCAGGACAGCCATTCTCTCGAATACGCTCCTACAAACATTGAATATGATTCCGAAGGGGAGGAAGCCGAAGAAGCCGAGGGCGAGGATGGCAGTCCCGGATCCGGAGATGAGATGGTTGATTTGGAAGATATGGGTAATATGGCTGCTAAGCTCAAGGCTGCCAAGCAAGACCGTGCTGATGAAGAGGAGGCATCCAAAGACCTCAATGTCAAGGCTCGCCCCAAACGTCAGATTGGCGATCCTGCCAAGGTTCGCAGCAGAGCTCTCAATGACCAGCCCAAGGAAGTGCGCGAGATGGTTTCTCCTATGCTTCACAAGAGTTTGACCAAGCAGGGCTACAAGATTGTCGGCTCCCACTCGGGTGTAAAGATCTGCAGATGGACCAAATCTGCTCTCCGTGGTCGTGGCTTCTGCTACAAGCACGCCTTTTACGGTATCCAGAGTCATCTTTGCATGGAGACCACACCTTCTTTGGCATGTGCTAACAAGTGCGTATTCTGCTGGCGTCATCACACCAACCCCGTCGGTACCGTCTGGCGTTGGAAGGTGGATGATCCCAAGTTTATTTTGGATGGTGCAATGGAAAACCACTACAAGATGATCAAACAGCTTAAGGGTGTTCCAGGTGTCAAGGCCGAAAGATTCCAGGAAGCCAAGACCATTCGTCACTGTGCCCTGTCCTTAGTCGGTGAACCCATCTTCTATCCTCATATCAATGAATTCGTGACCATGCTTCATGAACGTAACATTTCTTCGTTCCTTGTCACCAATGCACAGTTCCCCGAAGCAATCACAAATATGGTTCCTATCACTCAGCTCTATGTGAGTGTCGATGCAGGTACCAAAGAAAGTCTAAAGAAGATCGACCGCCCTCTCTTTAGAGATTTCTGGGAGCGTTTCTTGGGTAGTCTGGAATCATTGGCTGAAAAGGGACAGCGTACAGTCTATCGCCTCACACTCGTCAAGGATCACAACACAGAAGAAATTGATAACTATGTGGATCTTATTCGTCGTGGAAAGCCTTCGTTTATTGAAGTCAAGGGTGTAACATATTGTGGATACAGTGGAGCCAGTAATCTTACCATGGCCAATGTAAGTTTTTTTTTTTTTTTACAAATATTTAATGATTTTGCTGAATAACATTTATTTCTTTTTTGTTGTTGATGTATGGTGTATGATGTATGTATTTAGGTACCATACCATGTTGAAGTTGTTGATTTCTGTAAAAAGGTTATTGCAAAACTTGGTTCAGGATATGAGATTTCTTGTGAACATGCTCACTCGTGCTCTATTCTGATTGCCTCGACCGACTTTAAGGTGAATGGTGAATGGCATACCCACATTGATTATGAGAGATTCTTTGCTCTGGTCAAGAGCGGGCAGCCTTTCACTAGTTTGGATTACATGGCAAAGACCCCAGATTGGGCCATCTTTGGTACTGACGAAGCTGGTTTTGACCCAGAAGAAACTCGATTCTATCGTAAAAACCGAAAAGAAGTTGTTCCCCCTGTTCTTTAAACGCAATTCAATACCAATAAATATCATAATAATCATTTGAAGCCAAATTTATCTATCAATTATAGAGACAGAAAGAGAGACTATGTGTGTTTATTTTAATATTATAAGAATCAGAATGTAATATAGTGCAAATCAAGTTAAGTAATTTTCTTTTAGAAAACATTTCAGTATTCAAATTCAAAACTCTGCCATTTTTTCAAAATATTAAAAAAAAAACGAATTAGTCAAAACCAAAACCAAAACAAAAACGAGCAAACTTAGGGAGAGAACTGTTGCTACCAAAAGATCTTTTTTCTATAAAAATATTACCATCATCATTTTATGTTCTTTCTCTCTAAAGTTTAAAATTTGATAAAATAACTTTATTTTTCTGTAAGTAGAATCACCGATGCAACATTTACTGTATATTTCAATGAAATGCCAAGTCATTGTTGTTGTAGAATTTAAATTACCTTTGTCAATTAATCGAGCTTGCTCATAAGAAATTTGACATTGGTCTCGCGTAAACTGGAGGTGTAGTTAGACTGCTTTCTTTGGCTATATCCTTAACAGAAGCCCCGATATTTAATTTATACTGCATAGCATTGGATAGGTGGCTTGTCGGTGTCATTTACATCTTCGACAGAAGGATAAAAGTCAGTCTCTTCAGTGGTTTTCATTTGCCAATTTATTTCATTTTTATTCATATATGGCTACCATTAGTATCTAAAGTACTTACAAAGAGAAAGATTAAGAGAGTATATTTCGTTTTGCACCATAATCCCCAAACATTCGATAGCAATCAATCGTATTTTCTTTAAAAATCACCTTGATACCTTCAACTATTGCTACAACTCCATTTCAATAAAACTCAATCTTGAATTCAAAATTATGCCACCTACTGCATTGTGATAATTCAGATAATATACATTTATACTTTTTGCTTTTTGCTTTCTTTTTTTTGCTTTTTTACTTATTACTTTATATCACTTTGAAATAATTTTGGGTCTCTTTTGTGTCTACTTGTACAAGCAAAAGAAAAACAAATATCTTTGTACACTTGAATAAAAAGCGCACAGACCAGTTTAGAGTAACCTACGAATCGCCGTTATAGAAACTTGTACTCCACTTTAAGAATTATTGCTATACCGATTAAAACTAAACCATTCGTTACTCTTTTTACTTCTTTACTTCTTTGCTTCACTTTACTTTGCAAAGATATTTTGCACAAATGTTTTAGTTAAATTTTATAAGCTTCTACTACTGTCATAGAATAGTTACACAATCCTACTAAAAAAGAGTATACAGCTATGTCACTGCTCTGACGTGGGAGGCAAAAAACACCCCTGGCAAAAAAAAGCGCAGTCCCAAACTTTAGTCGCAGACTGCGGGTATATCAAAATAAAGCCCATTCAACCGACACGGTTTTCTTCTCTTTAGCTTTTTTTATACTCTGGAGACGGGTACCCCCTGATTGCCTGTAGTTGAGTTTGACGCGCTACCTATGGGTCGATTGGGAGACATTCTTTTTCCATTCTGTGCAGGAAAAAGCGGAAGTGCGTCGTCTCTAGCTTCTTGGTTAATTCTTAGAGGCGCAGATCAACATTGTTCTGAATTGTGAATTTAATTGTATAATTTCTGAAACAATGGCGACGAGCAATGTTTAAAAAAAGCTGCCGCCGAGTTAGCATCATGAAAGTTTATTGAGTGGAGGACGGGGAGGAAGTGGAGTTTACTGCCGACTCTTCATGAAATCCTTGTTCGAAGCTCTCTGGAACTGACGGTGTTGCTTGGTAGTCGAACACGCTGGACCCTGCTACTTTGTGGTAGGTTTCTCTGGTACGTTCGCAGGCCCTTCTCAGTGATGAGATAGGGTAGTTGGGATGAACCCGGTTGTTGTCTTACGCCACGGATTAACACCATTCCCACACCTCCTTCGCTACCAAGTCAGGTTTACGTCCTGAGGGAGATTGAGCCGCGTAATGCGGGGACAAAGAACTTGGTGTCATGCTTTTTATTTTTTTACATTAGTAAAAAAACATTAAGTGAAATCATATAAAATAAAATAGCTTCTTTATGTATATCCTTAATAAATAAATAAAATATTTTTTAAACTGTTGTTGACTAATAAAAAAATACGCGTTCAAACTTTTTTTTTACTTGATTGAAGAGGTTAATGTTGTAATTAGGAAGTCTCATTAATAAGAAAAATTAATCTAGTTAAATAAATCTGAAGATTAATATAAAATAATATAATATGGGTATTCTTATCGTTGTGTTGATTACCGTGTTTGATTTTATGGGTCGTTTTTATCTATAAAGTTCATTAAGAAAACTCAAAATAATTTTTGAGAATAGCAATGGCGTGAAACTTATAACTGAATTTGGCTAATCTGCATGGAGATTGTAAAGGAGATGCATTGGAATGAGAGAGATGGAAAGGTATAAAAAATGCGTGTCTGAAAGAAAGACAGAAAAGTCGTGGCGAGGTGTATACACAAGTAAACGTGCTCATTGTATTTACACAGACTGTGCACAAAAAAATCGATTTGGGTGTATTTAAGAAGTAAGCATCATTACCTACAAGTCTTTTTATATTACAGGCTTTAAAGATAATTTGACAGACATAAAGTATAAAGTACCAATATGTAGATGTCATAAAATAGCCACGTTTTCATATTGGATTGCATAGAGCAGAGTAGAGTGTTGGTATATACCGGTTATTACAGCTGATTCATTGATATTGTTGATTTGTATGCTGGTTTTTTTGTTTTGTTTAGGTCCTGGTGCTCAAAAGATACTCTGCTTTTGCTATTTTAATATTTTTAATTTTCTTTAAACGTCCACCAGAATTTATCTACTTTCTTACCTAATTTTAAAGAGATTGAGAAAGATATTTTCTATCAAGAAAGGAAAACTACTAATCTTGATTGATAGATAAAACTCCCTGTGAATCTTGTTATATTCGAACTATCTGACAAAAGTCATTTCTGATAGTGTTTCAACCTGTTTAAAAATCCTCTAATTTCGGTAATAATTCCTGAAAATCGCACTATATATCATCATTATACACACTATTAAAAAGAAAAAAAGATACTCTGCACATGGCTTACATTTGGTCTCTATACTTTAAAAGCAAGTTCATTAATTGCTCTTACACAGATAAATCCCAATGTAATTATGTTTCCAATTAAGATGAACAATAAAGACAAGTAAAAACTTAACTATTGATTGAATCTCTGACTCTCGCACATATTGTAGTCAATGGTAATTGTGCACCCAATTGAAATAAACAGCAGAGAAGTAGCTAAATTAGGGATAAAATGGCACACCATATAGCAATTGAATCTACACAAGAGAACTTTTGGCTATCACGACGGTTATGTAAATTTGAAATGTTTTAGTATTTTTAGACAAACGGGTAGTGCAAATAGGTAGTGAATAATTAAATTGGTAACAGTTTGTGGCCTTGGTATTTCTAATTTCTATATCCCACTCTTCATTAAAATAATAATAATTTTTTTTGGGGGAGGGGTATTCAGTTGACGGATATTGAATTAACCGTCACAGATCATTCTTCCGGATCTAAAACAAGAGAAGTTCTGCATAGTGCAGTGTACCTTGATTAAGATTTGATGCATTTATGTCAAGTTGCAAAGGCCTTTCCTCATAATTATTATATATAAATATATACATACATTTATCCAAGCATTATGGTTCCTTTCCATACTTTTATTTTATAAATATAAAGTCTATTTTTTATTGTATTGTATTGTATTGTATTGTATTTTATTTTATATTATAAATGTAAGTAAATGTGTATGTTAAAGGTCGTTAATGGTGTGCAAAAAAGAAAGAAAGAAGAGGTAATAAAACTAGTGAGTAATTGTTTGAATCAATCAGCCAATCTATAGTTAAATAATAATGATAATGATAAGAATGGAATATACAGGAAAAGATATAAGAAACTTTTCGACCTCTTTTTTTGTTGTTGTTTGTTTTGTGTGTGTATCAAATCTTAGAGACCCATGCTGAATACAGTCAGAGGCTTTCTGGGCAAGACCATCATGATGCCATCAACAATAAGGTAACGAGTGGCAAACATGGCAACAAATGCGGTGCTGTAGAGTGCCACGCGATACATTGGACCAAGTTTCAATAAAACTTTTACTGTATACACAAGTAAATAAATAAAGAAGAATTGGTTAATTTGGTATTTTGTGTATATATATATAGATTGGAATAATATACTTACATGGAGGAGGAGTGAATAGATAGTTGAGGTTGAGTCCAGATCTGAGTGCACAAAAGTGGAGGAGAGGAGAGTGGAAGAATCCGTAGATTGAGAATGAGAGCAAGGCCATGCTGGGTGTACTAGGCAACACAAGATAACGACCACTGTAGATCATGTAGAAAGGTGCGACCAAAATAAGAATATGTTCGGCAAAAAAGTTAAATGTTTCTCCAACAAGCTTGTGGTCTCTCAGGTCAGGGAACATGAGTGCAGCAAGACCTCCCCATTGGGTGTGGAGGTAGACGTTGAATAGCAGCTGAGGAATAGCGGATCGTTTGTCGGGCCAGGCCATGACAAGGATCAGAAGGAGGGCACTGACATGGCAAGGCTGGAGCATAAAGAGCACATTCTTGCGCTTGATTTTGTGGGACAGGGTCAGACCCAGAGAGGCAACAAGAGAAGTAAGTAAGAGCTTTTCTGTCAAGGTAGCTGGACCAAGAGGCACAAAGGTGGCCAGAAGGGTCTGGATCCAAGTACCCGAACGAAGGATGGTGCGTTCGAGGAAATAGAATGAGGAGCAAGCAAAGGCTGTTGAGAGGCAGAGGATTTCGATAGCATGTTGACGAGGAGGAATGTACCTTTTTTTTTTTTTGTAAAAATAATAATTTTGGGTTAGAATTGAAGCCCAATAAAAAAAAAAGTAAAATAAGAATAACAAAAAAAAATTTGATAAATTAAATAGTAAATAAATAAATAAAATTGTAAATTACCAGGATCCTTTTGTGGATTGGGTCCAGTCAGTATCAAGAGGTAGTTCTCCTGCTACCCAGCGAACCCATCTTTCAACAGTGTTGATAACTGGGTCGCATGTGTTGCGAAGTATGCTGATGATGGCCATTGAATGAATAATATAAATAATAGATAAGATATACTTCCTTTTATCTATCTAACTATCTAATTATCTATTTCTGTAGGTGAATATAGATAGATAGATATTGACAGGAAGGAGAAAGCAGAAAGAAGGAAAGGAAAGAAGAAAAAGAGAGAGATTTGTTCACATCAATCAAGGTACAATTTCACTTTCTCTCGCTCTATCATTTGTAAAGAATGAAACTTGTGACTTTCAAATAAGAAACATATGTTGAGAATAGAGTATTTTGATTGGACATAATTATTTCCCCGATTTGCTGGATTTTTATTTTTGGATGTGTAAAAAGTAAGAATATGTTAAAAGTAAAAATGGTTGCTTGTCAATTCAAGTGAATCGAATTAAATGTATATATAAAGATGATCGAAATTAATCCATAGAATACAAGAATCAAATGAACCGAATATTGGGATATAAATCCACCACTGATTATTATTAAATTACAATTTACAAAATATGTTATTCTTTTATTGTAATGATAATGATAAAGACAGGTTGTACTAGACCTTTATTTCAATTCAACCTTTTCTTACAAGATAATAATAAATACAATTTGGGCAAAATTTACATCAAGTATAAAGTAGGTATAGAATCAAAAAAAAATTGGTTCTTTAATCATTTGAAATCAATATGGGAAAATGGTCTGTACATGGATATTAAACTAACATAATATAAAAAAAATTGAAATAAAGTGACAATCATGTTGAGTGGATCAAAAGATTTTTTTTTAAAAAAAAAATTGTATAAATGATATATATATGTGGTGTTGAATTGATTATTATTCTTGAAAATAAACAAAGCAAAAAAAAAATTCAAAATTGTATTATCATCTTATAGAATATATCTCTTTATCTCTCTCTTCTCCAATCACATTTACTCTTTTTAAAGCTTCAGTTCAAAATATATAAAAGTTTATATATATATATATATATATATGCATTTTTTTTGTTTTGTTTTTGAATGGGAATTATTTTTTGATTTTTTGGTTTGCTTTTGATTTTTCTCTGTTTTGGTGTTTACTTGGAGGAGGTGTACTTGGTGACGGCCTTGGTACCCTCAGAGACGGCGTGCTTGGCCAACTCTCCGGGGAGGATGAGACGGACGGCGGTCTGGATCTCGCGGGAGGAGATGGTGGAACGCTTGTTGTAGGAGGCGAGCTTGGAGGCTTCGGTGGCAATGCGCTCAAAGATATCGTTGACAAAGGAGTTCAAGATGGACATGGCCTTGTTGGAGATACCGGTATCGGGGTGGACCTGCTTGAGGACCTTGTAGACGTAGGAGGAGTAGGTCTCCTTGCGGGTGACTCTCTTCTTCTTTCCATCGGCCTTGACCTTCTTCTCAACAACCTTGGCGGGGGCCTTTCCGGCAACGGGCTTATCAGTCTTGGGGGCCATTTTTATGATATATGATTATTTTTATAAAAAAAAATAAAAAAATGTGAATGTAAAGTTTTCTGGTGAAAGAGAAAAAAAAGGAAGTGAAATTCTTGGCGACGCCCCTGTCTCTTTATATACCAGACACGCACATACAATATAATTTTTATTATAATATATTCTACACTCACACACACACAAACACACACACACACATTTCTTACAGACACACACTTTCATCACCCTCACTGCTTCACTCCCTCTTTTTTTTTTTTTTTACTAAATTTAACAAAAAAATTGTGACCGTACATTTGCTATTTTTTTCTCTTTTTTTTTTTCTCTTCTATCTGAGTTTATTTTTATTAGACTGTGGTTAAGTTATATTGTGGCGCGACAAAAGGATAAAAAAAAAAGCAAAAAAAAATATTATGTATATAATAAACATAATACTAAAAATATGATAATCCCATTGACGTGTTAACACGAAAGTAACACGTTTTCACGCCGAATGAGACCAAACTGCATCAATTATATTATAACCAGTTTTTTTTGTTTGTAAAAAAAAAAAATTATAATAATAATGATAATTCATATAGAAGAAATCCATTAAATTTTTTTTGAGCGAAAAAAAAAAATAAAAAATAAAAAAAAAGCAGAGACGAATTCGCGTTTTTTTTTTTTTTTTTTTTGGTTTTTTTTTTCTTGATTTTTTTTTTATTATTATTTTTAGTGTACAGCTAAAATGAAAGTTAAGGGTCGGGGTCTTAAAAGAATACCTTGAATGCATGTATATATTTTTTTATTATATCCCAAACCTATAAAACCCACCTATTCAATTCTGATCCGTCGCCCGGATTTTTTTTGCTTCTACTCTCTCTCTCTCTTTAAACTTTTTTTTATATAATATAATATCAAATATGTCTGGAGGAAAATCTGGAGGAAAATCTGCTGCTGGTGCCAAGTCCCAGACCCGTTCTGCTAAGGCTGGTCTCCAGTTCCCCGTCGGTCGTATCCACCGTCTCTTGCGTCGTGGAAACTACGCCCAGCGTGTTGGTGCCGGTGCTCCCGTCTACCTCGCTGCTGTCCTCGAGTACCTCGCTGCCGAAATCCTCGAGTTGGCCGGTAACGCTGCCCGCGACAACAAGAAGTCTCGTATCATCCCCCGTCACTTGCAGTTGGCCATCCGTAACGATGAGGAATTGAACAAGTTGCTCGGTCACGTCACCATTGCCCAGGGTGGTGTCCTCCCCAACATCCACGCCACCTTGTTGCCCACCAAGACCAAGAAGGCCGGTGCTTCCCAGGAAGTTTAAATATGTTTTTATATATATATATCTAACGACAGAAAAGGGATTTTAAAAAAAGGAGTGGAAAGAAAGAAGAAAGAAAGAAAGAAAGAAAAGAAAGAATACGAAATATCACGGAAACGAATATACGAAAACAAAAATAATAATAATAATAATATCAAAAAAAAAAAACCACATACAAAACAAATTTGTTTTTCATTACCCCCCCCCCCCCCCCCCCTTCAAGGATAAGAAAAAAAAAGGAACAAATCCATCTTTTTTTTTTTTTAATGTTTATATATATACAATTTTTATATAATTTTTATAATTGTTTATTTTTTCAGTGTCGAATTTTTGTTTATTTATTTTTTTAATTTTTGTTACTATTATTTCTCTTAATGCTTTATATATATATATATATATATATATATAATACAAGTATTCAATTGACACAAGAATATGAAGAGGAAGAGGAAGAAGAAAAGCGACATTTTATCATCATCATCATTAATATTTTATTCAATCATAAAAACTCAAAATTCAATTAATCAACTATATCTATGTTTTTGTCTCTTTGAATATTCAAAATTTATCAGTAGAAACTTTTTGTCATAAAAAAGTATATATATATATATATATATATATTGAGATTGTATTTTGTCCATAAACAGTATCTGCATATTTAGTGTAGATAACAATTATGTTTTATGTATTTTTTATTTTATTTTATTGGATAAAGAGGTAGTAGTTTATAGGTAATTCATTGATCGTGTCCGAAGAATTTATAAAAATAATAATAAAAATCTAAATTCAATTTCATTTGACAAGTAATTAGATAGATAAATAAATAAATATCCATATTTTTATGTGTTTAAATATATTGACCAATAGGAAACGAGTTTCCGAGTTAGTGATACAAGAAATTAGTCTCACTCTGTTGTGTAAAACCAAAACAGCAAGATTTGTGATCGACTTGCCAAATGTGGCTAATTATCTTTTTGTTTATTTGTTTTTTTTTAGTTTAATTTTTTTTATATATACACACACATATGCGTTTATAAAAAAAAAAAAGCTCAAGTTTTACAAAACACAAGCACAAACACAAAAAGATTTCTTTAAAAACAAAAAAACAAGGTTTAAATATGTCGGTGTTTTAAATGTTGTGCATGGTTATTATTATTTTTTAACATTTTATCATTGAATAGATATATAAAATATATATATATATAAAAACAAGCAAATGATATTAATAGTAAAAACTGTACATATATTTTTAATATTTTATATACAAAATTTTCTCTAAAAAAAAATTTATAACAAAAAGAAAACAAAAAGGTATTGGGCGCGTAACAGATTATATACAATATATACATAATTTGTTATTTTCTTATTCTTTGTTTCATTTTTTTTAATGAATGATATGTATTTGGATGATGAGGATTTGTTGCAAGGTAACAACATAATAGTAGTAATAGTAGTAGTAGTAGTATAGTATTTGAGTGCGAGTGCGAGTGTGAGTGTAAGTGTGAGTGAGTGTTTTGTAGGTGTAAGTGTGAGTGCGAGTAAATAAGTAAGAGTTAAGAGAAAATATGTGTATATGTATATATATATATAAAATGATTCAAGATAGAAGAGAAAAGAAGTGTAAATAATAATGATAATAAAATATTTTATGTGTGTATATTATATATATATATGTATAAATGTATTCTTCTTTTTCTTCTTCTTCAATTTTTTCTTCTTCTTTCCTTAAGAACGTTCACCACGGAGACGACGGGCCAACTGGATATCCTTGGGCTGGATGGTGACGCGCTTGGCATGGATGGCAGCCAAGTTGGTGTCTTCGAAGAGAGAGACGAGGTAGGCCTCGGAAGCCTCCTGAAGGGCACCGATGGCAGAGGACTGGAAACGCAAGTCGGTCTTGAAGTCCTGGGCAATTTCACGGACGAGACGCTGGAAAGGCAACTTGCGGATCAAGAGCTCGGTAGACTTCTGGTAACGACGGATCTCACGGAGAGCAACGGTACCGGGTCTGTAACGATGGGGCTTCTTGACACCACCGGTGGAGGGGGCAGACTTGCGGGCAGCCTTGGTGGCCAACTGCTTACGGGGGGCCTTGCCACCAGTAGACTTGCGAGCGGTTTGCTTAGTACGGGCCATTGTAGATATTAACTTTTTTTTTGATAAAGCAAAGAAAGAAGAAGAAGAAGAAAACGCAAGTTGAGTCGCAAAAGAGCTTCACTTTTATATCCAATTTTTTTTTGTGAGACACACCTATATAAATATGGTCAATTCTCCAAATATGGTAGGGACTTACTATGAAAATTTTATCATCAATTTTTTTTGTATCTTTTTCTTTTTCTCATTTCGTGTATGTGTGTGTGTATATGTGTGTGTATTGTTTTTTTTTATTTAAATTACAAAAAAAAAACACGCTGAGTTGGCGCGTATAGATTTTTTTTAAAAAAATTGTTACTGTAAATTTGAATATCACGAAATCCACACGAGACACGCTCAAGAAGAGAAAATACCATTATTCTGTTCAAAAATCCCTTTACAAAATCTTTACAAAATATGTACAAAGAATGTTCAGACACACACTTCTTTATGTATATACATATCTTTATACATTCGTGTGATTTTCTTTTGATCTGACTTGAACTCTATTCTACCATATCACTCATAGTATACTCAATCCAATCCAATTGATGTGAATTGATTCGATTCGATTCTATTCGATTCGATTTGAATTGAATTGAATTGAATTGAATTGAATTTATTGTATATATTGATTTATACTTTTATGACGATAACTTAATGTGGTAATTGTCATGGTCACATTAATAAATTCGAGTACCTCTTCTTCCTTTTTAGCCATTGTTACATTTTTATTTTTATTTTACAATTCTTTTACTACTTAAACATAATAGGCTGCTTAATATGCATATGCATCTATAAATCTATACATTTGTTGTTCTATAGTATAACCAGGAATATTTTGTGAACAATTCAATATCAAGTAAAACTAAAAAAAATGTAAGATTCAAATATTTCAGTAACCGCAAACACGGTTGTTGCTCTTTAATACAGATTTATCAGTACCGCGGTTTTCTATACCACCTTTTTTTTTTCTCTGTAAAAATAAAATAAAAAATTATATGTTGATATTCGTATTCATATCAAATATTCGACAAAATGTATACAAAAAATCGCGTTTAAAAAAATAATTTTTCTTAAAAAATTTTTTTACAAAAAAAAAAGTATCAAAAGTGTATACAGAAAAAAAAAATCAAATACATATATATTTTTTTTTGGGTCTGTGTATGTGGTGTGTATTTTTTTTGTAGTTATTTTTTTTTCGTAGTGTGACGGCCACAAAAGTATACAAAAAAAAAGCTTGAATATGTGCAAGTCTATTTTTTTTTTCTTTCTTAAACTATAAAAGCAAGTCTTAATTTGCTCTTCTTTACAAATCTTCCTTTCTTTTTTTTTTTTACAAAAAACTTTTTTTTTATATACTCATCATGACTGGCCGCGGAAAAGGAGGAAAGGGACTCGGAAAGGGAGGAGCCAAGCGTCACAGAAAGATTCTTCGTGATAACATCCAAGGCATCACTAAGCCCGCAATCCGTCGTCTCGCACGTCGTGGTGGTGTCAAGCGTATCTCTGGTCTCATCTACGAAGAGACCCGTGGTGTCCTCAAGGTCTTCCTCGAGAACGTTATCCGTGATGCCGTCACTTACACCGAGCACGCCAAGAGAAAGACTGTTACCTCCCTCGATGTCGTCTACGCTTTGAAGAGACAGGGTCGCACTCTCTACGGTTTCGGAGGTTAAGCAACTACCAACACCTAACCGACCAATCAACCAACCAACCAACCAACCAACATCTATCATCAACGCCACCACACTCGCAACCACAACCACCAGTAAAGAAAGAGAAAGAAAGAAGGATATATATATATATATATATATTATATATTTGTTCAATAATCACAATAATTTTAAACTGCATCTTTACAAAAAAACCACATCCATTTTTTTTTGTTTTTTTTTTTTTAAAAAAAATCTTTGGAAAAATGAAACCATAAAAAAAATATTATCATCTTTAATATCCCTTTTTCTTTCTCTTTTCTTTCAATCCTATAAACAATTAACGCATATTTACGATCACATTATTTCTCGCTCGCTCTCTTTGCCACAACTTTTACATACAAATTTCGCACTTTTTTTATGCTTTATTTTTTATAAAAAAAAAGAAAATCTGAATTCAATAATTTATATATATATAAAATGAAGTGTGTATTTTATTATTAATTTGTATAGATATCTATCTATATTTATATTTATAGCTTTGGTTGCTTTAGCTTGATGTCATTCTACTAAAAGAGAGAAGTACCATAATAAGAATTGAATTGAGTTTATAAAGAAAGAAAATAGCCATTAAATGAGATGTATATGTATGCGCGTATGGGATAACGATTTCCCTTGTAGATAATTAAATTAATTAATAGCAGCAATATAAAAAAAAGGGAATTTTTTTTTAAAGGAGACAAGATATATATATATATATATCAAAAGGAAGAGCAAGAGCAAGTCCAAGACCAAGAGCAAGGGGAGGGGGGTTAGGTTTGGGGGGGTTAAAAATAAATAAATAAATAAATATATAAGAAAAAAGGGATTTAATATAATTTATTTATATGTATATATAAATAATAATTATTAATAATGATAATGGCAATTGTAATGGTAATGGTAATGGTAATGGTAATGATAATGATAATCTAAAGGCAGTAAAAAACAAATTCATCTTGTTTCAGTCCCTCCCCTCCTTTCTCTCTTTATCCACCTCTTTTCTTTTGTGTACCAATCCCATTCACTTATACAACCCCCTCCCCTTCCTCCCTCCCTTTCTCTTCTGAATAGGAACAGGAATAGGTCCATCTAGATGTACATCTAAACCAACACACAAACACCTTGCACTTCAATATACATATACATAGCTGATATTTATAATTTAATTAATATTACCATCCTATCAACCACTTAATTCACTTGGTAGTCAGCATCCGCCCCCCCAAAGAACAAGAAAACAAAAACAAAAAACAATAAGCTTATTATTTATTTATTTATTTATTTATTTATTTATATTTATTTCTTTTACATATTTTATTTTTTATTTTTTATATTTTATATTTTATTTTATTTTATTTTATTTCGCTGGTGTCCATGACAGACTTTCTGTCGTTAGACGACGAATCCCGTCCTCCGGGTCATGACAATCCCATTGACTTTTACCACAAAGCACTCCAGGCACAGAATTCAAGATGGAGAATCTTCTTTCCTTTGCCAATCACATCCCAAAGTGTACGAACAGCAAACGAATGGCTCGATCTCCATCCAGGTAGATCTGTCACTGCACGCGGAATCCACCTGCCATTATTCTTTTTACAAACCCCAAGCACATCAAACACCTTACTCAACCAACATCCATCCCGCACATTCTCTGCACCAACCCGTCTATTGACCGAGTCTCGCCAAAAGGCACATGTTGTCTGTACCACTACAACTGCCACCATAACTGCCACTGATAATGCTACTAATACTCCCACTACTGATCCACACCATCAAAACTCGGACCAAAAAAAGGAAGAAACCGTAAAAGATTTGAAACTAGAAACCAAATTGGTATCAAAAACAGAAATGGAAACACCTATACAATTGGACAATAACAAGGTTAATAACAAGGTTAATAACTCGGACAATAACAAGGACAATGTCAAATCTAATACCAAGGACAATAACAACGCCAAGGGCAAGGTCAATAACAAGGACAAGGACAAGGACAAGGCTAAGGATGAGGAGAATGAAACGGAAACGGAAACCCAAAAGGGTCTGCAGTCCTCTGAGCAGGTCGTGCAGTCCTTGCCCTGTATTCAGCTGACCAGACATCAGGACCTGCAGAAACCCTTGGATACACAGCCAGTACAAAAGCCAGCCCATCTCTTAGCCCATCTGCCTGCAGTGCAACAATCCGCACCAATAAAGATCAGTAAAGTGCACCACATTGTTGTGGAAGAGGAAACAGATACGATGCCACAAAAACCCGAATTGGCTGGCCAAGCAGACCCAGAAGAATCTCAATCCACTGAATTAGAAACAGCGCAGGCTGTTCAAACACACAAGGCGCGTGGGTCAACTACAACACAAGAAGATGAGGAAAAATCAACCCCAAAACCACAATTACAACAGCTAAAGAAGCAGCACCAGCACCAGCAGCAGCAGCAGCAGATAGAGCAGCAGGAACAAACACAAACACAAACAAAAACAAAAACACAGGCACAAACACAACAAAAATTAAAACAAAAACAAGACATTCAAAAATCACCCCTTTGTCTACCTGCTCTTTCCCTCGACCACTCTCATTCTTTATCACAGCCAACTCTTGACTCCCTACCGACTCTTTCATTTGACCGACTGGAACAAAAGCACGCAACCCTCAATCCTGTTAACCTTCAACCCATCACCTCAATTGTTGCTACAACCACGACTACGACTACTACGACTACGCCTACGCCTACGCCTACGCCTACGCTTACATCCACATCCACATCCACATCAACGTCCACACCAGCACCTACACCTACATTGACACCAACATCTACATCCACCTCTACCTCTACATCAAAGTCTATTATTACACCTGAAATCACACACAAAAGTACACCTACACCTACACCTACTATCTCTGCAACCACTTTTACTTCTCCGTCTCCATCTCCCTCTATTTCTGCTTCTGCCGTTCTCGTTCCCGTTCCCGTTCCCGTTGCTGTTTCTGTTCCTGTTGCTGCTGATATAACTGTAGGCCATAATCTCAACTCAACAACCCAAACCATGATCACACCTGACAAGGATAAACCCGCACAGGATTTGGTGTCACCAACCTTAAATGAGCCTCTGACCAACACAACCATCAAGAGCAGTCCGACCGTTAATGAACTCAAGAGCGTAAAGAGTGACGCACAAAACCTGGTCACAGACGAGGCTGCGTTTGGTTCTGTTCAATTTGAACGGACCACGGCTCTGTCTGATCCTCTTTTCTGTTTAGCAGAAGAAGAAGAAGAAGAAGAAGAAGAAGAAGAAGAAGAAGAAGAAGGTGACGACAACGAAAAAGACGAAAAAGACGAAAAAGACGAAAACATAGGCACCGAAGAAAAAGACGACGATAAAGACGAAACAAACGAAGAAGAAGAAACAGAAGCTGATAATCAAATCAACGATAGTAACGATCTTCTCAACCAGGATATGCCTCCCTCTGTTGTCACAGCTGGACCTCTATTTAATCAAATGAGACGTCTTGACCATACATCTTTAGACCTCAAGAACAAAATCAAAAACAGAGTCAAGACCAGCACAACCCACAACCCAACCACCGATAGTAATATCAATAATAATAATACTAGTCATCATAATAGCAGCGGTCGTGGCCGTATTACCGTGGCCGGCTCAGATACCAGAGATACCAAAGATACCAAAGACTTTAGCAAACCCAGCCTTCTTTCTCCTGCCTCTACTGTCACGCCAGCAATTATTCCTGCCAACATCCGTTCTTCTCGCCCGTTACAAGTACAGACACATACACAGGCCAACAAGAGTCCCAATAGCACCCATCCTCCCGTACAGCGCCGGTCAAAGCTTCCCGTCCTTCGGTCCAGCTCAACGCCTACTCATACTCCACCAAAACACACGTCTTCTCTCAACGACCTTGATAACCTGCTCCTTCCAAAGCCCCCATTGACTCTGTCGACTAGCATCAGTATTAGTACCAGCACCCTCCCGGCCCGGCCGTCCACTCCAAGTAGCCGGATCGGACGAGACAAAGGAACGGGGAGAATTCCCGTTCGTGCCGAACCCCACACCACAACCACAACCACTAACAACAACACAAACACAAACATAAACACAAACACAAACACAAATAGCCACATGTTCACTACAAATACTACAATCGGTGGTGGTAATCCTAGTATTCGCAAGACAAGTGTCCGGTCATTGGCCAAGCTTCGTGGTGGCGAAGAGGCGGTGGCGACGGCAACGGTACCAGCAACATCTCCCCGGACATTGAAAAAGAAACGTACACCATCAGACGAAAATCTGCGTACGGTCGGTACTTTTAAATCAGACGGAAAAAAGCGAGAAGAGGTTGGAGAGGCAAATGTGCTGATGTCCAAGAATCCGACCCAAACTCTGCTGGGCCCGAAAGGGGAAGAGGAAGAGGAAGAAGAAAAGGCACCTGCTCCGATTTCGATGAAGGAAAAGCGTGAGCGACAGACAAAGCGGGAAGAACAGGTGAAGTTCTGGCGTGTGCGTGAAGAACGAGAGGCTAGAGAGACACGCCTGGCTGCACGACGTCGATTGATAAATGGTAGTGACACGAGGGAAGCAAGAGAGAGAGCTTCTGCTACTGCTGCTATTTCTGCTGCTGCTGCTGCTACTACTTCTGCTGCTGCTAGTAGTTGCGGTACAATAGAAAGAACTAGTGTTTCGAGACTTGGAATTAGAAAGTCTGTAAAATTCAACCTCAAGAAGAACAAGACAATTGAGATTGATCTCAAATAATTTACACAACCATAACCATAACAACAAGAAAGATGAAGAAGAAGAAACAACCCATTTTATATACACACACACATATATACATACTATACAATACAATACATACTTAATTTTCTTCTTCTTTTCGTCCTTTATTACACCTCTTCCTTCCAACCAATACAATTTACAAATACACCTTATTTACATATTACAAAATTAAAATTAAAAAACAAAACAAGAAAGATAACTCTCTATGAAGTATATAAATAACCACTTTAAAATGTTGATTATTTTAATTAAATTGTAATCTCATTTCATTTTATCTCACCTCATATTATTTCATATCAACTACTTTAACAAAACAATACGATTATCAACAAATCTGGTTTTTGTTCTGTATTGCTTGTCCTTCAACAATAACAGCAACAACAACAAAAGAAACCTTGACAACCATATTTTACACATTTTCATCATCATTAAAGAAACCAAAAAAAAAGAGTATTTTTTTAATAAAAAAAATTATATTATTATTATTATTATTTACAGTTTTCAAAAGTGAAAAAAAATATATATCGGGTAATTATTATTTCTTTGTGTATACATTGTGCAAGAGGTTGGGCAAAATCAACGTTATTTTTTGAATGCTTTTTTTTTGTATGTATGTATGTATATATGAGTGAGTGAGTGAGTGAGTGAGTGGTTCTGTTGTATGGAAAAAAAAAGGTGGTCAAGATCGTTGAACTTGTAGGGATAAAGAGGTTTGATGAAAAAGTCCAATCGTAATCGAATGATGAATATCGTGTGTAAAAAACAAAAATAAAAAATAAAGCAAAAAATGAAGCTTCTTCCATATTGTAGGAAAATCCATCATCATCATCATTATCATCATCATTATCATCATATTATTATTTTCTTTTTTTTCTTTTTTTCTTTTTCTTTAAACTTCCTGGGAAGCACCGGCCTTCTTGGTCTTGGTGGGCAACAAGGTGGCGTGGATGTTGGGGAGGACACCACCCTGGGCAATGGTGACGTGACCGAGCAACTTGTTCAATTCCTCATCGTTACGGATGGCCAACTGCAAGTGACGGGGGATGATACGAGACTTCTTGTTGTCGCGGGCAGCGTTACCGGCCAACTCGAGGATTTCGGCAGCGAGGTACTCGAGGACAGCAGCGAGGTAGACGGGAGCACCGGCACCAACACGCTGGGCGTAGTTTCCACGACGCAAGAGACGGTGGATACGACCGACGGGGAACTGGAGACCAGCCTTAGCAGAACGGGTCTGGGACTTGGCACCAGCAGCAGATTTTCCTCCAGATTTTCCTCCAGACATATTTGATATTTTATTATATAAAAAAAAAAAGTTACTTTTAAAGAAAAGAAAAGAGTTAAGAAAGAGAGAGCGAGAGGTTGCTTTTAAAGAAGTTTGAAAAGTTGAAGATTTGCTTGAATTTTACTATTTATTGTTCCTGAGAATTATCCGTCTAAAACAAGTCACAAAAATATCCAATTTTCTTTTTTTTTTTTTTTTTTTTTTTGATGAAAAAAAATAATAATAATAATTGAGGGTGCCTTTGGCGCGAGTTTCATTTCAAAAAAAAAAAAAAAACCAATTTTTTTTGTACAAAACTGACCCCCCCAAAAAAAAGACAATTAAAATTATACTCCGACAATATGCCACGTTATTTTTTTTTATTGTTTGCTGGTGTTGTAAAAAAAAATAAAACTAAAAAATTTGAAGAAAAAGTGGGGGGAGGAGGGGGAAGAAGTAAAATATGGATATTAATAATAATAATAATAATAATATATATGTATAGTATATATATTTTATTTTTTATTTTTTATATATAAAAATATTATTCAATAGATCGATAGAGAACCGTGCATTTACGTGTCAATACGTGTTAGTTTTATTATTACTATTATGTCAAAAGTACTCAAAAACACGTACAAAGATAATTATATATGAAAAAAAAATATAAAAAAAAAATAATAAAAAAAAAATTAAGATTTTGAGGCAGTCACACAGAATGGTTATTGCACCTACCACTACTACTAATATTATTATTATTATTGACACGCGTATAAGATTTGTGTAATTTAAGATTTTTATTTATATTATGATCAGCAAGCTAAAGTAACAAACAATAGAAAACATCAAAAAAGAAAGAAGAGTGAATTTAGTGATATAATTGAATAGAATAAAATTCATTTATTCAATCTAAATGGCTTCATTTTATTTTTAATACGTTAATTGAATAATAGTATCATTGGTGGCAGTAATAAATAAATAAATAAACAAACAAACAAACAAATAAGCAAAGCACAACAAAAATCCCAATATTCGGGTAAAATGATACTTTTGTGATGCCTTCCATTTAATGAATACGTGATTTATTTTTATTTTTTTATTTTTGACATTTGGCGTGAATTATTATCACAAAATATTGAGACATTCACTTGTTGATTCATGACACTTTTTTTCAATCATTTTAATTCACATTCTCTTCAATTGAACAAAAATTCACTATAGACGAAACCCAAATTTGATTAGCAAAAATAAAAAATAAATTAAAAAAAAAAGTGAATAATTAAATCTATAGTTAATTATGATTGGTCAATTTAGTTTTTTTTATTATTATTTATTATTGAATTAAGAGAGAGAAAAAAAAAGCAAGGGAAAGAATAGACGTATATTGGACATCGACATTTACAGTCACAATATTAAAGTGTGAAAAAAAAAATTAGGGGGGGTGAAGGGTGAAAAGGTAAGATTTTGATAGAAAAAAAAAATCATAAAAAAAAAAACTTGATTTAAATAAATATATATAAATTTCATTTCTTTTCACTTAGATTTCTTCTTTTTTTTTATAAAAATAATAAATCATATATCATAAAAATGGCCCCCAAGACTGATGCCCCCGCCTCTGCAAGCGCCCCCGCCAAGGTTGTTGAGAAGAAGGTCAAGGCCGATGGAAAGAAGAAGAGAGTCACCCGCAAGGAGACTTACTCCTCCTACGTCTACAAGGTCCTCAAGCAGGTCCACCCCGATACCGGTATCTCCAACAAGGCCATGTCCATCTTGAACTCCTTTGTCAACGATATCTTTGAGCGCATTGCCACCGAAGCCTCCAAGCTCGCCTCCTACAACAAGCGTTCCACCATCTCCTCCCGCGAGATCCAGACCGCCGTCCGTCTCATCCTCCCCGGAGAGTTGGCCAAGCACGCCGTCTCTGAGGGTACCAAGGCCGTCACCAAGTACACCTCCTCCAAGTAAAAATATATATATATATATACACAATAATTAATAATCATAAAAATATATATATCTATTTGTAAAGAAGCCCTTTTTTTTCTTTCTTTCTTTCTTTCTTTTGTTAAAGAGATAGAGAAATAATATATATATATATATATGTATGTATGATTTCATTTTTATCTATATTATTTTTTTATATTCATATTCACATACTACACTACACTCCCATCACACTTACACCACAACCTCACTGTACAGAAAAACACAAGGGCAATTATAAATTACCATTCATATGCCTTTCTCCATTTCACCCATATTTCAATCCATTTTTTTTAATATTATTATTTTGTTCATATTTAAGCATTATACTTTTCGTCTTGCAAATTTGTTATCCGTCTAAAAGCTTCGTGTACCAATTTATAAATGAAATTCCAAAAAAAAAGAGACCAATTTGATATGAATTATTATGTATATAAAAGTATAATTCAAAAAAAAAAGTAAATAGAAAGGGAGGAAAAGAGATAAAAGTACTCGTTTCAATATTGTTATTTTTGAGCAGTGAAGATTTAGAACCTTTGGATAACTTTATTTGTAACATGTAAATTATAAAAATACAAAAGAAAAAGAGGTACTCTTTTATTCCTTGTACCACTTTGCAAGATTCTACAATTGAGAGACCAGTGGCTAATAAACATACATATTTTGCCTTGTCCAAGATATTGTATTCACAAATATAAAGGTGTAATGTGGTGATCATAAAATTATATACAAATGCTATGTAATAAGACCATAGCATTATAGATTTCATCAAGATGATTCATGTAATAAATAATTCATATATACGAGGCAATTAAAATTGACAGCCTTCATTCATTCTTCTTTTAGAATATATGGTTTCTATGAATGGAGGGGTAAAATCTAAAAAATAAAATAAAAAAATAAAATTGCTAGGTTTAATTTCAAGCCATAGCAATAGCCATTATGGACACACTGAGACAACAATAGTTGCAAACCATACCATACTAATGACAACAGTATCAACATAAAGAAAATCCTTACAAGCTATCATCTCTCTATCTCAACAAAACACACACACATACACTTGAAAATATTTCTTTAAAGGATTATACATTTAAGAACAAGGCAGTTCTATAAAGTTTTTATTTTATTGAGATCAAATGGTTTGATATATACATATACATAGGTGTGTATATATATTTAAGCAATGAGCTCGACAACTACAAGAAAAAAAATGGAAACAAGCTTTAGTATAACCGCTCTTACTTTACATAATAGTATTTCACTTTTTTTTTTTTAAAAAAAAAAAAACAGAAAACTTACCACCACCAGCAGCCTTGATCTTCTCCTCAGCGCGACGGGATACGAAGCGGGTGCGGACAATGGCAGCCTGGGAGATGTCACCCTTGGCAAGGACCTTGCCGTAACCGTGCTGGAGAGCATCGATGACGGGAACCTTCTCGGTGTTCTTGTACTTCTCGCGGACACCCTCACCGGCCAAAGACCAGAGAGAATCGAGGTTGACAATAGGACGCCAGTACTGGTTCTGCTTCAAGTGGAAGTGACGCATACCGACCTTACCGAAGTAACCAGGATGGTACTTATCCATGTTGATACGATGGTGGTGCTGACCACCAGCAAGACCACGACCACCAGGATGCTTTCTGTGCTTGCCAACACGACCGTGACCGGCAGAGACGTGTCCACGCTTCTTTCTGTTGTGGTGGAGTCTAGTAGGCTATTATTATGAAGAATAGCATCATAATTGTTGTTGTTGTTGTTGTTGATGGATTGTAATTGATGGTAATGGTAGATTATTGATGATGATAATATTGATGTTGTTGTGGTGGTGGTAATAATAATATTATCAAAGGTTTTCAAAATAGAATATATACAAAAAAATTTAAAGATGGATAAATAGATTAGATTTAAATTTCTCATGTCATTATGATTTTAATAAAGACCATGTAAAAAAAATTAATTAAGGAACATTTTCTTATTATTCTCGAAAGTAACAGGTACAAGTACAAGTACAAGTACAAGTACAAACACAAGTACAATCAAAGGAAAGACAAGAAGAATGCTCTATAATAGAAAAACTATACACACAAAACTTCCAAGTACTTTCCCCCTCGCCTCCCCCCAATATACACGCCTAACAGGCACACACATGCATCCATCCAAGTCATTTTTTCAATTAAAGCTAGCCATCGATAGTCTATCCAACAGCTATCTTCAAAGAACATTCTACATTGGATGGATATGGGGTGGAAGTCTTGTGTGTCGTTTGATATACATCTTTGTGTGTATTTTTTTTTTGTATAAAATAGTAGACCGTTAACTCACCATAGCTAAAGAATAGAGAAGGAACTCAGTAGATTGCAGGCCCCAGCCAGGTAATTCAAGGACATCTCACAAGAAAAAAAAAAAAAAAAAAGGTCCGTACAATATAAAAAAAATTACAAAAGGGCCTTGTTCAAAGTAAACCCGGATCGGACCAAGATATTTTTCGGTCCAGCTAGTACGCTGTCCGGGTAGACAGCTAATGTTCACTTTGAGCCGGCCCACTAATGTTACAAGGCAAACTTACTAGTGAGAGGTTATTTTTGTGCCGGAAAGGCGACAGAGAGAGGATGAATCGCCCCCCCAACCGAGCCTTCAAAGTACCATCTCCACCTCCCCACTAGACTTGTTTCCTTCTCTCAATTAAAGGTATGTTTACTACTACTACTGCTATTACTATTACTACCATTATTACCCTTACTATGGTGTTATCTATCTATCTATCCATATATATATCGATCTATCCATCCACACCGACAAAATAAAATTATATATTTCAAAAGCTAACTCGCCCATTCGATCTTTAAATGATATATATATTTTTTTGTAATTGTCATTTTGTCTTGATAGATTAAAATGGAAGCCGTTCAAACTTTTGGTCGCAAGGTGTGTTATAAAAAAAAAGCTTTCTTTTTTTTTTATTCTAGACAACAGACAAGCAAGACATTTTGGAACAATTTTGCAATTTACTTGCATCAAAAAAAAATAAAAAAATAAAAAGAACTTTAGAAACTATAAGCATTTCAATATTTGTACTGTAATTCAACAATTCACCATTTCGACCACAAAAAGAAGAAGAAAAAGAAGATACCTCAACAATTCAACATACAGGGAGAATCGACATACCTTAAACGACATTACCATAGCCTTATTATCATCAATAATTACGACGACAACGACCTCTTTATGCATATTAGACATTATAGAATTAGCGCATAAAGTGAAATGAATATTTGGGATTCGACAAACATTTCATATGCATTTATTTAAAATTGACAAAATAAAAATTTTTAAACATATATTAACTTCTTTGTTTTTTTTTCTCTTTATAGAAAACCGCCACTGCTGTTGCTCACTGCAAGCGCGGACGTGGTCTCGTTAGAGTCAACGGTTCCCCCCTCGCTCTCCTCGAGCCTGAGATTCTCAAGTTCAAGGTCTACGAGGTCATCCTCCTGCTCGGTGAGGAGCGTTTCTCCAACGTTGACATCCGCATTCGCGTAAACGGTGGTGGTCACACCTCCCAGATCTACGCTATCCGTCAGGCTCTTGCCAAGGCTATCGTTGCCTTCTACCAGAAGTACGTCGATGAGGCCTCCAAGAAGGAGATCAAGGACATCCTTGTCCAGTACGACCGTACCCTCCTCGTTGCCGATCCCCGTCGTTGCGAGCCCAAGAAGTTCGGTGGTCCCGGTGCCCGTGCCCGTTTCCAGAAGTCTTACCGTTAAAAGAATCAAAAAAAAACAAGAAGAAAGAAAGGAATCAAAGACAAGATCAAGAAGATGGAAAAAAAAATTCATTTTTGTATTCTTCATTTTCATTCTTCTTTAATTCTTCAAACTTTTTTTTTTATTCTGCTTATCACACATTTTGTAACGGTTTCAAAGATATACATATATAAACAAAACAACATCACAAACATCAACCCAAAAAAAAAGACTCTCTCTTTTTCTTTATTATTTTTACTTTTTTTCTCTGAGGGCTGGCATACAAAAAGAATGATATGGAAGTTGTGATAATTAAGGTTATAATGAATGTTTTAAGAGTCGAACGTGGCGGGTTAGAGGAAGGAAGTTGGAAATGTAATGATAAAGAAGTGTGATTTTGAGCTGCTTATCATTGTATTTGTATCGTGGTATTTATAGTGTAAAATGCACTTTATGTCTATATGTACAAAAGGAAAAGGGAAACTTATGTGTTAAATAGGTTCAATGGTTTGATGACGCATATCTATTACTTAATTGTGATGGGAATATTTTGTACCTGATTGAATAGAAGGATAAAAAAAAAAGAGATATGAGTAATTACTATATAATAAATATATAGTATAAATAGGGGAGTTTATATTATATTATTTTATTTTACTTTTCTTTTCGTTTATTTGAAGTTATAAGAAAAAAGGAATCTCAAAGCTCTCCATTAAGAATATGTCTCCTGTCCGCATTGGTTACGGTACTGAATAGTTAAAGAGTATACTAGAATGTCAAAGTCTAGTCAGCATTACTACATGTCAGGAAACTATATTGTTATATTTAGAAACTCAAGAATTCTTTTTCTTTTTCTTACTCTTATTCTTATTTGCATTATTTTATTAGTACCCGAGCACTTTTCAACTCCTCTTTACATTGCTAGAGACAATGGCTTCTTTAAAGACAACAAGGTTGACGTTGAGCTTGTATGCTGCCCAGGCAAGTATAATTTATTCACACAAGATAATCACTCTCCTTCCACACACACTTATTTAAAGTGTATTTTTTTTTAAAAAAAAATTACTTCGACTAAACTTGCTTAATTGTTTGTTTTGTTTATCTGTCTAAAATTATTTAGGTGGTACTGGTGAAGTATGTAGTGAAAACAATGCTTAAAAGTCTTATCAAATATGCATAGACATGTACATACACGTGTATATCTTGTGTCAGTTTTAAAGTCCATAATAATCTTTTCTTACTTTTAATACATAACCATAGATGACCCAAAAGCTTAAAGATAAAGAGCTTGATATTGCCATTGCTTTGACAGAAGGTCTAGTAGCCGGCATCGCCAAGGGCCAAGATTGGTACAAGATTGTCGGTACCTATGTCGATGCACCACTTTGTAAGTAAAGCATGCCTTGTATTTTTCTTTTTAGTTTTTTAATTCTTATTCTTTACTATTGAATATTGAATATTGTTATTGATACTGATACACACATATATATTATTTTTATTATTTTTAAAAAGGTTGGGCAATCTCCACAGGTGCTGAATCTAAGCACCGTTCAATCGATACCCTCTCCAAGTCAGACGCCGCCATTTCTCGTATTGGATCTGGTTCACACATTATGGCCTATGTACTTGCTGACCAGCAAGGATGGTTGAACAACAACAACAACAAGACGGCTACAGGCGAACCGTTCGACTTTACTGTACTGAACAACTTCAAGGCCATGCGCGATGCGGTCAACGACCTGTCGTCTGATTTCTTCATGTGGGAGACCTTTACCACAAAGCCTTACCATGATTCCGGAGAGGTCAAGCGTATTGGCCAGATCACCCCTCCTTGGCCCGCGTTCCTGTTTGCGGCCCACACCGACTTGCTCGAATCCAGCAACTCTGATCAAATCAAACAGGCAATTCTGGCCATCCAAAAGGCCACAGAGTTGTTTATAGACCAAAAAGAAAACGAGTCAGTTGAGCGTATCATGAGTATCCTAGACTACCCTGAGCAGGATGTCCGAAGCTGGTTCAAGACTGTCCATTATGCTGCCGATCCTACACTTGTCTCTCGCCAGGCTATCCAAGTCACTGTGTCGACTTTGATCAAGGCCGGTGTTATCGAACGCCCTGGACCTGCTCCAGAAGATGTGTGTGACTTGAAGGTTGCTCATCTTGGAGACTAATATTAGTAGTAGTGATGTACAATGATGTGATTTGATATGATGTGTTGTGCATATAAAAAGAGAGAGAGACATTGGTATAACAAGAAAAAAGACATATTATATTTGTTGGTGGTATCAAATAAAGAAGTTACAAATGTTTCAACATTTTAGGTGGTGATTGACAAATATTGACCGATAAACTGGCAAATTGATAAAAAATATCGATCGATTGATTGATTGATTGATTGATTGATTGATTGATTGTTTATGTGTGTGAGGGTGTGTATATGCATTTTGTGTGTAGATGTAGGTGAAGGTGTAGTTGAAGGTGCAGGTATGGGTAAGGTACAGGTGTAATGAGCTATTCTAACATCAAATTGTCTAATTTGATTTGCTTGGATTTAATACAAAAAAAACCAAAATATATATAAAAAAAAATAAAGAATAAAGAATAGAGATTGTTATTAATCTCGGTCAAAGTAGTGTGCCATCTGCACGTTTGCCAGGCTGAGGTTGCATTTTTCATAAAATGGGACATTGTGCTGGTTGCAGTTGAGAATAGATTTGTAACAACCAAGGGATTTTGCCATGTGGTTGATCTGTTCAATGAGTCTAAAGAGCAGATAAGAAAGATACACAATAAATAAATAAATAAATAAATAATAAATTATGTTTATATTTAATCCAATTATCCACACTATTCTTTCTTTTTATATATCTAATGTACCTTTGGCCTAATCGTTTACCACGCTGTGAGTCATGTACAACAACATCCTCGATGTGACCAGTCTATAGAAATACTCAATTATTAATATTTGGTTGCTGCCTTGTCTTATTTTTCTTTAAATTATCTATGTATTTGTTGGTCTATTGAAGGTATTTTTCATTATATTTCTCTTTGGTACCTTGCCACAACCATGGAGAAGCTTGTATTCGATTATCAACGTAGCACATGCAACAATTCTATCATTGTCTTCAATGACTATGAGATAATAGCTGCCGAGATTTTGCATGAGGTCGAAGCGTTCTATAGAAAGAAAAAAGATATAATTTTAATATATATCTTTTTTGGGTTGATACAAAGGCAAGTAAAATAAAGAAAGAACGTTGTATAGAATTTGATTTACCTTCAAATTGTTTCTGGGTAATCTCTCCAACTGTCGATAGTTGTGCTAGGATCTCGAGAACACCCTTCTTGTAGTCGTCTCTTTTGAGAGGTCTCAAGAGATAGCCATTTGGTAAAGAGTTCTGAACCTCTGGAGAGATGAGCTTGGGAGAGAAGAGAGTAGAGGGTCTGGTTTCTGTGAGTGTGATGCAGGTCATGGTTAGAGTGCTGGGTCGAATTGAATTGAGAGGACAAAGAGAGATAGAGAGGTGCAAGATAACCAGCGACCAACTCTTTTATATATGCTTGTATGTAATCTTGTAGTGGCTCACAAGCACAAGCATAGTGCCAAAAAGAAATAGCCTTGTTCTGTTTTTTTTTTTGAAATTTTTATTTTTATATCCGCGGTAAGAATCAAGGATTTCCGCGGAATGGGAAGGATATTTATGTAAGCCCTTTAAAATATATATATAAATATATATAAAGGAAGAGCACTGCGCAGATTCTTGATCCAATTAATGAAAATAGTAAGGTGCAGAAACTAATCAAGATATATATATATATATCTTCTTTACCAACAAAATCCACAAGATACCAGTAGTCCAATTACTTGATTGTGAGACCTCTTAGTTTTTTGTGGATAATAGTTGATACATTAAATGAACCAGGGAACAAACTCCTCATCTTCAACCCTCATTTTCACCCTTTTATTATCCTTTTCTTTCTTATTATTATCTATATATGATTTGTTTAAATTCAAACCTCGTGTCAAATATATAGCTGGATAGACAGAGACAGAGAGAGAGATAGAGAGACAATACAATCTATGTTTAGAACACATTTACTTTTTTCCATATAAAATCAAGGTATAAAAATAAATTCTGTTTTTTACACAAAACACCGGACTTGTTTAGAACCCAATCAATTCACCCCACTATACGCACACACACATGTATATTTATACTCTTTTGATATTCATATCGTTATTTTTAATGCTTCAAAAAAAAAAAGGCCTTCTTGTTACACATAAATTTCCTCCAAGATATACCTAAAACAAGAACATATACTAAAATGGAAATAAATCATTATTGCCATCATCATTATTCTTATTACAGAGGGTCCCTGTTGAAATAACCAGGGAAACTTTACCAACTCTTCTCACGACATGAACAAGGCATTCCTGACACGTCCAGCCATCACTGCTGCATTCAAGCAGAGATTTGCTTACTCTACTGCTACAGATTCCGGTAACTCATCTACCAAGTTTTGCTCTAAAAAAATGAAAAATAAAAATAAACTAAACTAAACCAAGATATATTCACACACCTGTTTTTATTATCATTTTAACTTTGTATTTGTAAAAAAAGGCAAGTATTCATACTTGGTTATCGCCAAAGACTTTACTGATCCCGGTTGTCTTGAACGCCGCATGGCTGTCAGAAATCAACATCTTGTTGAGATCACCGAGATTAATAAACAAGGTCTTGTGTATGTTGGCGGTGCCACCTTGGATTCTCACGAGGTAAAACATCATCCACAGCTTTAGTTTTACACTTTTTACTTTATATTGGTATTATTCATACATACATTTAATAAATATTAATCACACTTTATATATATATATATATATATATATATATATATATATATCTCGATGCGCTTCTTCTTTTTCTCTTAATATTTACAGTCTGGAAAAATGACTGGCAGTGCTATAATTGCCTGGAGTGATTCTGTCGAACAGCTCAAGGATAGAATCGAAAACGATCCTTACTACAAAGGCAAGGTTTGGGAAAAGTACGAAATCTACCCTTACCGTATCGCAATCCACGGCGAAACTAAGAAATAGGGTACCAAAAACACATTTTAAATAAACTCAATCTTGTCGTGAATTGGTATTATTTTCACCCATAAAATAATAAACTTGTGCCTTTTTTTATATATATATAAATTATATCTATGCTTGAGTGAGTGATATTGTACTAGTATATCAAGTTAATAAAATATCGGGCAAAAAATGGGCGAGGGTTTATATGGAACAAGAGTAATATGATATTATAATCATTATCATTTCTATCTTGTAGCCATAGTTAAGCACGTTCTCTTTCACTAAGTACATAACTATTATAGACCCAAGATTTTTACTTTTCTTTATAGCTCTTTATCTTCTTGAGTCATCAAAATGCTATTAATTTATTTAAAGTTGCCCACTGCATGCATTGATATTAGCCCTCTTGCGTAAATACAATACTTGATTTATCTACCCTTTGTATTATAACAAAGAAAATACTCACTTCAACTCCCACACCAACACCAAGAAAAGCACAGAAAGTCGTACTTATATTTACAGAATAATGTGAAGTGTTGTAGTCGATAGATCTGGAGGTTTATTATGCTGTACCTATTTTATTGTATTGATAGTCAAGATGTTTGTCATTCTAAGGAAGAGTAACAATAAAAGAATCTAATATTGGAACCGCTTCTCAGCTTAAATTTAGTTTGATGGTAGACTGGTTGTAACCCAAAATGTTTTGATTGTTAATGTACTGAAAAGCATGCACTTTATCAATAACATGTATGAAAGCCACAGGGATTATACTCTATTGAAACTAATGGATATATCGAAAACACTAGACATATTAAAATAAAGTAAAAAATATATATTTCAACATGTATCCACACAGTCAGAAATAAATAAAAATTAATAAATAATAGTATGCCCAAATGTAACTTAAAACAGTAAGAGAAAGAAGAAGAAGAAGAAGTAGCAGTATGAAGGTTGATAAGATATAAAGGTTCTAATGATGTATAATAATAATAGTAATAATAGTAATAATCTCAAGGTCCAATAAGCTTAAAGAAATACATCTTCAGAACGGTTTCCTTTTATCGTTTGGCTTTTCTCTTCCAATATACCAACGCAAGGAAGACTAGGATATTAAAGGCAACATAGCAAATAATAATACCAAAATTACGCCACTTGTGAGATGCATCCCAGCCATAAACCTTTGTATAGTATTCTTTTCCGGAATTGTAATTACAGTAGCCACACTGTTTAGGCTGTGCTGCATCTGGATTGTCGATGTAACCAAGCCCTCCATAGGCGAAAAAGTTTGACATGTATTGGCCACAAGTTTTACCCGGAGGAGGTGAGAATCTGAGAAGATCCCTATCTGTACAAACAACCTTTAAATGTTCAAGTTCGTTTACAGCAAGTCCTTCAATATAATAATGGAATGGATCGATCCAATACATCCATCTTCTCCAAAAAGTTGGCATAGCAGACTCAGGTTGCATTAGTCCGCAGAAAAGAATAAGTAGAGACATAATCAGAGGATTGAGGACAGCAGCCATGGTTTGCTGCTCAGAGGCGGCAGCAATAACAAATCCAAGAGTGACAGCCCATATAACAATCGCAATAACTATGATATAAAAGTATCCACCAGCCTCGGCTATATTGACCATACCCGAAGTCCAGTAGAATGAAAACGTGAAGAAGGCTGAAAACACAAACACATAAGGAATTTCAACCAAGACACTTGATATTCCCCATGGAAACCAGCTGTAGTATCGAGATGCATATTCACGGCGGAAGAAGAGTCGTTCTGTCATAAATTTGGGCTGAGAGAGAATAACAATGGTCATGGCCATAATAAAGGTACTAAACAACGCAAAGAGCTTGTTTTGCATATCCGAGGAAGACGATCCAAGTTTCCAAAACGTAAAGCCGTTAATAAGGGCTGTCAAGATAATATTTATGAAGCGACCGAAATTGTAGTCGGGCGAACGCCAATATGCCAGAGCCATTCTGTTGTGAACCAGTCTGAACTGAGTCCACGCTGAAGCAGCATAGGTACGAGCCTCTCGGGTGGGATTCTTATCTGCAGTTTTATCGATTTCCTCAAGCTCGGCCACTAGTGCCTTGGATTCATTAGATCCATCCCAAACCTCAGCCCAGTCGCGATTAGCCTTTCCGGCAGTACCAGCACCGACAACCTCGAGAATATACTCGGCAGGATTGGCTTCCGGCGGGCAAGTAGGACCACCATTAGACTGAAAGTAATTGATCATAGTATGAGCGTCAGGACCAATCTCGCCGTAATAGGCAGTCCTTCCGCCACGGACGAGTAATAAGAGATGGTCAAAGTGACCAAATAGAATGGCAGAAGGCTGATGAATGGTACAGAGAACAGGCCACCCAGCATCAGCAAGCTTGCGAATGAAACGAACAATGTTGTAGGAGCTTTGGGCATCAAGACCCGATGTAGGCTCATCGAGAAACAAAAGTTGAGGTTTTCCGACTAGTTCCATACCAATCGTAAGACGCTTTCGCTCTTCTACAGAAATACCAGAGCCACGTTCAACCATGCCAATCTGGGCATCCGAAATGTCTTCCATTTCGAGCAATTGAATAATCTTCTCAACGTAATCATCTTTTTCAGCTTTGGGGACAGATTCATCTTGGCGAAGGTAGGCAGAAAAACGCAGAGCTTCACGGACAGTGACAGCAGGCTGATGGACATCCATCTGTTCACAATAGCCAGTAATACGCTCGAAATCGTTCATAAGCGCTTCACCATTGAGAAAAATATTACCCTCGACCACACCTGTAGTTTTTCGACGAGCTAAAACATCCAAAAGAGTGGTCTTGCCCGCACCAGAAGAACCCATGAGAGCCGTAAGGTGACCGGGCTTGACAATTCCATTGACACTATTAAGAAGCTGCAAGCTACCACCTTTTATAGGGACAGTATAATTGACGCCTTGCCACGAAAAGGTAGTACCAGTTGAAATCGCATCCATCTCATCAGTGATCTTGGCAAGACGCTTGCGACGCTCGTTTTCCTCTTCATCAGTACGAGGCCTGGGTGCTTTACCAGGCTTGTAGTATTTTGTAGTGTTTCCAACTCCACCCGAATCGATAAATTCCATAGCAAGACAACACATAGCAGTAAAGAGTAGGAAGAAGGCTACAACTACAATAAAGTCAGGTGCCCAGGCTTCCCAGGGTCGATATGTCAGTTCTTGAAGAAGGTAGGATTCACCCTTGACATAATTTTGGCCAGGAACGCCACCGGTCATAGTACACACCTTGTAATCCCAGTTGTCATAACCCGGACCATATGGAACAGCATTTCCAGGACCTTCACACGAGTACCTTTGACCATTCATCTCGTTAATCAAAAGAGACTTATATCCATAGGCCAATGGGTTTGCCCAGTAGATCCAGTACAGCCATGGATGCATTTTTGGGTACGGAATTGCTATTAAGGACATGTAAGTATGATACAGAGTACACGGAATAAAAGGGTAGAAATATAGGCGTTTAGGCATACACGTATGTTTGCATCCGAGTACTCACTGTATCCTATATATGTAACCGCCGAAACTAGTACTACACCAGAGAGTTGAGTGGCCAGGAAGAAACTAGTAGTTATGGTGCCAAAGAAACGGAAAAAGCCGTTCATGGCCATATTGATAAAGAACAAAACGATAAAGTAAGTGAAGAACCTTCCGGCCGTGAGGTTAAGACCCATCATAAAATAAGAGCATACAGCGAAAAGAGCAACTACAAAAGATATAGTTGAATTAGATCTTATCCAAACATATACAATTTTATATAGATACATAAAAGTAAGGACTTCTAACCTTGAGCAAGTGCGTACGGAATATCCATAATCATCTGGGCAATGTAAAACGCAGAAGGTCGGTAGAGAGCATACTGTTTGTGTTTCTCTAGAACAGGGCGACCTGTCAAAAACCGAACAAGCTCAGTCTGAGAAACGAATGCGTTGAATATGACAGAGAAGAAAAGAGCACCACCGCGAGAGAATGCGCCAGTACCGGTTAACGGTAGTTTGAAGAAACAAGATGCTGTGATTAAAGATTGGATCAGAATGGTACCATAGCGAGAAATAAGAGCTTCTTTGTCCTTGATGAGTAAGTGATATTGGCGGATCAGAAGTGCCATGACTTGTTGATTGAATGTTGCGATAAAAGGGCTCTTTTTAGGAGCACGCTTTTGGTGCTCTTCATTTATTGCCTCCTTAAATTCTTGTGCTTGGCCATCATTTTTAAACAAGGCGTCGTACTCTTCCAGCTCATTCATCATATATTGATAAATATCTGATGACAGGTAACGCTCATGGAATTCGTGTGCGAACTGTGGGACCGAATTTTCGCATCCTGGCTGAAATTCTCTCTCCAGTGGATTGCATATACCTGTCAAGAAGTCGGGTGTCGATTTGCGTAGAGGACAAAAGAAGCCCATGTTTTCAAAGTATGGCTTGGCCTGAGCTACGGGGCCAAAATAGAGACAATAACCATCATCAAGAAGGATGACCTTGTCAAAAAGATCGTATATACTATTAGATGCTTGATAAAGAGTCGCGACTGTTGTTCTGTGAAGGACGTCTGTCATAACACGAAGGGATCGGACGAAATCCAGAGCAGAGGCTGCATCTAGACCACGGGTTGAGCAATCCCAGCAATTGATTGTACTGGATGCTGCCATTTGTTCAGCAATCGAAAGGCGCTTGCGTTCACCTCCAGAAAGTCCGCGTAAAAAAGCGTTACCAACCATAGTGTTCATCTGTTTTGTCAGACCAAGCATGTTTCCGAGCATATAAAGAAGATGGTTCACAAATTCACGTTTAGTTTCGTTAGGAAGTCTGGCTCTAGGAGTCTTTGTTCGCAGTGCGAATTGGAGGGTCTGCTTGGTGGTAAGAGTGGGGTAATGCTGATCTTCTTCTTCGTTGTAACAAACTTGACCACGGTATTGTTCAGCAAATGTCCTCGGGTCAATACCTCCATAGGATACTTCTCCTTCGATATCAGTGTAAGATTTGCGCATATTTGATATAATCTTCAGAAGGGTTGTGCAGCCAGAACCGGGGCGACCGAGAATGAGTAACATCTCACTATCTTTACAGAACCCGGTAAGATCACGAAGAATAACTTTTTCTGATATCTTTGTCTTATTGAACATGTTCTTTAATATTCCAAGTATTGAAAGCGGAAAACTTGCAACAGTAGCAATTGTATTGGCTTCGGCTCCAACACCCTATAGAATAACAAGAATTGATAAAGTATGGATTATATTATCGAATAAGCAGACTTTTCTTATATACATATACATATATATTTTACCTTTACAACCAGGTTTTTCCAAATGACACCAATATGCTTCAAACGCCGACCAGCTTCATCAAGTTTAGAAGTTACACCATTCAAAAATTCGTCAAGCTTAAATTCTTCTGATGTGGTAATACCCGCTTCAACGTTGGAAGCATCCATCGACTTTCGACTAATCGCAGTTAATTCTCGCTGGAGTTTCTTATATTCATGAGTGGCCTCTATAGGAATTTATATCAAAAAAAGTTTATTATTGATCCTGTACCGCTAATAAGCTATCCGAATGATATGATTTACCTTCAATATTAACTGCATTACATTCTGGTTCGCCAAACGTTCCTTTTTTGCCAATCGGTTCTTCAACTCTAGTATCTGTGGACAGAGTATTAGAGTGACGATTTAGTCCATTGTCATTGTTATTTAATGGCGGGTCGTCGAGAGGATGACTGTCTACCATCTCTTAAGGTTTTTAAAATAAAATATATGTATATATATTTATATGTCAAGTGGAAGGTAAGAGAAAAAGAGCTTAAGAAAGATTTTTTATAGGATATATTTGTCGATTTGATACGCGATACAATGACCTATGATTAGTTTAATTTCATAAATATTAGACTAGCAAATTTTATAAATTATATTCCACAACCAATTTTATACTCAACCATTTATTTATATAATAGTTGCTTATCCTTTAATTTCCGTATACACTCACAATCAAAAACGTTTCGACCCCCGCAAAAAATGCCTAAAAAAAATCGAAAAAATAAAAATAAAAACATTGTTTTCTCCCAATATTATTAATCAAATCCAACATGCAAGACGCAAATTCATCAGAAAACACCCACGGATCATATGAAAAGGCCGATCCCTATAAATACGGATGCATCATGTACATGCATTTAGCAAATTACGGGGCGACCCAGATTTCATTGGTGGTTGGCATGAGTCTGTCAACTGTCAAGTACATCATTAAGAGAGTGGACGAGACAGGATCGCCCGAGCCAAGAAAAGGGTCCGGACGACCTAGAAAGATTGACGAGAGGACAGAAAGACACCTTGTTCAAATAGTTCGTAAGGACCCCTTTGCCTCATTTTCTAGGCTAAGGGCTTCCTTAAAGAACATGGAGGTATTTGTCTGCAGAAAGACAATAATCAGTTGTCTGAAGCGTTTGGGCTTCGGATCATATATCGTAGCTCACAAGCCAGCTTTAACCGAAAGCCACAAGAAAAGAAGGCTGGAATGGGCCCGTGAGCATGTGAATTGGACAGATGACCAGTGGAGAGGTGTAGTGTGGTCAGATGAATCACGGTTCACAGTTGAGCGTAATGATGGAGGAGCTAGAGCTATCAGGAAAGTCGGTGAAAGGTTCAAGGAAGAAAATATCATCGAAGGAACCAAGTGGGGGAAGGGTAGTGTGATGATCTGGAGCTGTTTCTGGGCCGGTGGTTTTGGCCCTTTGGTGTTCCTAGATGGTAACGTAAACCAAGACCAATACGTGAACACTTTGGCTCAGAACTTCCTTGGTTCCAAAATCTTTCGCGGGAACAAACCAGGAGCTTCGTGTTCCAAGAGAACAACGCCAGCTGTCATACTGGGTCGTACTCGAGGTGGTGGAAAGATAGCCATGAGATCCGAGGTTTTGACTACTGGCCCGCTCAAAGCCCGGATCTCAACCCCATCGAGCATCTCTGGTGGGCTCTCGAGAGGCGCATGAGTGACGAGAGGGCCAGTATTAACAATGTTGAAGATCTGAAGGTTGTAATGCTACGAGAGTGGCGAAGGATAGGTCTCGAACTTTCGTCAACTTTGGCCGGAAGCATGCAGCATCGATGCCAGGCTGTAATTGAGGCCAAAGGAGGTCATACAAAATATTGATCTTTTATTTTTTTCTATATTTCAATAATAAACATATATATAATCTTTTATTTGAAGTTTGAATGCTTTAGCTTTTATTACTGAGGAGCAGTTGCATGTTGAATACATGCCATGATTTCTCTCATGCATTTTTTGGGCTCAGAGGTCGAAACGTTTTTGATTGTGACTGTATTTCTTTCATATTTTTTTTGAACACTAATTTAGGAATTAGTATATATAATTTACATGACAAGATTTCATAAATGTGTATTGATATGCATAAGTATAAAGACAATTGTCGCATAGGGTACCATGAGGCTCCGTAACCTAGGAACTAAATAGAACGCAAAATATGACAGAGTTACTCAAAATATGAGCTTAGATACCTTTTATTTTAAATCATATGCTACAGTGTATTAAAGAATAAGGATCCTGATTGGAAAAGTCGATCCAAAGATGTACACACCAGATTTCTGTGGATATATACCTATTCACTATTTAAGCTACCTTTTGTTTTGTTTTGAATTGTTGTTTTTATAGCAAATCAATAAATTATGCCATGATACCTATAATGCTTTAAACAATACAGTCTTATATATATATATTTGCATAATCTAAAGTCACATTCGTAAGAGTTTCAGCAAAAAGTATATATTGATCTAAAAAGGTGATAAAAAAAACTTATTTTAGCGTGCAAGCAAAGATGGCAGATGTTTAAATATACCAAAAAATATTTTGAGCTAGCTGGTTAAAAGTATCAATGGTGATGTTACCAGTCGTTCATTAAAAGAATAATAAGTCATTGATTTACGTTAAATTAACAAACCCGGATTATAAAATACGCAAAGGAAAGAGAAAAAGCTACTCTTTTTTGCATGATGCGTAAAGCTAATGCTATAGACGATTCCAAAAAGCAAACGACAATAGTTAATATGATCCTTGACAACGAGTCAAAGCCTTGTATATGTATCATTCTTCGTAACATGATAATAAATCCCAACTTCTCATAGCCTTAAGAGTAGCTACCTCTACATCAAATCATCTCTTACATGAAATTGTTTAAAGCTTGTATTGTTTCATTTTGAAAAAGAATTTTTAAAGATCAATTGATGGGGTATTGACACAGAAGGTTTCTTGGTAAGAGTATACGCAGCAATTGCATTACACTTTAGACTAAAATCTAATGTTAAAAAAATCAGAATGTAATTGATTGAATGAAGAAATCAAACCATTGCTAGAACCAATGATTACATTACATACTGTTAATTTTATTCTTGGTGGTACTGATTTAAAGGTAGCCTAATGCTACCATAATCTTAATAGTGTTTAATGTAAATCATACAGACAAAAAGTTGAGCACTTTTAAAGCTTTAATATTAGAGATATATATAAATCAAATATTAATATAATTGCTACATACGGTCTGGTAAATAAGCACAAGAAGAGAAAGAAGAAGCAAACACCATGAATTTTGGAAAATAAAAGCAGACTAGATATATGTTGCTTGATAAACAATGAAATATGTATTTTGAACTGGACTAAAATATTTATATCTTGAATGTAAAATATCTTCAGAATCATTATAATGATCACAGTAGTCAGTCTTACCGTTTTTTTCTATCAATTCTATCAACTATATCAAATCTTATAGCGAGTTATGTCAGATTTAACATTAAATCCCTCAATGGCAGTGACTAGTTTTAATATATCGATGAATGGATATAAAAGTATATACATAGTTGAAGTATAAAGTAAAGGTATAAACATTGTGTACATTAACCTTTGATATTAACCCCAGTCTAATAAACAGCTATCTTCGCTTATAACTGTACACGAAGAAAACCCAATTAGCAGTTTATTATAATGCAGAAATATAAACAATAATTTTCGTGATCCATATAACAAGCCTTCATATGTGGTAGAAAGGTATGATCATTGAGCTTAATTCAAGGAGTAAATAAATACATATACTTCAGAAACCTCAACTGAAATGAATAAGCTAAGGACAGCAGTTAAACGTGTTCTTCAAAAATATAAAAGAACGAATTTTACCACCGAATGTAAATCTCCAGAAATCCCAACCATTCGTACTCCCAAAGATGAAAGACGCATAGCTCTCCATGACTGTCAAAGAATATTATAGTCAGGCTCTGACTAGCATGACATGAGCAGCCAAGGCTAAAATGGGAGAGTATTATTATAGGAACATCGAGTAAATTTATATACACAATAAATATACGATATTTTTGTAGATTAAGCAGTGCCTATATTCTTTGAAGATTATAATCCGAAGAACTGGAAAAAAATGAGAAACCGTTTTCTGAAGTGATAAGCCATATTTCTCTCTTTATAGAATATATATAGCTCTTTACGGCCATAACATCATCCCAAAGACTCAAAAGAACCCCCCGTGATCTAGCTGTTTTAGAGTGGCTTCCAAGCAGCCCTGATATTAATCTTATAGATAAAATGAAGATTACTCTAGACGATCGCACATGGTTAAGGTAATGTTAATCAAGAGCTGCCATTGAGACAAAAGAAACTTTATTAGAAAACGGGAAACAAGCTCTGTATATGTTTGTAGAAACTATTGCTTGGTTATCCCCCGATCGATTAACACTACATAAAAGCATGTGTAAACATATAACCTACTAAATTTAAATTATACTTCTATCAGTGGGAAGCTTATGCTATGGAAAGTTACTTCTATATGTGTTCTATTTCTATAAATTCTGCTCATTTTTAATCATATAACTGAAGTTCCAAGATCTTCTTCTCCTACTGCAAGGGACATTAAACCGACTACCATTTTCTTTTAAAAAACATAGTTAAAGTGAGTCTCAATATCTTTAGGGCAAATGAAAGATAGTCCCAAGATATAGCCATATAAAATGCAACTACTGCCACTAGAATTACTATCTGTGCTAGGTAAGTAAAAGAAATTAAAGCTGGATATATTCTCATCTTTACGAAACATAAACGTAAAAAGAGATGAAATATTTTTAATGAAATATTACTTCAAGAAATTAACAGCCTTGGAAAGAATCTATATAAACTAGAATAAGAGAAATTATCCCCTTTTGTTAAAATATATCAATAAAATATAAAACACAATTGAAACAAAAGCTGCTTAACCGCATGAGCGATCCTGCACAAAATTCACTCCAAGTTTATCTTTGAAACTAGATTTGCTCTTTTAGTTTCTTTCTTTTAAAAAAAAACTTTATTTTGATATATATATTTAATATCACATAAGAAACATAAAAGTGTATCAAACTATGTCGACCAAGAAAAAATGCTTGTTAATCTATGTACGTGGTTTGATAATAAGATAATGAAATGGAATTGAATTGGATATGTAAAAGATAACTCATGCTTTAATGCATAGAGCGGGCTCTCTTTTTAAGCTCTATATTCTTAGTCTGTGCCACAATTGCTTCTCGTTCAGCGGTAGATGATTTTATACGAAGGAGAGCTAAGAAATAATGAATCGTTTAGTAAAGATTAACAAAAAAAACTATAGTCTAATAATATTGTACCTCGATCAAGAGCCAGTTCAATCATACAGCGTGTACGAATAAATGAGAGGAGTGGCCATGTAGAACGCTCGCCATGAAGAATCCTTTTAATATAATATTTTAGATGGATATTATAAAATTAGATAAGAAACCGTACCAGTAAGCCAATGAAGAATGAGTTGGGTTAGAGAACAGCATATTGAAATCCTACAAATATATTTCTGTTAGTATAAAAATATAAAGAATGCGTTCATTTTATTCTACACCTTACCGAAAGATGAAGGTGGGGTACAATATTGACATTGCCAGACATTTTTTCTTCGATAACACCACGAAGGAAACGAGGGAGTATATGCATTTGATCCAACTAAAGATACGAGAAATAAATAACAACATTATTATACTGTCTATTTATTTCTTCAGTATCTCACTTGATAAAGTCTATGTTTGAATTCAGAGGCAACTAAATAAGCAATCTTGTTGAGGGGTGTCTCTTGGCGAAGATTTTGCGCCTTTGCAATAAACGGAATAGCGTATGGACTGGCCTGGGATACAATAAAGTGGTTGACATTAAAAAGCTCTGAAAGACGGTATAAAGGTGCCTCGCTATAGATATTTAACGAATATAATGAGTGATATTCACAGTTGAGATACTATATATTCAGTTACCTTTCTGCAGGAGATGCTTCAGACCAATGGTTCCACTTAACGGCTAAACCGATAGAGATATTTTAAGTACCAAAGGTTAAATAGATTAATAATAATATCTTACACGAAGAGCTCCATTTAACGATATTCCCGTTCTTGTCTTTGGCAAGTAGGTCGCAAGATCCGAATAGACCAATAGAAGCAGTGGAACAACATGCAGCACTCCAGATAAGCTGGTAACACAAGAAAATTAGTATGTGGGGTGAAACACAAGAGTTATAAATAAACTCAGACATACGACATTGGGAGCTGTAAGATGATTTAACAGTTGCGGTACTTCCTGTGTTCGGCTAGATGAAACACTAATATTGAGAACACGCTTTGACCGAGCATATGCTTCCTATAAACCAATGCATCAAAGAAATCTATAAACACACATGTGCGCATATATATATTGAATTGAACAGATGTATTTACCTCAAAAGTGATATCTCCTACATTGGTGCGAACACATTGCTGGAGAACCTTCATGTCCATCAAATAGCCTAATATTTTAAAGAAATTAATATTCTGACACGAATACTAATATCGTTTTATATAATGATTATTACCATATTTCAATAATCGAGTAACACGTCTCTTAAAGTGTCTGTGATTGGTTGTGTAAGTCAGTGATAACGATATGTTGATATACTAGTTAGCTACAAACCCTTTATCACTCTTCTTAGAGAAAGCTGACAAATTGATACCTTCGGGTTGAAGAATATGCTGAACAAAGAAATATTTATCAAGTAAATGTTAAAAGATGTTTAAAATATAGAGTCTATCCTACCGGAAGTTCCGCATCAGTGTGAATGCAAATCAAGGCAGCAATCAATGCACCTACAGCAGTGCCACTGATGATACGAGGCAATAAACCTTGTTCGTTAAGTGCCTTGACTACACCGATATGGTACAAGGCTAAAATGCAACGCAGATTAAAATAGATCAGAACGAAATCAACAAATTCCTCCCCTTTTTCTCTTTTTATCGAATCTTGTATATTCTGCTTACCAAATCCAGTACCACCCTGAAGCACAAGGGCAGAGCATCCAAATCCTTGACGAGTATCGGTCAGGAACTTCAGTTTTGCCTGGGCATCAAAATCGGTTTTTGTTTCAATATATTCAATTTGTGTTTCGACTTCATTCATATAATCTTCAATGAGGTCTTTTGTTCTAAGAAAAAAAGTGTCAAACAACCATGTGTCACGTATGTTCCACAGCTGACGTGCTTACCCCATGTACGAGTGTGTGAATAGCTTCCGATCACAGACACCACCGAAATTACGAAGAAGACCACCTCTCAGAAGATACGTCATGCTGTCTACATCATCAGCCTCTCGAGCCCTGCGGAGGCGTTCAAGTCTGGCAGAGATAAGTTTGTAATCGTACAATCTTGAATGAGGTTGGGCTTTCCACACGTCGTTTTCTACATAAGAAGGTTAGTATATGGTCTATTGATTTTCAGTCTCTAAAAATATCTTACTAAGAAGCCTATCAAATATATGTTAGCAAGCTGAAAGTTGTATCGAACAGGCTTACTTGTCGAGTTCGATTGCACGGCTTTCCCATTCATCATGGCTTGTTGCGTTTCGAAGATCGTTTAGAAGTCTATTCTCAGGCTTGTTATCCTTGAGCTCATGCCATTTCGACTAGGAAGATATATGAGATCGAATTGGCAAGTGGATAAAAAGTCTTACCAGCCATGGTCGAACAGCGTAGTTGTAAAGTGTAGTAAAAAAGTCAACGAACCAACAGAGAAGAGGGGCAACCATGTATTTGAGGGGGTCCCGAAGGATATTGGAGGCACGATTTGAAGCTGTGCTCATTATTCTTCAGTATCTATGTTTTTTTTAGAAGAAAAAGGATGAAGAAAAGAGGAAGAGATATTAGGGTTTTTGTAGTTAAAAATAACGAAATAAAACTAAAATAAGCAGTCGATTCGTTCACATGCTTTGATGCATTGGCTGTCACGTGCAAAAAGATGGTCATTTTCCTGTCAAAATTTATCTTTCTCCCCCTGACCATCATTCCACACCTCAACCCTCATGCCATTCTGGTCTTCCCTATCCCAGAATTCCAAAAAAATAGCACAAACATGGATTAAGCAACCTCATACATTCAAATATTCTCAGACAGCTCATTATGGAACATCATCAAAATGGCTACCATGGGAAGAAGCCATGCTACAAGATTATGTTAAGCACAACGGTAAACATTGGACCGGACTTGTACAACATTGTCTACCCCACCGCAGCACCAAGGCATGCCAGGAGCGATGGCGCGAGGCTCTGGACCCAGCTCTTAAACTCGGCCCATTCACTTCCCAGGAATGTGAAATTATAAACTTACATGTTAAAAAGCATGGTGTTGGACATTGGGCTCTTATTTCTAAACGGCATCTTCCTCATCGATCACCCCACAGCATTGCCAGCACATGGAAAAATGTATTGAACTCTTCTATTAAAAAGAACACTTCTTGGACACCTGAAGAGGACACTCTAATTCTCAAAGGAATGATGGATTATGGTGAAAATAATTGGCAAAGCATATCAAGAAATCTGTTACCTTCTCGAAGTGCGAAACAGATTCGCTATCGATACAGACGCTTTTTGGATCCGAATACAAACAATAATTTATGGACAGAAGAAGAGCTTAATCTATTGCTACGAAGAACAATTATCTATGGAACAGAAAATTGGGCTAAAGTAGCCGAAGGTCTGCCTGGTAGACTCCCAGAAATGTGTTCTGAGAAATGGGTTCGAAAGGTTGATCCTTCTCTTAAGCAAGAAGCTTGGGATCCAAAGGAAACAAGACTCTTTTGGGAACTTACAAAAAGGTATGGAGGAAACTGGGTCAAAGTGGCTGAGAATCTCCCTGGACGAGGCAGATTTATGTGTTATCAAAAGTTCTGGAAAGGTCTCAATAAGGAGCTTGGGGTTGAATACAAAGATTTGATTCAATGCAAACCAGATGAAGATGATATTTCATGGAAAAAGCGCATGGCAGATCTTGTGTGTAAACAACTCGATAATATCACCATACGAGACCATCCGGATATATACCCCAACGCTAAAGCGCGAGAAAAAAATATACCATGGGCACCAGAAGAAGATGATTTACTCAAAAAATTAGTAGATGAGCATGGTACTATGTGGTCCGTTATTGAGCCCCACTTTCCTGAACGCTCATATACATCTTGTCGGAACAGGTGGCTCAATTATCTTCAATACTCGGATGGTCCTATCCCAAAAAAACTTAACGTTCGTCTGAGTGAATTAGAGAAAAAGAGAATTCGCGAAGGTGTACATATGTTTGGTCATGACTGGAAGGCAATAAGTACTTCATACTTGCCAGACCGTACTCCGCAACAGTGCATGCGTTGGTGGAATAGCCAAAATAGCCTACAGGAAAACGATTCTAAAAGAAACTATATACAATGGTCGGATGAAGAAGACAAAAATTTACGCTTTGCAGTGACCACTCAACCAGGTTCTAAGATTATTTGGGGTCAAGTCGCCAAAATGGTTTCCGGTCGGTCAGCTCAACAATGTCGAAAGCGTTGGGAAGAGTGCATTCGTCCTGGTATTTCCAAAGGAAGATGGAATTATGAGGAGTCTATGCGTCTAGTGGAGATTGTTCAGAAGAATAGATTGGGATCCAAAAATGGAAAAACCAATTGGAAGGTTGTAGCGGAAGAGCTTAATACAGGTCGTGTCGACGCAAGCTGTAGAGTAAAGTATAACAAAATGATGCTTTCAGGCTATAGCCGATTTTTACTTTAAATGTACACACAGAGAAACATAAATATTATCGTCCAAGAACGAATCTTTCATATAAATTATCAAGTTATATGATGAGAATTTAATCTTTACCCCGTATTAATGATTAGAGTATTCAAATTTGAAAATAAAATAATATGTATATTAAAATTTTAAATAAGCATAGGGTAACTATCTGGCGTAGAAAAATTCAGTGCTGGCTGCAACCTAGCACTGTCTTAGATACTTCCCTACCTATTGTGAAACAAGCTCATTGTCTATTCTTATGACAGATATAACTATGTAAAGTCCCTTCAACAATAATAGTAACTTCAGTATGGCTGATTTGAGTCAAGTTTAGGTGGATGAAACTATTACACATGAGATAATTAGTATGATATTAAGGACCACACTTTATTTTATTTTTCTATATTGTTTTTTGTTTTTGTTTTGGGTTGAGATTGATTAGTAAGATAGAAGATAAACACCTTTTTATTTTAAAGCATTTGTCTGTATGTGTTTTTACAATTTGTATCTAAGGATGAACATCTTTTTTAATGAGAGTGGAGTTTTAGGTTGATATAAAAGGTTGAAAGTTGTACTGTATTAACAAAAATAAGAAACGAGTTTACGTATACACAAGAAGATATAATTAAGAGAAGAAAAAAAGTAAGGGAATATGAAGAGGGAAGATTGGGAAAAAGGGAAAAGAGAGGGAGACAGAGAAAGGGGTTAAATAAACTAAGAGCATGTCAAAATAGCAAGTGTAGTGTCTTCAATAGATGCATGTATAAATTCTTGGAATTCTTCATCCTCAAGATCTATTGAGGAGCCAAAAACCCTGGACAAATGCTCTTTCACCTGCGCACGTGTAATAGAATCAAGATCGGCGTGTTGGAGATATTCGTATATCTCTTGACGGACAAACTGTAATATATTAGCCTTTTCTACTGCTGATTTGGTTTCTTTTTGAATGTTTGTATGCGGCAATGTATATTCATTGGGTCGGGGTTGAAGAATGGACGAGCTAGAGGCCATGCGAGGCAAGTCCCGGAGTCGTAAAGGGGCAATGACGGCTCTTTGTGGAACAGGGGGGTTGCGGAAATGCCCTTTAGAGCGTTCAGCTAGTGGAATTGTAAGACCAACTCTGCTGTGAACAGCGACACTTCTGCCTTCTCTAAGATCAATTCCGGGTCCACGTGAAGATCCCGAGCGAGAATCATCTCTTGACATAAGATGACGGGGACCTCCAGAAGCATACGATTCGGGCTCAAATGACGCCTCTGGATCAAGACTCCAATAGGATCCTGCCAACGAAATGCTATTAGAATGGTTGGAGTAGGTAGAATTGCGATCTTCATTTGAGTCACAGTGATTAAGAGGTCCAAATCCAGAAGAGTAGGATCGATTGTGACCATGTGTTAGTGGGTGGAAGCCACTACTGCTGTTTAGACTACTTGGTATTGTAGAGCCTCCATTATCTGGAACGAACATGCCGGAAGCATAGTACGATGTAGACTGATCATTTAGTTGCGTGGTTCGGCTATGATTGCTGAAATAAGAGGACTGTGAATGACTAGCCTTGTGCCTAGAACCATGCAAATGATTTATCATTGAATCATCTACAGGATAAGTTGTCTCATTTCGATCATCAAATGGATTTTCTGATGCAATATTATGGTCTGAAAAAGGGTCTGTATCAGGATACATAAAAGAACTGACATTTCCAGCAAAGTTTGAGGGTGGTAGTAGCTCCGCATCAGGATAATCTGAATGATTTGGCCTATGCTTAGATCTCTTGGATATCGTGCTTGTGTTGATAGGTGCGTAACTCGGAGGAGCTCGTCGCATTCGCAAGCTACTGTATTCTTTGATTTGTGATGAAGTCAGGGCTTTGTTGTGCCCGTCTGATAGATGTTCTGCTGAGCCTTGGGACACAAATGAATGTGGCCTTGACTCTTCTTTTCCTCCAAACCCAGTAAAGCCCACAAAGTTGGCATCGAGTGCCGCTTCTTCTTCTATTGCTCTGTTGTACGCCCTTCGTGCTTCTAGTTGGTCAAATTCGCTCAGGTTTAGTCTATGAACAACTTCTTCTTCTGCCGGCTTTTCTTCTTCATCTTTTCCTTCTTCAGGGTTGTTATCTGGATCTACATCGTCTATAATTCCGTGCAATCGTCCGCCTAATCCTTTTGTAGTTGGCCATACGTCGTACCAGCTTTCCGCATAATCTGCGGACCAAAGTGCTACAAGAGGAAACCAGACAGTAAAAAGAGGTACAGATACGAGACAGTAAATGGTAAACCAGATCAAATACTTGAACTGACGTCGTAGGATAAAGAATATCACGTATAGTACAATCAAGCAGCCAAAGCTAATGGCTATAATTGTGTAAGCCATTCCATAGTTTGCAATGAATCGCACGTAGCAGCCATAGAGATATACAATTATGGGGATCGAGAGAATCATATCAAGAAGCTTGGTTGTAGACAAAAGCCAATAAGTAAATCCAAGTTGCCATGCTACACGTTGCATTTCCAACTGATTGTGAAAGGCAGCGCGCATGTTACGACTCTGTAGTCCTTGAAGGGCAAATAAATTGGTAGGTATTGTAGAGTATGCAATAGCTTCTGGTTCGAATCCAAGGCGATGGTGGGGGTGAGATCGTAAAAGAACAATTCCAAAGAACTGTTCCTCTCCGAGTAATAGAACGTTCTTCATGTGAAGAGTATCGGCTTGAGGTGTCGCAAACCCTCGCAAAACGGTAGGATGAATACAACAAGGACGAACGTTGTTTTTCGGCGATAAAGATATGTATGATTCAACTGTGGTAGTTGTGGAGTCTCGGCGGTCCCGTCGACTTGTGCTACTCATACTGCTACTGCTACTGGCCACGTCCCATGTGTTGTTATTTGGCTGAAATTCGTCACTAACTTTTGGCCATTTGGTAGATGGTGGTTCTTTTAAGGTGCTGCTAGTAGAAACATGTTTGTAAGGAACAAACAGGGGTCTATCTTGCCCTACTGGCACCAAATTTTCGGTCCAAAGCTTGTACATTACACAGCCTCCATTGACTGTAATTACACTACCCATACATGCTTCATATGCAAGACTTGAAAACATCGTTAGGTAAAGGGGGAATATCTGGAGCATAGTAACAAAATTTTCCTCTGGATTGGCTGGTCGTATATGTCCGCTAATAGCTAGCATACTGCGGTCGTTTTCCAGCCGGGTTACCATCTTTTGAACAACATCAGATTGTACCTGAGTGTCAGCGTCGGTCAGAAGCATATACTTAAAATTTCGTGGGTCAAGACCAAGAACATTGTATGATTGGTTGAATAGTTCGTATTCCAAAGGAGTCATGCGGTTGCTGGCTAGGTTCATACATCGTTCCAAGAATCCAAGTACCAATACCATCGAATCTCTTTTACCACGGTTTCCTGGCACACGAGTTCCTGAGGCTTCCCTGGCGTTGCCAACTTTAACAACCACCATAAATGGTACACGATTACGACCAGTCTCATAGAACCCGGAGTAGACTTTTGCACAGTTGATCTTTCTGCGGTTCTGTCCAAGCGATACGTATGCACGAGAAATCGGCTCCTCGGTACTACTATATCCTAGTGCTTCAAGAATGCACACATGGGTTTCTTTTACGTCGTACTTACTCTTAACAAGACCATCGCAAACAAACAATAATAGCTTTCTAGAATCTTCATAGCTTGTTCTTGCCAAAGTATCAAGAGTTTGTTTGATGGTATCAGGTGACTCGGCATAGCATGGAATAAGCAGAATGGTGTAAGGCCATGCAAAAGGGCCAATGGAAGAGAACTCATGGTTAGATGCAAACAGAAACCTCTGGACAAACTTAAGCCGAGAAAGGTTAGCGAGGTTCATCTTTAGTAAAAAGTAGACTAGGCCGGCCCCCATAGTAGCCCACAAAGCAGGGTTTATTCGTAAACAGCCAGTAGGAATAGCGGTAGGAACTATGCCTTTAAAGAACAGGGTCTTGAGACAGGCACGATAGGTATCGTCTATTGTAGCATCACCGGACACGTTTCCATCAAAGTACTGACTGATATCTTTTCCAAGATTGATAAACAGGTAGATTGTGAGGTCAAGTGGAAGGAACATCCGATCAAGGGCAAAGGCCCGGGAATTCATGCCGGCTGAGACTCTGACGACGTTGGTGGCTGTTTCGAGGTAAGATGTCACGTCTAGTACTTGGTCATCAAGAATAACATATGCTTGTCCAGGATAATTCGCTGTTGGTAATCTAGTAGCATTTACTAGTTCATCTGGGTCAAACACGATGTCTAAGTTTGTATACATATGCAATGTAATGTAAAATAACGAGATACGCATACTATTAGCAACATATCTCCTCAAATCAACCCCCACCACTCCTTTATATGTTTTGGCTTATTGATTGTACCTCCTTTGTAGCCAAATTGATTGACTTCTTTGATGTCGCTAGCCTTATAAACACAAGGAGCACCAGTTATATTTGTTTGGTTGGGGAGAGGACAAGAAATAAGCTGATTATTTTCAAAGACATATCCAGGGTCTTCGGATAGCTTGTGATTCAGCCAATTATCAGCTTGTGTCGATTTATTCATGTCGCCTATACAGGCCTGAATTGTGTGGTCTTCGTAGGTATCATATAGATTATTGCGCTTTAGGAGCATGAAAGTTGGAAACATAGGAGAAAGGTCGTAGCCTGCGTATTGCGATACAGTTTCGGCTATTTCGGATGATGCCGCATACTTTGACCAGTTGACGGCTTTGCCATTGATAGCAGCATAGCTAGAATGGTTGTTGAAAACTTGGTCGTATTCGATTGTTTTTGCTGATTCGCAAAAGAATGTTGATATATATTCAAGCCAAAAACAGAAAAATCCTGATGCGGCTAAAAAGAGAATGAAGCTTGCGATCTTTTCACGCCAGTCCTGCCGAGCGGCTAATGTAATATGGATGTTAATTTATCAATATAAATGAACATTCGTGACATGCCTGGTGTTTTCATGCGACCGACATGATGTAAAAGGAAATCTGGGAACATAAAAGTACATATTCGACTGAATGTGACCCAGACAAAGCGTCGTAGCGTGGGTTGATGCATATATGAGTAGTTTCGAGCAACCCTCATGTATGGAATCTAGCCAATCGAAGCATGTAATCAATAAAGGGGGTAAGGTGGAGGGGGAGGGGAAAGTCAGAGTGATAAGACTGGACTTTGAAAAATGAAAAAAAAAAGAAAAAAAAAGAGAAAAAAACCCCCCCGTTACAGGACTGCGCAAGTATGGGAGCGAGTGTGAGTGTGGGTGGTGTTTGAAGGTGTTGAGTTGTAGAAATATCTTAACTTTTAGTTGTAGCATCCAAATGGGGTTTAGTACGTGCTTGCGACTGTCTCAATTATTTTAAATAACGATCAAATCGTGGTGTAATTGTAGCAATATGAGCTGGACATGGCTCTTTCCACTAACACTCCGGAACCACCAGGGGTCAAAAACCCCTCCACCACTGGCTCATCTCCACCATTGGCAACCTCATTCACACCAATCTCACCTACTCTGACACCACTATACTCACAAGTAGCTACACAGAATGCACCTCCACTCACCGAAAAGCAACCACATGTTATCTTTAGCTCTACAAATAACACAACCCCACGTACCTGGCGTGTAGGGTCCTCTAAGTTCTCTGTATTCTTTACCGCCCCACCAAAAACGTCACCCAACTTCGACCCTTTCTGGAGAGCCCTTCTCGCAGCTTACCCTCGCGAAGTTAACATGGGAATCACTCTTGGATCTCGCTATTCCCCTGATACATGCGAGCTCCACCTGGCTACCAGTGCTGACTGTGAGAGAGCGTGCTCTCATCCTTTGGTAGTCGGCGTTTCATCTTTTCCCGCTCAACCGGCTGTTCCCATTGGCACAATTGTTCGCCGTGTTTTCCTGACCAAGCTTCCTCGTGTCCCCTATCCGGAACTTGCTACACAGCTCACGAAATGTATGTCTCCTTTTGGTAAAGTGCGTGAGATCGCCGTTCACGAAACGTATGGGTTTTTTGACGGCTCTGGATATGTTGTCCTTGCCAACACCCCCACTGACGAGGTGCCATCCGATTCCCTGACGTACCAAATAGCATACGACGCTACGCAAAAGATACTCGGTAAGTGGCCTTCGATGGGCTCCCACTGCACTTATTGCAAGGAAATGGGACACGAAGTCACCCAGTGCACTAAGCGCCCAGCCGAAACCCGAACGTGCTTTGGATGCAACAAGATCGGCCACCTGCAAGCCAATTGCCCGCACTCCTCCGATCCATCCAAGACTTCTAAGACCTCAAACAAGCGATCCCGTCACCCCCACCGCAACGTTAAGCTCGATCGACCTATCCGCGAGCCTAAGCCTCTGATTCCGACTGCACTCTCGCTCACCTACGGAGGATCCGAGGCTTCCAAGCACAATCCGCACAAACCTGCTTTGCTTGAGTCTGCAAAACTAACCCTACCGGCAACCCTCCCTGCCATCACGACAATATCTGCGACAACCACGTCCTCCGGCCCTCGTCCCCGAAGTCGTTCTGTTGACACTCCTGTGAAGGGCTGGGACGATGAGATAGACGACGACATGATCACTGACTTCACGGATAGAGTCGAGGCTCGGACTCTCCGTCTTCAGAATGCCTCTCGCCTCTCTCATCTCCGGTTTTCTCGGACAGTACGTCCAATAGGCCGCAACACATCCCTCTCACCTCCTCGCTTCACTCCCCCACATAGCAAGAAAGCCCTCGACGCAGAGGCCAAGATTAACCAATGATAAAAATAGGCACAATGAACTGTAGGGGTCTACCCAAAGTTGGACACCCTGAATCACGCTCCTTTTTTATACGCCACCTACGCTCTCAGGGAATTGATATACTAGCCCTGCAAGAAACCCATGCCTCCTCTTCTATGCTTCAAGACACTTTTGACCAACAATTTCGGTCATCTTCATCTTTATGGTCGCCACACTGTGGTGTTGTATGCCTCTCCCCCCATATTATACTCACAGACCCTTTATTTAGTCCTTGCGGCAGGTGCATCATTACAACTGTCACTCATACTGACAATAAATTTTCTCCATTCAAGATGGGTGTCATCTATGCTCCCGCCTCTCGAACTCCCCGCTATGATTTTCTTTCTTCCTTACTGTCGACACCTGACCTCATTCCATCCAATCCTTCCAACTTCATTTTATTAGGTGATTTTAACCATGCCATTCACTCTAACTACGCTCTCGGACGTCGTGCCCCACTAGCGTGGCTCCAGTTTCTGGACAACCATATGGTTGACTGTGTCACTCCTCCTGGCCAGAACCCACAACCCACCTTCCACCGCGCCTTGTCTTCCACTACAATCGACTATATTCTTGCCTCTCCTGATCTTCACCCTCGCACTACTGACTCCCAGGTGAGATATATTCACCAAAACTGGTCCGATCATTGCCTGTTGACCGTCCGCTTGGCTCTCCCTTCCACCCAATCCTCTGGTAAGGGACTTTGGCGTGCTAACCCCCGACTTGCCAGGTTGACATCTTTCTGCACCGACCTCAACACTCTTCTATCCACCCTCATCCCTGCCCTTCCCGCAAACCTCTCTCCTCAAGCACGATGGGACTCGATAAAGAGCGAAGTCATACGCTTTATCAAGTGTTTCTCTCGCCACCTCCGACCCTCTCTCACCGACCTGGAAGCAAGCCTGCAACAACGGAGAGACAGACTAATACACCGTTTTCGACACCAGCCTGCACAGAATTTTCAGCTGCCTATTGTTGAGCGGCTTCTGCAGCAAGTCCAACTTGAACGAGTGGAGATCATGTCCCTTAGGGCTGGGAAACACTGGCGGGAACAAGGTGAGACCTCTGCTGGATATCTCAAGCGCACCATCGCCACTCGTCAGTCACGCAAGTCAATTGCCAGCCTTTGCCACCCTGCAACAAACGAAATATGTTCCACCCCCGAAAAGATGACCGAAGCAGCTGCCGCCTTTTATGAAGGCTTGTATACCCCGGACCCTATCGACCAATCTGCTCTGGACGACCTGCTCTCTCACCTGCCTTCTGACCTTGGTCTGTCAGAAAGTCGGCAGACTGCCCTCACTCGTCCTCTGTCATTGTCTACTATTCGCTCTGGTGCGTCGCGCACTCCAACCTCTAGCAGTCCCGGTCCCGATGGCTTACCCTACGAGATCCTTCGCTTGATACTAGACCACCCAGTCTGTGGTGATCTGGTTTCGGAAGTCTACAACGACGCCCTATCAAAAGGCATTTTTCCGGAATCCTGGCAATCCACCTGCGTTTGCCTGCTCCCAAAAAAGGGCGATCTCACCTCTTTGAAGAACTGGCGCCCAATTGCCTTGATCAACACCGATGCCAAGGTATTTACCCGATTGCTGAATGCTCGCATGATTACCACGGTCACTTCACTTGTCTCTCCTTACCAGACAGGGTTCGTTCAGGGTCGCTTCATCGCCGATAATGGAATGCTGACCAGGCTGGTCATGGCACAAGCCGCCAAGGAGGGATCAGCTGGTGTTGGACTTCTCCTCGATCAGGAGAAAGCATATGATAGAGTACATCCGGAATATTTTCGCCAAGTACTGACACACTTTCGATTTCCCTCCTCTCTTGTCACCTCGATCTCTAACCTCTTCTTTTCTACTAAATTGCAAATAAATGTGAATGGCTTCCTCTCGCGCCCTTTGCCTCAATCTCGGGGACTACGCCAAGGGGACCCTCTCTCCCCTATACTGTTCAATCTAGTTTTTGAGCCTCTACTACGACGAGTGATCCATGACCAGTCCTTCTCGGGCTTTCAACCATCTGTTCCTGCTGGTCTTTCTCCTCTGTCACCGATCAAACTCCTTGCGTACGCTGATGATTTACTTGTTTTTCTTTCTGACACAGGGCAGTTGTCTCGCCTCCACACCCACCTCAACACCTATGCTGCGGCTTCCAACGCCCGCGTAAATCTTCACAAGACGCAGGCTTTTTCACTTTCGGGCTCACCCCTGCCAGACTGGTCCTCACATCTACGGACCCACAATATTACGGATTGGCATGACCGGACCTCCTCCTCTTCTCTTCGCTATCTGGGATATCCAATTTTCTCCTCCATTGCCCAACGAGACTCATTTGGCCAGGCCCTTCTTTCTAAGATTGAGAATAGCTGTATTCTACACGGCTCACGCACCCTGTCCTTCCGCGGCCGTGCCACTGTCATGAACTCTCTCATTCTCGCCCAACTTTGGCATGTCTTGCGCGTAGTATCCTTCCCCGTCTCTTTTCTCGAAAAAATACGCACTCTGATGCGCCGTTTCTTCCGCTTCCGTTCGTTCCCCCCCATTGCTTTGGACACCCTCTGCCTTCCTCGCTTTCAAGGTGGTCTTGGCATCCTCGACCCGATTACACAGCAATGCGCTCTTCAGCTTCGTTGGCTCAAGCCAATAATCCAGAACCCATTGGGTCCCCGTGGTTTGGTCCCCAAATGGATGGCTTCTCTCCTTCGCACTGAGAATACGGATTGTGATCCCCTTCTACTTTGGATCTTCCCAGACTCTAGACCTCGCACCCATCGCTCACTGGATTCGCCTCTTCATCTTGTCCTGAAGGCCATGGACCACCTCCCGCACAAGTTTGACGACGTCCTCACGAATCTATCCACGTGCCTTATGTTGCCCTTGTCCTCCATGGTTAATAGCCCTCCCTCTCATCCGCCCTACCGACAATCTTGGCGAGACCTGAAGGTTAACCACCTATACCAAATTGATCATAATTTGGACGTCCTGATGCCCATTGCCCCTGCTAGACCTCTTCCTCGATTTATCACTCTTAATCGTATCCTGCAAAGACTTCTCGACCGTTCACTTGTGGCTCACCCTATCCTTTTCAGAGCTTGTATTCCTACATTCATCCTAGAATCGCGACATTTGGATATGCCTCCTCGAGATGGGTCCCCCTTTGACTTTGATCCCTTCATCTCTGCTCTGGTCCTCGGCAAACCTTGGTCACGCTTGTCCACGCGCTCTTACCGGCTGACCTGTTCTCATCATCATGCTAATGCTCAACCACTTAGCCCCCATCTTAGCCCTCGCCAACTGCACTCTTTCTGGTCTTTCGCACTTCCTCACCGGGCCCGTAATGTTTGGTTTCGCGGCTTACACAACAAACTATCGTGCCGAGCTCTTCTGCACCACATTATGCCCTTCACTGTTTCTTCACCTCTCTGCAATATCTGCCAGATGTCAATCGAGACGCAAGAGCATTTTCTTCTTTCTTGTCCTTTGAAATCTGCGGTGTGGTTAGGCATTTGGTTAGAATTTTTCGGCACCGTCCCACCACCTTCTGCACTTTCCTCGGCATTCACATCCTTTCTCTTCCCTCCCACGCTGAACCCCAGTATTCCAGCCGCCTCGGTTTTCGGACTGACCATCCTTGCTATCTGGGACCACCATTGGGCACTCCACTTTAACTCTGCTCCCTTTTTACCTTCCTTGGTTCTTGCCACTGCTAGGAAATCAATCTCCCGCATCTGCTCAGAGCTCGAGCTTGACTCCGCTGACTCTTCCCTCGCATAACACCACATTAACATTTTAACAAAAAAAAAAACAAAAAGTTTAAATCACACAAAAACAAGTCAAAAACCAAAAAGCCAAAAACATCAAATAACCCCCATAAACCCTCAAAACAAATGTTGTAATTTTCTCTTTTGCCCTACTCATTCAGAGAACTTTAATAAATCTGAGCCTGTCACAGCTCCATACAAAAAAATATGAGCTGGAATCAACCCGAAAAAAGGGTCATTTCAGCTCATATTTCTACAGCCTAAAAATGATATTAAGGAATTTATAATACTTATATTTTGTCAGCACAGAGAACTTGGTAATATATTCCTAAAATTGCATTGTCTTTATGTATCATTACCGTAGCATGAGATATATTTGTTAGAATATAAATGTCAGAAACAGAACTGTGCAGGCTGGACAAATGTAGTAATTAAACTATTTCTGTAACCCTCTTTTTTTTTAAAAAAAAATTATTGGCCGGCTTCAACGCAAAGCACTATATATATTTCTGCAACTCAACACTTGTATGTATTGTATGACCAATAAATACTAAAACAAACCTTGGCTGATGGCGATTGGAATAATTCAAGATGTAATGTTCTCTACATGTCCAATCTACCTTTGTCATTCCTACTAGCGCTGATCAAAGTTCAAAACACCACCAATGATCTGCCCCTTCAACATTTTGTCATCTATTCATTGAATGCTGTCAAAACTTATCACACTCTCCCAGTGGTATTGGTGTTTGGTACCAACAAAATTTCTCATGTTAGCCTAATTTTGGATTTCCACATGGTTATCTGAACAAAATCCATGGTTATTGACGATTTATTCTTTGATTTTGACAAAGAAATGCTTCATCATATCCAAAGAAAACATTCCCGACAACGATTATCATTCATGTCTCATGAACTCCCTGTTTGGCTTGTCACTCTTCCTGTTGGAGCAACAACTGTCTTTGCATCCCCATACTTATTCTAAAGGCCCGACTGTTATCCTACTTTATCAAATCGCGTTTGCGGAATTATACCCTCAGGAAACATATTAACAATAATTTCAGTTGGCTGTGGAAACGATATACTTAACGAACAAGCGCTTATTTCGAAGTATTCTTGATAAGATTAACTCAAATGAAACGCCCAGCAAGTTTTGACGAATTTGTGAAAAAGACATACAATACAATGATGAAGTAAAGGTCAGAATTGTAGATGATCCGGAATCTTCAAAGTCATCGGATGAACTGGATTTCCCCGAACAATTACCCATGGAACCACCATCAAAGCAAAGAAACTTAAATTCGTTGACTCTATCAAAAAGAACAAAGTATTCGTATGAACTAAAAGTCTTGTCTAAAATCCGGTTATCGTCGCAATCTCCTTGTCATTTATGCTATGGTTTTAAAAAACAAAAAATACGGCGAATAAATTTTGTTTCATATTGTATCGACTATAAAGTTAATACTTGAAAAATAATTATAAAATACTATAGAATTAAATGGCTTTTTCAAAAGAGATCAAAAAGAATTATTTATATTTTATTTACAAATAAAATTACATCTATTCATAATTAATCAAATAATGCAGTTATATGATACATCAATGCTTTTCTGTCACAATTGATCTAGATTGTCCTTCTATTATAAATAATGAATAAGTAAGATGCTGAATCATAAAGACTGATGGATAATTGGCACCTGCAAATGAATATGTCAAGGTCGTGATCTTTGTGTAATTACACTTATATGTTGAAACTTCGTATATAGCATTTTTTCAGATTGAAAGCAAACTGGTTTGATTTTATTTTGTATTAAAGATTTTGCACTCTTTCCAAACACAAAGGAAGAAACGATAAGGAGTGGTTAATTCAGCCTTTTATATCGGTATGCGTTTCCAAGGAAGCAGAATCGAAAATTCGTTGTGTGATAGCTTTATCTATCCTAAGACGCTTTCTTCGACAGCCAGCCTTGATCTTGGCCCAGCATTCTTCAATTGAATTCAAGAATGGAGAGTAGGGAGGTAGATGCACCCACTGATATCCACGCTGCTCGGCAAGTGTTGTTACGTTATGAATACTTCTGTTATCCATTACAAGACGGAAGCCTTTCACTCCACGTTCGTCCAACTGATCCATAACTTGATTTTGTGCCTTCTTGATTTATTGAACTTACTTTTCGACCACTATGTGCTTTTATTTTCTTTGGAGTAGATGTTTTCGAAATTCGAACAGAAAGAGTCCATTGGTCTCTCGATAATTTCAAGGCCAAGAGGGGAACTAAGTACCATGAAATTATCGAGGGATCACTGTAATGTCCAAGTGCTACAAGGTATTTCCAATTTTTTTGTTGATATTATAGCCAGTTATTTTTCTTTAAAAAGAATTGGATTCAAAAGTAGATGCACCACTAGTGATATTTTTTCTTACTAAAAAAGAAGTTATCGGTTGACTGTTAATGATGTATTAGATCGCATCTAGCAACAACATCCCACCCAATAGCTGTACTGGAAGAATTTCTTACTCTAAAAGTTACAGAAAAATATTGCCAGAGCACAATAAAGGCTTAGATATCTATTATATCCATACCATACCTATGTTATTAGCTGTATTTTATAAAGTAATTATTTCATTAGATCCTATAACAAAAATCAATGTTTATCATAATCGCCAACTATCAGTGTTCTAGTATATTATATATTACTATGGGAAATGAGTAGTGCTTCTGGCGGAGATTTCGGTAAATGCTTATAATACTTTCCAAAATCACCATCAGAACCACCACCTTTTCCCTATAGTGTTTTCATAGTAGAGTACAACTTTTTTATAATAAACTTCTATATGTAAAGTTAAAGAATCGTTAGGCCTTATGGGATTTTAGTATTCTTAGATTCTGTGAACTCTGAAATGTTCTTTCCATTATTTATAAACTATTTATGTAAGATACTCTGTTATCTCAAATACAGTGTTTATACTAATCTTAATATATTAATAAAATGTAGGGTTAAAATAGGCCTCAAAGTCATATTAACGTTGGTTTATGAATTAGCTATTGCATTGTATATTACGTGACAGGTAGCCTATTTCACAATTCAAGTAACTCTTGTAATATAACTTGTAAACAGAATACAAGGAATATAAAAAAATAAAGAAAATATTGAATGGCGTCAAAAAGTACCCCTCTGTGCTCCATTTCCAATACATGTTATCCTAGCTATCAAAAACCAAATTGTCTTTATCAGCGTCGTTTTATGCGTGTTTCTGACAGCAAGTTTATGTAAGCCAGGTTTGTAGGACAGCTGTTACACTATAGAAGTCTCTCTAAGCAGTATATAGTTAGCACGGTAAGCTGCGTTAATAATTGTCTATTTGTTCTTTTGTGAGAATTGCGTGAGACCTAATTACAATATTGACTGGTCAGAAAAAATAGTACATGAAATATATTACTGGTCCGAGTGGCTAGTGCTTAAAGTCCGTGCACAGACCTAAAACATAGCAATAAGCAATCTTTGAAGGTGTATAGATAATTAATACAGGTATTGGAGAATATATAGTATACTAGTAATATGGTAACCAAAAGTTATTGATTTGCTTTCTTTGTTTTATTGGCTGTCACGATGTTAACTCACAGAATTTATATAAGCTTTTATTAGAATAGGTGCTCGCCACCACCCGGAAATTTTTCAATTTTGAAGATTTAAGCACTGTTTTTTGTTCCCAATCTATAAAACCCCTCAAAATAATCAGGATCCCAAAAGGGAACAAAATTTCAAAAAGGAAAGGGATATCGACGATTTTGAAGTTACAAAATACATCTACTCAAAATAATCAGGGTCAAAAAAAGGAAATCTAAACTACCACCACTCTTTTTTTGGGTTTGATATTTAAAAAAAAAGATTACTAGGAGAAAAATTAGTTATTTTAGTATTTATATTTACTCTTCCAAAACGAGACAAGAATAAAAAGCAGGTTATAATCCTTTTGGGATATTTGAGATGACATTCAATTTTCGATATCGATATATTTACAGGTGGTGACGAGCACCTAATGCTATCTTTAATTCACCCAACTCTCCCATTTTATTTCTATTCTTAAAAAAATAATTGTACTACAAATGGACATAATATCTTTATTGGATTACGGGAAAATAAAGGAACTCTCGGGAAAAATATCGTACTCGGTCTCAAACATAAATTAGCTTCTTTGTGGATTTTACTGGTCTCAATCGATGCATGATCTCAAAAAGGAAAAAAATATACTAATAACAATATTTAAAATAAAATATTTTGGATTTAATTTAGTAGATGAACGATAAAATAGGAATATTCCTTATGCTTTGTAAAGAGCATATCTAAATTAAACTTGCAAATCAAGGTCTTGATAGTTAATTTTTACAGAATTCTTGCACTGTTTGCTTTAACCGTCAAAGTCTAAATAAGTTCGCGTCAAATCCACAAGATATCTCTAAAGAAATGTATGCATTAGTTAATGTGATACGACAACATGCGGTATTTCGCAATCTTTATGTCATTCAGAAGAATACACAAGTGCCTTGGCATGCAAAATAAGACAAGACAGTATGAAACAAGCATGTGTCTCAAATTCTGGTAAGCATCGTAAGACGGCATATGTCTGCTCATGATAGTTTGTTTATGGTTATGATAAGAAGAAGCTCTTTAGAGACAAAATAAAATCTGATTATAATATCTATAGGCTCAAGTTTCATACAGGTTAAATCACTATTGTAGCTGTACAATTCTTAGGTGTGAATATAGGTATTATATATATATAGCCCTAATTTAGAACCCAAGAACTATTGCAATAAACGTAATTAAAGAATCTAGATATTGATTCTTATTTTCATTATTATTTTTTGTGTATATACAGATACTAAATAAAGAAAGAATAATAATAATAAACAATTATTGACAATTACTACCCTTAGTTTGAGATATCTTCTTGACAAAAACGACACAAAATGTCTCTAGAGAAATGTCAATCAATAAAACAGTTGGGTATTTATGTTCAATGGCGGTATAAGAGAAGCAAATCAATAGGTTTAAACTCTAAATCTATAGTTCATCTATTTCAGAATTGGGCTAATTACTCCAGCTAGATTAGACATTGTAAAACAATATTGGCGTAATGTGCTTGCAAGCACTTTCTGATTGAGTGGCTTTGTTAGGTACCTAAATATTAGAAATTAGAAATGATGGATTCAAAATAAATAAAAGATATTCTTTTTTTATAGCATTAAGAGAAAGACAATTACCCGTCCATGCCAGCATTCATACAGGTTTCTTTTGCACTTTCTTGAACGTCTGCCGTCAAGGCGACGATGGGAAATCGGCTCGTTCGACCATCTTCTTCCTCTATCTTTCGTATCCGCTTAGTAGCTTCCACTCCATCGCACTATAGTAATTAAAGAAAAATTAGCCCTATGAAGAAATTTCGTCTAGTAGATTTACTTTTGGCATATGATGATCAAAAAAAGCCATGATGAAGAATCCAGTAGGATGATTTGTCCATGCCTCTACAGCTTCTAATCCATTATTGGCGCATTCGACTTGGAAACCGAAACGTGTAAGCTGTTTAAACAGCAATTTTTGAGCAACTGGATTGTCTACAAGTACAAATGTGTTATTGATATGTTAAGTGTGTATCCAACCCCAAACCCACTTGTTTATTACCTTCTGCTACCAATATATGCATCGTTTTGTATAGAGCACGCTCTTCTTCCGTGACGAGATCACTTCCCTTTGGTTTAATTGCCTTCACATTCCGACGTGGCGAGTGTTTGTCCATAATGTCTGCAATTGTTCGTATCAACTTCTTACGTCTCAAGGGAACTGCCATTCTAATACACTCTGGAGGAAGTGCTTTTGTAATTGGCTCAACCCATTGGCCTCTTTGGTGCAATTCAGATACAATTCCACTCGGGTAGTTCATTATTATCAGGGTGCCATTTCTAACATTCTTAATTATGTCTTCAATCCACCCCTTGGACTCCATAAACTCTTTTGTCAAGAATAACCCAAGGACCACAACATCGTACTGCGTTGATTCCAATCTCTGAGAAAGCTTTTCAACTGAATCTACACCGTCGACAAGAATACCAGGCAACATGTGACGAATCATGGTAATTGTCGACTCGTATTTTCCAGCCACAAGTATTTTGACATGTCTAATTGCACGCATAGTCTCATCTATCTCTTTGACGTGCGCAGGCACCATCAAATTTCCATCTTGGTCACGAGCTTTGGCTAACTTTACAGTGAAAAAGAAATTGGACCCTTTTCCTGGGACACTCGACACATCAATGAAACCTGACATTAACTGAACAAGTTGAAGACAGATTGATAGACCAAGGCCAGTGCCACCATATTTACGCCTTTTGTGCGTGTGTTTTTTTTTGTTTGATTTGCAAGTAGAAAGTTGATTTGAGTACACACACTATTAAAGTCGATATTTACACACAAAACTTACGTAGTGCTGCCATCTACTTGTGAGAATGGGACAAACAGAACCTTGCGCTGATCTTCACTAATTCCAATGCCAGTATCTATAACTTCAAACAGTATATCGACCTTATCATCACATTTTGAGTGCGGCTTTTTCTTGTTGACTGAGCAACGAATACTGATCTCGCCTTCGTGAGTGAACTTAATTGCGTTTCCTAGAAGGTTAATAAAGATCTGACGCAAGCGATTTCCGTCTGCCATAACCACAGGAGGAACATCGTCATCGACCTGGTAACTGATATAAATCTCCTTTTGAATGGCCATTGCTACCAACATCTCCACAACATCCACAATTATATCTTCGAGAATGACTGGAGATATGTCCAGTGAAACCTTTCCAGCCTGTAGTTTTGAAAAATTGAGCAGATCATCAATAATCTGCAGCAGTATTTCACAGGATTCTTTTGCTGTCCTGACTAGATCACTCTGTTCTGTGTCAAGATTTGTCTCTGACAAGAGTGATATCATGCCGTAGAATCCAGAGAACGGGGTACGGATTTCATGGCTCATATTAGCCAAGAATATTTCCCGTAGTCGGGTGGCCCTCACGGCTGCTTCTTTACTCTTTCGAGCATCTTCAAGGGCTTGTTTTTGCATCTCAATCATTCTGATAGATGATGAATATTAATATACATATCAATTTGGATTTTTATATATATATATATATATATATATATGTATTACCTCATATTAGCCATAGTCACTCTCTGAACTGATTTGAACAAAAAGGCGTTAGTTATCGAAATTCCCATTTGCTGACAGAGTAAGCTCAATACGGTTATGTGGCGTTGAGTGAATATGCCACTAGATCCTTCGATGAATAGACAACCAGCAATAGAACCCTTGTGGATAATCGGCATACATATGACAGATTTTGCTCCGGCTCTTTCGAACCAGGGACCGACTGCAAACCGGGGATCTTGTTCAATATCATGAATAAATATGCTTTCGGCAGTGTTGATAGTGTGGTTGATTATACGATTGGAGACTAAATCGTCATCGTCGGAAAGAGGGCGCGGTGGGTCAAAAGTCATGGATCCTTCTTGCTGACTTCCATATGCATACACACCGTAACGTTCTTCTTTAACAATAATTGCACCACAATCCGCACCTGAATTTTCCTATACATACATACACACACACACAAAAATTAGGGACAAACAGTGTCTGTTACAGAAAAACCAGAAACGTACCAGTATAATTGACATCATTGACTTTAGTAAACCGTCGAATTTGACTTCGGAGGACATAACTTGCGAACTTTTTAGAATCGAGGCCATGTCAAGCTAAGAAATATACAAGTGTGAGCGAATTGATGTGATGTAGTATTTTTCAACTTACGATATCCAATGTCAGCAATGTTTGTTCTGTAGTGACGGGAGGAATTGTTTCCGAGACATAAGGCTCGTTTACAGGATTGGTGTTTTCCAAAGAAGAAGTGCTCCAAGAGTTGTGCGGACCCATAAATGGGATAGGGTCTGTCTGGATACCCACATCTTGGGTCTCGTGTCGGTTGTCATCATAGAGGCTCAGAAGCTCATTGAATTTTATTCCCAAGTGCCTTGCTTTTCCGTAAGACCCGTGGCTCATGTAAAGATCGATTGCCTAATATAAACACATAAATATCTACACAAACACACGCGCACAAAGTACGCGAAAGTACTCTTACCTTTTTAATGAACCCATAGGCAACGTTGTTCATTCCGGCTCTCTTGTAGAAACCACCTGCGTATTCATGAGCGATACTCAATTCTAGATACCAGCCTCCTTCTCTCGCCAAGTTAATGGCCTCTTCGTACAACATGCTTGCCTTGGGGAAATCATTATTTTGTGCTTTGAGTTCGGCATCTACTAGAATATACCACGCGTGATAATTGATAATGCTGTGAGAGCTCCACAGTCTGAGAGCAATTTGATTGTCCCGTACACGATCAAGTAAAGTAGTGCACTCCTCGGGAGACACGGTTTCAGATCGAAGTTTTTCCAGAATGGCCAGTGACAGAAAGGTCAACATGAGGCGCGTGTGGCGGTGTAATGGATGGTTATGGATACCTTTGAGCATAGCGCATCCAACTTCGATTGCTTTGGTGTAATGCCCATAGAGTACCAAAGGAATCATACGGAAGCAGTCATACCAGTTCATCGGAACAGCAGGGTTTGCACTTTGCTTGCAGCTCTCTATTACAAAATGTTCGTCGTTAAATCCATCATCTCCGTCAAATATTTCGACTGCGTTATCGTTGAATGTGTGGCCTTGAAGTGCCTTGATAGTTCGTATGACAGACATTATTAGAATATTACTGTCTACAGAAGATGACCAGCTGTGTATGTCATCAAAGCAGATCTCAGCCTCTCGTAAGCACTCTGATAGATTTTCTCCCACGAAGAACATGGTAGTTGCGATGTGCAGCTGTGAGAATGAGGCGTAAATACGCTCTCCTCCAGACAAGGATAGACGAAGGGCAGAGCGATACCATGTCAGAGATTCCTTGTAGTGATATTTCCACTGAAGTAAGAAATTAGAATATAAAAAGATACACCGGCCTTTCTCTGCATTATTTCCATGATTTTCAGTTATGGAAACTCCAGCTGCACCAAGTTCCTATGATTTCGTTTGTATTAGTTCAGCTTATCTTGTGTGTGTGCATAACTTATATATATATATATATATATATATTTCAATGGCCATACCTCTCCATATTCAAACATTTCAAATGCCTGGACGGCGCATATACCCATAAAGACCATACCAATACCAGACACAGATGCCATCCCTTTTGTTAAGGATAGGTGAACAATTCTACAGGCCAAGTAAAACATATCGGTTTGATTTCCAAGCCAATAAGCTACAGTGCATCTAAAGATTATTATTATTATTTTTTAAAAAAACAATAATAAGAAAAAACAAATGAGTGTTGTGTGTGTGTGTGTGTGTGTGTGTGTATGATAGATGGGCCAGATTCGACACAGTAACATAAATAACCAAAAAAGAAAAAGAAAAACTTACAACTCTTCAAGTATACTCATTATGGCTATAAGCTTCTCGTCTTCACATGTTGGGATTTGCATCACTTTTTCGATTCCCTTTTGAGCAATCAATTCCTTGACCGCATTAAATTCTTTGGAAAGGGTTTCGCGCGTATTTCCTCCCTCTACTTTTTCAGCCCCGAGTTCGGAAAGACATTGGTGGAGAGCGTTACATGCTTCAAAGTGCATTTGGCGTGCAAAGTAATACTTGTGCTTGATTCTGTAGGCCGTCACTCGATCGAGAGAACCGACTGCGTGTTTAAATACTTCTTCTAGCAGACTTTCGGTGTGTTCATATTCGCCTACAATCCAACTGAGAGAAACGGCATTCACGTAGATATAATGGGTGACTGGGTAGGATTCTTCTTTCCATGGGTCATCTCCTAGTAATTTGATAGCTCCTATGTAGTAGGAAAATGCCATTGAGTGTGCTCCAGACGATCGTGCCTTGTTTGCTGCACTCAAAAAGATTCTCATGTATTTATGTTTTTCTTGTATAGAAGTTATCAAATCTATACATTTCAATAAATGGTCTGCCACTAAAAAGCAATCAACTTTGTTCTCTACAAAATATTTAAATAAAATACAACAAACATATTAACTTGGCTATTATATATTCTTAGTATTAGCGTTGTTAATTTTTTTTTTACCTTGTATTAAAAACTGTGAGATCTTAAAATGAATCCTTTCTCGTGTTTTTGGATTTGCAAGCTCCATAGCTGCTTGTGAGTACCGATCGTGAGTCCATTTGAACTCATCACTTTCTAAAGGAAGAATATACCCTTCTTGTATGGCAGCCTGGAGCCCATTTATGGGATCTTTTTTCCATGAACTATCGCTTTTTTTCTGGTTGTGATCTTTATTTGAGCTGTTGCTCGAGTTCTCGCTGTTCGTTACATTAGATTTCTCGAGGAGTGGATGAAGGGGTTGGTCGATATTCGGATGTTTTGGCGATTCGTTTGTTTCGCCGTCTGAGTCCGAGAATTCTGATTCTTGATCTGAAGTGATCATTAAATGCTTGACAGTATTCCAGGAAAACCTGTCGCCGACAAAGGATGCCCACTTCAAAAGGCGCTGACCATCCATTGGTAATTCGCGTAGTCTAGCGACCAGAAAGCCGATGTCGAGTTCAGCATCTTGGTCCGAATCATCAGGGGACATTATAGCCTGATTGATATCTGTAATGTTGTAGTCCCATTCGTTTTCATCCCAGTTGAAGAAAATCAACTTCTTTTTTTCGAGAGCCAAGAGCAGCTGTGATACGTAAAATGCATTTCCTCGAGTCTTTTTGTATACAATTTCAGCCAAGGGTAAAACAGATTCTCGGCTAATGTCGTGAGGTCTGTGCAATGCGTCGCTTATGTATTCTACCAGAGAGTCGAATTCGAGTGCGTCGATTTTCATGTAATGGATAGTAGCCAGGTCACACTTGAGAATACTCTCTAACTTCTCGGTAATTTCTTGATCACGGTAAGTAACTAATAGTAACATCTTGACTCTTGAGGTGATTAGGGATTGTATAAGCTCCAACGAAGGCTCATCTGTGTATTTTTTTTTTAAGAAAAATAATATAATTTTATTAGTTTTTTTTTTAAAAAAAATAATATACGTTTGTTAAATATCATTGATAAGCTTACCTGCTTGGTGAAGGTCATCCAAGAACTTTTTTTTATTTAATTATTTAATTTTTGGTTAATAAACAGTTACAAATTAATGAAACAAAAGTACACCTTACCAAAGTAACCATACGCCAATGTGTTAGAGATCGAAAGACTTCGACAAATAGATTGTGAAACCGTACGCGAGTCTCAACATTGTCCATGTGAACGATTTGGAAGGATTCTTTGGTGCAATTAATTTTTGGGTCAAGGAGTGGTTTGAGTTCTGGAACAAGATTGGCTAAAAGTTCGACGTTGCAGAATTGGGATCCAAGACTTGTCTGGAGATGCTTGTAGAATTCCTCAATTTCGTCTCCAGATTCTGACAAGATTTGTTGTAAGATTTGAGAGAGTGATCGAAGTATGCATCCATAAGGTACTTTGTGACGAGAATCAAATTTTGTCATAGCCACATAGCTTGATTATTATTGTGATTGTGATTGTGATTATGATGATGATGATGATGATGATGATTATTATCGTTTGGTTATTAATTATTAATTGTTATTATTTTGGAGAAGAATACAAGTACAAATAAAAATTGATAGATATATGGATATATAAGTATATATATATATATATATATATATATATATATATAGATAGATAGATAGGTAAATAGGTAAATAGGTAGAGATTTGAGTTAGAATCTAAATCATAAATTTTTCAAGGATTTACCTACCTACTCTGTCGAGCAACATTCTGGACAGCACTCAGTAAAGTTGATTTACCGACACCTCCAGGGCCGTATACTGCAATAATCTCTGTGCCTTGTTTATGTGATTTTGAGATAGTTCGTCCAGTAGTACTGGACACATCACTTCCATCTAGCCCACTACAATAACTTGGTGTAGCGTTTGACTTTCCGCCTGTAGCACTTACAACTTCCGGAATAGACACAGATTCGGTAGACTCTATTGTACTATTGTTACTTGGGTGCATATCAGTGGTAGGATATGAAGAGCTTGTGGCGTAAGATCTTTCGCGATGGCGCAAACATTTGTAGACTCCGGAAACTCGATGAATTATGTAAGTCATCTCGACGATCATGTTTTGTCTTCCATACACATGTTTTGGGAGAGTGAATACAGAGGCAATATCGTGCTCAGCAAGAGGAAACATTCCGACAGACTACCAAAATGAAGAGGTAAAATAATATATATATTAAGGTAAGTATATAATTTTGAAGGGTATTAGTGGTAAGAAAAAGAAGAATAAATAGAAGAACATATGTTACCTCTGTAGATGACTCCGAGGAGCTCTTCAGGCGCTTTAGGCATTCTTTTAAGTCTGAATTTATGCCGTAAGCACTGGCATAACGGTCATCTGGGGACTATTGATGCGTTAATTATATATAAGTGTGTGTAATTATGAGTGTGGTTTCATTTTTTTTTACCAATTATCATGATTTTGATTATTATGATTATTACCTTGTTTGTCATTTTCTCTATGATCCGAGCGATTACTTCTGGTATATTGAATTGTATATCGTTTACTAAAGGCATCTTGCGACTGAGAACACTGTTGATTATTTCAAGGGGTCCTCCGTCAAATGGACTTCGACCTGTCAGAATTACAAAGAAAACTATGCCTAGAGAGTAAATGTCGGATCTGTGATCAGGAGTGTATGTCGTTCGGCCCGTTTGTTCTGGACTCATGAAGACCAAAATTTTCTCTAGCATGGACATGGAATCTTTATTATTGGCAGTTTTGCGCCACCCTTCGCTAGTCAAATAGGTTTCGAGTGATTTTGATCCAGATCCAAAATTCCATAATTTTACTCTACTTCGGTCTTCTCCGGTCCATTGAAATGCAGAGAGTCTGATTTCTCCATGGACTACGTTGTGTCTGTGAATGAATTCGAGACAGTCTGTGCATTTGATAGCGAAACGAAGAAAGGTACTCAAATCGTAGGTTGGTTCTACAGTCGATACTCCGGTTTGTAATCCGTGCGAGTACGTATCGGATAAAGTGTTGTTTGATATTCGATTTGATCGTCGTCCGTCGTTGTGATTTTTTTGTTCATGTGTGTAAAGATCATTTGCGTCATGATTATTATGGTTATTATGATTGCTGTTGTTGGTGGTGGTAGTGGTAGTAGTGGTAGTGGTAGTTGTGGTAGTTGTGGTTGTTGTGGTGTTACTCTTGCCAGTCTCATCAGAATAGCGTCGCTTGTCAAAGTAATTTTGACCTTCGTCCGCATAAATAACTACAGTTAGTCCGCTCGGTAGATTGAGATATTCGAGTGGACGCACTGAATGGTAAAGTATGATCGATAGTAAGTCTATTGTTATTGCCTTTTTTTGTGAGGTTGTTTTTCAACTTACCCAAATAGGATGGGCCGTCTGTTAATTGGTAGAGTCGTTTCATGATGTAAAATTCTCTTTCGAGCCGGAGAGAGTTTGTAGATACTTTTGCGACTACAGGCTTCTTGTTGGAGATTCTAAACAAATCGCATGTCAGTCAAGGCTTTTGTTGTTATTTATATCTGCTGTTGTTGTATATTTACCTGTAGCCATAAATAATGTCAATACTTTCCCCATGAACTAGACTTGGAGTGGGTGCTGATTTGAAATGATAGCCAGGGATCTGCAAATTATCTCCAATTACGCTAAAGTTGGTTTGCTCATTGTAGGAGATGGTAGATCCTGAATTCGACATTGTGAAAGCTTTCTTACTTCAAGAAGTCTAGGAAATAAAGAGAAAGAGATTAAGCAAAAAGCTTCTTTATTTTTAGTGCGATTGAATCAAGAAAGCAGGCCAATCGAGAATCGAATGGCGAAACAGGCTTCTCGGTATCCCTTTTTTTTATATTATATGTATGCATTTATTTTTATTTATTTAGTTATTTTGGTAGACAGCAAAATATTAGAAAGTGAATCAAGACAATATAAGCAATACTTACTTGGTTTGCGTTTCTCTTAAGAAGAAAAAACTTGTTCTTTTTTTGTCTTTATTTCTATCCTCAGTACTGATACAATGAATAAAGGTATGGGTTGCTTTTAACGAAGACAATAACAAAAGATAGAGACCAAGGGTAAATCAATAAGAATTATTTGGTTAAAGCTAGTTATGTTAAGGAAGCAAGAGATAAAAAAAAAAAAGGGAAAGAAGGAGAAGGAGAAGGAGAAGGAAAGTGAAAGAGAGAGAGAGAGAAAGAGAGAGAAAGAGAGTGAAAGGATAGACTATTTTTTTAGTGTGTTATTTTTTTTGTATTTTTTTTTTAAAAAAAGAAACTCAATGGGGTTGCATGGCTCACCTAAAGAAGACTATAGAGAAATATAGAAAAAATGTGTGTGTATGTGTGTGTGTGTGTGTGAAGTGAGAGAGAGAAAGAGAGAGAGAAATTAGCCAAGCAAAAAAAAAAAAACCAAAAAAAAATCGGGGAACTAGGCCATCATCATTAAACAAATATGATATCTTTCTTTACGCTTCTTTTTTGTATTATTTTTTCAAACCCATCTGTCCCACACAAGTCTTGTAAGTTGTTAAAGTCACATTGAGTCTAGATGACTGAAGCCAAGAAATGGGTCGGTCTAACTGGTAAAGAAATTTATTTTGGGCACTTAAATGTGCCCACATTTTCATATCCTATTGTATTCTATTGTATTATGTAACCAGAATATCTTTTGTAATATAGGCCAATTGAACTAATAAGTAATGCTAGGAAAATACTATTGATTGGTGATAGAGAAATATTCTATCAAAGGCTACAGTTAATTAATTAGATTCTAAGGTAGTTCTTATATTTTATTTTAAACTTTTTTTTTAGTTTATTTTAAAGAGAGGTGGATGAAACACCCAGCTAATGGGCACAATGTTCTGATTTAGCTTGTGACAGGGTATCAATAGAGTATAAGGTTAGGAGATTAAAGACAAAAGAAGCGTGAAGAGAGGAGAAGGAGAAAAGGGGTAGAGGAGGGTGGAGAGGTACCCTGTAAAAGGGTTCTTGTTCTATGAGGAAATGTTTGGAATAGATAAGTCAAATAAATGAAATTGGCAGGTAAACAGGTAGGTAGGCAAAGTGAAATAATTTGACCAGAAAGATAAATATGGTAATGAATAACCATTTCCACCACACTGGTACTAGTAGCTTGAAATGGTTCGTGTATTTTTGATACTGTAAAAAAAACATAAAATTGAATCAATAACACTAATACTAACAATACAAGTCCGATTTTACTACTTTTATAAACATGGCAAAATATATAAATTCTATATAAAATACGAGCAATTCTATAAATCTGTATATCTTTGTTTTGAATATATATATATATGAAATACAGGAAATTATGATATTTTATCGATATTTATTGAATTTGTCCATACCCACAACACCGTTATCAATATCGAAAATACTGGATATTCAAATATACCTTATTTTTTTTGGTAACAATAAAAAAACGTTTTTTTATATATATGCCATATATTAAAAGGCTAAAATTATAAAATCTACTACTATTTATTATTTTATATATTTTCTAGAATATATACAGATTTTTGATTTTTACAAATATATACATTTATACATATATATATAATCAAGGGTGACTGGGTCTTTAGTACCATGTTCATCAGAGCAATATTTTCTATAGTAAATATCAGATGTTAAACGATAGTAATAGCACATATAAATAATTTTTTTCAAAAAAAACTATATCGATTAATAAGATTTTTACAGCCGGATCAGACTGTTTATGGTAATGACTAGATAGTCCAGATTATTAATATATTTTGAATACTGATACATAAATAAATTATAATATAGAAATATAGAAATAGCTAAAGAAAACGAAAGAAAATGAAAGAAAAGAAAGGAAACGAAACGAAACGAAACGAAAAATTGGTTTGAATTATCATTAAATAACAATTTATCAAAGTACACACACACAATAAATCAGCAAGAATAAGAATAATGAACAACTCCAGAAAGAAAGTAGAAAAAAAACATCGCATAGGTGTGCAAATGAAATTATCTTTACTTGTTTCTCTAGCTTTATATAATATGTATAATAGTATTCAGAGAACTATTACGTTACTTAAATTTTTTTTTGTTACATTCAAAAGAAAACAGACACTAAAACCTAATAATTATTATTTTTGACCCGCGTTTTATTGATCGGCCGTTGCTGATATAAAAATAATAATAGAAAGAAAAAAGGTAAAAATCTGGGTATTTTATCGTAAATTTATAGGCGATCGTTTTAACTGTTTATTTAAGGCGGAGGCTGTACAGATCCGAAAAGGATCTTTTGTGAAGTTTGGTGCTTTGCTTTGTTTTACTTTGATCTTCCTTATAATAACCCCCCCCCCCCCCCATTATCTTTCTCCTAATAAAGATAAACTTGCTTGCAGTCAACCACATTTCTTTTTACATTTAATAGCTACATACTCAACCGATGTTCTTGCTAATCAAAGACCTTAAATACATTATCCATTGATAGATATTAACAAGCAATGTATATATATATATATTCATTTACAAAAGAAGCCTTATATTATTACTGTAAATCCACAATTTATATCGTTTCTTTTCCTCTCTTCCTCTCTCTCTTTTAATCCATTTGGAAACGGTTGGTTTGAAGGACATTTAGTCTCGACTTTAACATGGTCGCTGAAGCAGAATCAATAGTATCTGTGCCATCTTGTCCTTCAGTCCCACACAAACGGACCCGGATATCATCCCAAGTTTCTCTAATCTCGCTATCAAATTCATTATCCATATCTTGAAGAATCTACAATAGAAATTATTATTATTATTATTATTATTTGATAATCAGACACAGGTATACCGCAGATTTCAATTCAATTCAATCCAATTATTTGGATATATAAATATATATACCTATATATACATATGGGTGTGTATTTACCTCTTGTTTTTCACTTTCCATCAAATCGACAATTGTCTGTGTACGCTTCTGTTTAAAATAACCCTAAAAATATGCAATAAAAATAATACAATTAATATACATAATTATAACCACTAAAAAAAACATTTCTTTAAATTAAGATTACTTCGACATCGGTATCTTTAATAGGTTGTCGATATTCAGTAGGTTCACCAAGGTAGATCGTGCCTAATTCGCGAGTCAGCACTTGTGTGTTAACTCCTGCCTGAGCCAGAAAGTAATGACTAATTATCAAAGCATGAGTCAAGATGTGGGACGAAGCGTAAATGATCAAAAAATAGTGACAATAACAACACTAATCATAATTATCGTAATAATAATAATAATACAGACAAAGAATGACATGACTCACGCTTTAATATCAAGACCATTTCCTGAAGGTGCGCTATTTGCTTTGAGGGTTTGTGATTGTGTTGCGATTTGACTTAAGCCACGTTCCAATGGGGCTAATTCCTGAGGATTGACTTGACTAGCCAAAAGCCTGGACCTCTCCAAAATCTGAGAAAGCGATGAATTTTGACTAGATGTTGATTTGGTCATTGAATGAACTGTGTTGTGTGTGTGTATGTGTGTGTAAAGTACAGTTAAATTAACTAAATGCCAAAGTGACCTAGTTTTGGTTGCAAGATAGTTTGGGACTGCAAAAAATTAAGTGGGAATTAGTGCTGATTTAAATCCCCGTCACAATCTTGCAAGAGCCTTTTGTTTGTCTTGAGCAAACAAATTACTTCAAATCCAATAATGTGTTTACATTTTCTCAAAGGATTCTTTAATATTTTTTAAGGGCAGATCAGTAACATAGATACTAATTTGTGTTTATTTTTAAAAGGATACTTATGGGCAAATAAATATATATATGCGTATAACAGAGAATACTAGGAAGTTAGTTATTTATAAAAAGGTACAAGAAGACCTCAAAGTTTTACAAAATAAAAATTTTAAAAAAATTGTTGACACTCAAATATATATTTTGTAGGCTGCTTAAAAGTCTTAGTTTTCTAAGCATAAATGTAGGTATCAAAAATTCACAAAATACCTTGACTTTCAGCCCCACCATTACGCACAAAAAAAAAGAGCTCAAACTAAATTAAACTCTTGCTGTGTCAGATACGTTTATTTTCATAATAGTACAGGGTTTTTGTTGAGGCGATACATGTTAATTTAAAGAGAAAGATAAAGTTATGAATGGGGTACAGATATATGTAAGATGTATCTCTCTGCGTGTAGAATTTATCTGTTCTTGAAGAAACGAATTATTTTCTGCTTATACTTACCTATATTCGTTCTCTGGCATTCTATAAAAGTAAGAACCAATAAACCAGACTTTGAATAGTGAAAAGCGTCGAGTTGTACTGTGTATTATTATGGAGAAAGAATGGTGATTCCGATAGTGATTTTGGAATTAACGCAATTTGATAAGAAATTTAATGAAATCAAAAACATTTATGGCATAATTTCTTAACGTGTTACGGATTTGATGTTCGCTGCGTTATGTCATTCAATCAACAAGTTTACCCTTTACCGAATCAGTTGTATAATAATCATAATTCACCGTCGTACTTTATATTAGCCAATGGTATAAAAAGCCCACAAGAAGAAGACTCGAGCTTTATTCATTGCTTCAGAATAACTCATCAAAAAAATCGTGTCATTTAGAACGAGACAGTATTTAAGTTTTCAAGAGATGTAAACATAAGATAATAAAAAGAAGATTTCTGAATATATACATATAAGTGATAGCTTTTATCATATTGTACCAAGAGAATAGATAAAGTATCTTTTAAAAAGATAACGATATTTCAAAAAAAATACATTTAGTGTTAGATATATAGATATATAGTAACTATATTTTTTATTACTATCACTAAATCATACCCAATTGACCTATTTATTCTGTTTTATAATGAGATCAAATGAATTAATTTGTTAGATATAATATAACACTTTCTTTTTTCATAATAAGTTGGTTGTTTTTACAATCTTTATCTGACGAAGCTTCTTTTTATTGTAATCATAATCACCGAAACATGACACTTTTATGCAAGTATTACAACATACACTTTTATAGTCTTCCACAGTCACTTATCAAAAAACTATATAAGCTGTCAAAAGATACGTGGATTGCATTTTATATCTCTTTCTGCCATTTTGTTTATTCATCATGTTCGCTCAAAGCTCTTTAACAGCCATCTCTATTCCTTCTGCTTCTGCCATAAGACAAAGATCTTACTCTCAAGGTAAAATTTAATTGAATTTAATACACAAATCAAGATTAATTTTCTAACATACTTTTGTTTTATAGGAGTTCATAAATATCTTTGTAGAAAGTCCCACATTTCCTAATGAAAGTTTCATGGATATCGATTCTGGGTATTGTTCTCTGGACGAGCTTGAAGTTTTGTTTACTGAGCATGGCGATGATGAGGATGATATAGAAATCCTTTTGGACCCTTCCGAACTTGATCTGGAAGATCAATTTGTCTACGAAATGTGCAACATTTCAATCTTTTAAATCAATTTTGTATTTCTTTCAGACGAAAGCTTAACTTGTATCTATATTATTTCATTTCATTCATTACGTCTTAATTTGCATCAAACCCACTCATCATTCATAATAAACATATCTGACATTGGCTACTATATCTCTTGCTCTAATTATTTCTGCTGAAATATTTTCTTTAGTACACTCAATGAGAAGCATTAAATTTTTGAACTATTACATATATACTCTTATATATATATATATAGGGTAGCTTTTTGGCATACATACCAAATTAAAAGCCTCGCCTTTTATGGGCGTGGAAGGATAATCAAAGAGAAAATTCAAAATGTGCATTCAATATACAAGCACTCAATAATAATAGGTCATTGCAACAAATGAATTTTATGTATAACAGCTTTTGAAACCAAAAAAATAGCGATAGGATGTGCATACTACTTTAAAAATATTATATCATTATGTAGTTTATTCTATTCCATTATATTTTGTTCGCTGATATTTCAAGCATATACATAATGAAAGTTGGCACGTAATTCTAATTTCATATTATTGCTCTTACTGATGATAAAAAAATGAGTTCATAAACTAATATTTTTTTGGTTTACTCAAACATTAAGTGAAATAATTTTCTTTTCACCACTCTGTACAGAAGATAGAATCCCTACTAATAATGTTAAATTGGACTACTAAACCTTTGTCATTATCGTGTATACGACTAGTATTTTCCAGAAGAAATGGCTGAGACACAGAGCTCACATTAGTTATGATTAAAAAAAGCCATAATTGTTTACTAAAGACCCAATGCTTTTCTTAATAGAGGATATCATTATATTATATAATTCCATAAATTTTTATCTTGGTCTTTTAATAATTCTGGGCTACATCTAGGTATGCACATTTAGCGGTTTGTACTGTTCCTTTCTATAAGCCCGAGTTTCGTATTTATATCTTGAAATGGGCAAATACTTTCATTGATAGGATCAAGTATGTTATTGTAGCCGAAAATATGTTAGTCCAATTGTGTAGTCTCATCGCACTTGATATAATTACAAAAGCTATACATTAAATGGTCGTTTGTTTATTCAGATATATCAATGGATTTGAGATAAATATATTAGTTAAAGTAAAAATAAGCATTTCTTTTTTAAAAAAAAATGGTTGTTTTTACAATCTTTATTTGACAAAACAGCCTATCATTCTGATAATAATCACTGAAAGATGAGACTTTTATGCAATGATTACATCGCATCAATAACCTGGCCCGTCACTCTTCAAAAAGACTATATAATCTACCAAAAAGTATATGCATCGGATTCTATCTCTCTTTCTGCTATTCATTTTATTCATTATGTCTACCCAAAACGTCTCAAAACACAACTCTACTTCTTCTATTCCTGCCAAAAGGCAAAGATCGTACTCTCAAGGTAAAATGTATCTTAACTGAATACGAAAATAAGAATTAATTTTCTAATATATTTTTATTTATTAGAGTCGATTAGTATCTCTCCAGAAAGCTCTAAATATTCTAACGACAGTTTTATGGATGTCGACTTTTGCAATTGTTCTGCTGACAAGTTAAAGACCTCATTTAGTAATTGTGATGAAGAGGACGACGATATTGAAATTCTTTTAGACCCTTCTCAACTTGATATAGAGGGTCAATTCGTGTATGAGATGTGCAGCATTTCAACCTTTTGATTTTGTTTATCTCTCTTTTTCTCTTTCTTTCAAACATAAGTCTGGCATGTATTCAAACTATTCCATCTTATTTATTACTTTCTAATTTGATCTCAATCAACTTGTAATTTATAATAAAATATGTGTTTCCCATTGATATCGATATCTTCTTTGTTACAATCCTTTCTATTAACGACTTGCTTTGTGTATGTGTGCAAAAGCAATTAACAAGAACAAGTAGAAGTATATAAGAACCGGATTAGAATAGGTCATTATAGCGCAGGAATATATACACAACTATTTTGTATAAGAGTCTTTAAAATAACCTTGTATTAATATAGCTTGCGTATACTACTTGTAAAATAGAATAGTATCATTCTGGCAATTCTATTTTACAGCCACGGCTCGAAATAGTGATATTAGGGAAGAAATCAAATAACATATCTCTACCACTATATAGAGTGTTATAATGACTACTTGGTGACCTTATTTTTCATTTTGTTTTTTAGTAATAGCGTATAAACTCATATAAACAATTATCATAATATCTATATTTTACTAAATCAATCAATAATAGAAAACATTACTTTTTAACTCACACATCATAGCTCGTCACTTTTACTTAACAGCAACAGTACTAGATACATAGAGTGCAATGTTTAGTAAGTATTATTGAAATTATATGATTTTTAAGCAACTTGAAACACTTTCAGAAAACACTTTTTGTTCGCTTGTATATGACAATATGTTTAAGAAATGTTTTTATTAATCTATATTAACCTTTTGTCTTTTCTTAATATAACATATTTCTCAATGTCTTCAAAATTAGGTAATTAAACAAATAAATTCTGGTAGAAGTTTAAAGAAAGTTGACAGTATTAAAATGACAAGGGCAGAGTATCTTTTGAGCACTTGTACTTTGTGGTATACACACCACAATTGAGTGAAGAACAGACCCCACAACCAAACACTGGTTCCTTCTTGCTAATGAACCTGGCAAGTTAACAATCTCCGGAACTGTTACACACCAGGCACACGTACACTACACACTCATACAGTGTAAACCAACCATTACACAACAGGGATTTGAATTACAGGGATTTGAATAGTAGCAGATAAAAACAATATTATTTTGTCTCTTTAATAAATAACACTCTCACAGTATCTACTTTTCCCATTATTGAGATACTAACCCATAAACAGTCCCGAATACCTCATACTTAAACAAAATAAAAAACAAACTACATCAATTAATTAGCTGTAGTAACTGGAATATATCAAAATTTTATTTAAATTCATAAAATTCAATATGAGAAAATACATGTCTTTTATAACATTAATGTCTTGGTACTCAATATACTTTGTCTGTCAAATGATTTTTAAAGCCTGTAATATAAAAATGCTTGTAGGTAATGATGATTACTTCTTAAATACACCCAAATCGATTTTTTTGTGCACAGTCTGTGTAAATACAATGAGCACGTTTACTTGTGTATACACCTCGCCACGACTTTTCTGTCTTTCTTTCAGACACGCATTTTTTATACCTTTCCATCTCTCTCATTCCAATGCATCTCCTTTACAATCTCCATGCAGATTAGCCAAATTCAGTTATAAGTTTCACGCCATTGCTATTCTCAAAAATTATTTTGAGTTTTCTTAATGAACTTTATAGATAAAAACGACCCATAAAATCAAACACGGTAATCAACACAACGATAAGAATACCCATATTATATTATTTTATATTAATCTTCAGATTTATTTAACTAGATTAATTTTTCTTATTAATGAGACTTCCTAATTACAACATTAACCTCTTCAATCAAGTAAAAAAAAAGTTTGAACGCGTATTTTTTTATTAGTCAACAACAGTTTAAAAAATATTTTATTTATTTATTAAAGATATACATAAAGAAGCTATTTTATTTTATATGATTTCACTTAATGTTTTTTTACATGAGTAAAAAAATAAAAAGCATGACACCAAGTTCTTTGTCCCCGCATTACGCGGCTCAATCTCCCTCAGGACGTAAACCTGACTTGGTAGCGAAGGAGGTGTGGGAATGGTGTTAATCCGTGGCGTAAGACAACAACCGGGTTCATCCCAACTGCCCTATCTCATCACTGAGAAGGGCCTGCGAACGTACCAGAGAAACCTACCACAAAGTAGCAGGGTCCAGCGTGTTCGACTACCAAGCAACACCGTCAGTTCCAAAGAGCTTCGAACAAGGATTTCATGAAGAGTCGGCAGTAAACTCCACTTCCTCCCCGTCCTCCACTCAATAAACTTTCATGATGCTAACTCGGCGGCAGCTTTTTTTAAACATTGCTCGTCGCCATTGTTTCAGAAATTATACAATTAAATTCACAATTCAGAACAATGTTGATCTGCGCCTCTAAGAATTAACCAAGAAGCTAGAGACGACGCACTTCCGCTTTTTCCTGCACAGAATGGAAAAAGAATGTCTCCCAATCGACCCATAGGTAGCGCGTCAAACTCAACTACAGGCAATCAGGGGGTACCCGTCTCCAGAGTATAAAAAAAGCTAAAGAGAAGAAAACCGTGTCGGTTGAATGGGCTTTATTTTGATATACCCGCAGTCTGCGACTAAAGTTTGGGACTGCGCTTTTTTTTGCCAGGGGTGTTTTTTGCCTCCCACGTCAGAGCAGTGACATAGCTGTATACTCTTTTTTAGTAGGATTGTGTAACTATTCTATGACAGTAGTAGAAGCTTATAAAATTTAACTAAAACATTTGTGCAAAATATCTTTGCAAAGTAAAGTGAAGCAAAGAAGTAAAGAAGTAAAAAGAGTAACGAATGGTTTAGTTTTAATCGGTATAGCAATAACTCTTAAAATGGAGTACAATTTTCTATAACGGCGATTCGTAGGTTACTCTAAACTGGTCTGTGCGCTTTTTATTCAACTGTACCAAGATATTTGTTTTTCTTTTGCTTGTATAAGTAGACACACAAAGAGCCCATTAGCCACTAGGAAATAACGCAATATGTATATGTACGTATTATCTGGATTCCAACACAATATTATAGGTGGCGGGATCTTGAATTCAATGTTGAGTTTTATTGAAATGAGGTTATACTGATAGTTAAAAGTATCAAGATGATTTCCCATAAGAATTAGATTACCATAAGATGTTTGAAGATTATGGTGTTTAACATGATAGGCGTTCCCAAAATTTTACTTTTTAAGAGCTCTAGATACTGATAGTAGGTATATATAAGTAAAAGGGAAAGTAATTAGAAAATGAATACTACTGAAAAGATCGAAGTTTATCCTTTTATTAGGTGTAATTGTCACTGACAAGCTAGCTATTCCAGACTATTTAATATAAGCTAAATATCCCAGAAATGAATAAAATTTATACTAAAGGTATGTCTAAAGTACAAAACTTTTAGGTCTACTCTTTTTCTTTGAAATACTATTGAGACATCATTATTACGGGGAAAGATTGCCAGAAATATAACAATTTTTTAAAATTCAGGCAACAAAGTCAATAGCCAATATTCACTTCATCTTGTTTCAAACAAGAGAACACAAAAATAATAGTAAGTTATGCATACAAAGAGTCGATGTCTTTTGAGGTGTTCGGAATTGTTTATGGGTTAGTATCTCAATATTGAGAAAAGTAAATACTGTGAGAGTGTTGTTTATTAAAGAGACAAAATAATATTGTTTATATCTGTTACTATTAAAATCCCTGTTGTGTAATGGTTGGTTTACACTGTATGAGTGTGTAGTGTACGTGTGCCTGGTGTGTAACAGTTCCGGAAATTGTTAGCTTGCCAGGTTCATTAGCAAGAAGGAACCAGTGTTTGGTCGTGGAGTTTGTTCTTCACTCAATTGTGGTGTGTATACCACACCGAGAATTATTTATAGAGACGTTTAGCTTTTAATCATTGACGCTTAGAGTATCCCAAAATATGTTCGATTGAATTCGGATTCAAACCTTTTTGGTAGCCAGTAGTCAATGTGTTGAATTTCTTCGCAAATTTCCTATTATGTCGTGCAAGACCCAGTATAGTAGTCAGCCCTATCTTCTTGTAATGTGAGTAGGGTAACAACTTCATTATTGTGTGTGCGTTTTTTTACCGAATGATAAGGTACATATATATACCAATAGTTAGCACAGCTATCTTGGTCTACGAACCCTTCAAGAAATAATCCCACATCATCATGAATTTTTTTCCATATTTTTCTGCTGTAAGATTAGACAGTTCCTGATGCCTTTTCTTTTTACTTGAGAATTACATATGAGCCGTAATTACTACCGCTTACTATGAACCTCAATTTATCCGACGATACAACCTTACTTTAGCTCTCAAAGTCGACGCTGACACTAGCTTTGGCATAACATGGTCGATTTTTTTTCTGCTCACGGGTTGAATTTTGCTCGCGAATGGGGGGATGTAAGAGCCAGATCCTTTTTTGCTTTAAGCTATAAGATAACGGTATTTCTACATAATATGACTCTGAAAGTTTTTACATTCTTTCGGTAATATACATAACCTTCAAAAGGGTCACGTCTCACACTCAAACAGAATTTTAAATAATATATAAGTTCACGTTTCTTTTGGTCTTCCAGGTCAGGATTTTGGTTTTATAGATCCAATTAATATCACCACACCCAAGCTCTAATAGCTTTTTTTCTAGGATATAGACTTTTAGTTCCTTTATGTTTTGATGACATGAGTGATTGAGTTGGAAGAAAAAGGGTTTAATGAGAAATTCTATAGTGGTACTTCATTATACTGTTTAAATCTTTGGGCAGAATATGAATCCATACCTCTTTTTAGCCATTATCAAGTGAGTATTATGACCTTATTTTCTTTCTTTCTTGATTAGAGAGTGAAATGAAATGGGTAGACCGTGTAGCCTTACATTTACAGCAATGTCACCAAGCTATAACTACCACTAAGAAAATTACACGACCAACCAAATATTACACAAAATCTTGTGAATTCTTCCAAAAGTTTCCCGCTTCCCATTGGTTTTTCTGTTTTTACAGTAAAAGGTTTGGTTTTATAATACAATAGACAAGTTAAATTAGCTACAAGCCCTTTTAAATATAAAACAAACACACACACGCAAACCCAAACCCAAACCCAAAACCCTATATGTATTAAAATAGGAAATAATTAATTAATGGAATGAAAAGGAAAAAAAAAGTATTATTATTATTTTTTGGTATGCGAGAGAGAGAAAAGAAAAATGTTTATTTATACAAAGTATCTAATATAATGGACGTTTATGCGGATTTTATTCTTGGGTCTCAACTTCGGTTTCTACCACAGTTTCCACGGTGGTCTCAACCTCTGTTACTGACTCAACTGGAGATGCAGCCTTGGCTTCCACAATAGTTTCTTCTACTGTGGTCTCAATGGTTTCTATCTTGATTGTTGTGGTCTCTTCTTCCTTTTCATTTTCCTTCATCTTCTCTTCATCTTCTGTAGGGAGTTCGATACGCTCGAATTCGATCATGAGCTCAGAATGGTCAGAGTGGGGGAAAAGGTCTATAGAGATAGCCTTGGTAGGTTTGAAAGGAACACCCTTGAATCGGTTTGACTGAGGGCGGCACAAACTAAAAAAGACAAAATAACATGGTACGTTATTATTATTAGTTTACAATGTTTTTTTTTTTACTTCCAAGAAAGAGAGGTAGATAGGTAGATAGGTAAGTAAGTAAGTAGGTAAGTGTAACTTACGCAGTAAAGTTTGCCATGGCTTGTTTAGCATCACAACTAATGAAAATAACTTTGTTGATTTTTGAAGATTCACGGACAGCACGGATGACAGAAGCATGAACACCATTTCTACACAAACCATAACCATGTTAACATTTGTAAATGATACCCCAATTCTTCGCACGAGTATTATCTTGTTGCTTATTATTTCATCATCTTTGTTTTTTTACCTAGGAGGATCTAAGATAGCAACAACCTCTTCGTTGGTAGCATTTGTGACGATATCAATTCTATCTTCGACCTTGCTTGCGAAATACTCAACATTGGTAATATCTAAATACAACATATGTTAAGTCAGCAAATCGTATATATTATTATTATTATTATTTCTCTCTCTCTCTCTCTCTTCCCTTCTTCTCCTTCTTCAATCTTGACCTAAGAGTACTTACTGTTTCTCTCTGCATTTGCCTTGGCATCGACAATTGCCTCTGGGACCATCTCGATACCCACAACACGGTCAACGGACTTGGCCATGGTGATACCGATCGTTCCTGTACCACAGCAAAGATCCAAAAGAGTGGTCTTTTTAGTCTTGTCAATGTTGCACCATTCGGCACATTTGGCATACAAGAGCTCTGTGGCGGGGGTGTTGACTTGGAAAAATGCACTGCTGGAAATACGGAAGCGACAGCCCAAAAGCTCTTCATATACATAGCCATCACCTGTCAAGACCTCAGTGGGAGCCTTGTCGGTGATACCGTTAGCATCGCCATTCCAGATCTGGAACAACAAGGTTGTAACCACAATCTTCTCATCCTCGGGCTTATCCTTAAAACTGTCCCAGTAGGCAATCAAATTGGCCTTTTCAGCCTCGACCTGCTCGGGTTTCAAATCTTCAGATCTCATCTGAACAACGACCATATTGTCTCCAGTTCGCTGTGTTTTGGTCATCAGGGTACGCCAGACACCGGTCTTGGTAGACCGGTCATAGACATCGTATTCGGAGGCACGGACATAATCACCCATGGCCTTTGCGATGCGCTTGGCGGTTGTAGATACGTTAAGACATTCACTTGGCTCGAGTACGGCGGTAATTCCAGCACGGTAAAGACCCAACAAGAATCCTACAGTTCTTCTGCCATCAAGATCCTTTCCAATTGTGAATTCGCACTTTGTACGGTAGCCGTTGATTTCAGGAGAAGGAATGATGCTTGAAATAGGACAAGGCAAAGCTCCACTAAAGATAAACAAGTAAAAGAACGGAAAGAAAGAGAGGGAAAATGTCAGATGATTATTATTATCATTAAAAGTATTACCATTGGATTAAAGCAAATAAGTAAACAAATGAATGAATGTGAGAACTTACGGTTGACGGGCCCACTCAATCTCTTTTCTACCCTTTTCTGTGATATCTTTGAGGTTTGCTATTGTTCTCTTGAGTGTAGAGAGATGCTTGATACCAACACGCTCCTTTTGTTGTAACTGTTTCTCGTAAGGAACTCTATAGGAAAGGAAAATGGGGTGAGGTAAGGTGAGGTGAGGTGAGGTGAGTAAAGTAAATAAATGTAAGTTGCAAGTGAATTTATCGGAAAAAATAATATTTGAAAAATCATCTACTATTTATCTATTTATCTGACCCAGATTTTGTGTATGTGCAGCTCTCTGCCTTATTTTTGGAGGGGAGAATAAATGAGATTTGCTCTTACTTGTGCAAGGGAGTGACCTGATCAGCAAGCTTTTCTGAGGGTGTACGAGTATCATTGGCTTCCTCTTCCTTTTGTTTCTTTTCAGAAGCCTTTGACATGAATCTCTTTCTATAAGAATCTTCGGTGGCTATGACAACCTCTGCTTCAAGGATATCTTTCTTGAACTTTTGACCATCCAGTTGCTCTTTAGCCTTCTCTGCCTCTTCCTTGGTCTGAATAATATGTTGTATTGTGTGTGTGTGTATAAGTTGACTGATGATATTCAGGCTTGTTTTTTTGTTTTGTTTTCTTTTGTTACACATCAAAACACACTCACGTTGAAAGAGATGTAAGCATAGTTCCACTCAGGAGCTTTTTTAAAGCGAGGGTATCCCAGTTTGGTGAGGAACTTCTTTGTGCCAGCCACGTCTCTAACAGGGAGGTTGTTGACTTTGACACGGTAGATAAGAGTGGGCTCAACAGCCACGGTGGCAGGCTGAGCTTCAGGGTTTGTATCTGCTACGGTGGTTTCTTCCATCTTGAGTTTCTTGGTCTGGTGTTCTAGGGACTGGTCGTCTTGGTCCTCCTCAAGGGATCGCTTCTTGGGAAAGACTGAGTTCAAGAGAGAACGGGCGTACGCGAACATCAAAAAATATTAACAAATAATAATAAAAATATAAAAAATAAAAATATAAAAAAAAGGAAAGAATAAGCGAGCGACTTGTCACTCTAATAAAATATGGAAAAAATAAATAAATAAAATAAACAGACACAATCTAATTTTTTTTTTGAGAAAAAAAAATAAATGTTTAACAGCCAATCATATAGTCTAAAAGGTTGGGGTTACTGAACTACGAAAATGAACTCCATTCATTTGAGCAAAAAAAAAAATCGTCTCTGTGTAGCAGAATAAAAGCGGATAATTCATCGGAGGCTACAATAGCAGCAGCAGCAATACCAGTAACAATAGTAGTGATAACCATAGTAACAATGGTAAAGTTAGAGGTTAAGGTAGCAAGGGACATCAGTAGTACTGGTGGTAGTGGTAATGGTAGTGGTAGAGAGAATATATATATATATGTGTGTGTGTGTGAGAGATTAATATACTGGTGTGGGCGGGTGGATATTGAGAAAAAAAAATCTGATTAAAAGATCTATTATTCAAACTAAACTCTCTAGACAAAGCCGAATCCAAAATATAACCCCAAATGAAAATGATATTGATTCAGACAAATAACTGTTAAAAGTCAAAGGTATTCCCAGTAGCCAGTGATTAATATGAACTTTTATCACTACTTGAAATTAAAAGACTAAAGCCACAAGACAAGATAAACTACTATAATATTTTGTTAACAAGAATTTATAGTTCATTTTAATAAGCCAAAATGCAAGATGCAAAATGCAAAATGCAAAATACAAAAAATAACAAACAACAACAACCAGATCATCTACACACATACACACCCAATGTATATATATATATATATATATATATATATAATACAATTAACCAAAGGTTACACTCAATCAAGGACGTGCCTTTGTACACCATTTGATTTCTCATGAAAAGAGTTCAAAGACCTCTAAATAAAAATTATCATGTAAGGCTTTATAAATACACACACATACACAGATATATATATATATATATATGTCTGCATACATATTAAAAGAGTAAAGTAAAATATATCATCGTTATTCTAGTATCTTTATTGTTTTGTACTGAGATTAACAAGACAGTACATGAAGCCTTGTTCTAATTAAAACTTTGACCGAACGAGAGAAAATAAGTCAAGCAGCTTGACACAAAATGACTCACATAAAGCTATTGATAGTCTTTGTAGATTATAAACTTGAAAAGCTCATATACTTTACTATCGACGCTTTTGTGGCCAATGCTTCTTCTTGTCCACTGTGACAAGCAAAGAAAAAAGAAAAAAAGAAAACGATTTTTGTTTTTTTGTTTTTTTTTTGAAATCAAACTCATATTGACGTCAGCAAATGAAAATCCAAAGAATAACAATAATTCATGCTTTATCTAAAAGGGATGAATGATATTTTTTCACTAGACTCGATCAAGCTTTTCCTGTAATAATGGCCTCCACAGACACCCAGTCACTTTTAGTCAAATTCGATAATCAAGTGGCTGGTCATGACACTCTAATGAAGATGGCCACAGACGATCTTATGGTCATCAAACCATGTGAAGCGAGAGAAGTTCAATTCTATGAAGCCTGTCATTCTCATCCTACCTTTTGTGGATGGATTCCAGAATGTTACGGTACTTTACGATCCTCGACGGCATCCGAACTCCATCTATTGGAAACCAGCCAGGACAGTGTCACACCTATTATACCAACAGCTGAAGAACAACCTGATGCCAAACTTCCCGATGATATCCTTTCCCTTGCTTTAATTGCTCATGTCAATCAACCATCATATCCATCCATTTATCCTTGACTATCTTTTTCTTTTCTTTTTCTTTTTCTGTCTCTTTGTCTCTCTGTCTCTCTGCCTGTCTCTCTCTACACCATGTATGTCTAGAAAACATTCTCCGCGGATTTGTTCGTCCCTGTGTTCTTGATCTCAAGATGGGAAAAAATCTATTTGATCATCTTGCCGATGAGACAAAGATTGATAAGATGAAACTAAATGCAAAAGATACCACAATTGAGTCCATGGCCATGAGAATTTCAGGCATGAAGGTAATATCTATATACATAATAGTTTATAATATCCTTTAAATTATGCTTGATTTGCATGATTAATTTGTATTATTATATTTATATTTATATTTATATTTAACAAACAAACAAAAAAAGGTGTATGATACTACTCAATGTGTCTATCGTACATACAAAAAAGACTTTGGCAGATCCTTTACTAAGGAGGATATTATCAATGGGTTCCTAGCCTTCTTCTTTCCTTCATCTACCTATGGATCAATGGGCAAGCAAGAGACAATAGACGACAAAGAAGGAAATCCTACCCAACGCCTACCAGCAAAAAAAATTCGCTGGATTATCGAGAGTTTTCGGGATGATCTTGTGGATATGAGAGAGTGGATTGCCAAAACACCGTCTTTGGAACTAATTGGATCTTCTCTCTTATTTGTTTATGAAGGTGACAGAGAAACGGTTGATGCTGTCTGGAAAAGAATGTTAGAGGATGATGAGCCAGCTGAGGAAAATGAGCCCATCTTGTGCGATGTTCGGCTAATTGATTTTGCTCATTCACGATGGGACTCTCAGCAGACAAAACAAGATCCAGGGCTTTTAGAAGGTTTCGATAATGCGATCCTTTTGCTCAATCAGTGTATGGAAGTGCAGAAGTCAGAGAAACTCTAAAGTTAGAAATAGACACACACAAAAACGGATAGCCATGTTATATCTATTTCTTTTCTTTTATTATGTTATTTTATTTTTACCTTGTTAATTATTTACTCCAAATTATCAAGGATGTGTGTAATATTGTATTAAGAATATATATGAAAAAGGGGAGATAAATTGAATAAAGGATTATAGGCTTAATGCTTTGTATATTTGTATGTATGAAATAAAGAAGAATAAAAATGTTAAGGATATATTTAAATTGTGCTAGCTGTAACTGGTGTTGACCACCACCAAAAAAGACCGTTAACTTTAGACTTTAACTTTTGCATCAAACTTTCAGTTTGTATAGTGATTAGCTCCTCTTCTTTTCGGAACTGGCTAAGGATATATGCCTTAGGCTGACCATTGATCTTGATAGACTCTTCATATATCGCAATAGCTTCATCCATGTGCTCTTTCATGTATGTAACCCGGTCTTCACTTGCGGGATGGGTCTCTCCAAACCAAGCACTCAACAGGGATTCCGATAAATCCTCAAAAGTCTCGGGTGGGTCAGCATGCAGACTCTCGGTCGATGTTCCTTCCTTATTATCACCATCTTCTACAGTTTTTTTGATTGTCTTTTCTATATCCGCCATTGTTGTCCAAACTTCTATAGCTGCTCTAGGATCATAGCCTGCTTTGGCAAGTAGTTTAAGACCAACCAAGTCAGCCTAACAATAGAAAAGTAGAATACATCAGGTTCTTGGTCATGTTTAATCTTTAAACTACTACTTTATAGTTACCTCTTTCTCCAGTAAACGATTATAAGATAAATTTGTATGTAGCTGTATGTAGCCATTCAGGGTATCATTGATCTTTTGATTGACGTATCTTTTGTGGCAATGTATCGTCAATAAAAAAATAAATAAAAGAAAGTCTAATTTCAACTTACGGTCCAAATGATTCAGTCACCATCCAAAGTGCACCTCTGGTAATATCCACAAGCATAGTCAAAAACGAGACCAGCCCATTTTGCTCAACGAAATGGCGCTGAAGAGAATGGGCCATTTCATGCGAAAGAATTACAGCAATTTGATCGGTATTGAATCCATACAATTGAAGCATCAGGTCATACACAATCACGTTTGTACCAGCACACATGGCGTTGAGGGTGCTTCCGTCCACAATAACATCGACTGTAAACTTCTTTGGTGTCTTTCCTTCTAAAGTCTCCGAATAATCACGCACTGGATCACGAATGTCATCAACAGCCACCTTGGCAAGATTTTCCATAATAGTGTCTAACCACTCGATATATTCTGAATCCTTACTGACTGTCAGACCAGATATACTATCTAGTAAACCTCCAATTTCCTTTTTAACTTGTGCGGCCTCTTCTTCTTCCGAGAGATAAACAAAGCGTACACGATCAGTATTTGGTGCCTGTTAAATATCGCATTCATTAGAACCCACTCAAATGATATATACATATGTAGCAGTCTATTGGGCTTAAGGCAGTTTCATATATATTTGTTTGTGTTTGTGTTTGTGTTTGTGTTTACTTTGTATTACCTGATCAAGACCAACAACCAGAAGAAGTGCCACACCTATAATTGGAATTCCAGCCAATAGAGACACCACCCATTTTGCTCGACCTTTTCCAATCGAATGGGGTAAAAGGGTCATGGAAGTCTTGGAAGACAATGAAACCAGACTGACGAGTTTTCCAGATTTTAACAAGGCACCAATCACAGCTGGCAAAGGTATGATTGGGACCTTATTACTAGGACTGGCATGAAAGGATCTGATAAATGTAGGGGTGCTGTATATCCGAGACTTTTGGGGTCTGGCTTGTATGGATAGACATCTTGGTCTTGAGGAGGTTGAGAAATGAGAGGGAAGGGAAATGCACCTTGGTGCAGTGTATCTAGGCAGCAGTAACCTGGTTGTTGATTGAACGGGGAATAAAGATTTCGATAATGTTCTTCTCCACATAATAAGAGCCACTGTTTCTGTTGCTGTTGGGGTATAGCGACTTTTTGGCTTTTGTTCAGATGTAAAGGGTGGTAGTTAAGACAACAGAGACAAAACAAAAATAAAAAAAAATTGAATATATATATATATATATAAAATCAATCAACGACAAGGCGATGCTCAGCTTCGGGAAGCTGTGTTTCAACCAGATTGTATATTTCCATTCAAGGTTGGCTTCTTCTTTTTCCATATATATTGATCTCCCATATGAGCAAGAAGTTGTCAATGTAAACAAGAAGGGAAGAGCAAGTAAATTAAGAAACGGTCCGTTCCATTTTGCCCACTGATCTTTCCAATGACTCATTTTTCTTGTTCCTAAGGAAATTCTAAATTTTGCGAGGGCTGCTCTTCCTAATTCATCCCGGTCTCTATTTTTGGACACCCGTCCAACACCCAGAAAAGGGGTAAACTTAAATCTCAAGTGAAAAACATTATACACTCAAAATCACAGAATCGTATTACGTTTACGTCAGAGGCGCGTCTCTCCAAATATATTTTTTAAAACTGTCGTCCATTTCGAAATATTAATAGGCGCGACCGGGACGCGTAATCTCGCGTTTTATAAACCATTCTTTTTCTTCTTCCTTCTTCTATCTTTCCCTTTTTTAATTTAATAATAATAATAATAATAGTAATCTTAATAATCATGGGTCACCAACTTCCTCAAAGTCCAGTTCACAAAAGAAGATTAAAGCGACCTCTTGGCCATCCTGATAAGCAAAAAAAATCAGTATCACCAGAATCAACTAGTCCAATTATACAAAGTAAAACTATAGTTGGAGAAAAACGCGAAGCAGAGAACGCAAACAGCGATGAGGATGATACTCCTCTTTTTCAAAACAGATTCTTTAATCGTCAGCGAAGAAAACGTGTATGCATTGAAGATGAATTGATGGATGAATTGACAAACGATCTAAGCATCGCCCAGGCTACAACAATTGACAGTACACCAGAAAAAGTAAAGATGCCTGTCGCAGCTGTCAATTTCTCGACTCAGAGCAATGTCAAAATGATAAATCTACCAATTTCAGAAACTGAACCAATTTCAAAAGAAAGTGAACGTAAGAAAATATTCTTCTTCTCTCTTCTTCTTCCTCTTCTTCTTTTTCTTCTTCGCTCGAGACTCGTTGTTAGGAGAGGATTAAAAATGTAATGATCATGTTAATGACCAGATCTATTATAAACATTAGCAATTCTTCAGAAACTATCAGACTACATGACTATGATTTGCAATGAACAAACAGAAATTAGAAATTCACAAAGCACGATAAATCCTATCTTCCCGGAAGCAGACACCAATGTCATTCCTCTGTCTGTTCTTCGTCAATTTACTATCTTGGTTGTCAAGACAGTTCAAGCGAAATGTTTCAGAAATGCAGATCAACATCAATTTGGACAAATATTGAGTAGAATGGAATATGCAATTGGATGCATTGTGGATTTGGATATATTAGAAGAGTATGCAAAAGAAACTGACGAAGCACAAAAGATGTCAAAAACAATAGCTTGGCTGGAGAAATTATCTTATGGAATTGAAATCAGTGTACTTGTTGTTGATCTATTAGCTGTCTGCAGAGTGAACAAGCAGGTATTTATTATTATATATATAAGGTCTGATATCAGGCAAACTTCATAATAACACGGTTAGCTATAGGATGTTCCAAAAGGTCTTATTACTACATGTCTAAGACTTGTAAAATCACAACTTGAAAGCCTCATCTACCCACTAATTGACCTCACGAGTCTAGAAGATGATCCTACAAGCTGTAAGTAAAAATAGAAAATTGTAGAATAATTGGGATAATGAAACAAACAAACAAACCAGAAAAAAAAACCAAGGATAATAAATGAAGAATATTTGCTAGTGAACAATGATCTTCGTCGATTTCTAAACTCGGTAGAGGCATCACCTCCAGCCCGACGAAATCTCTCGGGCATTCTTCCACTTATCACTCGATTCCTTCGACGTTCTTTTGTTCTTCTTCAACAGGATGAAATTGACGATCACGGAATTCTTATTGTTGGCTATATCAGTATGGGACCATTTTTCCATGATTACACGGAAAGCAACACATCGTGTCTCATAAGAAACTCTGCCGATTCGACTGTGAACCCATTCGAACAGATGAAATTCAGTGCACTCGATATGCTTACTACACTATTTGGAAATTATCCACAACACCGTCGGTGGATTCTGGATGAGATATTAACAGGCATGGGCAATCTCACAACAATGGATCGAAGCGTTAAGCGGTATAGATTAAGCGACGGTAGATCCTTACATGTTATGAGTGCCCTCTGGATTCAACTCGTCCAGTCCTGCTGCGCACCTACGACTATTGTTGCTGACAGAGGCTGGCTTCGTAAATGGGAGCTCAAGCAACAAAGGTTTCAAAAGGATAATGAAACAAAACAGCTTGCTGGACTTGAAGAGAAACTTGTTCAAAAGGCAGCGGAAGTATGGAAGACAGGGATTGAGGCAGCAGCACAGACTGCGACATATTTCCTTGATTTTCTCATGGCCAAGTGTAGATCACGTAAGAAAGATACTTATTCGGTAGCTGAATACCGGATGATCATGGAAAGTACTGTGGAGGATATACTTGTTGTTCTCAGTGATCCATCCTGGCCAGCTGCAGAGCTCATTCTACGTACATTCACTAAACTTCTGGTAAGACTACTTTATACTCTAATGTTCTTGTGTTGTTTTTAATACAAGTTTGTGTCAAACCGTATGTTGATTCATCTTTTTTTATTACTTTCAATAACCTTAAAAAAAAGGTGGCTGTAATCGAGAGTGGCACTTCTGATATTTATCTGAAATCTTTGGCCATCGAATGGCTTGGTACCATAGCATGTACCATTAAGATGGGATGCAATCGGCTGTCTGGAGAAAAAGGACAATTCACACCAGAATGGGTTTACAAATTGAACGAGCAACTCCCAACAGAGGTAAAGACATATATTATTGTTATTTATTGTTATAATAATAATTCGAGGTGGAATTTAGAGAGAGAAAATAAGATCAATTTCGTTTAAATGCTGTAACTGACAGGGACTTTTTATTAGATAACACAGGACACAGCTTTAAATTCGCTAGAATTTCTTGCTCAATGTCAAATGAAACTCTATAATCATGTGGAAAATAGCAATGTTGATCCTTCTTTAACTAAGGTAGGTTTGAAAATAATAATAATAAATGAAATGAATATAAAAGCTCCAAAACAAAAAATTCATTCTGTTAGGCTTAGTTTTATTTGGCTAGCTGGGGATACACGGATACAATGATATGGTCAAAAGCACACCAAGATTCTAAAGAAGAAGATCTTGAATCATTGGCATGGCCAGAAGATGTAGTGACTAAATTGCGAGCTATCATAAAACACTATTGGCTTCTCTCCTTGGAAGCAAATAATGAAAATCTTACACTTGAAAAGTAAGAAATAACAGACTATTTCTCTTTGTTACGAGAGAAATATTATTGCCTTTTGTTTATTTTTTATTTTAGAAAAACACATATATACTCACTTACTCACACATAATTTACATCTTTATTAGCTCATTTGATTTTCCAGAATTGAATAGAGAAGATATCGGGTTACTGTCAGAACTTTTGGCATCTCGACAACCACTCTACAATAGCTTTCAATTTTTAATATCACATATCATGGCTTGTTTGGACAATGACAGCGTCTCATATAGAGTAAAGGCTTTGAGATCGATGGGTCGTATAGCAACAGAAGTCCCTACTGTCCTTGATGAGGTATGTGGATATTAACTTTAAGTGAGCTAATAAATAGTATGTATTTTATATTCTAAGTACATTTAAATAGCCTCGAATTCGTAATCCTATTATTAAAAGAATTCACGATGCATCTCCTTCTGTTCGTGATGCAGCTCTTGAGGTTATGGCAAGATATCTTGGCCGTCAAGAAACTCTTTCTTTACCAATATACAACATTGTTAGTGAGCGTATTATGGTAAGCACAGACACACACAGACACACACACACACACACATACAAACGCATAATAATAAGAATAACTCGACTTAAAAAAAATTAAAAAAAAAAAAAAAGCTCAAAATTTTCTTATTTTATACAACTTAGGATACAGCTATGACTGTTCGAAAACGCTTAGTCAAACTATTACGTGAATTGCATGCCAAATGTGATGATCGAGCTATCAAAATTGATATATCGGCTAAACTTATACAACGGATTGGTGATAATGAAATCAGTATAAGCGAAGCAGCACTAAAGGCTACACAAGAAATACTTTTCCATCCTTTCCGCGAAATTGATAATGATGGTAACGATGCATTTGGATCGTCTTATCAGCATTTTCCAAAAGAGAGGAAGCGACAAATCACCGAATTGACTTTGCTGATTACTGGTGCTACTACCAGAGATATATCCTCGCTCACCCAATCCTCAGCTTTAATCCAGATTCTGCAAAAGGTAACTTGATATTAAAAAATATGAAAGAGACAGAGAGAAATAAAGATAAAGTTTATACATAAATTATTTTTAATGAAAATTCGAATATAATTTTTTAAAAAAATACTTCTTTTAACAACAATGACAAAATATTCTCGGTAAAATAAGACCGTAGCAGGATGTGACAGCAGGACAATGGTTTGGTACAAAATGGTATTCCAATGGATTGTCGATGCACTTTTTGAGCATATGCTTCTATTGGATGAACAAGGAAATACCGAAGGCTTTCTTTGCTGCCTGACTACAGTGTATGCGTTCACAAAAACCAGCCCTGATATCCTCCGAGAGACACATATTTCAATGCTAGAACCTTACCTGAGCATCACAGAAGAAGTAAGAAAGCAACACAAAGACTAATCACCAAAAGTAAATCTATTAAATACACATGTTATTGTAGGATGATTGGCGTATTGCTCGATACGTACTTATGATTTATCGGGATGTACTTCCACGCCGAAGATACCATGATCCTGATTTCGTGGCACAAGTGGAACAAGCCCTTCAGCAACTTTTGAGCAGATGCCCCCTTGATGTAAGAAAATAGAAAGAAGAAATAAGCATAAATAAATATATATATATTAAGCAACAATAATGATGAAAAGGCCTAATATTTTGAGTGGTAACTTGTAGATGATTCAAAGTACAGTATCATGTCTATGTGCAATCATTGACAATATTTCCAAGCGATATAACTTATTAATCAAAATGCTGGGAGCATGTCTTGGTGTGTAAAAAATGTTATAAAAATATTTGAAGCATTATTAGCATATCATTGACAGTGTTTTATTTTTGCTTTACTTTTATTTTATTTCAGGTAAACTTCAACAAGACCGAGCACAAATGTCAAACGGAAAACCACCTGCACGTTCTATTACTGCAATAAGAAAAATGTTACTTATCAGCAGTTTACTCTGCCGCTACTTTGACTTTGACGAGAAAAGGAAAACTGAACCAGTCAAGTTGAGGGCTCTTGACATTGTTCACAAGGTAAAGAATAATTTAATAATGGTTACTATCAACTATCAAATAAATTTATACGACTATATTTTATTTTATTATGATTCATTACTGATACTTTTTTTTTGATAATGCAGCAAAGCATTACAAAACTTGCTTTTGATTTGATACTTTACTTTGCTAGCTCTCTTGATGAGACTACTCCCTTTAATCAAATCATGGCTACAGCTTTACAGAGCTTAGGTAAGAAAGAAGAAGAAGAAATTAGAATTTGATAAGATATTATGAAACTTATCATCTATGTTTTTTTTATTTAGGTCATCTTTATGCAGCACATCCTACATTTGTAATCGAGAAGACGAGTACAGAGTTGATGGACAAACTCTTTGAGAGCGGCTCAGAACCCATGAAGGTTCAACTATTACGTGTATTCGTTGAATTCCTCGCTGCTGAAGAAAATCGTATAGAGAAACAAGAAGAAGGTATTACGCTACTTAATAACTCTACCCATACTAACAAGATTTATACTATATACTACATAATACACCAGTTGCTGGACAATCTCTTCACACGAAATTAATTGATGTTGAGACACTTATGGGAAATACAGAAGAATTCTCTGAACTCGGGTATGTATACTATGAACCTTAATACGAAATAATTTACTAATTCTTATTTTCTATATGTATGTATGCATGTACCTAAAACTCTATAGTGTGAATGGTTCTTTGATGCAACGCTACTTCCGTAGAATATTAAAATGTGCATTAGAGAAGACTCCTGATATTCGCTATGCTGCCTTTGAAGTTGTTTCAGTTGTAGTCAATCAAGGTCTGGCACACCCGGTTCTGGTAAAGATGAATGATTTAATTATTAGTTGTGTGGATAATAACTCCTTCGGCATTCTGTTAAAGTGTATGCCCGCCGTTGTTGCAGCAGAAACAAGTTCAGATATTACCCTCCGAAACAAAGCATATTATCTCCACAGATTTGCACATGATAAATATGGACCTCTTTTGTATAGTAATTTTGGAGAGCACATCAGCACCGCATACGAGTACCAAAAACTAATGGCGGATGATAAGATAGAAGGTATAAACTTGGTCTTTTTAAGATGACTGTTACTATTACTATTATTATTATCATTATTATCAAAAACAGTGATACATAACACCTTTTTTTGTCTCCCTCTGTGTGTGTAGGCTATGGAAAGAGAGGTAGTGATGCAAAAGTGGATTCCTTGTTCGCACTACCATTTAGTGTATTTAGACAAAAAAAGAAGATCAAGTTGGACTTCTTGTGTGCTCTAGTGAAGCCTTTTGATTTTGATATGAAGGTCACTAAAGAAGAAGAGGTATAGAACGTCTTTTTTTTCAGATCTCAACTCAATTTCAAAAACAAAAACAAAAAAAGGCACACACAGCTAATTGAGATGTTTAGGTTAATGTTGAGTTTCTCAAGTTTTTGGCTGAAAGTATCATCACACTCGACTTCTCTATGTTGGAAGAAATACTATGTGTTCTTAATGGCATGGATCGTATTCTAATGACAGTTGGTGCCGATCTCCTTTCTTCCATCCAAATCTTTCGCAAGAAAGGGTTGCTATCTAAGCCAAATGATATGAATGAATTTGGAAGAGTACCTTCTGGACATAACAACGTCTCAATGGATCCAGCTTATGCCATGACAGCAAAGACAGCCATTGCAATGTCTATCCTTCTCTACGTGCGAGAACTATTGATGGATGTGTATTCTATATCCAACGAGTAAGTCTAGCCAGATACACAAAAACTAAATTAAATTAAATGGTCCAATTTTTGAATTGCAATACAACTGCCTAACACTATACCATAGTGAAATACAAAGTTATAGCTCAACAGACCAGTTAAAATCACGTACGATTTCTCGAGACAATGAGACTGTGAGACTTGTTGACTGGACAGAATTGGAGTACTTTAAAATTGACAGATTAAACCATGCTTCTGCTGCAGATGGATGTAGAAAATTCGAAGACATGATGATGGAATCGGCAGGAATGGATAGCCGAAAATCTAGAAAATACAAGGAGTTGACATGAAAACAGAGAAAACACAAAAAAAAAACTCCCAAAATATCCCCACTCCCTATTTCTTTAAAACCACAAAGAAGAAGAAGCAGTAGACAAGTCTATCGTAGATAGTATGATTCTTTGTATTTAATTCTATATATTTGTACGTGTAAAATATTATTCCACAATAAAACAAACCAAATAATAGACGATCGTTTCTATAATTCGAATCGGTCCTCGTTACATTGATTGAATCTTTCCTTTTTTTTTTGTGAGCGATGAGGTCATGAAACACAAACAAAAAGGGGGAGATGTTCGTCTTTGGCTTGTGGGGATAGGGTAAGAGAAACATAGACTGTATACTGGAGTAATAAAACATATGTGTCTGTATATTAGCTTACTCACGACCAATACTTCCGTAATGCCAGCTGTCTCCCCGGGCTTTTTTTTCTGTTTTGTTTTATTTGGGAAAGAGGGGGGAGTGGAAGGGGTTAAAGACATGCTAACTCCCGGATTTCATTTCAGTTCGAATTGTTATATCCTTTATGATCTATGTTAGTTCCGAAAACTTGATATGCAATGAATATTATGTCTGAAAATCCATTATAGTCAGTGAAGGCCAAATAACTACGCCAATGTACATATATCACGAATACCTTTACCGAAGTCTGGAAAAGCAAAGAAATGAATTATGGGTTAGTTATCAGTGAGGAGTTGCAAGTTCTGTTTTTATGCGATTGTTCCAAAATGTGTCTCAAGCCCAACACTAAAGACGGCTTTGTGTATAATATCGATGACTCCGAGCAATAAAAAACCATTCGTTTATTGACAAACATTATAATTTGCTGCTCTTTTGTTGCCTTTCTTTGTTTTTATCGATTACAAATATACTCTGATTGTTAGTTTCTATTATCGTTTGTTTTTTATTTCATATAACCTTTGTTAGTATTATTCTATTCTAGCCTTGTCGTTTATTCCTACGATAAAGCGTCAAAACCAAATGGCACCTCTTTCTCAACAAGTGGTCGACGATTCTGATGAATGCGCTGATCCTCACCAAGGAAGTCTATCTGCACCCACTTCTTTAGATCCATCGATCATATGTCCAGGTAAGCATAAACTCTTCTACCTTGGAGACCAATCAGCAAGCTCTAACAATACATAAATCCAACAATACCAACAACACTAATATACTTTTTAGAAAAATATATTGTGGACTGCAATCTACAGAATGAAAGTGAAAACAATTCTTCAATGGAATCACTAGGGCCTTATCGTTCGACAGTAAGTACATCAGAATACGCTATAAATGTCTCATTAAATTATGTAAAAAAAAAACAACTTATCACGCTTTCAAATAAACTAGTTTTCCTCTACTCGTAGATGGTTTATACTACTTATAGTTGCCCTTCAAGGGTTTCTAGGTCCATTGAGCAGCTCCATATATGTGGGTTTAAAGTTCAATATGTCAAGTGTATATGGTTCTTACAAAGTAAACTCGTCATTTAGGTACCAGCCATTCAACAAGTCAAGCTGTCACTTCATGCGTCTGGAACGGTTATCAATGCAACCATTTCTCTTTATATCTTTACCCTAGGCGTTGCCGTGAGTATAGCAACATTAAAAGTTAAAACAAGGTTTACTAATATAAAAAAAGCCAATGATGTGGGCCGCTCTATCGGAAAGATATGGGCGCCGGTTTGTCTATATTGGTGCAACTTTCATATATGTAGGGTCTACTGTAGGGTGTGCTTTGTCATCAAATATTGGTTTGTTTGTAGCCATGAGAGCCTTACAAGCGGTTGGTGCAAGTGCGGCACAGGCAGTTGGCGCAGGGTGGGTTACCAAGAGATTGTCTGCTTTAATATATATATATTTTAGATATTTGAATGACTTACTTAAAATACCTTTAGAACTGTCTCGGATTTGTTTATGGTTCATGAACGAGGGAATGCTATGGGTCTTTTTTTTCTCGGTCCTTTGGTGGGTCCTGTGGTGGGTCCTATAGCTGGTGGCTACATCAGCGAATGTAATATCCCATTGGCAAGCATTTCCTTCAAGTTACCTAGAAATATTAATACTTTGATGTGTAGATTTGGGATGGAATTACATATTCTGGTTTCTTTCGATTATGGGTGCCTTTATTCTTATACTCCTTGTCTTCTTTCTACCTGAGACTTCTCCAATTATTATCAAAAAACGAGTCGAGGCTAAACAGCGTTTATCAGAATCTCAATCTACTACAGAGTATAAATCCCCGCCTCATGAGCAGCTCATGACGACCTTTATGCGCCCTTTTCGCTTTTTGTGCAAGCCGGTTGTATTACTCGTCTCTTTACCTTATGCTCTTGCATACGGATTCATGTATTTCATGATATCAAGTTTACCACATCAGCTTGCCTACAAATATGGGTTTTCAAGCTCCCAGATTGGACTAGCATATTTAGCCAATGGTCTCGGAAATGTCGTCGGTGCAGTTGGGTCAGGAAAGTACGCAGATTGGTTGCTCAAAAAATTGGACACGAAACAGCAGGAAAGAACACCGGAAGCTCGTTTATCCCCAATGTGGCTAGGTATTTCTTTGCTAGTAGTCGGAGAACTAGTCTACGGGTGGTGTGTATCCAAGACCATTCATATCGGTGTAGTATTGACAGGACTTTTTATATGTAAGTTTAAAACTGGCTTTTAGAGTAAAATCAAGTTTATTTACCTTTATTCAGTACATATAAGCTTGAATTTGTTTATTAATCTATTAATACATATATATATATCTATTTGTACTCTTAGTTGGACTCGGTGTAGGGGTTGTCCAAACTCCTAGTAACTTGTATCTTGTCGATGCCTATCAAGAATACTCGGCTTCTGTTATTAGCGCATCTAATCTTTTACGGTGTACCATGGCAGCATGCACACCTTTATTAGCACCTACAATACTACGGTCTATTGGTAGTGGTTGGGCAATGACTATACTTGCAAGCTTGACCTTAATGAGTACAGGTTGTGTTTTCTCTGTCAGTAGATGGGGAGAAAACATGCGCTACAAATATGCCAAAGACCACTCATGAAATTCGGTACATAGACATTTGCATATATGCATGTAAAAACGCATGCATGAATGTTTACACGTAATTATACAAACTTACCCACGCCAGAGGTTCATACAGCAATGTTTTAATTCTATCATCTTAAAGAGCTGGGCTCAGATACAATGCCATTTATTAATTCCCTAAAACTAAGTAGTATAAAATAGCCTTTTCTTTCTTTCTTTCTTTTTGTGTCATCATTAGACATGTATATGATAGCTATCTCTCTCTCTCTCTCTCTCTCTCTTTATGCATATACATTATATAAATTATATATATATATATATTTATATAGGATATCTGAATATTAACCATTTTTTTTCAAAAAATAATAATAAGGTTTTAATAAACTGGTATATTTGATTTTGATATACAAAAGCAGGTTGTCATCGGTATTTATTTTATTCTTAAAAGAGAAAGAAATATTATTTTTATAATAAATTAGTGTACAGTTAAATAAAAAAGATATGTTGGAATAATTAGAGTGAAAGAAATATATAATAAGGATTTGGAAGTAGATGGTTCTAAAAAGGTATAATGGTATTTAATTGGCATTAAGAGATTGCTGGTGAACTAGACTACTATAGACTCCATTCAACTTAAGTAATTCCCAATGAGTGCCTTGCTCAGCAATGCGACCATCCTTTACAACACAAATATGATCGGCTCCTTGGATAGTAGACAGACGATGGGCAATAGTAATTGTAGTACGACCACCCTCTTCCAAGATATTATCGATAGCTGCTTGTACCAGCTTCTCTGACTCGGAATCCAGAGCAGAAGTAGCCTCATCCAAAAGTAGTACTCGAGGTTTACGAATCAAGGCACGAGCAATTGCAATGCGTTGCTTTTGGCCACCGGATAGCTGAGACCCCTTGTCGCCAACACGAGTGTCATAACCTTGTGGTAAGCTGGTAATAAATGTGTGGATATTGGCAGCACGACAAGCGTCTTCAACCATATCTTGACTAATAGTCTTGTCTTCATCAACACCAAAACGAATGTTTTCACCAATAGTCATATCAAACAAAACTGGTTCCTGACCAACCAAGGACATATGGCTACGAAGGTTACCGAGCGAGTAATTTTTCACATTGTTGTCATCGAGACGGACGGCACCAGTGATAGGGTCATACCAGCGCTGGAGCATACCAATAGTAGTAGACTTGCCACATCCAGAAGCACCAACAAGAGCAATAGTATGGCCGGCCTTTCCTTTAAGATTAAATTCACCGTTAAAGATGGCGATATCAGGGCGAGCGGGGTAACGGAAAGTGATGTCTTCGAAAGTAACATCGCCAGCAATTTGAGAAGATGAAGGCTCGATACCTTCAAGTTCAGGGTCGATTGATGGAACACGATCAAGAACTTCAAAGGCAGCAATAGCAGAGTACTTGGCTTTGGCGAATGTGGAAGTAAAAGTACTTCCGCGACCAACACCCTGAGCAGTAATCATGATACCCATCATAGTAGTGAACATTTGCTGGAAGTTGATTCTACCATCGGCAATCAAGCGCATACCGGCATAAAAAGCTACAGCATTAGTGTAAAGAGTGATACCCTGCTGAAGACCGTAACCGACGGAGGATGTAACAGCCTTGCGTTGGGCGAGCTTGTGAGGGCGATCGGTAGCCTTAAAATACTTCTCTTCAAAATAGGATTGTTTGTTGAGAGCAGCAACTGTACGGATTTCCTTGATGGCTTCACCAGCAACTTCACCACTTTGTTCATTGGCTTTCTTGGTTTTGTCTTCAAATCCACGATGAATTCTTGCTTCATAAGATGTTGCACCAATAATAAAAGGACCCATACAGCAAATAATCAAAGTTAAAAGCCAACTTTGCGAGAAGGCAATAGCAAGACCTATTGTTTTATATATAAAGTATTAGTAATTTATTCATCAAAGATTGCATAGTAAAACTTACCAGTAATAGCAGTAACAATAATTTGAGTAATATCACCCCATGTTTTGGTAACCATTTCGTTTACGTTCTTGGAGTCAATGGCCAGCTTGGAAGTCAGTGCACCGAGACTATGTTCTGGCTCATCATAAAAACCAATTTCCTGACGCATAAAGGCTTCGAAGATTTGACCACGAAGACGCTTAGTAAAGCGCTCACCGGCAACTTCAAAAGAAATAATCTGGAAAGAAAACCCAACAAAGGCAGCAAGACCAAGAACAACGAACAAGAAGGCGTATAGATTGGCACCTTGGAAGGGTCCAGGGGCAATTTTATCAGGTTCGAATGAAAGAATATTAATAACACGAGAGAATACGAGAGCGAAGCAAGGGAAAACTGCACCGGCAATTGCAGCGCCACCGACACCAGTAAATAGCAAGCGCCACTCGGGCTTCATCATTTGAATAACTCTTTTTACAGGAGCCGATTGCTTTTTGGCGGCCTTTTTGATTTCCTTTTCCTTGCGGAGTTTTATTTCAAAGGCATCGATAGAAAGGTTGGTGCTGATCTTGGAGAGAGAGTTGGATGGGACTCTTTCCAAAGCGGCTCTGAATTCCTGCTGGTCTTCTTGTTCTTTCTTGAGTGCCAGTGTTTCTTGCTTCAAAAGTTCTTCATCATCGATTTCTTCTTCAACGTGTCCAATCTGAGTGGTAGCGATTTGCTGCTTGGCAACGAGTCCAGCGTAAACACCATTGAGGGCGAGCAACTCATTGTGAGTACCTTGTTCAACGAGGTCACCTTTATCCATGACAACAATCAAGTCAGCTCTACGAATGGTAGAGAGACGATGGGCAATAACGATGGTTGTACGATCGGCAGCTGCGGCATCTAATGCCTTTTGGACCAGGCGTTCAGACTGGGTATCAAGAGCAGAGGTGGCCTAAAAAGAAAATCATAATAAAAAATTATAAGCACAGCAATAATTTTAATACTATGGTGTGTTACTTACTTCATCTAGTAATAAGATCGAGGGGTTCTTGATAATTGCACGGGCAATAGCAACACGCTGCTTCTGACCACCGGAAAGCATACCACCATGCTCACCAACGAGAGTGTTGTAACCTTCAGGTAATTCAGAGATAAAAGAGTGACAGTTTGCTTTCTTGCATGCTTCGATCATCTCCTCCTTGGGGACATCGCGGAATGCGCCCATAAGCAAGTTCTGGCGAATAGTCATGTTAAACAATACAGGCTCCTGGCTGACAACGCCAATCTGTGTGCGTAACCATGCAACGTTGTAAGACTTGAGATCCTCGCCATCAAGCAGAACCTGACCATCAATGGGATCATAAAAACGCTGGAGAAGTTGGACAGTTGTGGACTTTCCAGAGCCAGAAGGACCAACAAAAGCAACAGTCTGACCTGCGTGGATTTTGATATTGAGATTCTTGAGGATGGGTACATCAGGACGGGTAGGGTAAGTGAATTTAACGTTGCGGAACTCGATATCTCCAGTAATATTGGCTGGTTGGCTGCCTAGGGAAGAGTCGGGATCAATCTCAGGAACACGCTCAATGGTGTCATAAATTTTGTAAGCAGCACCGCAGGCACTAGAGACAGCAGATAGATTTGGTGGCAGCTGCAAAAGAGCCATTGCACCCATAATCATGGCGAAAAAGACGACAAGGACAGTAGGACCATTGAGCTTTCCTTTGATAACAAGCTGGCCACCATACCAGAAAGAGAGGGCATATGTAGCAAAAAGAATAAACATAAAAGCACCAAGACCAAAACCGAGGATCAAACCACGTTTAATACCGGTTTGCTTTGCTTTTTCGAGCTTAATACTGTAGAGTTCAGAGAAACGGGACTGGAGAGAAAAGGAATAGACAGTGCGGATACCAGAGAATACTTGTTCTGCAACGGAACCAGCTTCAGCATAGGAGGTCTGGGTTTTGAGTGTATATTTTGTAATATATACACCCATTATGGCACCCACGCCAGCCATGAAAGGTAATGTGGCCAGCATGACTACAGCAAGCTGCCATCCTTTGACGAAAGCGACGATGAATCCGGTGACGAACTGAGCGATAGCGGTTGTAAAAAGGCCGAATTTTTCAGAAATACCGTCTTGGATCAATTGAGTGTCTGTGGCCAGACGAGTGTTGAGAGAACCATCTTCGGCCTTGTCGAACCAGGACATGTCTTGACGGAGGATGGCGTGGACATACATTTGACGAATTCGGCGGGCCTGGTTCTCGCCACTTAGAACCCAGCAAGTGTTTCCGACATAAGCAGCGATCATAATACCGGTTCCCATGTACACGAAGACAAGAATCAATCCCATGGTTTTATCCACTAGAGTTTCTGGATGGTACAAGGCAGTCTGAAGCTCTGTCAAGAACTTTCCGAGAATGATAATTGAAATTGGTTGAATGGCACCAATACATGTTGAGCAGATAAGGGCGATAATGACCATGATCTTGTCCATAGTTGTTGAATATTTGAATATAGCCCATATTTGGACCGCAGGTTCCTTGACCTTCTTTTTCTTTTTCTTCTTGCCAGATTCATCGAGCTCCTCAGATTCTTTAGAGTCTGCTGCGGGTTTTATTTCAGAAAGGGCTTCGAATTCGTGAAGATCGGTTTTTTCGTCCATTTCAATTGAAGTAATCTGGGTGATAACTTCACCCTTGAAGGTTCGACTTGTAGATGTTGACCGTCGACTTTCGTCTGAAGCTGCCATTGTTTGAAACAGATATGAACAGCTGTAGATGAGTTAATTGAGTGTGTTTATATTGTTATTATTATCCTTTAAAAGAAAAGAAGAGGTAGTGGATCTGACAAACAGTAAAGAGTAAATATAAATAAATATAAATATTTTATAAATTTGTGCGAATCGACTGGGTATTTATATGATTTTGTTCCTAGCAGAACTTGTATTTGGGACCTGATATTCTGACCAATCATAATGAATACCGAAATATTTAGAGAGACCAAAAAAAATAACCCATAAATCTCTTTTTTCTTTTATTCTCTTTTTTTTTGGCGGACGGGCCCAGGCTTGTTGGTTGTGAGACA